AAGCCAATATCTCATAGCCCAACTTGATGAGATTGAATGGGTATGCCAGTAATACATGTGCTCATCTCGTGATTCTGACATCTAGGAAACTAGACTTTGGCACAGTTTTCTCTGAGACACATCAAAACAGATGACTTGGACCAAGATATTACAATAACTCATGCCTGAACGAAGTCACTCCTCGCACTTCATGCAGGAGGAACTTCAAAATTATCAATTGATCGCACACGTGCCATTCAGGCGACAGGGCAAGTTCAATTACAGCTGTCAATTGCCTGCCTTGGCCTGGATCCTGTTCATGCAAACTTAGGTTTCATGACTGGTGAGGTCCTCCTGGGCCTCTGGCAAAAATGCTTTGGTCATGTATGAGAAGTAAGCTGGCACAAGTTGGTTTGACATCAATGATTCGCAGATATCTCATTCTCCAAGGTAGCAGATGCCGGGGCCCAAAGAGGTTTTTAGCAACTTCTAATGGGCCTCACAGGATTTTAGAGAGGCGTTCGAACACAGGGTGTAGCCAAGAAATGGCTCCTCCTCGTGCCAAGGGGCTGATTGTTACAATTCATGACTCCCATGATTAGTGGGGGAGGGTTCTGTTGGCAGAAACCATCTTTTTCTCTACAAGAAAATGTGCAGGAATTTATGTCAGCAACAACTGGGAATATTTGTCTTAGGTGAGCTGAACTTAGTATGTTTCACAAGACAACATATGCTTCTCTTCCTGTCGCTCCACCCTGATTGTCTTCCCCTCGTCATGTGGTCTCTCCAGTATTTTTTCTTGCTTCCCAATGCGGGGTTACCTTGTCATTGTCTAGGATGTTTTTGGATAAAACACCTTCCCGCGTCCCTCGTGTCCTGGATGAGCGTGATTCCCCACCCTCTGCTGTTCACAAAAATGCCTCATTTCTCACCATTGTACTTGCTTGTTGTGTATGCTCCTGTTCATGGGTTGTATTTCATTTGATGGTCTAACTTTCATCATCACCCAGGCTGGCGCATCTGTCTTGATGTTGTTGGCTGCCTTTGAGAGCACTAACTATTATCACTATTACATTATCTGTCAACTATCCCTCAATCTCATTTTTAGGCAGGCGTTGAAATGTTATCCCTCCTGGTTTTACGCCAGTACAGAAATCATCCAATGTCACCTAGACACTCGCGCTCTGCTCTATCTCAGTGTGTATTTATGATTCCAGGTGCTTCCGTTCGCCCATGTGTCAAATTGCGCTTTTGTGACACCATTGTTGACCATTTCATAAAAATGTGGGTTTGCATTCTCGCACTGCGAGGAGGCTAGATATGAAAGCAGGACTGCTACCATGATTGCAAAGCATGTTTGTATCTGTGTGGTATAAAAACACTTGGAAATCAATATGGTTGCCACTTAAGCTTGAACAGCGATATAGCAATCGCCGCACATCTTGCTGCCTATGTGGTATCAAGACGCGTGATAATCAGTGTCACTGAAATCTTGCCTAGAAGGAAGATTGTGATACAACAGGACATGAGTATGTTTACAAGTTCAAGAACAACGCCAATTCGAGATGATTGGGGCAGAAGCTCAAAGACAGACAGTAATCGGAACAACTTGAAGCTGCACCGGTGGAGTCAGGAACTGGCGCGTACGTGCCGCTACAATTAATGTATATGAGTAGCTGTAAATGATGCATCTGAAGCGCGCGGTCGGACGGACCAGTCCATGCGTGGCTGCTAATCATGTCATCCTGTGAACTTGAGCCTGTGCCAACATGTCTTGCAATATCACAATGGGCACAATGGTATGTTTTATTTTGAGGAAGTTCCAGTAAAGCTGTCTATTCAAGGTTTTATGCAAGATCCAAGCTGAGGGAATTGACATGGAGGTCGAGCTGCTGAGTCGCAGTGTTCCTATCTGGCCGACCCAGCTACAGCAATACACCGAAATAGCATTACCATAAGCGCACATTGCTATCATGAGGGACTTTAAGTACTGACTATGTGCAACAGTGAATCTTTAAGTTGTGATTTCAATGTGCAGAAGATGCAGATTGACCTCACTCAGTTCATTACCTGTATTTCTGATAACGTTGTTTTAACCGCGGTGTGAAAGAGAAATAGCGACTAGGCTGGTTAGAAACTAGCGCTACTTATCCAAATAGGCGCAAGTGTAGTATTTGACCCAAGAGGACTGCTATTGAAGCAACTCCCTACTAATATGCAAGGGAAGCGATAGCGCAAAGAACTAAAAACCTATAGCGACAAGTGAGTTCCGACAGAGAAATGTGTGTATAAGTGAGAAGCGCTATGCAAGTTGTTTTATGCGATAGCACTATGCGATGTCCGACTAGTGACAGCGAGAAGAATTCAAAGGGAGCGAAAGCGAGGAGCAAGATAAGACAGTGCAAGTGAAATGCCTGATAGCGACTAGATTATAGCTCGACTACCGATAGCGATCTTGACATTGCGAAAGTCAAACTTTAAGAAGGAAACTTTAGCGACGCGCTGAGGGCGAGGAATGATAGCTGAATGCTAAGGGGGGAAGAGTGGGAAGTGGGCGCTCAAGTACTCCTCTGGATACGAGCAAAATGTCGTCCCAAGGGGATTGCTACTGAGAAAGATTCCTCTAGAAAAGATGAGGGGATCTATAACTGCACGCACCAATGGACCTTGGAGGACTAGGACAGGACATGCAGAGGACAGGCGACAGATCGTAAGGAAGTGTGACGTAATGCGCTCAAACACACTGGTACGCGCCAAAGCGCATATGCGTGTTATCAGGAAGGCGTGAACAAGCAATAGCAAGGGTCTGTCAAAGCGGGGATGTGAGAAGGCGAAGCGCTGCAAGGGCGACTGCATAGGATGTGGAACGCGAAAGGCGAAATGTGACTGTACCAAACGTGAAAAATGTGACTGCGTGAAACACGACAAAACGTGATGAAACGCGAAATGCAACAATACGCGATGAAACACGAAACGCGATGAAACGCGAAACGCGACAATACGCGATGAAACGCCAAATGTGACAATACACGATGAAACGCGAAACACAAAACGTGAAACACGACAAAACACGACAGAAGTGCATTATTACGGATGCGCGACTGCAGGAATGTGGATACTCAAAATGCGAAAGCGTGTATGTGTCGAAACGCACTAAACGCGAAAGCGTGTTTGTCGCATTTTGAGGCACATTTCGAAAATAGTGGGCGCGTTGTGAAACTAGTGAGCACGTTGCAAAGGGAAAGTGGACTGTACCCATATGCACCTGTAGAGACTCCAGTCTCTACAGCGCACTTAAAGCAAGTCAAGCGACACGTGATCAGAGAGATTGGCAAGAGCGGAATCGATTGCACCAAGACTAGGATATAGCGACTAAAGTGACTCCGACACCAGCAAAGGTCCAGGGAAGGGAAGTACAGTACTGTATGTGTGACGGGTCATTTTATCAGACCGGGTAGCGCGCTATGGGAGAAAAGTGGTACCAAAGCGGATAGCTTGGGAGCCGAATAGTGCTGGTGACTAGCGCCTTACTCTTTTCCTCTGGACAAGGCAAAGTATGCCTATGACACTCATATGCACCTAGCGTTGGTATGATTGTCACAGCGGTATCGACAGCCGCAAAGTGCATGGGCATTGGGAAGAGATTGTTCATCCGTCAGGAGCTATATACTACTACAACGTGAAAGTGTGAGTACTGCCTAATCTTCCAAGTTACATACTCACTTATCAGCAATAAAGAAAACTTACACCAGGATGAACATGAGGGATTGTTCCGATGGATGACTCCAGAGGCTCGAATATTGGATTGAGGTGTCAAGAACTAAGCTAGACAGAAAACAGTGGTTGTTAGTCGTCGAGCCGATCTTAGCGAGAGGGAAGGAAATCTACCTGTATTATTATGTGGTACCTGAGAATCACATTATCACCTGGATCAAACCCATGGATGGCTTCCTCCTGTTTCAGGAATGTGAGACAGTATGGCACTGGAACCATAAAAGTACGTTACATTTTTGTATATTGATATTGAAGCTCAGTTCATTGTGTAGGACTCGAACTCGAAGCCCAATACTGGTGAGTGATGTTCTGGTGGAAACAAACAAGAACACTTCTCACTGTTGGACTAGGAAACACGTCGAATATTTTCCACTGTGAAAAACACAACCTGACTAGGCACTTGTTAAGGTACTCAGCCAGTATATGTCTAAGCTCTGCCTATGCTGCTATACTTGCAAACAATAAAGCAAGAATGTTCGACCCGACGGAAAGCTACTAAGGACAACTCAAGATTGAAAGACCCGAAAGAGCGCTAAAGCGCGGGAATAGCATGTTGCAAGATAGAGCGCTAATGTGCAGGAAAGAGCGGAAGTCAAGAAAGCGGACACTGAGTCAAAGGAGGGTAATGAATAGTGAGTGAAATCAAGGGTATTGATGGCAAGGGTAAGGAAAGTCAAATAGGGGCCATAGAGTGCAACTAAAGGGTGACTACTTCTAAGTAAAACCTAAGGGAAAGGAAATACAGTTGAAGGGAAGTTATGTCGAAGTAGTCACCATAGGCTTCTTATACTAGTAAACTATACCATCTCGGACTCGGAAGGGATAGGATATACATGTAATAAGACTGTAGCACTTGTTACAAACTCGAGGCAAGGCAAATTACATACCAATGAGGTAGGATGGACAATGGATTCATTCTGACGTTTCAGGTGGATCCTAGAGCAGCGAGAACAGCGCGCTGGATAAGCGCTAAGCATGGGAACAAGTGCTAGATAGAGCGGACAAGCGCTAATGCACCTAAAACACATTGCTGGTAGTTCTGACAGCGCTATAAGTGTGGGAATAGCGTCAAATAAGTTGCAGGAGTATGAATAGCGCTGCGGGAATGTGCGCGCATGGTGCAGGAAAGTGCGGAATAGTGTCAGACAAGGGTTATGGCTGAGACAAGTGAAGACTGCTGATAGGGGAGTAGTGAATAATATGAGGGATAACTTTGGTCCACCTATTGAAGGCTTATGCAGGTATACATGCCTAGCGCCAATATGATTGTCACACCACGCAGGATCGAAATCCATGACTCAGATGTGAGAGCTTTGCGACTGCAATTGAATTGGTGTCGCGTAGGTGAGTGCTTTGTATTGCAGTGCCAGATGAAAATAAACTGAATGATGGACAGAGGCCTTGGCATTGGAACAATCTGTTGTGGGCTCAATATTTTGGACGTTGGAACAAATGAAAGAAATAATTGCTGAGCTATCCACTGCAGGTACGCACCCTGATGTAAATTTGTGTCTTCAAGCTGATGGCTGAATGACAGAAGAACTTGCCAGAAGTGATGGAACCATGGAGGAGCAAGGCGTCACAATCTGTGGCACACGAGTCTTATAGAAATAGTTCATTTTGAATTTATCTTGTTACACACTGGCAGGTAAATTATTGCACGTACTCTGTACGTACACTGTCTCTGTCTCAGATCAGACATTGTTTATTGAGGCACAAAACAGGACATCATGAATATCTGAACCACCATGGCCAACCCGAAGCTCACTTGATGCGAACACATTCACTGGGCAAGAGGCACATAGATCTGGAAAAACTCTCCTGCATCAATGCCATTGCTGTTGCTATGCTCTGTATTCCAATGATGGTGCTCAGGTGACTCCGGAAAATTCACGTGATGGTCTTGTCAATGGGGTAGACATGAATGCATTCTTAGACGATTTCATCGCACAAGCTAAATTGCAAACTACAGTTGTAAGTGCTATATTGTAGACCCAGATGAGAGCACTTACTGCTTAGGCTGCTAGGCAAGCATCATCATGGCAGTTGACACCAGTATCCTTGCCATCCCAGGTTTAGGTTCAGTACTTGCTACAAAGACGCTATGCTCCATCTCTTTTGTTCTCAGTGCCTACTGTATTATCGCATGCATGATAGCACAACAATTTGGTCACCAAAGGTGATCTCTTGACTTTGTGGTTCGGCCATCTTATTTATTTCTACCGTTTGGATCTGATATTAGTGCTTGAATAGATGTATTACCTGCAAGGGAAGACGGCCAACTTTGTGATCATTGCAAGCATACCAAGTCTCTTATATCTGTCGAAGTAACCAACCTTTCAATCTCAATTATTTGTGTTACTCATAGCAACAGTTTGGCCTTTTCAATCCTTGGGTTTCTCAATGGGGTTTTCACAGCTGAAGACGGGTTGCCCTTAACTGTGAGGATAGGATGTGGGCTGGGCATCATTGTTGGGACATGCCTCACAATTCCATTGGCGATCACTGCTTTAGGTCCTGGGCTGGTTCGGCAGTGAGAAATTGAGTCTTTCCTGGTAATCGGATAGGGATAAACAACACAGATACTTGTTTTTAAAGATAACTAATTGATCGCATCCTGTACATGGTCTTGGTCGTAAATTTTAGCTATTGAAGGGCTATCTAGAACAGCGTCACAACTGTACATACTGCAGGGGTTTTGCGGGGGTATTTCGGCTCTTAATGGTTTGTTTCACTGGGTGTACCATTCTTGAGATCCAGGCACACTGTGTCAATATTGCGAGGAAACTGTAACTCTTGATGGTTTATTTTCCAGGACATATTGTTATTGAGATCCAGGCCATACTACATCAATATTGCAAGGGAAATTGTAACCCTTGACAATCTATCTCCATAGACACATCACAGCTGTGAGCAACAACAACACTGCACAAATATTACAATGATGCTGTAGCTGACTGCATCCAATCACAAACTGTGCACAAATATTACAATGATACTGTAGCTGACTGCATCCAATTTCAAACCACCAACAGGAAGCCAAACACATACAAGGATGGACCATAATTTTGGAGAGATGCGGGACCTCCTCTAAGTGTTTATCTACCAAATACCATAGTTGTGAGATATACAAGTCTTCATTGGAATTGGAGTTTTCTTGAAATTTATTGTATTGCTTTGTCCTTGTGTATAACCTGTATCTATTTAATTTGGTTTTACCAGATTATCTATTAAAAACAGCTCAAGCCCAATTCCATGATGATATTGCCCAGCAAAATCATCTCAACAAAACCCTTTCCCATTGACGTCTTGAAGACCTGGCTGCAAATATCATTCTGCTGTTTCATTCTGTCGCTGTCCACCACAAGATCAAGTGGGTCTCCGTTGATGCTCAAGGAAATGGTGATCCATGTGTCACTGTTGATAGCGTCCACGCTAAACCTGGTCACACTGGAAGCCATCAACGAGATGATGCAGTGCCTGCACATTTCAATACTGTGCTTGTCAACAATGGTACTGGTGATTCTGTGGGTATCGAAAGTAAGCTCAATATTGACTGGGTCTTACTAGTTTTACTTATACAACAAATAAATTTTCAGGCTACCGTGTTGGTCAGATTCGCACCATTTCTCGATCCAACAACGAGATGCACAGTCATTGTTCCCTCCAACATCTCAACCTCCAAAACACTTTGCTTACATTGAATGGTTCACCCCTTTTCTTCAATGCCAGACTCGCGTCATGGTATGTACAAAATTTCTCGTTTCATTTGTTTGGGTGAGAGAGTTGCTAGCAAAATCCCTGTTTTGAACATTGCTCGCAGTGTGCATCTTATACCGAAGTTTGGACCAGTTGCACTAGTGTACCATGGAAATCCACCAAGTTATCCACCTGTGTGGATATCCACCCAGTTATTCACGTGAATAACTAGGTGGATAACTCGAGGTCAAAATTGATAGGGTGGATTATGTGAATAACTCAAATAACAGTATACATGTGCAGGGTTACGCTAAATGGTACTAAATACTCTTAAAGCTTAATTATTGAACACTGCAAATCTACAAGCCTACTTAGTTGGTGGAATGTCAAGCAATGTTTGTTTGGTCGAACATCGACGTGAAAATTGAATGGAATAGTGTGAACTTCAAGTCATTCATCCCCCCAGCCAAGCTTCATGATTCATGATCCACAAAACTTTCAGGCAGCAACACCTCAAAGATCAACTAGTTGAGCTGCGACAATGTCTCAAGGCACTGCCAATGGTCATTCCTGTTCCACCGGCAACAGAATCCAAGTACAAGTCCTCCAACTTCAGCCCAGATGCTGAATGGACTATAGACATCGGCAAGGCTGGTGCTGTCAACCGAGAGTTAGAAGTTAGGTTTGGTAATCATGTCAATGGCCTGAAATTTGTAGAGCAAGGTCCAGAAACAGAGGCCATAGTGGATGTTTTGGAAACATGGATCGAAAAATGTCCAGGTGACATCATCCTCAAGAAGTGGGTGCATGACATCCTCGAAGCTGCGCAAAGTGTCATTCTCGCTGCTGGAAAAGCTGTAAATTACATTTACTTCACACTTCAGAAAAACTCATCACTGACGCACCATACAGTTACCGAAGTATTTGCATCAGTCAAATGACGATCCAGACATAGAGCTTGTGAGCTCCCCAATTAAAAAAGCCAAGGCATTGAAGAAGAAAAAGATCAAGATTGTCAAGTCCAACATGTCTGTCATGCACCTATACACAGATGCTGAACATAAACCTGCAAAGGGAAAAGGTGGTGCGAAAGTTGATCCTCTGATGAGGCAACCAACTTGAGATCTGATAGTCCCTCAAAGAAACTTGATGATCATCGTTTTTGGTCTGTTCAAAGTCCTAAAGAAAGTTGGAGAACGTGCATATAAACTGGACCTACCACGTACCTGGAGAAAAATCCACCCTGTCTTCCATACCACCCTCCTTCGTCCCTATAAGTCACCAGCTTCTCCATTGCAAACAACAACCGCCACCACCACCACCAATAGATCTCAGAGGGCCACCGGAGGTATAAGTTGAAGAGGACCTGGATAGTTGAGAAAGACAAGGAAAAAAAGGAGTTTTTGGTGAAATGGAGGGGGCAACCAAGAGAAGAGAGCACTTTGGAACCGGAATGAAATCTGAAGAATGAGTTTTGAGATGAATGAAGCCTTTCAAAAGTTTTTGATGCGTGACAGAGAGCGTCTCAAGATACATATCCCACGTCGTACGGAATGGAGGTATGCAATGCCCCCAAGGAATTTATGACTGGAGGATAGGGACATTTAGGAGAATTGTCAATGAAGACATCGACCTTGGGAGGGCATCTGCAAACAAGGGGTAGCCTAGACAGCACTGCACAGCACTGTACAGTACCCCAGTCCACACAGCAATGGTTCTGTCTGTGAAGTACCAGACAATACGTCCTGACTCTGTCTAGCTCTGTCCAGACCTGGGACAGAGCTAGAAAATACTGCAACAGACCTGAGACAGTGTGGTGATGCAGAGCACCCAGATAGTGCAGGATGAGGTAGGACTTGCAGTAGCAATACAGTAAACATATATCCATTTATCATAAGGGTTGTGTACTACATGGGAGTGTGTTTAACTATGCAAGATTAATGATTGGTAGATATACGAAATGCAATGGCGATTCCACAGACAATGAGTGTGAACAAATAGAATGATTAGCTAGTCGAGCACAGCTTGGAAGACAATGGCACAAGTCTTCAGCGGCTCTGTCTTGGCACTAGTCTGTGTATGCATCAGTAATGAGATCCATCCATGGTGAGAGAAAACTTGATACCTAGCAGCCCTTTGCCCATCGACGCCTAAACCCACGGCACTTAGATTCATGGTAGCAGTCGCTTTCGATCTGGTCCATCAAGTTCAGGATACCTTCATGAACGGGACGGTATGTATTGACATGCAACTTTTCCGTGTGCCAAACACCCGTCTTGTATTTGTCAAGTGCTGCAGCCAGCTGAAACAAATCAGTGCACATTCAGGAAAAATAAACCGACTTACAATTGTGGCAGCAAGTGCTACTGCACCTTTAGGTACAGAATCTGCAACGATGTCGGGAAAAGATCGAGCCATTGTGTTCTTACCCATGTAATAGTACATCTTGCAGAGATCTCCAGTGCGACATGTGCGAGGTTATCGGTGCGGCCCTGCGTGAGAGGTGAGGTCAGAGCTGATCGAGCAATTTTATTCATACCTGAGCATCCAGTCTGCCTCGTAGGAACCTCCCCCCGTCCAGAAGTTCCTTTATACCATTATGGATGTATTCCACAGCGTCATCATTGTATTCACATTCATCAGCTTGGCGGAAAAGCTCATACCGGCTTTGAACAATCGGGTGTGCTGCTTTCTTGAACTCTGAGTGCATTTTTCCTAAATCATCCCATAACTGTGGTGATATTAAGTCAATGAATCGAACAGCAAAAAAAAGTAAGGAAACGAAATACTATGATAGCCATATCATGCTTGTGCCTCTCCCAATAGCCTTCCTCCACGCCGCGACCTTCTGCAGCAAACTGATCGTGTAGTTCTGCCTAGAATTTTAATCGCATCTTCAGCAAGGAAAGTCTCACGATGAGGGAATGAATTATCGAGGGATTCAAGCCTAGACCGCTTCTTTGCCTTCTCCAGTAAGTCCTTGTACACCGGCGGGTAAGACCGAAGTTGTGTTGGGATGGGGCCGTTTGACCATTTGCGGTTGTTCGTTGCAGGCTGGACTTCATCGTCATCATCACTGTGGTCATCCTTCTCAGTTTGCTCTTCTTCATCTTCCTCGCCTTCTTCAATACGGTCCTGACCTCGTTGGCGAAGGTCTTGCAAATAGTCCAGATTGGGGGACCTAGGACGCCCATTCCTTTCTTGATGCCGAAGGAGGACATCACTGTGTTGACGACGATCAGACGGTTGCGCTTCTGACTGAGCACAACTGCGACGGTTGTGACGGTTGGAAGGCTGCTCTTCAGACTGGACACGACGGTCGTCCTGTTGACGATGGTTGGATGGGTGGTACATTAGGCCGAGCACGATTGGAGAGTCGATAGACAACATTGCAGTTAGTGGCTGGAGCCAATGGCATCCTACGTTGGTTCTTGCGAGGTCCTGGCTGTCCTGCATGTCTATCAGCAGACCTGCATAACAACATGCGTTCTTTCACAGGAGGTGTGTGCGCTGTTCCTCATCTGCGTCAGTGTGATATCCTTCTGGTGTTAATCTGCATTCTAAAGGCGAGGTGTTAAACAAAGAAAACCACGATGAAACAAAGAACCTCACTGCAAAGGCGGGGGTCATCGACTTCGGGTGTTCCTGGTCCTGCATGACAATAGTTAGCTATGTCCAAGACTGTATGAACAAACACGCACTAGTTACATCCAAGTCAGGAGATGATTGTGCTAGAGGGAAAATATTAAGTGCAACAACAAGGAACCGAACTTCAAATTAGTACTTACATTGATCTATGTCCATGCCGAATGGTTCGTCAACTCTTTTCGTTATCATTGGCATCGCCTGGACCATTCATCTCGTCATCCCAGTTGGCCCTGCTGCCCTCCTGATCGTACATCATTGTTTGGTTGATGTCGTGCTCCTCTCCATCGGACCTCATATCTTCATCGATATCGTCACCATCAGGCCTCACACTTTCATCACCATCCTCGTCACTGTCATCACATTCCCCATTACCATCCCCATCCTCATCAGGCTTCGCACCTTCGTTGTCATCGGAAGTGGTCAGATGCAGCCACACGTTGTGCGGATCTGGCGGCTGGTAGAGTGAACCTGTATCGTACCCCGGGTTTGGCGAGGTGTAGACTTATATTAACAGGTCGTTCATTGTGAGACTGATAGCCTGCTTTGGACTCCATAACTGGAGAGAACTGGACACGAGTCTTGGGCTTGGAGTGACGCTTCACTGGCTGAGGTGCCAACTTATTCATGGGCTGCGACTGTAGAGCAGGGTTGGCTTTTCTTTCGCGGATGTCTCGTTGTCTGGATGCGCTCAATATTCGCCATCTGTTGAAGACGTCCTCCATTGCCTCGATTACTACGACTCAAACATCGTGTTCCTATAAAGCAAATGTGAGCGGAAGACAAGAAGTGTTAATTATACTTACCTTCCAGCTCTTTCTTCCTGTTTCTCCTTGTTTGCGGTGCTCTTCTTGCGCAGTGCCATGGTTCAAAATTCAATGGGCAGCTGCAAGGCAATTTCATGTTTGATTGTTATTTATCCGCTGTTTAGTTCGAACTCCGTTAGAATGAATATCCATGACATAATGTAATTATTATTGTAGATACACGAGAACATGAAGCCTCTGTAGAAAAATAGGTATAGTGCGAGTAAAAAGCATAAATGATATATTATGTATGATCAAGATGCACGTCCGCTGCGGTGCCTCCTACCCTGCCTGGTAGAATTCCCTGATCCCCTGGTTGCCCTAATGGCACGAGCAGTATCAGACTTCCCCAATCTTCTGACTCCACTGGTAGTTCTCTGGCGCTTTGCAGAGCATTGATCGTCGGAAAAAGCACTGCCTCTTTTCACCTTGGAAGCTAGAGATGATCTATCACCTTCGATGACAAATGAAGGTGCCTTGCCATCAAAAATGAGCCGCCTGATGCATGTATGGATCGACAGAGGTTCGTCACGGTCATCGTCATCAATGGCCGGCTGGATTGTGTTGATGATTTTTTGTGCGTAAGAGGTGGCTTACAGGTTGGTTTAACATCACGGCCATCAAAGGTTTTCGCGTAGTTGACCTGCTCGCTAAGAAGCGAGCACAGCTTGGTGATGAGAGTCGAAAACGGCTGAAAGTATTGAGTGATGTCCGCTATAATAAGATCTGATCGTTCCAAATGTCGCTGCTTGATCAGTCCTATTGTGTTCCATTCCCCATAGATCCACCGACCGATGATAGTCTCATTGAAAAGCTTATCATCTCGAAGCTTGTCACCAGGGCCATCATACATCACACAGATGTACAGTGGCTCAAAAAACTGTCCGCATGTTTTGACATTTTTCACTATCTATGATATTGTGTGAGAATGAACAAATTCCTCAAGGACATACTTATACCACATTGTAGTATGCTTCAGGGCTTTTATTTGAGCCCTACACCGTGGAAATCGGCGGAGATATGGTGGAGATATAAGGCTTATAAAATGATGACTCATGTGGACAGTTTTTTGAGTGTATATTAAAACTATATAAATCATTATTTATGACACCATAAAAATCATGCCACTATTATATAAATTATAAAGTGGTGTCATTATGTTATTTTATGACTATATCTAACTATATAAACCAGAATATCTCATGTATCATAGTCATAATCACCATGAAAGCCATCTCCTCTGCTCAAAGAGATAATATCCTCTCTCTGTCTTATGCTGGCCTCTCTGCTCGCCAAATTTCCTCTAGAACTGGAATATGCAAGTCCACTGTGGCCAAGTTCATCAAAGAAAGCCACCCAGACAAGGAAAACTCTTGTGGAGGACGTCCATCCAAGCTTACCTCTACTGACAAAAGGGCTATTATCCAACATATCACTACAGGAAAGGCTGATAATGCTGTCCAAGCCACCCATTATATCAATTCCACCATCACTACCCCCTGTCTCTTCACAAACTGTGAGGAATGTTCTCAAGGCAGCTCATCTCAAGGCAGTAACAAAGAAGAAAAAGCCTCTTCTCTCCATCAAACATAGGCAGAGAAGACTAGCCTTTGCCTTAGCTCATCAACACTGGACTGTAGAGGACTGGAAGCATGTTATATGGTCAGATGAGACCAAAATCAATAGGATTGGGTCAGATGGGAAGGTGTATGTATGGAAAAAGAAGGGAGATGGCCTAACAGACAGAGAGGTTAATGGGACTGTCAAGTTTGGAGGAGGTTCTTTAATGGTATGGGGCTGTATGGGATGGAATGGTGTGGGAATGCTTGCTGAGGTTGAGGGGAAGATGAATGCTGAGCAGTATGTGGACATTTTAAATGACCACTTGCTGCCTAGCTTGGCAGAATCAGGGATTGATGAAGAAGATATCATTTTCCAACAGGATAATGATCCCAAGCACACATCCAGAAGAGCTAGGGAATGGTTTGAAGAACATAACATCAATGTTCTTGACTGGCCAGCACAGTCTCCTGATGTCAATGTCATTGAACATCTCTGGGGAACACTCAAGAAAAAGCTTCAAGCCTATGAAAACCCCCCTAAAGGAGTATGGGAGCTTTGGGAGAGAGTAGCAGTGGAATGGGGGGAAGATCACAGCTGAGGATTGCCAGAAATTAATTGAGAGTATGCCTAGAAGGATAGAGGCAGTAATTAAAGCCAAGGGAGGTCATACAAAATACTAGAATACCTGGTTATTACTGTAAAATACTTGAGTCAAAAACTGTCCGCATGAGTCACCATTTTGTGAGCCTTGTATCTCCACCATATCTCCACCGATTCCCACGGTGTAGGGCTCAAATGAAAGCCCTGAAGCCATACTACAATGTGGTATAAGCATGTTTTTGAGGCATTTGTTTGTTCTCACACAATATTATAGATAGTGAAAAATGCCAAAACATACGGACGGTTTTTTGAGCCACTGTATGTAGATGAAGACATATACAAATTACTCCAGGTCGTGGGCAACTGTTTGTTCACGCGGAATGCCATGCTCCAAGTATTGCAGCAGGATGCCACTAGCCATGAACATCAAAGTTCCCTGAAAATAATAAGTTTTGGCAAAACATACAGATACAGATCTACTGACAGTAAGGTCCTGTTGTCCAACAGCACGATCAGTTCCCTTAGAGATCTTTGTCGCATAGTCGTGATTGATTAGGAGACCCCTTGCAATGATGCCATTGGCAGTATACTCGAAAAATATCATGATATTATTGACGCTGATATCACAGTGCAGTATGCCTCGACCAACAATCTCACAATGCACTGTAAGAGAAGTGATTAATGCCTATATATGGTCTGTTTGATTCAACACATACCATTTATCACATCTATTAGACACTCGAGCAACTCCATTCAACTAGTGTTTTAAAGTCCGGTCCGGTCCGGTTTTTTTGGCCATTTTTGGCACAACCGGACCTGGACCGGTCCTAATTTTAACTGTAGTTCCAAAAGACTGGACCGAACTCTGGAAAACCAGTTGCCTTCAGTTGCTGGACCACACTGCAGTAGGTTGCAACCGGTCTTTCAAAAACCAGTCCAGGACTGGTTGTAACTGGTCTAGACTTCGTCATAGTAGAGGAATGTGCTCTACACGTTGTTATATTTGAATGATTCTGTAAGACACTACCAACTAATCAATACTTTGCATCTCCCCACTGCCTCGATTTTCTCTTCAACCTGACCATGAAGTCAACTCGTGTGCGACGACCCACGGAAAAGGTTAACGCAATGGCATCTGCCAAAGCCAAGCACTCACGGCCTTCAAAGACGAAGCAAGTGTCACCAAAAGGGAAGAATCACAAACGGAAAGCTGTATCGAGCAACAGCGAATTAGAAACCAGTGAGAGTGAGGGCTGAACCAAAATGTACTTCGAAAAAGAAACCTCCAGGTCCTTCAAAATCTAAGCGCGCACATCGAAACACGATTGATGAGGTTGTCCACGAGAGTGAGGCCAGTGAAGAAGAAAAAATTGAGCCCTTCGTTGAGGATGCTGAAGATGAAGAGGTAATTGCGACTCGTTTCATTGTCATCTGTGTATTGGACGTCAGCTCAACATCACCGGATAGCAGGAGAGCAATGGCTTGCAGGAACAGCACCACGCTCCTCTACCCGATGTGCTGAAAACAAACAAACAGAGCACAGCTGATTACTCACTGTGTTCTCGGATCGTTGCACGGTAAAGTTTTGCCAGACTAATGGAAATGTAGAAACATCAAAGGGGCGCTGGTTGCAATGTATGCAAGTCAGTAGATCAGATTGAATACTAATATTGAGTACTTACATTGTGCCTGTAGAGATGATAAGGATTTTGTCGCAAAGCATGGAAAACGCAAGGCATTCCACGTCGGAAGTAATTCTTCGTGTCGGCAACACATCCGAAGTCATTATGAGGTATACAAGAGTAAATGTAAAGAACTGGGCCTGAAGGAAAATTACCATGCGATACTGCGTGATATAGCGAAGCTGCAGGTGAAAAGGAAGAAACAAGGGAAGGACATCCAACAAGATCTAGGCCAGATGTTCCAGAAGTCGCAAAACAAAGAGTATTCAAGGGAGGATGTGCTATGCACAGTTGCTGAATTTTGTGGTCTGCGATGATCAGGTGAGTGATATCGATGATCCATGAGATTCGGAAAATGCTGAAACAGTGTTGTCGTGCAGAGCCTTGTAGTGGCTGACAAACCCACATTTAGAAATTGTTTGGTGGCAATGCGGCCAAATGCTATACTGGCAGACATACCTTCAACTCATGATGTGTCAGCTTACATTCACAACGCATTCATTGAATTCTTCAAGGATCTCAAGGTCCGAATGCAGGTGAGTACTAGTACTGCTCCATATTCCTCTGATATATCTTACAAAATATTACAGGCTACTACAACCGGCCTTATTTCAACGACTACAGACTTGTGGTCTGTTGATCAGACGAAGGCCGCATTTCTAGGCTTAACGGCTCACTGGATCGAGGCTAATGCCTCCGGTATATGGACACTTTTTTCACAGGTCATCGCTTTCAGAGGTATATCTGGAGCGCATAGTGGGCACAACCTTGCACGCTATCTTTTTGGATTGTATGAGCGTGCAGGAATTATCAATGGGCAGTCAAGCAAGGTATGTACTCTACCATCCACGTCTCAATTTCTGTGTGCTGAGTTCTACAATAGCTTTCTGTATTACTGCCGACAATACTAGCAACAACGACACCACTTGCGACATCATCGAGTTACTGTTTCACCGCCGCCACATATACAACTTCAATGCACTCGACAGCGTCTTCCTTGTCTTGCCCACGTGGTCAACCTCGCCGTCACTGACGTTATGTCGGTTATCACACGCATCGCCAACATTGAGACCACAACCGCAATATGGGAGTTTGACCCATTGCTCCCTAATAACCACGTTCTCGGAGACTCGCTTGATGTTTGTAGCTGCGGTGCGTACACTTGCCATTAAGGTACGTTTTCACTGCTGCCCATAAGTTCTATCATCTAACATATCTTTACAGATTCAGTCCTCAGGTCAACGCATTGAGTACTTTGAGACCTTGCAAGTCAAGTGTGGGATCCCGATACCACTGAAAATCCCCCTCCACAGTAATGTACGCTGGGGGAAACGGCTCATGGGATGCTTCGGACGCGCCTATCACCTACGACAGGCCATCAATCTCTTCGTCTCCTCCGCTGACGAACCTTTTGGGCCAATCACATCCGTTCAGCGCCATGGACGGGTCACAAAGCACATCCCATGGACTGCGTTTGCACTCAAGACATCGGACTGGGAGCGCGTGAACGATACACGAATCATAATCTCAGTAAGTCATGACTAGTCTCTCATTGGCAATTTTGACTGACATTTTTAGGATGCTAATGATATTCAACAATACTTCTCCTCTGAACAACAACCAACACTATGGCACGCGATACCTGCTATGGAGGAGCTACAGATGGCTTGGGAATCAAAGAGGGAGAATTTGCAGTTCGCGCTGTACAAGGAGGCTATCGAGCAGGGTCTCGCGAAGATTGGAAAGTATTATGGCAAATTTGACAACAAACCAGTCTACATTCTTGCGCTTGGTACGTCTATCATATTTCATTGTATTTTTGACTAATTAAATGTGCAGTACTACACCCATACTACAAACTCGCGTATATCGCTATGGCATGGGGCGGTCCTGAAGAACAGGCAAAGGAACGAGACACTGGCAATCCAAACACCAAGAATTGGCACGACGAAGCACTCAAGGTAGTCGAAACAACTATGGAGGAGTATTGGATCGCGCATAAAAGCACTTGTAGACTCAGGACGCGCCCCTGCCAACACCATCAACAACGACTCAACAGTGTCGACTGTCAAAACCATGGAGTCCGAATACGATCACCATTGCCGCATGTTAGTTCAGCAGGCGGTCTACGAGCACAACGCTGTATGGGCAGCCGAGCTTCATCGTTACCTCAAGGATATGCCGGACGATGTTAGTAAAGAGACAGACATTGTTCAGTGGTGGGCGGTGAGTCTATCTAATATGTTCCAACATACTTTTTATCTCATATCACACAGAGACATTCATCTAAATATCCTACCCTTGCGAGAATCGCAATGGACATTTGTGCCATACCAGCATCTTCAGTCCTGTGTGAACGATTGTTTTCAGTGGGCGCAGAGATTGCAACAGATCGCCGCTCAAGACTTGGCGCAGACAAATTCGAGCAACTCCAGATCCTCAAGCATACGTGGCGAGATTCCATTGCGGATAGGGCTGCTTCCAACTCTTCCACTACACAGGAAGTCTCGCTGGAGGAATTCAAAGAGCTGCTGACCCTCGACAAGAATTTCGTTGAGTGGGATCAATCTGAGGATGAGAATCACGAGATGGTCACTGTGTAGTTTGCTTTCCTTACATGTCTTAGAATTAGAAGTTCATTGTATCATTGTGCAACCGGTTTCACTTGTGACCAGTCGCAACCGATTTTATCGGTCTTGAATTTCTGATCAATGTCAGGCAACCGAGACCGAAGTTTAGTAAAATATAGGGCAACCGCAACCTCAGTCCGGTTGCAACCGTTGGCGGTCCGGTTCGGTTGCCAGTTTTTTTTTCGGTCTGACAACCGGACTTTAAAACACTACATTCGACGAGAGAAGTAAGTGATTGGAGCAGCATATGGTTCCAGGACCAAGTGTCAATGGATACACAGCTCAGCCGTGTTTGTTCCTGGGGGTAATGTTTTTTGACGAGGACCTGTGGTATCAGGAGACCCAGAGACCTGAACGTTCCATGACTTGACGAGCTTTGGAACCCCTCGGATATCTTTCAGCATCTCCAGAATTTCTTCTTCTACACTCGAGCGGGGTGGCGATGGACCAAGTATCCTTTACTACATAGATGCGGGGTCGCTTTGCCCGTTTGCCTCTGATGACAATGTCATCGCATGTGTCTGGGTCCTGGACGTGCCAGCATGTGGTGGCTCTGCCTCTGATGGAGGCCCTTGCAAAAATTGGCTTGATGATGTGGTAGGTCTTGTGTCACAACCCTTATAACGAATTAACGCAGGGGCAGAGACTAGGACTCAAACAAAGGATATCACAACAAAAAGGATAAGGAACAGCAGGTACGTCTTGGATTGCTAGCAATGAGCTAATACACAAGAGGTTTGAACTAAAGAACTACCGACTACAATGAGCTACCTATATACATATATTGAAACGGAGACTGAATCTGAGAATGAACTACTAGCCAATCATTAAATAGAAAAGGGAATCGTACGATGATCTAAATATAACTACACCTATGATGTCATAAAACGTGTTACAGCTGTGCAAGGGTTCTCAAAGGTTCTAGAGTCATGTGACTTGATCGCTTGTGAAAGGAAGTCAAAATCAGTAATGTCGGAGATAAAAGTAGTGGGCGCTAATGGGATAGAGAAGTTCGGATATGTAAAGGATGAGTTCGGGTTAGGGTTTGTGAAGGTTATAGGTACAGATGCTGACTGAGCGCTGACGACAGGCGCTTGTGACGGGCGCTTAACGGGTGTTTTACGAGTGTTCAAGTAGGAATAATGGTTTGTATTTGGAACTCGTGACATCTTGTCACCGACTTTGATTGAAGGGATGGTTTGAGGAAGCATAAGTGTAAGGTGGTGAGGAATTTTGGGTAACATGACTGTAGGATCATAGCCAATATTTGTGGCACTTAGGTAGACACTCCCACCAAGTATTCCCATGAGCACGGCTGGCATTTTGTGGATGTGATAAGGTAGTGAATGGACTGCTCCTGAGCGATCAAACAAGCTGATTTGAAGGACAAAGTCGGTGATAGACAGCGCAAAAACGAATCGATGATTCAATTGCGCTTTATATACTGCATACGCTTTTGCATACAAGGTATCCAACAATTCAGGTCGCATCGGAAGCTTCAATAATTCACAGAACATAAGTACGTCATTCCACGCTATGAGGTCTGACCCAGCGGGGTCACTCTCATCGCTGTCCTGCAATACAAGATCAGGTTTGACTGCAAGTGGTGTGCTCGTCATTTTGCATGTAGAAAAAAAGCCAGTCCATCGACAGCCCAAAAATGCTGGAAGCATATCCATCGCCTCGATCTGCAACTGTGTGCGGGGGTCAACTTGGCAGAGGAGTTCGAGGCCTGCGAAGGGAGTATCTGCTCTCCGACTCCGTATGGCATTGACTTTCTGATTTCTTGAGACGCTTCGCTTCTAGATCTTGACGAAGCTCTTTGATAGCAATTGTGATCACCTTCATAATTCTGTTGAAAAAATCTGCCAGCATCTCCTCATCATTCCTGGGTTTAACACCAGTTACCTTGTCACTCTCCACTCCCTCCTCTTCGTCCAAACCAGCCTTCTTTTCCTTTTTCCTTTTTCCATCTTTTCTGTCGCCAGGCTGATGCAAGAGTGGTGGAAGAAAGGTAGGGTTCCAACATTTGCAAGCCACATCATACAGATGCTGGCCGTCATTGGTCTTGAGATACGACAATAATCTCTCATCTAAGAGATCTGGAAGGAGCGCACGAGGAACCCAGTTGTTTCAAAAACTACAGTCACTGTTTGATCTTTCAGGGTTCGTATATGGTGGCATCAGCAAGTTCCATTTGGTGAGCATGTTTGAGCTTCACAAGAGTGATTCGCCGACCAAAGTCAGGAACTGAGGTGGTTGAACTATGAAGGGGAGAATCCAGGGAATGAAACTTGGGTATATGTGTTCAATACAGGGCCATGCTCATCAAAAGCGGCACGTTAGAATGTGAGTGCCAACAATTGTACAAAACTACATGATGAGTAATCACTGAATCTACCGTATCTCCTTTGTCATTGAACACTCTGCGCTTTTCAAAGAGACTTAAATAAGCTTGCCTGCAATGTCTAATTTGCTTGTAGTGGCTTACCTGAATGGCGGGTCAAATAAGAGCCTCGCAACATTGTGAATACAATCAGTTGATCAATAACCTTTCATTGTCTGCATACAATAGCATACTACTGTAGATCGCACATATCTTCTGCTGACCGAATGAGCTTTACAGTAACGAACATCATATTCATTACAGGTAGGAATAAGGAAACTCATACTATGCACTGGTGCATAGATCACTCTGTGCCATTAATGCTATAAAAAAACTCCGTGTTCCAAAACCTGTTGAGAAAGAAATCATCAGAATATTCATTGCTGGTTTCTCAGGTAAGTCTGGGGTTCGTAGATCGTCCAAAACAAGGAATGAGGTGGGCAGGAGATACAATCTGGCTGAGAGGTATCACATCTCCAATACAAGTACCATTCGAGCCTTGCGCATGCCTTAAAACATGCATCCCTGCAGCCAGATCCACGGTAACAACATCTAAGCACTCCACATATGCAAGATATGTCCCAGAGTGTTCCAAGGGGGTAATGGGACGAAAAACTAAATGTAGGTAACTGACACAATGACCTAAAAGAATTATCAGTGATGAGCATGGGACAAAGCAAAAGCAAACCTTCTAGATGACTGTGGGGCCACTTGAACGTCAGATCTACATTCACAATGACCACATCATATCGTCCACATGGCCAGGTTTTGGAGGGCGGTTGGGCGAGAACAGCTTGGGAGGGCTCAAGGTGTTGTTCATGATAGCTTATAAGCTGCATGCAGATCTTGCACCAAACTTGAATGTGTTCAAAGGTCAATTTGCAATTGGAAGGCACTCTTCTCCTGCCACCAATCACATGAATGAAACCAGCAGCGTCACATAACCTTGACGTAGTCTATGTGCGCACATTCCGTTGGATCAGCAGACCACTGCATCACAGACCCGTGTGAGCGAATGCTAGGCACGACGCCTTGCAGCAACTCCAATTTTGGGATTGCCCATGGCTTGACAGCAGCTGCGATGAGACCTAATGATGTACCTGCTGAGCGTCTCGATGATCTCAGCCAGACACTTATTTCAAAGTGGAGACGCCATCATTGAAGCCACAGTACCCTTTAAAAACTTGCAAAAGCATGAAACGAAAATCTAGCTCATTGGCGCCAACAACGAAAATGCACCAGTTGAGATTGTGGTTCCAGAACATGCGGTACCAGTGATGCAGAGCCTCTGGAGTTATGAACTGAGAGGGCTCCAACAAAGGCCAGTCCAGCCAGAATGGCTCATAGACGCCATTCAAGTTGAACTCCTTGCACACTGCAAAGAACTCAGAGACATCAGCATGCAAAACAGATCGCAAAACAGCTTTGATACGAGCAAGGGTGGATGATCCTTTGCGAAGCGGATGGCAGAAGGGATCCCCAAACTGATCTTGGGTGGCGGTGGTGACAGGGGACACATTGCTGCAAACACAAGCAACCAGGAGCTCCTCTGGAGTATCTGCAACATAGGAAACCAGGGGCGTGAAGCAATACCTGCTATTGCCGACAGGGTCATTCATCATGATGCCCATTTTGGCAGCCGCCTTGAGTGGTTCGGTTACAATGCTGATGCACTGGTGGAACAGCCAATCCACAAGTACGCCACATGCCCTTGCATTAGAATGGACGAACTTCGGTACTGGAATGAGCGCAACAAGTAAATATGCATGGAGCGAAGCTTTAGCGCGTGTGGAAGAAGCGATGTTTGCAAGGCTTATCAGGACAGGGTGAGCGTATCAATTACCAGCTATATTGGTAACCTTTGTTTTGTCCGAGGACAAGATCACTCCAAGCAGAGATGCGCCCTGAGGGATCTGACACTGAGAGGGTACAATGAGCATTTAGCACTGAAAATTCACATATAAATCATACCTGGAGGTACCATGAATGATTGCCCATCATAAAACTTTTGTATGCGTGAGAGAGTCTATTGGCAGACTCATAAACCCTCCGACAATCGAAATCGATGCAATCTGCAAGCTGAGGATTGCTGAGAAGGGATTGCAAACAGTCGATCGGATCACGATAGAATAGACCAAGCGGGCGCTTTGTAGGGCAGTTGGTTACAATATCTTCATACTTCCAATGTGGGCCCGATGGTAACATCTCCACCCATTGACGTCACTCCTTGGCGTGGTGGAACGAAAGGGAACTTTCCTTCGTCTAACACTATATGTGAGCATAACATGAAGTTAAGAAGGCCAAAGGGAGACTCACAAGGTTGAGATTTAGATATTCATCGATTTCTGACATGCTAAGGCTTGTGCGCATCAACCAATGAGCAACCTCCCAATCTTTCTGGCTGGCGAAGGGATACCAAGGAACCTCAGTTCTTTGATGAGTATAGTCATCTTGATGAAAACTGTCCATGAATGTCATTCCCCCAGTGTAAACCCTTGGAACATTCGGACAGTATTCAACTACCTGTCCCCGCTCCCCACCCCCTTCGACTACTAACAATTCCTGACCATTGTCATCATTTCCTGCTGGCACATTGAGGGCAAATTGGTCAATGTCGTCGTTTGTCTGGTAAATATCGAAGTTCGCAGGTTCACTATTGTAACTCCCGGCTGGATCAGGGTCGTCCGAAGAGTTTCTGTGGTGTTGTCCCATAGCAGTATGATAAGATATTCGCACAAGTTGCAAATGACGACATTTTTTACTGCATCGAGACGTAGGTTGACTCATATGTTGTTGTACATGAGTATTATTTTTGAAACATTTGCCACAGGACAGGCAAGGGATACCATTTACATTTACACCGATAGCCTGAGTTGAACGATGTGTGAGTTGTTGTGGATGATTCGTGGAGTGCATGGGGTAGATTCATTCAGATGATTTCAGCAAATCCCGATCAAGGTTTGAACTTTGTGCATAACAACTATGCCGCCTCAGTGTGCTCATTCCCTACCTTTCAACACTTCATCACCAAGACACAGTGCAAGCACCACACACCGCTCCATATCTCCATTGCAGTTATCCCACCCTTCTTTTGTGAGTAAATGAATGGTATTTACTAAGTCATTTAAATTTGACACTCATGATATTTTGTCCAAGGACCCTCCATTAATTGTTGCTGAGGCAAAGGAAAGACCCCCGCAAGATGCCAATGAGGCCAGATGTTTGCTAGCACTTGTACGCGCGGAACGCGAAATACAAAGAGCGGAAGCTCAGCTTGCAGACCATCTCATCACCAAGGACAATGCTTTGACTGAATATAATCATCTTAAAGCAGCGAAGGCGTGGAAGAGGCTAGGAGATGCTGAGCTGACAGTGGGACAGGCACGCTCGATACTATCAGAAAACGGGTTCTCTATCTCCCAACTTACTCTTGCTGCACGTCAATCAAACCCAACGTCAATTAATAGTTGCCAGCAGGCAGGTGCACACTGCATTCATCTTTTTCATTAGTAGTACTCATCTCACCTTTTCTATAGTCCATTTCATTGCGCAGTTAGACTAAACTCAGGCTTAATATTAGCAAAATTCACAGTTGTGTGCGAGTTGAACTTGAACATACATATGTCAAATAGCCTTTTTGTTGTGTTATTGCTGTATGATAATTAGTACTTGCCTTGTGATACCATCAAAAATCTAAATAGTAAATGTTCCGCACAAAGTTCTATGTTTGATGTGAACTTCGTTATACTACCAACTCAAATGATCAATATTAATAACATAATGTGGAGTCTGTCAGCGTCTGTGCTATCTGTCGCACCTGTGGTGCCTGGGGAATTGGGGGCCTGTAGGTCCTGGAGTCTCTGTCGTCCTGGGAGTGTCCTGGGACTCTGTTGCCAAAAACGGTAGTTTACTGATGGGGGCAATGTGATGAAAAGAGCAGTCCGACTGTTTCCGGGACTAGCGGACTTTCAACCTGCATTATAATGTATTCGCCAGTAATTCTGTTCCCTGTTTTCGACCTTGTGTAATCTACCACCGCAGTCTTGTAACCAGTAATCTATCTTGTTCCTTTCTATAGGATCATTATCAGAGCCCCAACAACAGACTTAGGGTGTTGTTGACACACCTGCAGCGCTGAGAAGCACTGTCATTCTTCCACCGGCAAGCACCATTGTGCAAGAGAGGGTCTTGACAGAGGCAGATTGGGACATGGAATAGATGTTATATGATACATATTTACTTAATACTGGTGAATGAACGCAAATTTCGCAAAACGCGCCATGGATTGAAAATTTTGCAGCGCCCGGATAGGCCCGGATTCCGCCGGGCCGGTTTTGCCGGCGGTGGATATCCACCATACTCACCGCGGTAGATAACTGACCCCCAATTTCTCCAGGGTGGATATCCACGGTGGATAACTCTCCAGAGGGTTATCCACGGTACACTAAGTTGCACCTCGTCACTGGACAAGCAACACTGTCCTTGAAGAATGTGATACTTTTTTCGTTAATTGTTATATTGATAGGCATAGTTTTGTGGCCCTTAGATAGCACTCTATAATCCTGCATAATTTTTTCTATGTTATGAAGACTAGGACATTTATGTACGTCTAGCTCTAAAATATGGCAGTTTATCTGCTTTGTTGAAATTTTCTCTAATTTATCCTAAGTTAGCACGGGAGGTTTTTCCTGATGATGACCAGTGATTCAGGCTTCCGTCCTCAGCACATACACTCCAGCACAACTAAATTGTGCTCGCGACCATGGTGATTGGACGAGCATTCCACCAAGCAAGAGACCAACGACTATGTAAAACATGAAGCTCGTCGTGCATATTCAGATGCTTAAAAACCGCGTAGAGACCGTACCAAATGTCTTCGAATTGAAAATACATGACTGCAAGATCAATTACAAATTCTGTGCCGCATCAATGTTACCTTTTCACTTCAGAATAGCGACATCGCCAGCCCCATAAGCTTCTGCATCTCCCCTGGCTTCATGTTTACTTTACTCGTCGACTTGTACTCTCCCATCGAGCGCATCGCAGTCGCCGAAGCTGATTGCATAGCTATGGGTAGCACGTCATTAGCGCAAGTGATGATATATCAGGTGGAAAAACTCACCTTGCGACTTTCCTTGGCTGCCTCTTGTCGAAAAGCTTGCCTGCCTGGGTCATCGTCAGGGCAATCTGCGTGATTGAGCATATCGACTACGAAGATGGTGAAGCTGATGAATGCTGCGCACCAGAAGGCAGATGGTCTCGCATGTGGAGCGTCCGCGTCGGGATGGAATCCACCCTGTGGTCTACCTCCTTCCTGCGGCCTGTCACCCGACTGGTTATTTGCAGCTGCGATCTTCCGCGCCTCGACAGCGGCAGCTGCGCCTGTAGCATCATTCGCCATCGGCTTGTCATCATGGCCGGAACTCCAATATATGACATTCAATTTAGCTCAACTCGATAGGGCATTCATGAGGAAGAACTCACCCATAAGCCTGAGCGTGAGCAGAGAAATTAGACTTGTAATTTTCTTCGTCGAGCCCGCCCGAGGGGTATGACTGGTAGCGAGGTGGGTTAGGGGAATCGCCATAAGCGACTGCGTTATCTGGGGTGTGCGAGTATGATTGTGCTGATTGACCTACTTCGCCATTAATTAAAGAGAAGCGATACTTGACAGTCTAATCATACCTGGCGAAGGCCCATTGTAATAATCACTCGCAGCACCTCGGCCCGATCCTCCTTGAGGAGGCGGCCCAGGAGGTGGAGCATAACCACCCGCTGGTGCATGACTGGATGGTGCCCCAGGAGCACCAGCAGGGGATACGTACACATTGCTTCCACGACGTGGCTCCAGCGATTGTGGGACAGTCAGCCTCTCCCATCCAAAGTCCTCAGCGGGGCCGGTGAAGCAGGCATTGAGCATGTAAACGCATACAGCGCCAAGCGCCAGCGTATCATCCAGAGAACGTGCCCTGACATCAGGCAACGAACGCGACACTCCGATGACCGGATCGATGTCACGAGTGATAGTGCTTTCGGGTCGAGGAGGAATGGGAGCGATGCCTTGCTGGGCATTCAGGCGGATCTGGCACCGGTCGACCTCCTCGTCTGCCTCCGGCCCAACCCTACCCGCCAACGCGAAACGAATAGAATCAACTTCCGCGAGCGATTCGCGTAAGAGTTGTGGTCGTTGCTATTAGTGTTGATCTCTTGGGTAAGCAACCTGTCAGCAGTGAGCAAGTCCCCACTTATGCATACATTGCGGGCTGTCGTGTTGATGGTGAAGATCTGCATCACGCATGGTCAGATTACGTGGATCACCTTTCTAACTTGGAGTATGAGCTCCCCAGCCAGGGAAGCCTCGTCATTGCGGTGGTACGTGAATTCCCTGGTGTGTCTGAAGCGACAATATCTACAGAATGGTCATTACAGGCGGGACATCTTCCAATGGACGTCCTCACCATAACGTAGCCATGTTCATGGTGTGCAGCGTCGTCTCCCGTGTAAAAAAACTCCAGCGTATGGCTTCATTTACGTCTCCAGGTAACGGCTGTGGTCGTTGTATGCAGAACGGGAAATTTAAGGCCAAGGTTGCTTAATGACGAGAGCTCCCTCGACATTGCTTCCTTCTAATTCCTGCGAACTTTGTCAATATCATAATTGAACGACATGCATTAATTTGAGTACCTTTCCACTAACAGGGTCCAGAATAGCAGGCTCAATACCGAAGAAGGGAACAGTTGCAGCACCAGGCCTAGTCTCAATCGCACCAGAGTCCGAGTGGGGTGACGACGATCGATCCAGTCTCAGTTTCCCTTGAAGACGATATTGAGCAAGGTCGTGGATACTTCGTGAATGCACTTACCAGAACATGTCAACGATAGCGCACTGCTTCTTGCCAACATGTTCGTTATACCTGTTCCAGGCTTCGGCCCACCGACGGAGCCAAGGACACGTAAACTGCCGGGATCATGGTTCTCCACGTGCTGAGCGCTTGTGGCACCATTGAATGATGATTGGCGATCATGAATGGTCGACATATATGTAATTTTTCGACGGAGACGAAGAGACGATCCGAATCTCGCTAAAGTGCCAGAGACACCAAGTAGTGCTTGGAGCCTCAGATCTGATGATGAGCACGACTTACCTTTGACCTTTGACAACATTGTAGTGTCTTGCATGACGAAGGCTTCGTTGCTTGATCATGAAGGTCACCTATGTACTAGTGGCAAATATAGTACCACATGTGCAGCTGATCGCAGATGTGCGCGCGCGCCGTGACTCTTCCGACAATTCAGCGGCTGAGAAGCGAGTTGAATTTTTGGGGGGTCGCATTGACGTGAATGACAGCACGCGCAGGGGCTTGACAAACCGAATTTTCCTGCCGTGAAAACATCGCGAAATGAATATTGTATACGTATATGTTTAGACACAGAATGGCAAGGAGCTTATATAATTACATAAAAAAATATTCTTCCACGCAATGCAGCCGTCTGGGAAGCCCACATTCGCAAATGAGTCCGCTGACTTCAAGAACGTTTTGTACACAACACCGAATGGAAGTGGCGATACTGAAAGCCCCCCAATTGCAATGCAAGTAAGTTAAGTTAGTTAGTTAGTTATGTGTAAACTGTCGGGATGACGGGGATCGATGAACGATGGTTGAATATTGAATATAATTGTCAGACTGTTAACGTTCAAACTAACTAACTAACCCATTGGAGTTGGTGAAATCGACATCGGGCGGGAGCTTTGTTTTGTGTAGCCAAGTTAAATTGGTAGAGTGCTTACTAAGCGAGTGACATAAGCTGTCAGGGTTCAGGCCTCAGGGTTTATGGGCGTGACTATAGGCGCTCGCTCGCTCAGTTTGAGGTTTCGTTCGTTCTATCACAAATTTCTGTCTAAGTTAAGTTACGATCTGTTCGTCAGCTTCAGCAGACACGAAGCGACTGGTAAGCGCTCTCACTTGTCGCTCGGAAAGGCTCTAATATGCTAACGTAACAATAGGGCCTACTATCAGATCAATAATACTTGGCGCGCTTAAACGATGCGACGAAGTACAAATTTGGCACCGGACCTACTAGCACTCGGCGACATGTATGTATTCATTCAGATCTCGCTTCAAGTACTGAATGCAAGCTTCCAAGACGACGGCGATGTACCAGGCCTTTTCTAACCTCAATTCAGTTTGCATTTAATCTCCGTGCACACGAGGGGGGGACTACATGATAAGCTAAGTACGTCAAACCCGGACGGTGTGCAGCCGCGACTAACTTAAAACCCAGAGCACAGAGCCACAATGAGAGTTGTCTTCATTGCGCCCCCTCCCCTTCTCTCGATCTCTACAGCTGTAGCTGCTGCACGTTCTTTGCCCCATTTATCAAACAATCACTGTCATTACAACGAGTCTCGGAATGGAATACCCAGACGAGCTCGATGACCCTGCTCAACTCACCATGGAAGACTTCGTTGGTCAGTCACAGGACATAGACATGTTCACTCGTGCGCATGACGGCCTTCAGTCGGAAGTTGATTCTATTCGTTTCGCGTTGGCAGGTAGGGTTGGGCCGGAGGCAGACGAGGAGGTCGACCGGTGCCAGATCCGCCTGAATGCCCAGCAAGGCATCGCTCCCATTCCTCCTCGACCCGAAAGCACTATCACTCGTGACATCGATCCGGTCATCGGAGTGTCGCGTTCGTTGCCTGATGTCAGGGCACGTTCTCTGGATGATACGCTGGCGCTTGGCGCTGTATGCGTTTACATGCTCAATGCCTGCTTCACCGGCCCCGCTGAGGACTTTGGATGGGAGAGGCTGACTGTCCCACAATCGCTGGAGCCACGTCGTGGAAGCAATGTGTACGTATCCCCTGCTGGTGCTCCTGGGGCACCATCCAGTCATGCACCAGCGGGTGGTTATGCTCCACCTCCTGGGCCGCCTCCTCAAGGAGGATCGGGCGAGGTGCTGCGAGTGATTATTACAATGGGCCTTCGCCAGGTATGATTAGACTGTCAAGTATCGCTTCTCTTTAATTAATGGCGAAGTAGGTCAATCAGCACAATCATACTCGCACACCCCCACTATCACTCGTGACATCGACTCGGTCATTGGAGTGTCGCGTTCGTTGCCTTATACAACAGCCTTATCAATTTGGCCTGTCCCCCCTTTCAGGGAGACACTAACCAAGGACAATCACGTCAAGAGTCGCGCATACAATGCCGAGGTAAGACATATTTGAACTCCAGTGGTGATAGTTACTATGGATACTGACCATATTAAATCAGGGTGCTCAGATTCAAGTCCCCATGCACAGAATTCCGAACGTCCCTTTGGGCAAAGTCGAACAAAGACACGTCGTCAGGAGTTTTTTTTCCCTAGACTCTACGCCGCAGCGTCTGAAGACCCTTCCTGGGTCGGATTATCTCAAGAAGACTTCGCTCTGATATACGACAAATGTCGTCGTCCATTAATGTTGGAACACCTACCTGACTCTAGAGACCGGTGGCCGACATCTTTTAATATCACGTTAACTCATTCTCGGACCCTTACCGGCTCTATCGCACTCAACTCTGTTGATGTGCCTTGGTATCGGACTTGGATGTTATCAGCGATGTTTTTTTTCGAGTGCACTGGCGACGGGCCGGTCGCCGGTCGCGATGGCTGCGCCCGCCTCGAGATTCGGGTTTCCGCTAGATAAAGCCTTGAACTGGCTTCCTACTCTCCCAGAGGACCTCGTCCAACGTTGGGTTATCGCGGTCGATAGAAGAGTGTGGTGGTAAGTGGGCATTTACATGTCATTTTGTCCCATCCCTGAGCCAATATGTCTTCCCAGGTATTTTGTATATTATCGTCTCTGCCATTCGTTTTGCGAGCGTTCATTACATACTCACATTTTAGTACTGACCTTCATTTAATGTCCTTTATCCGAATTACACTGTCACTACGTCGCTTTTGCTTTGCTTACAGCTGTTTGCAGAAAGGTTGACAGTAACGCCTTCACAAAACAGCATTCGCTGAGCAGTGGATCTACGGTCGTGGTTGTCTAGCATTCGGGAGTTGCCTCTTCTCTAAGCTTTGAAAACATCCATCCAATTACTTCACCGGTGACCGTGGTAGCTAGATGACAACTAGTTCTTGCTGGGAGGTTGATGCGGCAAACTCCGATCCAATGACACCCATGATCACTGAGAATCCATACGGCTCGGAGCTCTTAATTGCGAGTATATATATAAGCATTGACACTTATTATGGCGCCACTGATCTCCAGCATCATGCCAACCACCCTCACCTTTTCACCACGCCGAGGGCAGAGTTACCATGAACGCAGCCAAGCACGGAAACCTCATCCTTCTAACAAAACAACGCAGCAATACAAAGGGTCCACCCTTGGAGTCAACTGCCCTCCACTTGATGACAGAAGGCACTCGGTACCAGGCTTTTTAGCAAACCGCTCGGGCATTCAGTCTAATACTACTGCAACATCTGTATCTTCGTTAAATGACTCCACTCTTCGTGATTTATCATTGAAAGACCCATTGACATTGACACCTGCTGATAATTCATCAGACACTGTAAACAAAGATGGTCAGTTACTGTGTGAATTTGTGCATGTTCTTTGTTGACGGTCAGACTGGGTCATAGGTTTTCGTGAGGGAATTATCGCTCAAATCAGAGGCCAAGGATGTGACTCCCAGGTATGTCCCACGATCATCTCGCAGAGTGACTCTGAATTGTCGTGTCACAGAGCTTCTCTAACGTGTCAAGAGAAGATTATCGATATGTTATCCAGGCCATCGCCGATGATGATAAGCGGTACAAGTAAGTCGTATGTAGTCAAATTAATCCGATAATCAACATCACTAACAACTCGATTTCAGGCTCTCATATACCCCGTCATCTCAACGGCTCGTTTCCACCCTGCCTACCCAACTTCACGAGACTTTCCTGGCATCTTTACCTGATTCCATCCATACAGCGCTCAAATCCATAGGTATCGATCGCCAATCGGGAAAGTTCGTCATACAAAAAAACACCACCCTCAGAGGGAGGGGATCAGAAGGGTCCCAACAAGACTCCCTCGGCATACCCGATATGATTGCCGAATTCGTCGATGAAGAAAGCGGGTGTCTGCAGATGTGGGGGATCGAGGTGTCGTTATCCGAGACCCAGGAGGCCGCCATGACGAGTCTTAAAGACTACGTCACTGACGCCCCCAATCTGGTCGCTTTGACATGGTTCGACGTCAAAGAGACCGCGAAGCATGTACCGCCAACGGATAGCTCACAGACAGCCATCGCCTTACGGAGAGATGAGAAGGTGGTACCATACCACCAGTGGGCTCGCCAGATCGATGATTCCAACCACGCCGTGGACGTCTTCAATCACAAATGGGTATCCCCGCTCCGCATCACCGTCACCACTTGGTTACGTAGGCCTGATAGCACAAGAATCGATCTAACTGATCACTCTGCCATGTACTATGCAACCGCGGTGAGCTCGACCTTCCAATTCTATCCTGATCTAACGTGTATTACAGGTCATTTCGCCTGATCCAGATTCGGTCGCCCTAACACATATGCAGCGTGTGCTTAATCGCACATTGACTGCCATCAAAAACGTCACCATCGAACATATCGATACACTGAAGGCAGAAGTCGCTGCAGTGGCCGCCGCAAGGGCCGCCGCAGAGGAGGGCAATGAAGGGTATATACTATGGTAGTCTACTTTCACTCACTGATCGCTCGCTTTTTTCCCAGTAACACGGTTCAGCCCGTTGAGTTCCAGGACACTTTACTCGCTGCTCGCGCGTGGGTTCCTCCGGCGTCGCTCGCCGATTGGGAAGAGGTGATTGATGACATCCGAAGCGGGGCGAGGCAGACTGGGTACACTCGCTACTCCACCTGGCACGCAGGCCTACTCAAGAAGCGTAAGGCATCGGAGATGTCGAGATCGAAGTCTTCTACCTCTAAGAGGACTAGGCGGGGTTGACGGACTGCGGCGACGCGTCCTCACCAGACACGATGCGTTGTTTTGGTGTACATTGAAATCTCGTATGCACAATTCGTTGTTTGTTGTCTCTTCACTCGTTGTTGTTGTGTCTGCGTTGACAGGATATTCAAACTGTATTGCTATCATCCGATATAGTACTACATGTGTTACTGCGTCGCATACCCTTCTCATGTTGTCAATGTAACTGTACCTAGTAGAATCTGGATCGCGATCTCAATTTCGTCTCTAGTAACCAGTGGACTATTCCGATGTGTCATTCATAACAACAATCCAAACGTTCTGCTTACGATCTCCTTCGTTATGGACAGGTGCTTCCTGATATCTTGAGGGTATCCAATTTATGGAGGACGTGAAAAAGAATGGTTCAATATTGTATCTAAGTACGAGGAGCCTCAGCAAGTAGACAAGCAAGAACACCACCACATACATTGTGCCCAGCATGTGCAAGACCGGCGAGGTTAAGTCATCCACAAATATGGATCGTACTCTGATATTTTCTGGTCGCTGCAAATCATCTTACGCCACAACTGATATACGAGAAACGAGAGACTCAACTCCTTCTGTAATATATCCCAAAACCTATCCTCATGTTTAATTCCCACTACCACGGTATCACCATTTCCTCCGAGATCTGGATATCCAAAACTCCCGTCATCACGCACATCCATCCACTAGACTTATTCCCCAAACACTTTTCGAGCATCTTACTACGTCTGGAGTCCAGTTCCCGAACTGGTTCTGAGGGTACCCCCGCCAGGATGGATCGATGACAGTCATAGTCTAGTAGAGCTCGTATAATCTACGTCCAAGTCCACCTATGGCCATGGTCCTGATGGTGCCGATCTCGATATCTGGGGAGAGCATCAGTCAGCAAAAGTAAGGAAAATAAGTTACGGCGGCGCAGGCACCGCAGGTGGCAAAGCTGTATTACTATCCTTGAGGTTTTGAAGAGCAATGTCCTCTGAGTCGTCATGGCGCACTCTAAAGGCGGTGACCAATGCTTTGACTGCCATGATGTCTTGACGGTTGGAATCAGTTCATGCAGGAATTGTCGTGGGAACATTAACAAAGTTGAACACGCTCGCAAGCTCGCGATCCGTTGTGGAGCGACCATCTTTCCAAATGATCACATTCTCGAAGCCCGTTCTGCCTCTGACCCGTTTAATTCCAGAATATCCCACGCTTCAAGGACCTGGCATTTGTCAGTGCACGGTTCGTTCCGTGGCGGAGTGCTCACTGTTTCATGATACCATTGACCCATGGTAGGTATGTCCGCCTCATCGCAGTCCATGATCTCGTGCTTCTTCCCTGCGCGTGTTTCACAACCAGAACGTTACCTGCAATGTCATCGGTGTTCGAAGTAATGCCTGCAATCCTCGGCGGGATTAGTCAGGCGGACCAACGATCTCAGGGAAAAACAGGGAAATAGCCGAGAACTATACAGCCGAAGAGAATTAAGTTAAGGTTGCAAGACCGGGTACAGAGGTATGGAACTGACAAAGACCCCACTAACGTGGGAGTCGGGGACGGTCCTAGAGTTACATCACGAGACTGCACAAGAGGTTTGATCAGAAACGTCGAATCTAAACCTAGGCCAGCCCAGACTTACATAGTCTCTCCAGAAAGACAGTCATTCCTTCTATAGAAGACGAGATCGACCCGGTAGAAGTAGAAATACCGAAAACTATGGACTATGACCATGACTGTAGATATTTTGTGATAAGAGATCCGACCGGACAGATCCACATGCAATCTCCTTCTCTCCAATCACTGTGGATTGGTTGAGAGGGACATGTAGTCAGCCTGCTAAGCCCTGCTTGCACAGCTCCTCCACGCTTGAGACATATTCTGCCTTCCTTCGTGAGAAGTATATGATGCACATTGGAAAGGCGTGTGCAAGGTGAGCGAATCTCAGGCCGATGCCACCTCAGCCTAAGATACCAAGCGTGCGCCCAGTAACGTCATGAGTATGCGCCGCATTCCAGAGTGTCTTCCATGTACCAGTGCGAAGGGAGCGTTCTGTCATCGAGAAGTGATAGCATAAGGTATAAAGCGGCACTGGCAGTAGCATCCTCGTTCGCTCCTGGAGTATTCGACACCAATATTCCTGGGGCAAACACACATTAACAACAGTTGATTCTGAGTCAGAGTCAACTGTTGAATTTCTGACTGAGAGCAGACATTACCTCGTTCTGTACAGGCTTGCTTGTCGATTTCATCGTAACCACCGCCACTCTGAGTAATCCAGCGGACCATACTCGTATCCGCTAGAACGTGGATTAATGGTGCGTCGAATTTTCTCGTGACTTCACAAAATGCGTTGCGCCTGTACGAGGCGTAGTCCCTTCATACGGCCCATCGGACCTGAATGATAGGAAATGAGAACGAGACTCTCATACCAGGTGCTGAAGATGAAAAGGGACGATGACGCATAAAGGGAGAGGTGCATTGAAAGGGAAGCCTGCTTACTACAACTTCGGCGATCCCATGAAACGTCTCCTTAAGTTCGTCCTGGACATACTCAATTTCACCTGAAACACATCAGAGTCCAAATCGTCATTGGATAAACCTAGAAACCGACCACACAATAACACGCGAGGAAGCATTTCAGTGTATGCTATTTATCGCAAGCCTTGTGGCGGAGGACAAAATTCAGGAAGGTGTTACCTTTCGTCAATCTAACACGTGTTGAGGACATGGGACTAAAATAATTAATCGACATACCACGAGGTTGCTCACATTCCACTCGCACTGTAAAAGCTTGAAGGCAAATAAATTTGGGCACAATAAACAGACACGTCAGACTATCGCCTTTAACGCCATTTCCGTCAACAACGTTTCAACCTCGTCTGGTACAAGCAGAAGGCCGCCCGTTACTGACACACCTACTAAAATATACCCTCCATCATCTGTTGAAGCAACGTCAGACACATGCATCGAAGGTACGCAAACACCAGCATGAAACTCGCCAGAGCAGCAATTTTCGACACACCTCTGATTTTCTTGCATTTCTCTTGAACATTGTATCCGTGGCTAGTGTTAAGCGTTCCAGAATCGTAGCGGAGCTTCAAGGACCTAAGAAACAAAAGATGACGGGGTGCTCAGATGTCATCATCCGTAAGCGGTTGAGATAAGCCTAAGAACGAACCTGAGGCAAACTTCTTCCTTGAAGTCCTGGTATATCTTACGGTTACTCTTGCGCTGATACAAGTCCGAATATCAAGAGTTGTTGACTACGAGAGAAGAATAGATACATCAAGTGTTCGCGCTTCCTCCTCGTATGCGTGACTCTGGTGCACGAGGAAGTGATCCGCAAGGACATAAAACGACATGCTGGAGAGGTACATCTCGTAGAGACAAGCGGCCTTGTTCCCTTCATATGCAACAAAGCGTTCATCGCAGCTGGAAAGATTGCATTAGACAGAGCAAGACAGATTTTTGACTCGGATTTGGTTGGTACCATGGTGGCCCTTCCTTTCTGGAGATCGCGTCAGGCTCGTATGCGGGGTGGTACTGCGTGACCATGTAAACTTCACCAGGGGCGGCGGAATAGAATCGCGGATAATCGGTGCCGTTATAGCCAGGACTGAGGAGCCCAAGTGCGATGGAACATATCGATCTTCTTCGCCTTGACCAGTGAAAGAAATAGTACCATTCAGTGACTTCCTAGAATATATCGCTCGTCATCTGGGCTTGCTTACCGTGAGGAAAATATTTCTGCTCCAGGCCATCCTGCTGTTTGACATATTCAAACACAGGCACCATGAAAGCAGCATGTTCCTCCTTAAGAATTCGGCCAATCTTAGCATCTAGACTAGCCCCGACGGCAGAACGGAAATTGGTGCAAAATGGCGAAGTCAACGTCAAGTATCATGACAAATTCGGTACGGGAAAAGGGACGCGCAGCGTTCCGACAAGTATCTATAAATCTATAAAGTAAGGGAGAACGGGTTTCGGGGAGCGACGGGTGCTCGCGTGGCTTTCACTAAGGAGCGCTTAGCTCGGTTAATTTCTTTTAGGAAATCTCGCGTGGTTTTGTCACGTGTTTCCGAGCGCCGACTGAATACCATTGCCCGTTCGAGTGCAGCACATGTCAATAAATAATTAATGAAAATTTGAATGAGAGAACAGGGGAATGGGGGTAACAGGCCAAAGGTGTGAGCGGAAGGGGCGCGAAGCGCTCCTTTTGCTTCCTGTGCTGAAGGCACAACGGGTGTTGGACTAGTTCAATTGACGGTCGAAGGGTGTGAGAATGAGGCACTGCAGAAAAACGCAGATTACATCTGTATAAGGGACTGTACTGGACAAATTGTTTTTTCGCTTTGTGAAACTTATCTTGAGCTTAGACTACGATATTTTGATTTTCACCTTGATGTTGAGAAGCTTGACTTTGACATTTTGATTTTGACTCACTGCATTTTGGGTTGATGTGGATGCCACGTGGGTAGATCCCTATAGATAGACTATCCCGATGTACACGGTGGCCACGTGTATCATTAGAAATCAGCGCGCTGCACAACTCAGACATTTCTCTGTTCCGGCGTAGCTTTAGACACACACGTCCATGTCTGCTCACCTTCAGTGAACAACCTGGGCAACTCTTTGGAAATTTTGCGTAGCTATTGCCCTTGTCCAGCAAAGGCAAGAACATGTACTCATAGGTAGACCTGCATCAATATACTATTGTTGGCCGCCTCGTTGCCCCAAAAAATCCTAAGTCCATTGTGCCATGTTATTAAGGGTTTGTTCTCCCATCAACAAGGCACTTTTGCAACATCCAGCAAACATCCAGCGCTGAGATCTCATGCATCATGCTGAAAGGTTCGAAACCAAGCAAAGGTGTGCAGAAGGCAAAGAAAGTGAGTTTTCATTTGCATGCATAGTCATAATCATGTCTAATTAAGTCTCTGCATGATAGGACACTCAGAAGCGTCAAATATATTGTGTCTGTGCACCCTGTATAAAAGAATGCGGGAAACAGGGCAAGAAGCTACCTGCGTGGTTAGAGAGAACACACCGCAAGACAGGCATCAAGAGAGTGCAGTGTGATGATGATGACAATGACAACGACAATGAGTTGGTTTCGTTTGAGGAGATAGCAGCTGCTTGCAGGAAAGCAAAGGATCCGGGAAATGCAGCTTGCTCGATGGCTGTTATGAAACTTCCTGCAGGTATGTGCTATCAGTTTTTGTGTGTGTGGAGAGATTGACTCGCCCTTTAAGCCAAAGATCTGTCCTATCATAGCCCACATCACTCCATGCAACCCCTTGAGCATTCCTCTGATGCAGACAACGACTCTGTCCTACTCGAACAATCTCTCGCTGATTGTCCTATGGACAAGGAATTCCCGGCACACTCAGACACCGACATCATTGATTTCATGAATGATTCTGCGGAAGAACAGAGGGCCGATGCTGACCATGACAACGAGATATCCCGTTCACTACCTCCTCAGAGACCTGGTCGGAGCCTGAACCAATTACTTGACCAAAATTTGGCCACTCTCCTCTGACATGCCAGCTTTGAAGATCCTCTAACTGGCACAGAATCATCTGACAAGCAACCTGAAGTCCCTCCATCTTCTGTCCAGGTACCTGACGTGCAGCCAGCATCGCCAGTGCCAGTGAATGAGCTGCTGGAGCCTCCACTTCCCCCTGATGTCATCCTCGACAGTGCTTCACAGCACTGGTTTTGGAAAATCATACTTATTTTGGTGGCGTGGCTTAATCTACACTATCATTTACCTCACCGTGCAGCTAACCTTCTTCTGAAGGTCACAGCATCTATTTTCTATGGACTTGGTGTTTTCACTCTCGAAGAGAAGCCAGCTCAGACGCTGAATACTGCTTTTGCTCATTTGGCATTGGCAGACTGTTTTGAGGTCCACCCGATGTGTCCTACTTGCATGAGGGTTTTTCCCCATAATTCTCCCTCGGACGCTGTATGCACACACTGCAGCACACCGCTTTTTCACGAGACTCGTCCATAAGACATTCCCACTAAGTCTTCATCAGCAACTAAACCATCTCGCTCGACTATGAAGCCCAAGCTTCGCTGCCCTCAAAATCCACTTTCAAATGGCATTCTTCGGCTTCTATCTCAAGACAGCATAGAACTGCAACTCAATGCTTGGCGATCTCAACCGACTACTCCCGGGAAGTGTTCATCTATTCAAGATGGCGAGATCTGGAAGACGTTACGAGGGACAGACGGAAACCTATTCTTCGATAACACGGCTGAACGTCAGGATGCTGATGAGCTACGGATTGGGATAACACTTGGCTTTGATGGGTGAGACTCACGGAAATTCAGGTATCTATTTGACAGCTCATGAAGACATCGATTTAGGTTCAACTATCAGCACAGCAGTAATGCAGGGTCACGCAGCTCTGGTGTAATGTCGAGTTGTGTTGCGAACCTACCCACTCATCTGCGGTATGTTTCCATGTCCTCTAGACTCTCTTGTCTCTTAAACTCTCTGTTGGGCAGCTATCCACCATGTAACTTGATTTTATATGGCATTTCCCCAGGTCCCAAGGAGCTTGATTCCGATCAGCTCCAATTTTTCATGAAGGATTATGTTGATGATCTATTGTGGCTTTATGACGAGGGAATAATCATCAAGACTTCAAAATATCCAGAAGGTCAGTTGTGGTTTTATGTATGTCCCTGGCATAATGTTAATGACCTACTTTTCAGGGCGATGTGTACGTGTCATTCTCGTTGCAGTATGCTGTGACAATCCAGCGATGTGCAAGGTCTGTGGATTTGGTAATCATAGTAAAAAAGAAGGATTCTGCTCGCGTTGACACATTCCACAGTCGAAGCTGAAAACAGAAGATGCAATGGAGTATGATAGTAAGTCGTTTCATGCTTGTCATCATTGACATGTCAGTTTAACACTACCTTGTAGAATTTCCATGTCAAGATGGACAGCAGCATTGAAAGCATGCCGAAGAATATAATGGCCTTGGACCCAATAAGCAAGATGACTTTTTTTACAAAGCATAGCGCACGGTGGTTTGAGCTTGCTCGCCTGCCATACTTTGATCCTGTTCAAATGACTGTTATTGATCCTATGCATTGTTTTTGACTTGGTGAGTTGATTGCAACCTTTCACGAGGCTTACTTATATAACCAGGTATCATCAAAACTCAATGGTTCAATGCATGGGTTCAAACAAATGTGCTGCGTCAGAGACGGCCAAGGTTGAACGTGAACTCGACGAAATTCATCGACTCTTATCTACGGTATGTGCATGCTTCCTTGGACTTATATGAGAGCTAACATATATTGCCAGTTTGAGATACCATCTTGGGTCACACGACTACCAGATCAAGTTGGGTATCCAGCAGGAGGGTCTCTCACATCTGATGAGTGGAAAGGCTTGGCACTCGTCTTTTGTCCTATCACCGTAAGTTGTTGTTGTGTCTGTCCCTTCTTACATACTAACACATTATCAAAGATCCCGTTGGTCTGGGAAAAATGGTATCCAATTAATATGAAGCAAAATCAGAAGGAGATAGAGAGCTGGGAGAAGCAGGAGCAGGCGCGCATACAAAGAGTTGCATCAGGCAAACAAGCGCAGAACAGAAAGGATAATGAACCTCCCACTCATCCGAAGGATATGGCGATGCATGCTGATGATGCTGACAATTTCTTGAATCTTGCAGCAGCATTGAAGATCATTCTAGGACGGAGCATCAGTGACACTGATATCCCCCAAGCAAAGGAGCTTCTTAATAAGTATCTTCTCAGGTTCTTAGAGGTAAGTCGTGGCAGTTCTCTTGCTCAATACCAGATGAGTATTCTAATCTCATACAAACTTTAGATTCATCCGAAGCATGTCAAACCTTCTCACCACTGGGTGACACACATCTTTGAACAGCTAGAGGATTATGGTCCCGTTTAGGGCTTCTGGACGTTTCTTTTTGAGCACCTTAACAAAGTTCTCAAGAGTTATTCAACAAATAATCATGGTGATGGCGAGATTGAAATTTCATTTTTTCATGCATTTACTCGCGACACGGAACTTCGAACTATGGTAATATCATTTTTGTTTTTGTTTATGAATACTCTACACTCAACTGTGATGTCCAACAGATGATGAATTTACTTGCTCGAAGTGCTGGATCCAATGAGCCTCCATCAGCCGAAGATTCATTTCTCTTTGATGCTGTCAAAGCCATTCTAACTACTGATAGTGATACTCGTGGAACTGTAGCTTCACTTGCAAGTGAAATTGATGATGTTGCCCAGCAAGGTCCGTGTTCCCTAACCCTTCAAGCTACCCTGACGTAGTTCTTTGACCCAGCTGGCACTCGGTTTTCATTGAGTCCTGCATCGTCGTTGTCACTGGACCTTGAACAGCAAAAACACCTCCTTCGCTACTACCAGATGACTCATCCACATGCGAACATTGTCAGCGTCATGTCATATTCACTGTCCACTCCAAATTTTCTTCAGTCACATGCACAATTCCATGACTACGTGATCCTCGATGGACGTCACATCACGTCCTCCCATTCCCGGACACATGCACCAAACTCGATTGTTCAAGTCAACATCAATCAGAAGTGTTACGTTGGCCAGGTTCACACCATCATTTCCCACTGGCAACTTGGTGTTGAGCTGGATCTTTGTCTGCTTGAAGTCCATTGGTTCGAAGAGGCTCAAGACCTTGAATGTCGACACTGGATTCGATAGTAACATCTGTTTTTTGTTATGTTTTGCCTCCGCACTGATTAACATCAGTCCTGAATTAGAGATTTACTTCTGGAAATTGGACCACTTCTTGGACAGCATGAAGGACGGGCCCTCACACTTTATCCCTGTCAAATCAATCTTGTCGCAAGCATGTCGTTTGAAGGCCATGTGTCATGTTGAGGATCTGCAGATGAGAGATCACATAGTGAAACCATTTTGGGCAACAATTTGGTTGAGCTGAGTATGTCTGCAAACAACATCGACTGGGAACTTAATTGATACAGGATGATTTAGGATGTACAGGTGGTGTAGGATCGATAATTCAGCATCAAGAAGAATACAAAGGTGAGCCTGTGAATATCTAGAGTCGTGCATCCTCAGCAGTTTCATCTTCCCCATCAGTGCCATCACCGTTCACATCCATCGTGTCTGTGGTTTTTGCTCCTGAGTCATCAGCTGTCTCATTCGGCTCATCTACTAGGCCAAACCCAATGGGATCTTTCTTGAGTACGACTACTTTCATGCCAGGGTTGTCGTCAACATAGGCCTTGTACCAGTCCATGTTGAGCATGAAAGGGAAGATGGGCTGCTGAGGGGGTGCTGTATTCTTGTTGTTGAGGTTGATGCATCTGGTACAAGTCGCTTTGTTTCCTGCTTTCTTCCGCTGCTCGGCCCGTATCTGATCGAGTTTGTCCATGACAGAGTTAAACTATAAATTGTTCGGTTAGCTCAAGTTCAACTGGCAGCACTCATTTGTTCGGATGAACCTCTTGTGATCAGTAGGCAGGCCATATAACCTCCTAAATTGCAACACCATCTTTCGCATCAGCAGTGTTTAACTGTGCTGCCTTTTTGAGCTCTGTGCAATGCATGCTCTTCTTTACATCATCGTCCGTGTCCAACTGCGAGACTTCCTCTGACATGAAGTCGGTCTCCATGAGCAGGGAAGGATCCTGTCCATCATTGCACTTCTTGAACAGTTTGATGGCCTTCAAACGACCCTCATTCATCTACCGTGGGTGAGTGTGATGTATTATCGTCATGGTACTGGAGCTAACAGACCTTTCATTGACGCTCACAGTGCTTCGTTCGCAGCTTTGTCACCTGGCATGTCTTACCCTTTTCTACATGTGTGCGTTCATCATACTTGCATTTGTAGTTCCTGAACTTATCCTTTGTGAACATGAGAATATTGGCCTTGTTGAAGTTGATGTCCTTGTGCATCAAGTTGAAAGATTCTTTGTTCTGATGGTATAAAGTAAGTTGTTGTGGATCCTCTTAATCACCACGTCACTCACAGCCTGTTGCTCCATCCATACAATTTCTGCAGCTATCTCGCATATATTGCTATTCTGTGGGGCACTGACATCTGCTCGGAAATCAAACATCAGCAGTCTGTCATCTCGGGTCTCATCCTTGTCGTCAGAAGAATCTTTGTCATCCGAGTCCTTTGGCTTCCCGATATCGGAGGCAATGATACCAGTGAGGTTGTAAATCGCAACACGGATACGGTCCTGAGCATGGTCATTGTTAGTGCATATAATCAGCATCAGTATGTACCTGGAGTTCAGCACAAATTGTTTTTGTGCGGGCGTCAACTGATCAGTCCATGTGTTCAAGATAAATTTGCCGTCCTTCCTTGGTTTCTTGCATCGGCGCACGTCTCCTTCATCATCGGCATTGTTGTCTTCATCATGTTGTGGGCGCTTGAGCGACTTCTCAATGGTCTCAAGCCGTTGAAGGACGTGGTTGAGCGCATTCAGTGGTAGTTCAGCTCGGGGTTGTGGGTCGATAACAGGAGCCGGAGGTGGGAGAGCTGCTAGTAAAGGCTGTGGGGCATGTTGAGGTATGTGGTGCATTGGAATTCCACCCTGCATCGAGCTAAGAATAGCCATCGCATTTGGTCCCAAGGCTGCCAAGAGCGATTGAAGGGCTTGCATATCCGGTAGTCCAGGAATCGGCACCGTTCCTAGAGGGACAGGGACTTGTGGAGGTTGAGGCTGCTGGTTACTGTGTCGTGCCATGGTGGTAGGGGGACAGAAAGAAGGGCTAGTAACAGCGCTAGCAGTTGCTCAGATTTCGCCATGCATGGGTTAATATATATATATGCGCTATGATTTGCCATGATCGAAGCACCATGTATCTGACGTGTGACGCCATCAGTACAGCTTTGACAGAACAACAGCCCAGACACCTGGCATTTAGACCTATTCCGACCCTCTGCTCACCCTGTACACTTCAGATTCACTGTATTGCTCAGAGACACGCGCAGTTTGTGTGGATCGGGTGGGCTACCTATTGGAAGTGAAACTTTTCGTAGATTGCCACAGTAAATCTACTTCTGGTGAGCGTGGACTATGTACAGCTCAGCCACCAGTGCTTGCCGCAGCCATACAAGGCCTGAGTACCTGGACTCAAAACGCAGTGACTTTGAGCTTGACCTTCGGCAAGTGCCGGCAGAAAGCGCCAGCACACTAACTAGTGTGATGACATCAATGTTCGTCATCCCAGCCATCACCCTCACCATTGTAATTAACCATCTCAACCTCACTTGTCAAAATCAATAGCATTTCCCTCGATCACTTCAACTTCATTAATATTCTGATTCCTCTGAACTTCTTCAGTCCTTTTCAACTCTTCGAGAGCTGTAAATTCAGCGGCAATATTATCAGGTGAGATACTCTCTGGACCAGCAAGAAAGTCATCTGCATTGCAAGGCTCTGTCAAGAGCGGAGGTGCCCATGCAAAGGATGCTTCAAGATTCTGTGCAGTCTTGACAGCAATGCTAACCTCTTCATGAGTATGCATGTCAACGGCGGGTGGACTTCACAGCCTCTGCAGCTTTTATGACGATGTGGTGTCAAAGGTTTGCACAAATTTTTCCGAGTATTTCAAATGGGTCAACTGAGAGATTACATTGTCATGCAGATTGTGTTGTGCCAAGATCAAAGAATGTGCGCTCTACTTCCCCTGCATGCCCTACAATTGAGAGGATGGTCTTAGAGAAGGCTTTGAGTGGGTGGATTTTGGAATTGATTGGAAGGTTTTTCCACCAAGAAAGGCTGTCCGCTTGGCCGCCAGGGAATGGAGTTAGTGACTGATTGTAGGCCTGCAGGTTATCTGAGAGTTTGCTCGCCATCATTAATGCAATGTTTGCATTTCCAGTAGTAACGATGCAAGCTGTTGTCAACTCGTTCCAGGCGCTTGAAATTGTTGTTGATCAGTGATGCAAGGGGGTGCCCTCCAGCATGGACATTGTTTTGCACGTTCTCTTGAATTCAAACTATGTTATCAGAGATCTAAATTACATCTCCATGAGCCACCCCCCTTTTGCGTGAGTTCTGCCAAGGACCAGGTATAACCAGTTTTGCTGAACCAGTTGGCAAAACTCAGTAGTTTTGCCAACAACACTATCCATAACTACAACAACACCACTGTCACCACCCATTTTCCCCGCATCCACCCAACGCCAAACCTCGACCTGAACAACGCATGGATAAGTACTGGCATGATGGAGATGGATGACCTTGTCCGTCCATGCGCCGAGCCATTGCATCCCTGATCCGACACGGCTCTTGGAGGCGACTCTGAGAATTCAAGCTTTGAGCATGATGGTTTTGTTCATTTTATTCTATGTATACACTACTGACATTTTTTCATGTTTGCTTGTTCCCAAACCAAGTTCTTCCCTTCCTTCGATGAGTGCGCATCACTTGATTAACCCCCCACAGCTTCGTGGTTTGATCTACATGCGCTACTCACTCGCCTGTCCTCACTTCACGATGTCTTATTTTAAAATTGTTTCTCATTTCTAATTAGTAGTCTCGAACGGCGAAGTCGAATTTGGTGCGTAGCCCCCCTCTATTCTCATACACATCCATCTTAACCCATCACAGACAACATATTCTTTTACGACCATCAAACTTCTGCACTGCACAGTATGTTTCCCATGGCGGAGGCATCACCCTCATTGGCGAAAGCGGAGCAGGCAAAATCACATTCCTGTACCTCCTGTACCGCTTCTATGACCTCCAACCTGGCTCAGGGTGTGTCCTAATCAACAGTCAAGACATCCATATGGTAATGCCCTCAAGCCTGCATTGCGCAATAGGTGTCGTACCCCAAGGCCCTGTGCTCTTCAACGCCAACATTGGGTATAACATCACTCATGGCCAGCCTTCTATCACACCCCCTGATGAAAGCACCATCATCTCAAGTGGCCAAGCTGCATGCCTGCAGGTGAATCCCAGGTGGGTATGAGTATGGGTGCGGGTGTGGGTGTGGCCTCTGGTGGTACCCAGGTATTTACCCGTGCGAATCCCTATCCCAGTCCTGCCTGCTCCGGCATGAAACATGACGGATGGCCAGATAAGAACTTGTAGCAATAGTTTGTTAACTTGGTCTTAGACTGCCTAATATGATAATCTTGATTCACTAAAAAGTTTATTGTGCTTCCATGACAGACAGAGGCTCATAAGGCTTGGGCACCTTAAAACCATACAATGTCAGCGGTGCATTCCCGTCGTGACATCTTCTTCACAGTCATGAATAACCAGCCTAATCAGCAGCTTGTACCTCCTCCATTACAGACAATACGAGCTGCATATGCTGAGCTTGGTCGCCGTGTTACGATAGCCCTCCGCACACAGATTGGGGACCACACACGGTTAGGTGAAGAGCAGAGGCATTGCTTACGGTTATCAGCACTGGTGACACAGGCAAGTAGTGTTGTTCTGAGGTACATTCTCTCATTTGCTCAATTAGAGTAATGTAGCATGCGGACATTTTTGTGCCAGCTGAACGTATCACCATTGAAAACAGTCTGCAAAGTATGATAGATCATCTGGATGATGCAGCTCGTCAGTCAGTGGACCCACCAGACGCTCCACCAATACAGGCATCTTATGTGGTGCAAACTGGGCGACCAGGACACCCCCATATTGAAATCGAGCCATCTATTTTAGCACCTGCTATTGAACTTCGCGGTCCGACACACCTTGCAGCGGTATTTCAAGTATCAGCACGAACTGTGCATCACCGTGCCTTGGAGTATGGCTTAGTAGAGCCGGGAGCCCCAGTGTATGTTGATTATGAAGCTGAAGATGGGACTGTCGCGCGATTCTACACATCATCAACTGCTCCGACTTCTGACCTCTTGGATGATGAGTTCTGGACCACTTTCCTTACTTTGGTCATTGGATGATCCAAGGACATTTCCAATATCTTGGCCACCAAGTGACACACAGTTGTGTGCTAGAGTCATATGCTCGTGTATATGGTGCTCCTCTTAACATTTTTGGCTCACGGAGGATACAACACCATGTTTATTCTGTTCCTGGTCCCAATTCTCTGTGGCATCATGACAGGCAACATGGTGCGTCATGTAACTATTTGTGATTCTACATGCTGCAACTTGTTGTTTACCACAGGATTGATATGATGGCGGTTTGTCATGCACACCTTCATAGATGGATTTTCGCAGTTTGTGACAGGCATTCGTGTCAGTGGCAACAGCAGAGCTCAGACACTTCTCGATTTGTTCATCAATGCAATTGCAGAGCATGGCACCCCCAGTCATGTGCGTGGAGACCACAGAACAGAGAATCTCCGAGTAGCCGAATGGATGGAAAATCACAGAGTGTCACAACCCTTATAACGAATTAACGTAGGGGCAGAGACTAGGACTCAAACAAGGTTTATCACGACAAAAGAGAAGAGGATAGCAGGGACGTCTTAGGATTGCTAGCAGTAAGCTAATACAAAAGAGGTTTGAACTGAAGAATTACTGACTACAAGGAGCTACCTATATACATATATTGAAGCGGAGACTGAATCTGAATCTGAACTAACTAGCCAATCATTAAATAGAAAAGGGAATTGTACGATGTTCTAAATATAACTACACTATGATGTCATGGAACGTGTGATGGCTGTGCAAGGGTTCTCGAAGGTTCTGGAGTCACGTGATTTGATTGCTTGCGTAAGGAAGTCGAAGTCAGGGATATCGGATATAGAAGTAGTGGGCGCTAACGGAATAGAGAAGTTCGGGTTAGGGTTTGTGAATGTTATAGGTACAGACGCTGACTGGGCGCTTGTGATGGGCGCTTAACGGGTGTTTTACGAGTATTTAGGAAAGAATAATGGTTTGTATTTGGAATTCGTGACACAGAGGTACAGAGTGAGGGTCTTATATATGGGGCCGGTAAGTCAGTACCACCCATGAACCCTGCATTAATGTTTAGGTATGTGTATTGCAGAAGCGTTCACAACATCCGTATCGAGCACCGATGGTGTGATGTAACAAGATGATTTGGAGCAAAATGGAAGGATTTTTTCCTAGGGCTCAATATGCATGATGGTTTGGATACTAACTTGGATGCCCATGTGTGGCTCCTGCACCACATATTTCTTGAATGAATTAACCTGGATGCCACTGATTCATCAGTGAATTCATGGGTCCTCGATATCGTAGCCGTGGGAACTATAGAAGGATATCATTCTGCTCCTGCTAGATATCGCTATGTATACTGTGAGCAATTTGCGTTGTTGGTACATGGCCATGGATGTTCTACAAATTTAAATTGCCACTAGGAGTTCCTGACAAGGTCGCGACGTTGCGCCATCAGGACCAGCCAGGTATGATAACATAATTAGGTCCTACCTGTTGAGCAATCCTATATACCTTATTGATGTTTTGAACTACAAGATAATTCAAGACTTTTTCGTGGCAAGTGCCATTAGCACTCGTCATCCAATCTAGATCTGCATGAGCGTTTGCAACTTGGTTGTGACTCTCCACCATTGTAGCCAGCATGGGACATTAGAATACTTGTGTGAACCTTGTTGAGCATTCTCGTTTTGCATTATTTATATCTTGAAATACAATGCATTTTAAGACTTTCTGACCAAAAGTTGGTTTGACACTGATTATCAGATCGGATTAAAATGGGCACTTATGACAATACTGTGCTACTGGACCATTGCAGCCCGCTGTGACAATCATATTGGTGCTAGGCATGTATACCTGCATAAGCCTTCAATAGGTGGACCAAAGTTATCCCTCATATTATTCACTACTCCCCTATCAGCAGTCTTCACTTGCCTCAGCCATAACCCTTGTCCGACACTATTCCGCACTTTCCTGCACTATGCGCACACATTCCTGCAGTGCTATTCACACTCCTGCGACTTATCTGACGCTATCCCCGCGCTCATAGCGCTATCAGAACTACCAGCAATGTGTCTATAGGAGCATTAGTGCATGTCTGCTCTATCTAGCGCTTGTCCAGCGTGCTGTTCTCGCACCCTAGGATCCACCCAAAACATTGGAATCCATCCATTGTCCATCCTACCTCATTGGTATGTAATTTGCCTTGCCTCGAGTTTGTAACAAGTGCTACAGTCTTATTACATGTATATCCTATCCCTTCTGAGTCCAAGATGGTATAGCTTACTAGTATAACAAGCCTATGGTGACTACTTCAACATTACTTCCCTTCGACTGTATTTCCTTCTCCTTAGGTTTTACTTAGAAGTAGTCACCTTTAGTTGCGCTCTATAGCCCCTATTGGTTTACCTTGACTTTCCTCACCCTTGCAATCAATACCCTTGACCTCACTCGCTATCCAGCACCTTCCTTTGACTCAGTGTCTGCTTTCTTGACTTCTGCTTTTCCTGCACACTAGCACTCCACTACCAACGCACTAGCACTCCACTACCAATGCATTAGCGACCCGATAGCGACCATCTACCGACCCGCACTTCTGCTTTTCTTGCGCCATAGCGCTCTATAGTTGTGACATACTTTCCCACACACTAGCGCTGTATCTTGCGACGCGCCTTCCCGCGCTATAGCGCTCTTTTGGGTCTTTCAATCTTGAGTTGTCCTTAGTAGCTTTTCCCTTGGGTCGAACGTTCTTGCTTTATTGTTTGCAAGTATAGCAGCATAGGCAGAGCTTAGACATATACTGGCTTAGCACCTTTACAAGTGCCTAGTCAGGTTGTGTTTTTCACACCGCAAGGGATGGAAGGGTACTTGTCTCAACCTTGTTGAGTGGTCTTGTTTTCCTTCTTGATGGTTCTGTTAAGACCGTACTCAAGTAGTATCGGATCCGAAGGGCTTCGGCCTCAGCTCGTGCGCTGTGCCCCTTTCCCGAGTCTTGCCCCTTATTTCAGAGAGCTAAAGTATCGCGTATATAGAGTAACGGCCAATCCGGATCGGATCCGGACTAGAAACTAACGGGTGAGGACTGTCCGAAGACAGAGGCGGATATGTAGACTATAGGAATCTATCCTAAGTCTCGGAGTAGACAAGAGTAGCGTACTCAAGTCCGGATGGATAACGGAGGGACTCAGAGTCCAGACGGAATGAGTGCAATCTAAGATGATATTCGAACTGAGGAAACTTTACAGGAGTTGTACAGAGGTTTATATACTGGACGGGATCCGAGAGGATCAGTAAGCTGAAGACAAATGCTATGTACGAGCATGTGGAAACATATTGGTAAGTATGAACGGAACATAAACAAATGAACTCGGAGATGAACAAAGTACAAGGATCAATAAGCAAGACGGAAACACAGATAACCGAAGTCCGGAGTCAAGAGGATTACCATAAGGAGATAGACGCTGATTTAAGGTTTGAGCTTCGGATATGAGTATAGGTCGGATCCGGAGGTCTAGAGATATCGGATGAGGCGTCTGGATATCGGATGAGCGGATCCGGAGATCTAGGTGAAGACGAGACTAGGATATAGATCATGGATATCATCCGGTAGTCTAGGGAAGGTAAAGTCTCAGGTAGGATGAGCTCGGATCCGATGGGATCAAGGGTGGATGAAGCAGGCTTAGCTGCGGAGGTCCGAAGGTATGGATATATGGATGTACGAAGGTGTACGGATCCAAACCGATAGTGGACTGGAGGACTGCAGGCATGGATGAGGGTATGGAGTCATGGATAAGGGTATGGAGGTCCGGATGTGCATCCGGAAGGCGTCCGGAAGGCGTGGGAACATCATCGGACGTAGGTCCAGAATACGGGATATGACAGGTTCCAACTATAATGATATCCAAAACTTAAACAAGTTCCTGGCTTCTGCATTCAAGTAAAATGTGGTGATGGTTGCACCATCACCACCAGCATGCAGCATAGCGCAGGTGTGCCCTGGTTTTTAAACATTCTCATTTCCAGCTTGGTCTTGCCATAACTCATCAACCAAATCTGTTGTCTGAACTATGGACTGCGAGTCCACAGGTCTGTCTGTAGGAAACCTACACCCGTGCCACCACTGCACCCGCCATGCATCCAACTCCCCATGAAATTGAATGAGTCCGACAGGATATCAATATTTGCCTTGGTGAGCAAGTGCTCCTTTTCCTGCTCTGCAGTTGTGTCCACAACAAATGTTTAGCCAAAGGGATTTTTGATGCCTTTTCGTGACGGCTCTTGGGATTAGCAAGTCGAGGATGTGATACACTGAGTAATTCTGAACTAACCAACAGCTTGGTGGCTGTCCGAGTCAACTGATGGCCAACAATGTGGATTTCCACCTGCCAGACTGAGCCTTGAACAAGTTGAAGTGTCAATGAGCTAGGTGAAATAAGTGCACTTCAGGTTAGTCAGGGCCAGTGCTAATTATCATTGCAGGGACGACTCGGATAGCTGAAGAGCAAGGGTATCTCACATCTGCGAACCGCAAGTAAACCTGTCTTCTGGCACGACTTGGATGAATATCAACTTCAGCCCGGGAGGCTTGGGTTGCTGAGGTTATGTGGAATGTCAACAAAACACACAGGAAGCTGAGACTCTAGAGGTTTTGTAAATGTTCATTAAGTCATAGATTCTACCAGGAATCAAGAGATCAAATGTTTTTCTGAGATGCAAGCAGCAGCCAGCTACAGTAAAAACGATGCATAGGGTAACCTTCCATGTCCTCCGAGTCCACCATGCAAGAGACTCCCCAAGAGGATTTTAAGAAGTGACAGTCTGGATACAAACAAGGTTGTCAGTAAGTCCACCGAACAACGTCTGCCCATCTGCTGACCATGCGACCAACACACTTGGCTCCCTGTGAGTTGAGATCAACATCAGTGAAGCTGGGCTTGAGCTCATCCTAGGCATCGCACTGATAAGCTAGTAGTAGATGCCACAACATAATTTTGAAATACTTGCTCTCAAGGTCAAAGATTTCAATGCAGCTGGCAGTGGTAGCATGTAGCCAGTAGTGGTTGGGCGAGAACAAATCCACTGAGTAATGTCTGCCCATCTGCTGACCATGCAGTCGATACACATCAGGTCTCTGTGAGTCAGAATCAATGTGAGTGAAGCTGGGCTTGAGCTCGTCCTAGGGATAGCGCCAACTTGAATCAGTTAGATATCATAACAAAATTTGGAAGTACGTACTTGCTCTCAAAGTCAAAGATATCAGCGCAGCTGGCACTGACAGCATGTAGCCAGTAGCAGTTGGACGCGAACACATCCACTGAGCAACGTCTGATTGTCTGTTGACCATGCGATCGACACACTCGGGTTCCAAGTGAGTTGGGGCCAACATCAGTGAAGCTGGGCTTGAGCTCGTCCAAAGGATCACACTGATAAGCTAGATACAATGTCACTAGACTAGGACAGCTAATGATATGAATCTTAAGGAATGCTCACCTTTACAACCTTGTCCCATCCACAGGATACAATAACATGACATTGGGGCTAAAACGCACACATGACATCCTGGATCGTATTGTCAGGGTCTGATATTCTATTTATGCATGACTCCCATGTACCACTCAGTGTGACCATCATCCTTGATATCTATTTGCACTCTCCAAGGGTGTTCCAAAGTTTGATTGTTCGGTCGCGCGAACCAGAAACAATATGTTTGTTGTCTGTGCTGAAGCTGACAGATGAAGACATTGGAGGTGTGGCCAACAAATGTGCGACTGCTCTGGCCAGTATTCAGGTCCCAGAGACACAGGGTGTGGTCCCAAGAGGAAGAAAGGGTGAATTGTCCATCGGAATGTAATGCAAGCAAGAGTTCCTGATGTTGCGATGATTTCAAATCCTTCTCCAACAAGACCTCTAAGACTTTGACCTCCAACCAAAGGATCCGGAATCAGCCTACTAGCTTCATAAATGTAAAGCAGTCAACTACATACCAGGGTTGACATTTTCTCACAAAATGCAGCAAAGAGTACATCAAGAGCTGATGACACCTGGTATTCTTGCAACTGCCCATCATTGAGGTCACCGATAATAATGCAGAGCTCTAGGATAACTTCTAGGCTCCCACAAAGGTCACCAGCTGCTCATTTGGTTGAGCACATCAAACAAGCACTAAGAATGTCATTCAAGACAGTGGAGTGAGCCTCAGCGACTGAAAAGACATTGGTAAACTCAGAGCTTGTTCCAAAACGACATGCAGCGGCCTGAGCCAGGAATGCATCAAAGTTTCCCCCAATTGCTACATTGAATATATATGCGGAGAGAGTGGTCACGAACAAATGCGCCACAAAATGGAAGTAGGTAAGGAGTTTCCTGGATTGGTTCAAGGTCGGAAAAAGTACATTTTGATGCGTCATGCAGAAAGCTGTCAAATGGCAGATTCCACTACAGTTTTGTTGAACGTATGTGGAAGTACAAGATAACCATAGCTCACCTCTGATCAGGCGTAAAAGGAACAAGAAATTTGTTTGGTATCTGGATGTAGTGTCCGATGTGATAATCACGTTCAAAGGATGAGGAACTTTGTAGTCAAGATACAGAAAGTCTAATGCTCTGGTGAAGAAATATATGAAGCATGTTTGATCCACAACAAAAATGATGTTACTGACTCGATGTCTGAGTGCGGATGATGACTTAGTGTGCACGTACAATGCATAAGGAAAAAATAGTTTACAAAGTTGGTTGAGTCATCATTTACGTCCTGTATCATTGGTGAGGTCTCTGATAGCGAACCCAAGATGGACTTCAAATGCACACATGACATCCTGGATCGTATTGTCAAGGTCTGATCTTCTATTTATGCATGACTCCCATGTACCACTCAGTGTGACCATCATCCTTGATATCATTCTTGCACTCTCCAAGGGTGTTCCAAAGCTTGATTGTTTGGTCGCGCAAACCAGAAACAATATATCTGTTGTCTGCACTGAGGCTGATGGATGAAGACATTGGAGGTGTGGCCAACAAATGTGCAAGTGGTCTGGCCAGTATTCAGGTCCCAGAGACACAGGGTGTGGTCCCAAGAGGAAGAAAGGGCGAATTGTCCATTGGAAGAGATGTCAATGTCAAAGATGAAGCGGACTCAGATGATAGGCGTTAAACGACCCTTGGAAATATGTAGATGATTAGCGTGCTGCCTAAATGTGAAAAGAAGTCACAAACCGGACACTGAGTGCTGTATAGCCATCTCCCTTAACTGAGGCTTCAAGTTGGTCCATGAGGAAGACTAAGTACAAATCGTTTAAAGTTGTTCCAAAGTGACTGTGCCATTCCGGAAAATGCCAGACACATAGTATCTTTCCAAATTGGGATGTTTGCGTTAGGCGCGGTAACTCAACTCAATGATGAAGACAGGGATTTATTCACTCTCCATTCAATCACCTCACATCTACCATTCTAGTTACCATGAACAATTGCACTGATGCTAACGGAGGAGTCAGAAACTGAAATGGAGATGGACACCAAGATCACCAGGTACGTTGAGGATTTTTAACATTGGCTACTCACGAATCACCAATATGAATCTATAGGTCCCTCAACAATTTCTCCAACATGCGCCAAGACCTAGGAATGTCATGTTCACAATGACGGGAGGGCAACTGGTGAGTCAAACTTATTCAAAAGCTATGGCACTGACATTTTAAAGGAGTTGATGTACATTACCTGGGCCACCGCACAAATGCGCATGCGCCAGCAACTTTATGAACCCACCTTACCGCTTCTTCCCAATCCGCTGCCTCCGATTTGGCCAGACGAGGTGCGTGTGATGATGGTCTTATGGATTGCGAGGGAACACTGGGTCTTTGAAATGGAGATGCAGGAGCTTGAATATCTCCTGGGGCTCAGAGGTTAGCGCTTCTAAGTAAGCCATTTAAGAGTTATAAAATTCTGAATGGACCTACAAGTATCATCAGACCATACAGATAAAGAGGGACAAAGGCTCTAAAGGACCAACTGAGAATGAGATTAGGCAACTCCATGCACTGGATACATACAATGTGATTATACCAAATACCCCACTCTGTCCCAAACAACATTTCATGTTTCTCATTGCCCTCCTGAAGATATATGACACTGTCTAGTTGCGAATTGAGGACATCGAGGACAGTGTATGAGGTTACAATTTCTTTTTTGAGTTCTGCTTCCATCCTTTTGCTTCTGTCTAACATGGCATCTTTGTCAAGGGCAAGTGGGCGCTCGGCTTCCAAGTCTTCAATGATATTTCGCCTGAAGAGTCATCTTCACGTCCTGCAGGCTTTCCTGTTCCTATTATCACGTTCTGCTATATCTTTTCAAAGTTGCAGCTCAACATATCTGAACTCATTGTTCCATATTGCAACAAGTAACAGACAAATCTGTTAAAAATGATTAAAAAAATTAGTTTAAAACAGATAAAAGTCACCCTACTTTCATGTATAGTCGCTACCATGGCCAAACTTGCAAAGACCCATACACGTGAGAATTACGTTGGATCATTCGTATTGCAACTGTACATCAAGAACCTTCTTCATCTGTCTGCGTGTGGGGAACTTCCCAGCGATGGCCTGTAGTCTCAAAGACGTCAAATAGAAGGGCATCCCGCCACTCCTCAAGATCGGTGAGGACTCCAGCCTTAAAGAATATCTTGGATGTTCCCACACGGAACAACTCAGCATTGAGATCCAAAGCTTCTATATAATATGGATGCACAACCATCCATGTATCCACAAGGAATAATTCCTGGAGTCATGATCTCGTAGTGCTGACGAAACTTGACAAAAGGAAGTTAATGAGGAACCAAAACACGAATGCCCTCAAAGCACTGTTGCAATGTGATTGATCGAGGACAAGATGCACGTCCACCCTTCCAAGTTTCTTATTGACGTTAGACACAAAACAATGTACGAAATGTGGTTGCATCACCTGTAACTGTGCTGTGAAAAGCGCTAATTACTCTGTGCTGCGAGCCGCTTCTCGCAAACCTGAGAGACTCAGAAGGGCAAGTCCAGTCCAGTTTCTGAACTCTCAGGGTACAGTTATAACAATGATCGATACAGATCCGAGTCTTTCCTCCAGTTACTCAGCGTGAGTTTGAAGCAGGATGTCCAGTTACAGTGTCACGCTGAAATGATGATGTCAAAACGGCATTCTCGTTGGCTGTCAATTCAATTAAACACAATGAGTGAGGTCAAAGTTGGTTTACAAAACATAGTACTTCTCAATCGCTTAGCAGCTGACGTTTGAAGGAGTGTACCATTTCCATGTGTGGATTTGCGTTATTAGTAGTTGCCTTGGCATGTCTACCCGAAAAATGATTATGAACCCTTTTGTCAAACACAGATGTCTTGATGTGTGTCCTTTGCTTTTATCACGCTATCACATCTTTGATGTTAGGCATTTCATCAGTTGTACTAGTAAATTTGACAATCCCTGGCCCAAGGTCCAGTTAGACATCAAGCACTTGCCACCATTCACTCAGCTGTTCTCAACATGGATGGGAAACCTTACCATGACTACAGTACTACTCAGGTGCAGTATATACCACCTTGACTTGTGAACCTTGAGCTGGCTTCAATGGACTACACAATATCAGAAGAGACCGCTATTTCTAACCCTGGCCATGATCACATATACACGCGGTTCTCAAAATGCAAGAAACAGGTCATTCTCACACTTCTTTCTTCCTTTGGATTCATGCATCATACATTGCACATCTACACAATTGACCCGAGTCTTTCCATCTTACTTTACCGCATTCTCAGTAACCATAGCACAAGTGATCCGCTTGTGTGTGCCTGCAGTTGCATCTGATCTCAACACCCAGCCATCTCTCATGGGGTCAGCACCCACAATGCTTTGGGGGAATTTCTTCATTAATACAGTGGTCCAGCCATTCGATCGGTTTATGGTTATTTGCTGCGTGTCTTGTATTTAACGTTTCATATGTTATCTTCTATATGCCCTCAACAAACCTCTCTTATTCACTCCATATCTAGCCGGTAGAAGACCTGTCAATCTTGTTGGAGCCCCCCTCATGTGCTTCAGATCCATCAGTGCTGGCCTTTCTGCTTCCATCCCTGTGTACATGGTTTCACAGGCTATTGAGGGGTTGGGTGCAGGTTCTGTAGCCTACATCGGGTCTGCTGTGATTGGAGACATCTACCAGCTTAAGCAGCAAGTAAATGCCCTTGGTGTACTACGATCTGTATGTACACCCCCGTTTTTTGCTCTCCCAATACTGATTTGTACCGTTTCGTGTTCTCTTAGGTGACCTTTATCAGAATGATAGTATTGACACTTCCAATCAGTGGTATAAACTACTTCATTGGGGTACAACTCACCTAAAGCTCAGCTGTCGGGATTGGTCACTGCATATGCTTCCTGGTGCACCTTGCAGTTCTGTCTAGGTGTCATGGGTGGCCTCATCTTCATCCTCATGTTCCTATATTTCCCAGAGACCAGTCGTCCAGGTATGAGAGGGATTGATCAGATAACTCCTTCGAATAGACCATTCAAATTCATGATTATCAATCCCCTGAAAGCCTGGTTAGGCAGTGGCTGGTGTCAGCAGGTTGTGAGAGGCTTGAGTGTAGGCAGGTTTAGGGCTGGTAGCAGAGTGGCTGGTGTTCCAGGAGGTTTGGTTTAGGCAGGCTTGTGTCAGCGAGAGGCGCGAGGTCAGGTGCATGTGGGCTCGGAGGCAGTAGAGGCAGAGTGGCTGTTCAGAGTTGTCAGAGGTTGCCGAGCGCAGGGTTTTAGAGAGAGTAGTCACGTGTTGTTGGTCTTCAGGCTTGTTCCATCTTGTTGCTGCAGTGTGCAGGGTGTGTGCTTTGTGTCACCGTTCCAATAAGATCAAATTTTGGCACTTTAACCTCATGTCGATCACCATCAGTGGATAGTCATTCACAGTATTTATGGCCTTCTTGGTGGAATCTGGTTAGTCCGTTCAATAACTGCCTCTACACACTGAATTCTCAAGATTTTCCTACCAGTCTTGACAGTCCCTCTGGGATGGACACTCGTATGTTTCTTCTGTCTTCCGTTCCATCAAATCACTCAAGAATACACGATTCTACGACTACATTCCAGGATTCAAAATTTGACATTGCCAATCCCGCCATAATCAGTGTCTGCTTTGTCTTGGTGGCTATCAGCAACATGTGTGCGTCTTGCTTGTTTATTGTAATGACTGGCAACACCATGACATTCACGCATGCATAGTCAGTACTTTGTTATCTGGCAGAATGTCAGACATAGTTGTCGTGCACCGCAAAACCCACCGGAACAGTATCTGGTTGCCCGAAGATAGGCTCCGCATTGCGCTACCCACCACGCTCATTGGAGTCCCTTTTGCTGTACTAGTCTTTGGGCTGGTGGCGGAGTACCTGCCTGGGAGTTTGGTTGGGTTGTCGCTGTGTCTCTCCTGTCTCTTCGTAAATGGAGTTGTGGTGGGTCATCTGACCAAGTTTGAATAGCTTTACTTACTTTTTTGCATGCTAGACCGAGTTCGTTCTGAGCCCATCTATAGCCTACTTGACAGATCTTCTGCCTGAACAAAGTGCTGAAGCTGTTGCTGCAACCACATAAGAGACTTTTTTGTATCAGCAGCAATTAACCCATCTCATCACCAACCTTTATTGACAGCTCACTAAGCCTCCTTCTGCTCTCGGTCAGCATAGGCTGGATTATACCAGCTATAGAAATGTTAGGGATTGTGGGGATGAACACACTTGTAGCTATCCTCGCATGGGGTGGCCACATGTGGGTGTCTTACTCTTCTTTCCTATATTCTGACCTTTGGCTTTTGTTACAGTGTGCTCTGGTACACCGTCAAATATGGTGTAAAGTCTGAGTGAGTGGGCCACATCGGATGATCACACGAATATTGAGACTGCGGCTGTACTACTAGTTGACACATGGACTAATTTTTCATCTTACTGTGACTCTCGTCGCTGCCAGAGTCCGAGTCATCATCATCAACTGAGGCAATCATAGCCTGAGGTGAGCACTGCCATTGGTACAGTTTTTAATATTATTTTAATCCTGCCGCAAGAACTCTGAGTTTAGCACATGAAGCATGTGCCACTCTTCGACCCACACCACCATGACCTGATGATGCGCCTACTAGTCCCCACCAGGACCTCAATACCATTTCTGCTAAGAATACCAGTATTAGTAGGCCTTCAAGTTACCTCCCTCAAGTCAGCAGTACTGCTACTAGGTCTTGCGAGCCACTTCTCGCAAACCTGAGAGACTTGGAAGGGCAAGTCTAGTCCAGTTTCTGAATTCTCAGGGTAAAGTTATAACAATGATCGATACAGATCTGAGTCTTTCATCCAGTTACTCAATGTGAGTTTGGATTCATGTTATTAGTAGTTGTCTTGGCATGTCTGCCCAGAAAATGATGGTGAACCCTTATGTCAAACCCAGATGTCTTGATGTGTGTCCTTTGCTTTTATCACGCTATCACATCTTTGATGTTAGGCATTTCATCAGTTGTACTAGTAAATTTGACAATCCCTGGCCCAAGGTCCAGTTAGACATCAAGCACTTGCCGCCATGCACTCAGCTGTTCTCAACATGGATGGGAAACCTTGGTACTACTACTATGTTTGAGCGGAGTACTGCTAGTACATGGGAGACTTGCTGAAGGAGTTTTCCCTGCATTGCAGTAATCATTTCAATGTCCGAGTCAAGGATCTCAGGTCAAGGAGAGGCAGCGACCTTGACCTTTTTTCTTAGCGTCTCCCAGCTGCCGTGATACCCCACCAACTCGAATTCTAGACTCGGATTTAACGCATGATGATATATTCTTTCCTAGTAAGTCACTCCAGCCTTCCGAGCCTGAGTCCGTCCTTTGTTTCTGACTTTACCACAGACATACTAATTCCGAGTCGATCTGACCTACAGGCTTTTCACTGTTGTTGAATAACAGCAATGAACCCGTGTCAGGTGCCAGTTCAATATCATGGCCTACTACGCACAACCCAGAGGACTACTTTCCTTGCTGTCTTCCCTCGACTTGTGTGGTGGTATACGTATGATGGAAAGGCAGAACTCAGATGGACCAAAGTCCAAGACAAGAACGAGTGAAGTCTAATATGATATTCGAACTGAGGAAACTTTACAGGAGTTGTACAGAGGTTTATATACTGGAAGGGATCCGAGAGGATCAGTAAGCTGAAGACAAATACTATGTACAAGCATGTGGAAATATATTGGTAAGTATGAACGGAACATAAGTAAATGAACTCGGAGATGAACAGAGTACAAGGATCAATAAGCAAGACAGAAACACAGATAACCGAAGTCTGGAGCCAAGGGGATTACCATAAGGAGATAGACGCTGATTTAAGGTTTGAGCTTTGGATATGAGTATAGGTCAGATCCGGAGGTCTAGAGATATCGGATGAGGCATCTGGATATCGGATGAGCAGATCCGGAGATCTAGATGAAGACGAGACTAGGATATGGATCATGGATATAGACCGGTAGTCTAGGGAAGGTAGAGTCTGAGATGGAATGAGCTCGGATACAATAGGACCAAGGGTGGATGAAGCAGGCTTAGCTGCGGAGGTCCGAAGGTATGGATATATGGATGTATGAAGGTGTACAGATCCAAACCGATAGTGGACTGGAGTACTGGAGTCATGGATAAGGGTATGGAGGTCTGGATGTGCATCCGGAAGGCGTGGGAACATCATCAGACAAAGGTCCGGAATACAGGATATGACACTGACATATAATATGAGCTCTATCCCTTAGGTTTGTCTTGCATCTCCCTTTCCTTGAGTATTGAGCAATGCCTTATATCAACCATTTTATCTGTTCTATCTGTCTCTAGTATGTCACATGTTGAGGGCAGCACATTGGGGTTGCACATCCAGGACCAGGATAGCCTTTGCACGTCAACCTGAAGGACTGGCAGGACAATCACAGCCAACAATCACAGGCAGTTGTGGCATCTGTGCAGGCTTGACAGAGACGGAGAATCACACAGCTGGAAAAGAAACTCGGGGTGCGTGGTCAAGGAAAAGTGAGATTACTATTGCATATACAGTGTTAGCTTTTACTCACTACTACCTACAAGGGAATCAAACTACTATATGCTATTTGATAACATCAGGGATCTCATTGGCGAAAATGACCGAAGGTGTACAACTGAGGATGACACAGAATCCAGCCTCGAGTAAGTTTTTTGCCTTTTGATGCTCCGGGTGAACACTTATACCCTGCATTTTTATGCAGTGAAGACCGACTACAGATAGGGTATGTTGCCCTCATGACTACTTTGCCATGGCTTCATGTGAAAGCTATGGACATGGATTATGATGACTACTCACACATGTTGAAACTGGTTAGCTGTTCCTACTATGTCAGTGATTAGTCTTGTTGTGCTGAGTTTTGTTTAGCTTTGGCAGGGGGCTGACAGTGCTCGAGGTGACGATACCTCAAAGCTTAAGGCACTTGTTGCTGAATGGGTTAACCATGAATTTAAATCTGATCCCCTGATTGACACTGATGATAAGCATTCCCATGGATTCACCAATGATGCGTGCGGCAAGCTACTCTGCCCAGCTGAGCTTGATTGGAGCAACCCCATGTAAGTTGTACACTCAGAATTTCAAGAAAAAATGTTCACTATTCCCTAGCGTAAGGGCCAGGATTCGAGATTGCTTAGAGGGCCATATTGTGACTGAGCTCTCCTTTCCGGCTGTCTTGTATAACAAGTATACTGCCAATTCAGATGACCTAGAGGAAGGTCTTTTCAAAGGCAAAGTTCTCCTTCAGGTTTGTCGCATTGGAGTAGCCAAATCCTCATGATCTCACTGGGTTTTTTCAGGCGTACAAAGCCGTGTTTACATCACCTTCCTCAGCAAAGGATGTTGAAGGGGATGGTGATGGCACAGATGTCATCCAGAACAACAGACATGCTAAGAGGTCGGCCTTCGGAGCTAAAGTCAAGAAACACGTCACTCACATCATCAAGATGAGAAAAGTTATGCCTCGCTCGATCACATACATTGCCTGTCAAGTAAGTAGTATTATCATTCTGTAAGCTTGATGATATATGACAACTACATAACAGGTTTGATTTGCACTTTTGTCTGTTACCTCATGGTGCTCTGTTGATGGTGACTTCGACTATGAACAATTCTGGCGGATCATCATGGACTTTTTTGAAAGGGCTCCTGGTCGTGCAGCACAGCGCAGGATTGACCTTCTCCTTGAATGGTGGACTAGGTTTGTCGTGTACACTCCCCGCTGCGAGCCTCACCTGAAATTATTATATAGAAAAGGTTTTCGGATGGAATGACCGCAATAACCTCACCAACATGGCAAAGGCCAATATGTCCGTCAACACTCTCGCGAGGCAGAGGGAACAGTGCAATGATGCTACTTTTGATTCATCCTAGGGCTCTGTGATTACTAACTACATACACTCATTTACGTTTGATTTTAATCTCATGGCTTGATGATTATTTTATTTTTGTGAAATGTGAACACCGAATGGCCACCATTCTGGGAATACATCTAGATCGTGGCAACCCCAGAATATAAGTCTTCGCGCAAATGGCATAATTCAAATTCTGTTTGTACATCTGTTCGCTTGTGTTTTATACACTGATCCTAGGACGTACATCAATACCATGGTCATCTCTGAATTTTATAGTATTCACGTGAATAGTATGATTGAAGCTCTAGTTCTGCAAGATGAACACAATCAATGAAAATTGAGATAGTCAAGTTATAATATGTATATTAGGCTTTCTATAATATTCCTTTGCGGTTTGGAGAGCTTGTTGCAAATACATGATCTTGCTCAATGACCACATGGTCACAAACATGATAATCTAAAACACGGAGGTCTGAATGCTCACGGAAAGAAGTCCTCCTTGCAGTAGCTAAAAATGCAAGATTTTCCTGATGCATGGCACAATACAAACTATGTTTCTTTGAATAGTAAGTGATGTACTGGGGTAATCTATGACCCACTGTTGTCAAGGCCAGGTGTAAGAGACTACATCATCAAGATGTAGCATCTGCGCAAGGCCACAACCTCCTGCAACAGTATGCAAAGCAGAATGCAATTGTGGGTGGTTAAATAAACACAGAAAATTGCGTAAATGTTCAGAGTAGGATGTAGATTGGTTGTCGTTCACTTGGTGAACACATGTTAGCTAGAGTGCAATGGGACAGCATTTTCACACAATTCCCAATTGATATATGACAGATAATCATCGCATATCTTAATGCAGGTGGCACAAAATTCACAGGAGTTTATGTAATGTTTTGTTCCCTCCTCAGTAGACATTTGTTGTTCTCTGGAAGATATTATATGTCATTCTCAGCTTCGAGATTGTGAACCTTACCTCCGGCATGGTGGTTGTGAGTTCTCTGGCCTGATTCTTAGCTTTACAGTACATAACTTTATTTACTGTTGTTTTCTGGAAGACGCTGTATTTCATACTCAGCTTCGAGATTGTGAGCCTCACTTCCAGCATTGTGGTTGCGAGTCTTCTATCCTAAATTTTAGCTTTGTCTTCACCATCCCTTTCAGTTTAGACTCGAGCAATACAGCTGTCTTTTCTTGATTACAAACTTCTGTACCAAAATCATGAACGTTCCGTGTCTTTAAATGGTCAAACAAGACCATGCAATGATTGATAACAGAATTATGCTGATGCTTGTGATTACATGCTATGTATTGTGTTTACTGATGTTGGGCTGAATCATGGAACCATCACAGAATTTCAATTCGTGATGAGCGCCAGCGCAGTCCACGCGACATGTTCTTCTTTGGCATGCTTCAAAATGGTGTGCGTGGGGTGGATGCTATATTCATCCCGGGAGATGATGAAGTGGGTGACTTCCAAGAGTATGGAATAGACTGGGAAGCATTTGATGAAGATCATGTTCGTCAACACCATAATACAGCAAATGGTGTGGATGAAACAGCAGACAACGCATTTGTCGTTCATCCCCCACAGCAGCTATCAGATGTACAGGTACCAGAAGCGAACCGTCCACTGACAGATGCACAGATACATGATCTAGATAACCAGCTTACCCTTCTACCTCATTACTCATCTTACTCCATGGACAGCTGTAGGTTACTGTGGATTGATGCACTTCAAATATGCTGTAACATGTTTCATTAACTTTGAATACTACCAGCTTGGACTCTCATTCCTATGATGGTATATCTGCTGGTACAACACGATTGTCAAACATCCATCAAATTCGCAAGCTCAGAATTTCTTTTGGTTTGACAGTTTGTTGTGTTATCTATATAAGTCATCCGGTGCCATTCTGAGGGAGATTTGAAAGTCGGACAACTCGTCGTGAATAGCATCCAGCCTGGCAGCACTTGCACTGCACCATTGAGTAAGACTTCAATAAATAATATTGTATTGTGTAATGCAATCATCTTGAGATCAGGAATCGTGAGTCGGGAACTGAGACCACATTATTGTGTCAAAGGACATATAGATGGGAAAGAGCAAAGGTACTAGTGATAATCAGTACTACTATGACAGTGGTTATGGTAACTTGGTTTTAATGGCATTGAACAGCAAGGTCGAGATACAATACGAAATGGAGACATGGTTGCTGCAGATTTTATCAAAGGCAGAAAAGAAGAAGAGGTGGTAGTATAGTATGATATGGAAATGTGGATGGAGCACATTGCACTGGTGAAGACAGAAGTAGTTAATGCAGGTTGTATCAAAGACAGGATGGCAGAATGGAGACAGGGTTACAATGGGCCGCATGAAAGACGTTCAAAGGATATTAAAGCTAGAGGGTCCTGAAAAAGTGAAGAGAGAAAAATGGATCCAAAGATCAAACTCTGTCACTGTGTTGTCATCTCGAGGGTATCATTAGCGAGAGGTATTGGCTCAAGGGGGTTATCAGAGGGGAATATTGACCCAGCCCCATTATTATGGGGCAGCTCCTGGGGATCTCCAAGCAGTGCAGCGAGAGACTCACTGTCATGTTCTGCAGGGATGGTAATACTCTGGGTGGCTTGGGCAGGAAGGTTCTTGAATGGGTGATAGCCAGGTATATCTGTACTTGGAGGTGGGGGAAGTGGAACACTTTCCCAGAAGGTGACCATGGAATTGTACCTGATACATTCTGGGCTGCTGAAGACAACAGCAGCAATGATTTGGGCGAATGTGTCTGGATGCTGATAAATTTTGATGCGAGGGGTCACAGCACCGCCAGCATAGTCATACAACAAGACTCTGAGCTTGCGATATCGGTGTGTAAATGAGTGCACCTGGGGAATGTTAATTGTGAAAGGCTTAAAGATCAGAGGTAGTAGATGGCCTAGGGAGCCATTTGCCAGGGATTGAGGTTCAGTTGTCACTAAACGGTCAAGTTCAATGGTTGTCATTTTGTTCAAGGTAGCAACATCGTTAATGGGAATTGACATCAGCAATGCCAATTTTATTCCATTGTCAATTGTCCTATAAAAGTATGGCATATTGGCGCTGAGTGAGGGAACAAAGGGTGCAATGTGGTGAGACAGAGACATTGCTTATCACCACAGTCTAACTAAAAATAACACAAGATTCATACAAAAATAACTGGAATTAGCAAAAGCAGGCATAATACAGTTCAAAAAAATGGCGTGCTACATCGAAAGAGGAAAGAAAATATTTTTATCCTAGTCCTTGTTAAGCCAGAATTCTGATGCATGTTCCATACTGTTATATTGAGTGAGATGAGGGTCTGCACTTGCACCAAAGTGAGGGACAACATTAACAGGCGCCCTGAGCTGAGTGACTGGTATGACATTACCAGTGCTAGTCCCATTTGACCGCTTTGCCCTCTTCAGCAAATGCAGCTGCATAGCTGGGTCACGCTCACCATGACTATTGTTAAAGCATTGCACGTAAGTGAGGAAGCAATCCTTCCCAGCCTCCTGTGTGTCCATCTTTCTAATTGGACAGAGAATAAGCCTGATTTGAGCGACAATGTGGCCTGGGATCTCAAGAGTTAGAGAGTATTTAACATAACAGAAACACATCGATCACCATGAAGACCATCAGTGGGCCATGAGTGCCCATCCTTGTTATTGACGATAACACTGCTGAAGGTCCAGATGTCAGAAGGCAGTGTGCAGTTCAGGGTCTGTGCAGGTCACACATTGGTGATATCGTGAAATTTGGTATCTCGAAGCCGGAGTTTGAACCATATTTGAAGTTTATCGAATGGAAGCAGAGCATTGGACCCAGTCCTCCTAGCCCCCCCAAGCAGATGAACATGATCGTACCCATGAGTATCTTCACGATGAAGGAAGTCTGCGATGGCTGGTCATAAGTCAGGAAGGCTGAATTGAAGGGCAGTATTATTGACGGAAATGGCCCTGATTGATGGGTGGTAGGCTAGATGAAAGGCTGTACATTTAACAACAAAGGTACACAGTGGCAGAGGGACTGTCCCTACTTCCCTGTGCTGGAGGGCCTTTGCTACTGCAAAGTAGTCAGTGATCCGGTGTGCATATCCAGGAGACTTGATTATGGCCAAGAGGTCTGCAGGGAGGTCATCATCATAATCAAAATCAAAATCAATGACATCATGATTGACATTAAGGTGTTAGTCCAGATTGGTTCACAGCCTCAAGTCTAATAGACTTGTTGCAAGGTCAAAACAACAACATTTGTCTACATGGTCAAGGTAACAACAGATTTGTGAATCATAGTTGTTGTTGTTACTTGAACATGCAGGATTTTTTATTTCAGTTATATGTGCATGCTCCATTGCATCTGCACTCCACTGCATGTTGACACTGGTATTGCATATACTGGGAGCTATATTCTGCAGGAGCTTTATCTTTGGGATGTACCAGTTGTGAATAGGCTTGTTGCCCTTTCTGCGATGAAGCCCAGCAGCAGTGATTGAATGTTTGTTAGCATGAAATTTGGCCAGTGCTGTGGAAATACACTTGATATTGTGATCATCAATCCGTGATGACTGTATGAGATAATGAAAGTCCATCAGAGCTCATACAGCAGTCATAATGGTGCTGGGTACTACATCTGCACTGACCACAACAATTGAGTGCTGGATGTCACATTGGGCACACCCTGTGACCTGCTTCAGCTTTGAGATGCCACCATAAAAATGGCAAAACCCTGTCACAGGCTGCAACACCGTGAAGTGGAAATCAATTTCTGCTTCCCCAACCACACATATATCCACTTAACGTTGTGATCGTAAAACTCTCATGAATATGCTGGAGATCTTCGGGTGTGAGGAAGTGTGATGGGTCAGCAAAGGGCCAATCCTGCCAGAAAGGTTTGTCGACACCATTTAAATGAAACTTTTGCACTTTGTTGAAGAAAGCTTTAATATCATTGGAATCGACCTTTCTCTGGACAACAGCTATTTGTGTGAGTCTAGTTGAACTAGTTTGAGGCTGGTGTTGGAAAGGGTCGCCAAATTGCTTGAACATGGCCATAATAACCAGGGAAGTTTTGCTGCCAACAGTAGCCAGCATCATGGCTTTTGGAGTATCGATGATGTAACTTGCAAGAGGAGTAAAGCAATAGTGACTGTGCCCAATGGGATCTGACAACATGATTCCCTCACAGGCAGGCTGATTAAGCAGCTCTAAAACAAGATTTAGGCACTGATGGACTAATGATCCTCCAGCATACCACGCATGTGTTTCTTTTTGTAAAGGAATTTTGGCATGGGGAGCAGGGCAGTGAGCACAAAAGAATTAGATGATGTCTTCAGTCTGGTGGACATGGGTATGTTAGCGAGGCTGATGAGGAGTGGGTGCACAACTCAGTCGCTCGTTATCACAGATATATTTGTCTTGTCGGATGATAGAATGGTCCCAAGTAGGGTCGCACCTCATGGTAGAGCCGACTGTGTTGAAAATGATAAGTACTGAGCAGCTTTCACAAACAAAGATACACACCTGCATCATCCACATGTCATCTCCTATCATCCATTTGGAATACACACAGCACAGCTGCTCCACCATGGTATACACCTTGTGGGGCGAAACATCTAACCAGTCATGAAAGGATGGATGGTTGAGTATGCTGAAGATACAATCCAAGGGGTCATGCCAATACAATACAACCAGTGATTTTGTCGGATGCATTGTCTGAATTACTTGAGACATCCAGTGTGGGCCACTTGGCAACGTTTCTGCTCTGCCTCGCAGTTCCTTGGCTGAAGAGAACGACAGAGGAAGACCCCGAATCTTAATGAGCACTTCGTCAGACTGACCGATTGAAGATGTCAAGTACTTAATATACTGAGTGCCAAAAAGCTATCTATCTTCCCCATACTTAATCCCAAACAAAGTAGCCATGAGGCAAGTTCCTAATCTTTCTGGCCACTGAATGGGTAGTAAAGATTTGTTGCACATTGTATACTGTTCTTGTCTGAGTTGAATAAGTCAAGAAAAGTATGGCCTGTACCATATGATTGAGAAGCTCCAGGGAACCAGTCAATGAAGTCGCCAGTCTGTAATATTCCTTCTTCATTGACGAGACTGCTGGTAGAACCATCATCATTTAAATCAACACCACCCCCAGTATCCCCATCCCAGCCTCCAAATCTGTCATAGTCTTCATACATGTTTGTGAAGTGGGGAGAATCATTGGGAATATTGAGCTCATCAAGGCAGACATTGGATGGGGAAAGATGTGGATTGCCTTTAAAAAAACACGGTCTTTTCCACCATGTGCTTCCTCATACTCTACACAGTAAGTCTCCTGATGCATTGATATTTGTGGTGCTATGGTCAACAAGTCGCAGGTTCTCACATTGAGTCATGGGCTGCTGGTCAAAATATTACTATCCAATTGGATTGATGTGGCATAGGTGTATTTGATAGTCGCGCACTGTTTTTTTTGTATTACCTTACCAAGTGCATTATGTATAATGGCGTAAATTCAATCAAGTGTTTCAGTAGAACAACTCATAGTACTAGTATTTACAACTTAGAGTTGCTCAACTCGGACACTGGCAGCATTGGCAACCTTGAAAGCTTGATAGCTATATGTCCTGTATGTCCTGTGAGAGCTGTGCGATGTAGAGACTCAAGTCTCTGCGGGCACATATAGCCTACATCATGACTCATGGCAACTGGCCTTTACTGCATGACTTGCACCATCATCCATATGCGATTTCTATCATGTCTCTAATCATTCTGTACACAATGCACAGCACTCCCACGTGCCCACTTTCTCGTGCTTAAGCACACTGTGTCGCGCATCATCCAGGAGCATCCATCCATCATCCAACCAGTTCCCTGGTGCATCCCTTTTCATTATCTAACTATATCTAGCATATTACACTTTGTATTTCATTATGCACCCTTACTTTACCTCACTTACATACTTAGAGCGCTCCCTATTTGGCTCTGAGCCCTGAGAAAGCGCTTAGGTAGAACTTACATACTTTCATGTTCATTTTACACCTTTTACCCATCTTCCTATCATCTTTCTACTACCATGTTACTTGGCAGTTAGTTCCATGCAATGCATGCATCCGTCATCATCTTAAGGCCCTAGCATCAGTCTAAAGCTAGTGGCACTATCAGTATCCATCTAGATTCACACTTTTCCTCATATCATCATCTCAGTACATGTCTTCACTTTGTGCTACTTTCATGTTTTGCTTTCCCGCACGCGCGCCTTCAGCACATTTCTCGCACTTACATCGCCTTTTGTTGCCTTTAATCAGGGTTGATCAGCATCATTCCATGAATCCTTGCTTTCCTTGCTTCCCCTTTAGGGTCGAACGTTCTTGCATTCTGCGAGTATAGCAGCTAGGCAGAGCTTAGACTCACTTATACTGGTTGAGCATTATATTTCTTAGTGCCTAGCCAGGTTGTGATCCGCACAGCGAATTGCCTGACTGTGTTTATATGCCTCTTGTGAGCGCTGTCCACTCTGTGAGAGTCTGTGAGCAACTGTGGGGAATTGTCAAAATAGCCACTATCTGGGGAGAAATGTTCAGTTTACTGATGTGGACTCACTCTCGACTACTTCTGACAGTGATGACATCATCAGTCTGTCTTTTAGCTCTGCTTCTCCCCCCTCCCCCCTCTCCCCTATGGCAGGAACTTCAGGTTCTTCTGGTGATAGCTCTAACTCTTCTGATGATGTCCCTTTGCCTTATGGCCGCCTTCTTCACACCATTAATGCTCTTTGTTGTGGTGTTCAAACTCGGGCTAGCCTTGCAGAACCCCTTTTTGCTATAGAGGTCAAGCATCCTAGAAGCCCACATCATCTCCATGCATCACTCCCTTGCAAAGCCTCGACTCACTCGACTCTTCCTTGTCGCACCAGACTATATCCAACTTGGCCGATACGGACCTGTTGCCTCAGCCACTCGCAGGGAGCCAGGGTTGTCTGTACCATCCCTTACTTGTCGTTTTGGTCATTGCGCACCTCGGCCGACCGTTCCATCCCATCGGTACCGAATCCTCCCATGTCCTGCCCATGTCCGCCTATCTCCATTGGTGTGTTTTAAGCTTATTTTATCATTACTGAATGAACAGCAGGTGTTATTACATGTATCCCCATGACCGCAGCACTCGCAAGCCTTATTACATATTGAACCGAATACCCTGTGTTTCGCTACTACTCTTGCCTGTGCAATTCCGGACGTTCATGCAGTTAGATAAATAGGACTCAGGTTTCATATTATCTCTTCCTTCCCTTCTCCGGACATACCTGCTACCGTTGTAGGAGTCACCTTAGTTAGTGTTGATTGTGCAATTGATCCCTCTTTGCTTTTCAACTCGGACGTGCCTTAACCGCGCTAAGTGCGCACTCTCTAAGGTTTCTATACCTAGGCCTTGTATAAGACTTGGACCGCTACCGCAAGTCTAGACTCGGCAACCCATACCTAGTTATACCTAGACTCTCTTTACCTCAGCCTAGCCTTACCTGCCGCTCCCATTGGCATCAGACTCCTCTACTCGTGTTGGTGTTTATCATTGGTATCTCGCATCGGTGATCCTCGTCGGTATCTCGCATTGGGTACACCGTTGGTATCCCACGTTGCATCAGACATTCTCGGACTCGAACCTTCGGTTGGTCGGAACATCTCAGGTCTTAGATCTTAGCTTCTTCCTTTCTCTTCCCTCACACTATTAGAAGGAAGTGCTTTAATAGCAGTCCTTGGGTCAACGTACTGCACTCACACCCATTAGGATTTAGTAAGTTAGTTGGTATATCTAGCTGACTGCTATTTCTTTCACCACATCGTGATGAGGTTAAGAGGGCTTGTGTATTGCACAAGCCTGATGAGCCTCCTCCATGAGCACCTCAGCTTCACATGTTGGTTCATCATGAAGAACATCGCCCTCACTTGTTTCGGCAGAACCTCTGTGTCAACCCCAAGATCTTTGACAATATTCTCGATTATATATCTGATCATCCCATCTTCCAAAACCAATCCAACAATCCTCAGCTCCCTGTCTCCATCCAACTGGCTATTTTTTTGAATTGGGCCAGCCACTATGGCAATGCAATTACTCTTGAGGATGTTGCTCAATGGGCAGGTGTCAGTGTTGGGTCCATAGTTAATTGCACTAATCATGTGATGATTGCGGTACTTGATGCCCATGATTAGTTTATCTGCTTTCTGGCAGGTAACTCTGAGGACACTGACCTGGCTCACAAATTTGCTGAGTCACGTACCTGCCCAGAGTGAAGGTGGCTTTCTAGCCATTGATGGCTCAACTATGGATCTTTTTACCAAACCTGGCTACTATGGTGAGACATTTTATGATGGGAAATCCAAGTATTCCCTTGGCTGTCAGGTTTTTATTTTATTTTATTTTATTTTCATGTGCAAAATTTAATTTAATTCTAGGCAGTCATTTTGCCCCATAACCTTCTCATTGTGGATTATTCTCTGGGTCATCCTGGGAGTGTCAATGATGCATTCACTTTTCAATCTACTCATCTCTATGAAGAGCATGCTGACCTTCTACCTGATGGTCATTGGGTGAAGGCTGACAGTGCATATCCATTGGAGCCATGGTGCATTGCCCCTTTCAAGAAGCCTTACAATGGGCGGTTGACAAAGGACTAGAAGTCATTTAATTATCACCTCTCTAAGGGTTTTTTTTTTGGTGGTTTTCAATTGATTTATATTTATTTAGATTCATGCTCATGCCGAACACACATTTGCTGTTTTGAAGGGATGGCTTCAGTCCCTTCGAGAGCTCCAGTTTAGGATTCAGGCTGAGAAAGACCTTGAATTTGCTGTGCAGTGGATCAAGTGCTGCATCATCCTGCACAACATGATCATTTGCTTTGAAACTGAGCATCGCAAGAAGGATGGAACATACAAGAGTTCTCTAAAGTGGGCTCATGTAGAGGGGGAAGATTTTGTTAATCAAGAAATTGAGGGTCCAGATGGTGAAGAAGTAGTTGGTGACAGGACATATGAAGGCACTCCAGGTCAAGCGGCTCGTGCAAGGCTGATGGATGCACTCTTTGACAGTCCTCACTCAGGTGCACAACGTAGGTGGGCACCAAATGCCAAATGGCTGTTGTAGGAAGATGTCGAGGATGTTTCGGGCATACAGAATGGTGCTGGAGGATCAGGAGGGGGGTGATGGTGATGAGGGGGAGCTGCCATTTCTTCCCTGCAACATGGGGAGGGCAATTGGTTGTCTCGTCAACCATCATATCATCACCTTCTTCAAGCGGTGCGTCAAACCATCCACTGATTTCTTGATTCAAGTCATCGTCGTCATAGTCGAAGTTGTAATCTGGTGCCGGAAGACCAGGAAGGTGGAATTGGGGGACATATTATAAGGGGCGGTATGGGAGGAAGAAGGGGGAGAAGGGGGAGAAGGGGGGAGAAGGGGGAGAAGGAGGAGCAGGAGCAGGAGCAGGAGCAGAAGGGGGAACAGGAGCAGGAGCAGACACACAATATTGAGCACTCAGAGAATATTATTGATTGTATTGCAAAGATGAAGTACTGGAACCATAAGGATGGGTATTGTACAAGGGATATGGGAGAGCACAAGGTGACCATTGATGAGTAAGCCAAGTGTGTGGGGAGACCAGCCCCACCACGCAGTTGCACAAGTGAGTATAATGCATCGGCATGATCAACGCCCAGTTTTGATGAATGAGTCACTGCGGCCATGGACAGATTGGAATGCCAAATGGAGTCCAGGTCTGTGTACCATGGCAGCTCCAACAGTGCTGCATCTACAAATAAATCAGTTGAGAACCGAGAAATCAGGGCCAGGGACTCACCTAAGAGGTTATTTGCTTAGGTCCCTTCAGCTGGCATTACACCAGCACCAGTGCTGCCAAATGATGCCTTGATTTTCTTGTATTTGCCCCTGAGACTGGAGGAATTTTAGTGTCTTTATCAACAGAGTAAAATAAAAAAAAGGACTCACATTCCAATGCGGTTGCCAACTGTGTCACAGAATTTTTGGGATTGATGGTGTATGCGGCATCATACTTACTGTGGTTCGCAAATAAGAGCTTGGCAATACTCTGGTAGATCTGGCCTTTATCTGAGCCTGGGGGGGGAGGGAGTTATAGTGGTCAGCCAATTATTATCAACAAGTCATTGTAAATGTACCTAATGGTTCATACTACTAAGCAGGTTTTACTTTCTACTTTGAGTCCCACTTATAATTATATACCAATGAGACTTGTGTATATACATGTGGCACTTCTAACCCACCCTCGCAAGCTCGGGGGGTCCCAGAAGTGCCACATGTATATACACAAGTCTCATTGGTAACTCTAGCATATCTTGACATAACTGAACTTAACTTACTCTACTTACTTTACTTAAACCCCAACCCTAGCTTAGGGTTCGGTTGGGGTTACAAGATACCTGAAAGGCAAAACAAAGCACGATTAAAATGGTTGACTTTCATTATCTACAACTGTATATTGATTGTAGTGGTGGGTTGGGTTCAGTCATTGAGGCCAACTGACATATAAATTATAAATTATAATTGTGACCTGCTACAGTGGGAGTCCTGGAAGGCCACTGTGTGTGATGCCACATTATACATATGTACAGGTCAGGTTATGTACAGGTGATGTGATGTTGCTGTGAAGATCAATATTTGAGCCCTGTACACAGTGGGAGTCCTGGAAGGCCACTGTGTGTTGATAAATGAGAGGTAAGATACGAAATCTTTGGATACTGCCATATTATACATAAGGAAAGATGTAAAGATGTAAAGATGTTAAAGATGTGATGTGGTTGTAAAGTGCAAGATTTGAGGCCCATACAGAGTGGGAGTCCTGGAAGGCCACTGTGTGCGAGCAGAACAAACGAACGTAATCCTGAATGCCATTGTTAGATGTTAGATGTTACCAAACTATAAATAAGGAAAAGTGCATAAGTGTAAAATATGTGGCCCATACACAGTGGGAGTCCTGGAAGGCCACCATGTGCGAGAAGAGATTAGTCACCTTGAGATGCTTCCATATTATACATACATACTGATATGCGTGGGGTGCAATATTTGGGGCCCAAACAGAGTGGGAGTCCTGGAAGGCCACACTGTGTGAAGACAGATTTTAACGAACTGTTTGAGATGCTACCATATTATACATAATGAAAGGTATAATATATGAGGCCCATACAGAGTGGGAGTCCTGGAAGGCCACCATGTCATGTGCGAGGAGACATAAGGTATACAGCTCGTACACGCTTCCACATTATACTTAAGGAAAGGAGGTGTTGTTGTTGTGAAGGCCAACATTCGAGCCCTTTACAGAGTGGGAGTCCTGGAAGGCCACACTGTGTGAAGACAGATTTCAACGAACTGCTTGAGATGCTACCACATTATACATAATGAAAGGTATAATATTTGGGCCCTGTATACAGTGGGAGTCCTGGAAGGCCACCATGTGCAAGGCGAGATAAGGTACATATGTAATCAATGCTTCCACATTATACACAGGAACGATGTTGCAAGATCTGAGGCCTGTACAGAGTGGGAGTCTGGGAAGGCCACTGTGTGCAAGCAGAGATAAGGTACGATAATTTTTGAGGAGTCCACACAGTGGGAGTCCTGGAAGGCCACCATCTGCGAGGAGAGATGAGGGATGATGATTTTGGATGCCTCCACACAGTGGGAGTCCTGGAAGGCCACCATCTGTGAGGAGAGATGAGGGATGATGATTTTAGATGCCTCCACACAGTGGGAGTCCTGGAAGGCCACTGCCTGCAACAAGAGGTATGAGTGGTAATGTTTGAGCCCCATACACAGTGGGAGTCCCGGAAGGCCACTTCAATGACAACGACAAGCACATGTGATGAAGGTTGATGGGCCTCTGCACAGTGGGAGTCGAGGACTCCCACATAAATATAAAAACAATGTGATGATACAGGTGAAAAGCCAATACTAGCCAATACTAGGAGGTCTCATACCCACTGTTGAATTCAGGATCTTTTGGTCCAAGTCCAAAGTGCTGTGTGCGATGTGCTTGACCCAACCACAACCCTTCTTGTGATAGAACGATAAATGCTGACTGCATACGACTCCAACCTCGGGCTGCGTCCGTCCATTTTGCGCATTTGCCCCGCTATACTAATAATGATACATGGCTGCTAGGATGCGCATCAGCCTGAACTCGGAGGATGTCGAAATCAGCATCTGCCCCAGAGTACCCAAAGTTTTCCCTCGCAATGGTGAGGCGATGATGCTCGCAGGAGTTCTCACCTGCTGAAGAATTTCTTACGGATCTTCGACTCTCGAGCCATGGCACAGGCACCTTCAGCAACAAGTGAGAGCAATTCATTTCTTCGTTTTGGTTCTGTATTAAGTGGCTGATTCTTTCCTGCAACGGCGCAATTTGCCTACTGAAGGCAGCAGTGTTTTCAAATGGGCGAGTGCTAATCGATGATTCACGAAGACTAGAATCAAGTCTTTCCCTGTGGCAGGATATTTGGGCCATTTGTCTGCCCCTTCATCTGACACCCATCAAAGTAACCTGGTAAGTGCGCATCGAAGTTGCTGAGAATTTTGAAGCTTTCACACACTAGATCCTTCATTCCAGTGTGGTTCCATTCAGTCATTTTTCACCGCATGAGGTATGCACTCTCGATGTCTTACTCTGGCATGCTCAGGCGGTTGATCATCCTTCCCTGCCTTCAGATTCATGGTAGATTGCTGCCTGCCGTCATCTACCTGCCTACCTTCATCACCGTCTTGTATCTGCGCCATCGCCTGCTTCAACATAATCAAGCCGACCCACTACGCATTGACGCATTGCAAGCACTGGTCTACATCTTTCAAGGCCAGCATCGAGTCTAGCAAGGTTTGCGGACATCTTGAGGAGGAGAGCTGTACTGTACCATTACTCGGACATCTTATAGTGCTTGTAACTACATCTGAGATTCACCAGTAGTGCTACTGCTATATGATCCGCTGGTTGCCATGGCCAATGATTCGCAGCGCAAGCAGTGGTCGGTGAGCTAGGTGGTCGAGGATCATAGAGCGAACGAGTCACATGAGAATCTGTGTGAAATGAGATGGGAATGAATATTGCGACTGGCAAATGCAATCGTTTGATATCGCAGCGGCAATGGACCTGACAAAAATCACACGGATCTGGAGGTTTTTGCCACATCCATCGTCGACATAATCTGCCATTTTCTGCAGTGCATGCTTAGTTGGGACCATCAGAACGTCGAATGATGACCAAAAGGGTGAAATATGAGACTCTGATGCTTAGGGGGTGGGAGGTAGTTTGGATATGACGAACTAGTTTGTTGGCTTGGTGCCGTGGGGGGGAAAGATATGACGAATGAGTTTGTTTGGCTTGGTGCCATGGTGGGGAAGATATGACGAGCAAGTTTGTTGGGCTCAATGAGGCGGGCGGGAACATATGACCAATGAGTTTGTGGGGTCAATGAGGCAGGGGGGAAGATATAACGAAGGAGTTCATGGGCTCAATGAGGCAGGGGGGAAGATATCACGAAGGAGTTCATGGGCTCAACGAGGTGGAAGGGGAAGATATCACGAAGGAGTTCGTGGGTTCAATGAGGCGGGGGGGGAAGATATCACGAAGGAGTTCGTGGGCTCAACGAGGTGGAAGGGGAAGATATGAAGAACTAGTTTGTTTTGCTTGGTGCTGTGGTATGGTAGGGTAGGGAAGATATGACCGACAAGTTTGTGGGCTCGATGAGGGAGGGGGGGGGGGGGGGGGGGGGAAGATATGACGAGTTTGTGGGCTTCCCCGCCTGAGTACGGAGAAGCAGGGACGCTTTCCTGATATGGGACGGAGGAGTCCCTGCCTGGGAACGGAGAAGCAGGGACGCCTTCCTGATATGGTACGGAGGAGTCCCTGCCTGAGAACGGAGAAGCAGGGACGCTTCCTGATATGAGGGCGTGGGAACAGGGACGGCAACAGGCTTGGCAGGGCAGCAGGGACGGGGACGGAGGCGACTGCAGGGGTGCGGTCTCGGGAAACATATAGATAGGGTACACTGGTTACTCTTGAGGAATTGAGGGAGAGCCTCCAGGGAGAGGGATGTCTCAGAGACATGTTGTGTCCTACACACAAACCGGGTCTGACAGACCGTGGGAAGCGCTAAAAAGTGCTGCCAAGGGTGCGAGCTGCCAGAGTGTTGCACAAAGCGGTCCAGTCGTTGGCTTGCGACAAGGACATGCCCTTGGAGCAGCACATAGTGTTCGTGCATATTGGCATATGATCAATTTCGTGCATACTCCAGCTTGTTAATTAACGCATTCATCTGACGATTTCGCGTGTAGTATCAAGTCGTGGTTACGTGCAGCCTGTCGCCAAGATAAATTTCCATTTTTCAGACTGTGGAACTGTATACCTCCCTGATATGTGCACCCAATGTAGACTTCTATTTGTATTTTCCAGTCTGTTGCCTCAGAATCACAGGTGACCGCTCCTAAGATGCACTAACAATTGGAATTAGAAATTGGGCTACTGGCGACATCTTGATTCGGAAGAGAAAGAGACTGATGAGCACACAATCCATGCCGTCGTTGTAGGCCTCACATTTCATTCCCACAGCTTGAGGATAGCGACTCATTATGGACTGGACTAGTGTACCACCAATGGTAACTAGTGACATGCTTTCAGGAGTGTGCTAACAGAGGCGGTGACGAAAATATATTGAGGACAATAACAACAGAGCCTTTTTTTTCGAGGAAGGCCGAGGAGATTACAAAAAGCACTCGGACGGAACATGAATGTCGAACATTCGTCACCTACTTGCCTTTGCCCCGCAAGTTCGTGCATTCAAAACTGCCATAAAGTGCTAAACACCGCCTAGTCAAAAGGTAGCGTGTGCTCCATCCTTTTGTATTTTGCAAGCTTTGACAGTTCCCAGACCTAGGGGGCGAGTTTTCGACTGCGCGGCAATAACGCATCCTATGCCACCACAGCCTTTAACCTTTGGAAAATGAACGTTTGGCATTTATCTCGCAGTCGCTTGGATCTGTGCGCTTCTTCTATATCTACCGCCCTGATGCTAACTGCATGTTCTTTCGCAGTTCGCACTTGCAAACTGGACTTTCCTCGATGCTGCCATCTTATATACGCATGCACACCCGCCTTACGAGGATCCTCAAATTTCCCCTCCCGTGCATGTGCAGTTCGTTGATTGGGTGCCGGGCATCTTCTCGCTCCTTGGCATGCTCATCATCAACTCGATGGACAAGGATAGGATTAGAGGGGATGATTATGGAGACTCCGCGGCCGTGTGGCGCAAAATTCAAAGTGGGACTCTACGCTTCAAGATGTAATCAAGGTTGATTACTCTTCCTATCATGACACCGTTGACAGCAGGTTGATTCGGCGTTGTCACATAGTCGGTTGCCATCCAGCTCTCGTTGTTGGGCTACATTTCCAAGGTACTCTCTTCAATATTTCCTTCAGTCTGTCAGATTCGAGCTTCGGTGTCATTTTTACAGGCTATTGCACTTTTCAATGCCAGTCGTCGTGATGAGGTCATGCGCCAAGTTCAAGACCTGGCCAATGCTTGTCAGCGCATAGATAGACTTCCGTGCAGCGTCATTAATGTGAGCTTTATGTCACACCTCATGAGTTGTCTCATTCTGAAATAGACACACTCAGTCATATCTGCATGTGCACTTGCAATAACCGCTTTTGAGGATGGGCAGTACAGAAGCCGCTGGTTGACTCCACGATAGTATTCCTAGTAAAATCGATCTCTCGCAGAACGCTTTTTGAACCTAGATTGAAGACATTCATGGTGGTGCATTATAACAAAGCCGCAGAACACACTTCCATGATGATGTACGCTGCACAGCTCTTCGGCTGGGACTTAGATTCGTTATGGCAAACCCGTCAACCAAAGACCGTGCCGATCGAATGATCGAAGCTGTTGAATTTCATCATTACATGATGTATATGTTTGACGAAGATGCGAAGAGCAGCTGTCTCGAATAATCTACCAGTGAGTGCGTTAGCATCTCCGACGGCTTTGATATTGAAACTCATTCCGGTTGTCGATGAGCCTTCATGCAAGACTGCATTATGCAATGCATCGCAAATGGAGATGGCCATTGAATTGTATTGGGCTGCGATCGGGTTGGATCCTTCATGTGACACCCTTTTTGTGCACCGCCATGCACGCTGCCATCCTGCTCGAAGAGATGCAGACTTCTGTCTACAGGCTGCGAAACGCTATGGCCAAGGAGGTCGGCTTAGAAACTATATGCCCTCCTTGGCGACCCCAGTGCTCGTCGTTTTGCGAACTCCAGACTTCAACTGCCTTGCATGGCTTTTTCTGTCACAGAAGTGAAACGTAGTGAAGACTTGGACCGGGAGAGATCGTGGAATCGTCATGATCTCGAACTGCCTGGCTTTTCAGACAATATACGGAGTATGGTCACGGTCGAGTCCTTGCCAGAGTCTGCGTTAGATGAACCATCTGGCGGGTATCCTGGAGAAGATGGATCAGTTGATACAGTATCTCATTCGCGAGCGTTGAGGTTGATCCATTCGCCTTGGACGGCCTTTTGACACACTTCTCCTAGCAACAGCATGGTGCATCGGATCACAAGATCATGGCACGGGTCAAGGACATGACTTCCGTTGATGATATGATGGACATGAGGACGCTAGAGATATTGTAGTTGCACGGATTTCAGAGAACGGGCAATGCTGATTATTTTGACAGTACTTTCATCCCTGGGCATCTATATTGTATTGTATGCCAACTTACGACAGGAAATCAAGCCACCATGATTGTATACTCGAATGATCACTGAGAGCACGTCGTCTTCCGATTCCCAACTTCCCCAGCACTTCTCATTGTCGGTTACAGCGCGTCCTTGTCGACCATCATTAATAGTAACTGCTTTCAATTATCTTCCACCCTGTTCACGGACAAGTACTGTTCTGTGTCAATGTGCCGTCGACCACGCATGGTTATACCTTTTTCCATCTCACTGTAAGCACGCTATCTTAATAGAGTTCTTCAAACCTTGGACGGGGTAACCGCTCATCATCTGCACTCCAGCACCTGTAATGACCCTCACAGCCTGAGCGTGTTTGTCCATTTTGCGACGAGCCATTAACCAGTTGGAACCAACAGTCAAAGAAGTAGATACCGATTACCAGAAAAGACATCTCTTTGCGTGAAACATTGCAGCTTAGTACAGTACGCGCCGTAATTTATAGTCCATCAGCGGTCGCAGTCACAGATGATTCCGATTCGTTACCCCATAATGGCCACTTGATTACCTCCTCTCCTCGAACGGATTTTCCGTGTATTCCAATTCATCGTCACTATCGTCTCTGTGTGTAGGTGGAGGCTGTTCCCGGAGGAGTGATACAGGTCGTTTGGGCAGAAGTCCAAATTTAGCTAAGGTGTAATTAGATTAGAGATGCAAGGCAGCGGGAAGAAAACGACTGACTGGCGTCAATTCCGCCCGGGGGTACCAACACCCGTGGACGGCGGCCTTGAGGTGTCACCCGACCGCCGGGCAAGTTCAGGCGGAGGGGATGTGCCCATGCCTGTGGTCGGCGGCGAATACGTCGATGATCCTGCATAGGTTGGGCTACTGCTTGCAACGGACGTAGGGTTCGGTATAGGCTTGGTGGCGAAGTTCGGAGGAACGTACGTCGCACTTGGGGCGAGAGTAGGAACAGAGTTCGTCCTTGGATTTGCGTTGCCACCGCCGGGACGGGGAGGAGATTGCCACCCGCTTCCACGAATTCCACTGTCGACCGGTGGATTGGGGTCATAGTAGGATTCCTGGTGTTGCGGATTGGGATCATGGTATGATGACTGGTACTGGGATTGCGTGGGTTGTCCACTGCCCCACGAAGGTTGAGATGATTGACCCCACGTAGGCTGTGTATCCTGTCTGTAAAAAAGATCCATTAGATGTTTCGCATAAATGGAGATGAACAAATTGGTGAAAACGAATGTCGATGGAAGTGGCGGTATCATTTAATGAAACAACCTCTGGTGACAAAAGTAAAGGGATGCGAACCTGGAAGCTCCCTGGCCCTGATCGTATTCCTGCATCTTCGCTTTGACTTTTGAAACGATTGAAGAGAATGTCTTCTTGCCAGCTAGTGATTTCCGCAGTCAGTTACCGCCTATGATACGAGGCTGGAAGTACGTACTCTCTGCTATCTTGTTGAAACCATCTTGGAACTCTGTCATAGTGTCCCGTTGCGGTGGAGTAACCACCTGCGCCGTACCGGTATACCTTCCGGTTTCATCTCCACCTGCCCGGTCTCGACTAGCAGACTGTCTCGACTGGTAATATTGGGGCCCTTGTTCCTGCTGCGGAGGGCGCCACTGATTCTGCGCAGCTTGCTCTTCCTCAAGCATGAGACGTCGAGCGAGTTGCTCGTCTAGGTCAGTCTGAGTAGGCTCACGCTGCTCCGGTGGCGGGTAGCGGCTGAGAGACATAATCGGGGTCACTCATCCCCAACAGTGTATCAATTGCCAGATCCTGGTCACCGTTGACACTCTGAAGTACAGAAGATCTGCACGTCATTCAGCATATTTGACTTGACAGAGTATTATCAACACACAGTAGGGAGTCATCAAAATCTGGGAACATGGCGTGCAGGCTCGCGATGCGTGGATCCACATCGACATCAAGAGGACGCTGCGGAAGGTTCGGGATGCCTTCGGCCTGAGTAATAGCAGGAGGTTGGGGCGAAAGAGTAATCATTTCACCAGCTTCTGGTGATTGGGATGGCGAAGGAGCTACTGCGAAGACAGGCGGGGGTTGTTGTTGGTTATCGTGTATTCCTGGTGGTGATGGAGGAAACTGATGCGAGTCCTCTGAATCTGAAGGCGGTGATGGTGAGGCAGGGTTTGCTATATCTGGCGTATCCATTTCTCTAAGTATTTGGATATAGTAGCCGCAGACATGACCAAAGTTGCTCACCTCGAGGCTGGCCATCAATAACTTGGTCCTCGTTTGTCTGGGTCATCGTTGTAAGAACTGTCTGTACATGTGATCTTGGTGGTCGGTTTTATAGGATGAGAGTCTGTTGCGGAGTAGGTCGTGGCGGCGCATGCGCAGTCATACGCTGTCATCGACGATATATAATTAATACATAGCTTACCAAATATAGTAAGTAAGTATATGACATTCGCCGCCGGCGTAGCGCTGAGCTCATCATCCACCATCAGCATCAGAGTTTTTGAAACATGGATGATTTCGCTGCTTGGTTTCAATACAATGGTGGGGTCTTGGATACTTCGATGATGGGCATCACCGATTTTCCTGGCAGTGGACGTGGTGCAGTCGCACTCCAGGATGTACCTGTTCGTCTCCTTCAAAAAAAAATTTGTCCAGACTCCAACTTGGTTACTCACACGTCCCCCAGGAAAACCATACAATTTTCACGCTTCCTCGTTCATTAACACTTTCAACTCAGACCTCGGCCCTTCCTTCTGAATTCGGTTTTGAAGCATGGAGAGAGCACAAGTTGCACAAGGGTTGGGTTGGACTGATTCTCTGTATGATGTGGGAGGAAGCTCAAGGAAACCAAGGAAAGTGGATTACATATCTCAGTGGGTCTTTCCAAACAACCACCTGTCAGTTTTTTTTCTCAACTCAATATATAGCGTCACTCCCGACGCAATTCGATACTCCAATATTTTGGAGTGACGAAGAACTACGAGAACTCCAAGGGACGGCTGTGGTAGGTCTGTTGTCAAAATTTTCGCATTTCTCGTCGCGTTCTCGTTTATGAAAGCAGATGCGCTTGGCTGACGTGGTGAAATCTAGACAAGATAGGTCGGGATGAGGCTGAGCGCGACTATCACGAGAAGCTAGCTCCAGCGATCAAGGTAGATCTATTTTTTCACCTTTTCCTATTCGGACTCGAATATTGAGCGAATTAGACTCGACCGGACCTTTTCCCCCACAATCAAATTGATGTATGGTACACACTTCATCGGTACCATATTACCGGCAGCCGAATTCTATCTCGAAGCTTCAATGTAGAGAGGTGGGAAGGCGAAGTTGAGCAGGATTCCGAATACGTTCCAGAACAAGACAGTAACGAGGACGCCCGGGCCAACACAAGTATTGGGAGCGCAATGGATGTTGACGATTCGGGAGACGGTGGTGAAGCTGTGAACGAAGGGGGCAGCGACAGTGATAGTGATGATGAGGAAATAGATGATACGTCGGATATTGCGATGGTGCCTATGGCTGATATTCTGAATGCTCGATATGACTCTGTCAATGTAAGTCGTGTGGTCATGAAATCTCTCTGTCCCAGTCTTTCTTTGCGTTTGCATGTCATTCATGTAGCCCTTCACAGGCTAAACTTTTCTACGAGAAGCACCATCTTCATATGGTCACCACGAAGCCCATCAAAGCTGGAGATCAAATCGTAAGTTGACCCGCACTAAGTGATTATATCGGTTCACATCCGTTCAAGTTCAATACATATGGCGACCTGCCCAACTCAGACCTGCTACGGCGCTACGGACATGTTGATCTTGTGCCTTGTCCCCATCTAAAGGGTGCGCTAGGAAATCCACAAGACATCGTGGAGATTCGAGCAGACCTTGTTGTCAATGTTGTTTGTGGTGATGTATCTAATAGCGAAACATATCGACAACGGATCGACTGGTGGCTCGACGAAGGAGGCGATGAGTATGGTCTTCGCTTGCTATGTTTCTTTTTATGCTCAAGCACACCATATAGTGTTTTCATCATCGATGCGGACCCAATTCTCCCTGCAGCGCTGACATCTTTGATCAGACTTCTACTTCTCACCCAAGAAGAATGGGAAAAGACACGGGAGAAAGGGCGTCCCCCGAAAGCCAAGTTTGATCTCCAAGTCTCTTCGTTACTGCGAAGAATATTCGAGATGCGCTTGACCGGTTATCAATCACCAGATCTTGAAGTATGTTCGTCCAATCATTATTCTACTCGGGGATCGGTGACACGGAAACTATTCCTTGTTCTAGCTTGACGCAAAGCTTCTTACATCCCATTCGCTCACGCTCAACAAGAGACACGCCATCGTAGTACGGCTCGGGGAGAAGCAGATTCTGGCAGCCGCACTTGAAACCCTGCGCCTCATGGATGCAGCCTTGAGTGACGTCAGGGGTGATGGATCTAAAGGCAAGAGGCGTGTTGCGAGTGGGGGTACGACGGGTGGAGCAAAAACAAAAAAAGCCAGGCATTGACGCTACGAAGGCCTGCGCATGGACCGACCCATTCACCCCTTCTGTCCATTGACCTCGTGGTTGTTATCCACATGTAGTGCAGAAGAACGGAGAATACCGAGTAGCTTTGTCAACTAGCCACTACTGATATATCGATCTTCTCGCTAACCTTCTGACAGCAACTTTTACCTATCACATCGGTATGTAGCTGGCCAAAGGGACAATGCTGCATTCCATCACGCGAAATTCTAACCTATAGTTGGCAACCGGAACTGCGCGAGGCTCCTCCCGGGATCAGAACATCCTATAGCATTATTCAGATAACGTTCAAAAGAAATACTTTTAGTAAGGTTCAACGTTCATCCATTCAACGGGTCCATTCAGCACGCCGTCAAGATGTGAAAGATGCGAATAAACTCTATATATATGCGTCTTCCCTTCAATATCGTTGATTCGATAGTTGGCAGATGCTGGCAGACGGGTTGGCAGACGCTGGCAGATAGCATAATTTTGTGCAATACGTTATCGATTATCGATCGCTCCGTTAGTTTCTTAGCAGCCCAACGATGCAGCTCTGACGCCCACCGGTGATGCTCGGTGATGCCAGGTACTCCCGCGTCGGACATGAGTTGGTTCCGGCTAAACGGATAACTATCGCACGAATTTCCAACATTTTGACGACTTCACACTTACATTAGGATGGGATCGCACGTGTATTGTGAAATCAAGTGACTGTGGGGGTTTATCACACCCCTGTAAGCTTTGGCTTACCTTGTCTTGGCGTCGTGTCGGCGTCGATTGGATCTTACGGTATTGTCAGCTGATGCGGCCATATTCATGCAAATGGATGTCCTTATCTTTTACCTCCACGCAGCGCTCATCCATGTTACGCCTTGTCTAATCGTTCATTATATTAACGTCCGAAATGGACGGTTCTCAATTGCACTACCTTGAGAATTATCTAATTGTAAGAAGGAATCAGTAGAATTACAACAAGGCGCAAGGACCCCTAAGAATATGCTCATTTCTCCGCTTCTTCGTCAGCGTCGTAGCCAAACTGGATTGAATTCGTTTCCTTGTCGGCCCACTGGTTTGCGTGCCCTGCCGAAGTCATTATGCTCCTTTCGCCGGTTGCCACGCGTAAAGTGTCTTCCATCGCGGCAAGCATTTCCCGGCCTCGTTTCTCTTGCTGCGGACCGTCGGGAAGGTGAAATATGTGCTGATTTAGACGAGAAAAAATTTGAGTAGCGATTGCACGATCATAGCGGATGGATTAGTAGGCGTGAAGTAGGGGAAGAATCTGAGAGCGGTGCACAAGGCGAGAGAAACGGTTGCCCAAAACATGGCAAGAGGAATGAGTGGTATATATAAGCATAGATGAAATGACTCGCATCGCCTAAAATCAGGTTTGACAGTGACGTCCTCGAGGCGTTTTCCCAGACCCCAGCGGATCAGAAGCTGGGTCAGGGTTGGGCCGACCTGGATACCAGCGCCGATCTCTCCAATCGCGAGAGTGGCCTCAAGGATGGTCACTTTATGGGCAGCCTGGGCGAGACAGTACGCAGCAACGACACCACCAAGCCCACATCCTACGATGATAACTTCGAAGGAAAGATAAACTTGACGTCCTTGGTACAGCTTGCAGACCTGAAAATGCAAGTCAGCCGAGTGACCGACGGACCACTAATAGTACATTTGCAATCTGTTCACTTGTGCCTGTTGCTGTTTGAGACCTGTTGCCCATCGTGCTCTTGTTGCTCCTGTGGGCCATCGAATAGTCAAGCGGGAGTGGCAAAAGAACACACACCATTAATACAATGCAAGGAAAAGGTGCATGACTGAGGGACGCATATTTATCTACAGGTTATATTTAATACCAGTGCCAGGTGAGGCCTGCTAAATGTTTCTGCGAGTGTGACACGTGCGTGAGTACTTCCGCCCTCGTCATTAATTGTCAGCTACCACTCGGCTCTCCGCGCATAGCAGTAAAGCCTAGCGAATCGATGGAGTCAAACCAGGACCAGCGGACCGAGAGGCAAATAGTAGAGAGCAGTAGTACTAACCATCCCGAGTATTCCGCGAGTATTCCGCAGTGACCTCTTGTGGCCCCTGTCGCCTTGAATGATGGTTGTCAGCTGATATCGACCTTTGCAGTGTAGTGCACTGCAAACTTCAAATCACTAGTGTTGCCAGCTAACTGCGACTTACGATCGGGATAGCGGTGTCCAGCAGTCGAGGCCCGTTCCTGGCGGACCATGTGTTGATTGAGAGTCCTCATGCTCCTCCAGATCGTATATGTATGCAGGAGCATTAAACAATGCTTTTACATCCGGCGATGAATTTACCATCCTCAACCTCCGATCGTCTGGTATCTCCGAACGGGCGTACCACCAACGCTAAATAGAAAATTTATAGTTGATTTATAGTATTACATAATTTAATTCAATAATGCTTTACAAAGATAGTCGACGATATGAAGTGGCGGCTAAGTTATCATCTTGTCGATTCAAATTTAATCTTATACTGCAGCAACAGTCAACTTGCAGCCGCTGGAGACCATATGTAGCTATGCTTAACTGAGATATTGAGAACTCGGGGAATTTTTTGGCTTCAAAGGGCTCTAAACTAGAACCGGAGAACTAATAATTCGACCACCAGGCAGCTAGATCACCTTAAATCCATTGGGAGAACATATGATGTGACCATATGCTTACGTAACATTGAATATGTATACTCAGATCATTACGTCTATCAGTTCGACTAAACTTGGTGACCTTGGTCAGGCTCCTGCGCTCATGAACAACCGTATTGCGCGCTCCGTACTAGAGGGCAATCACAAAATGCTTATTGATCAGTACAAAGCAAACCTTGCAGATGTATGCGCTCTCCAATCAACCCTGAATGATGAGATCTTGTCCCATGTGGTCCAAGAATTTGCGCTCAGTGATGCGGACCATACATGGGCGAAGGAATGGATCTCGGATACAGGTAATACTTGCAGCATCAAATCTATGAAACCGTAGGTTGACTATTAACTGCAGCAACCATTTTCCGTTTCTTGCGGGTGGGTGAAATGCTAACCGCTTGCAGCAGCAAGTGTCTCCGCTAAAGTCTGGTATGTAGCACCATAGATTCGTTCGTTCATTCGCACTGGAGGCCATACACGCGACACTCATTTGGCGCCTAAACGCGTTGCGACTCTTCGCTCCCCCTTCTGTACTGCTTCATTGCCTTCCACCGCCGATCTGCGATCCACTTGGCCGTCCCCTCGTATTTCTCCAGTTGTCAGAATTACTGACTTGCGAACAAACAATGATGGATGGGTTGCTGATCTCCCTCGACCGCCTGCGTATTCATCTCCGCTCACTTAATACTCTTAACAATGAGTTTTCAAACCGTGAAATAACTCTTCAATGTGTTTTCGTCATCGACCTTGAGGGTCTATCAATCCAGTCGCTTGTATGTCAATGCTCCTTTAGACCTAAACTTTTATTCAGTTCCGTGACAGAACCTTAAAATTTTAACATGGTTCATGAAAGAAGTAGTTCCCCGGTACCCTGGAATGCTTGGTGCAGGTAACAATGCATCTCTCGAATTATGAGCGATGATCAAACTCAATTTTGTTTTGTGTCAGTATTCTTCCTCAATTACTCCTGGACGTATGCGATGACCTGGTCCATTGCGAAGTGCGTTTATTTCAGACACGTTTTAGGTCTGCTTGACCAGGACTTAGGTCCCTACTTCCTAAATCCGCGGTTGCCCGAGTCTTCTTTCCCTCCAGGGAGGAGCTTCTTCAATACTGTTCTGCGTCAGCGTTACCATCTAGTCAGTCACCCTATCTTGTTGCCTTACACACTTAGCAGCCGTGCATTTGTCAGATTATGGCGGTGCACTCTCGCCACTCCACCTCATTGAAGATCCATTAAATTCGGATGCCCAGAAAAATCGCGCTTCTATTGTTTCACGTGAATGGTGCATGCCGGCTCCCAGCATCGGGCTTCCTGCAACCCTGCACCGGCAGCCTTTGTCCGTATCCATACCCCCTCGATCCTCCCTGAACCCTTTCTTCGGTTATCCTACAGTCGCTTCCCTTTCAAGACCGCACATGGTGCAACAAGGTCGCCGGCGGAAACTGTGATTTGTTGTTGACCCTCTCAGTTCTCTGGTGGAGAAGATGGGGTACACGCATCATCATATTGCTCTGTTTTCTCATCACAGTCAGTCTCACACGGAAGAGAGTCAGGAGAGTAGCACGATGGATGCCGGGGGTAGCCCTACCCTCTGGCAGCATCTTGCCATGACTAAGTTGGCCTGTATGATGGAATTGATGAACCGGAATATCATTTCGGCGGTGCTAATACCATGCCACGCAGTCAAGAAGTGCCGAGGTGTTACATAACTTGCCTTGCAATTAATTAATCATTCATGGTTCTCAATCGGCGGAGTGACCCCTCGCTTCTCCGGCCAACATGGTGCTAATAACTCAGTCAGGCTCAGTTCTTGTTACTTTCGTAGCAGGCCTACGTTCTAGCACTCAGAAGAGGCCATCCGCAAGATTAATAGCGTGATGCTGGACACATTATCCAGGGTATAGTAAAGTATCATCGTACGAGTATCAGTGTCGTCCGCGCAATACAGGTTTACATTTACTTGCTACAGCTTGGGCGCCAAAACCGCCGCCGGCAGCACTCGGTTTCTATCAGGAATGATCAAGAGCTCTGACGTAGCTTGCTGAGATACTAGAGGAAGTACTCGGGAAGCTAGGTGGAGCAAACATTCGTGTGAGCAAAGTGGTCTATTCAAAGAAAATATGGAGCGAGATGGCCACAGGAATAGCAACGCACCTTCCCACCAACATTTTGGGGAGCCTGTTGACTTGGACCATCGCGATCGTTCTCCGGGGCAGCTTCGAACACATTGAAATACATGCTCTCGCCAGGACCCACCTCGAGTATACTCGCAGAATTGCCGCAACGATAACAATAGTTAGGCGCCGACCAGACAGTCGAAAGGTGTTTGTCAAACAGTGACGAATATCCTTCCATGCAGAGTTGATGTGCGCGTAAAATATGCGACATGTTGTTCGTTTCCAAGAACTTGTGCACGACGCCTGATCCAAACGTGTAGCCAGCACCTCTACATGATCCGTTCCAAATTGAAACATTAGATACAATACAAGCGGAGCAAGGATAAGCCTCATTAGTCAATAACGCTGGTGATACGCTGGAGCAGGCACGAACCTTGGGGATATTGCAAAGTCTTCTTTCTCTGCATCCGGATCCGACCATACCAAATCAGCCATAGGACCCTCGTGTGGGATTTCTGAACGAAATGAGGGCGGGGAGTAATGATAACCGGAGGTTACATACCTCGAAATCGATCTACAACTTTGATTTGATCTACAGAATGGATAGATGGCGAAAGACCTGAGACAAGGAATCCATCAGATCGTGACATTGTGAAACAATAGATCGCTGATGACCTCCATGAACACAGAATATCCGATCATCGATTACCACAGACAGGGTCAAGAAGTCGAACATGTCCGTGAAGTACGTCCATACATGTGACGAACCGTATTTCCGCACACACTCCGTATAAAACCCATAAGTCTAAGTTAAACATTGAGCGATAAGGGAGCTCCATAAAGATCACGAATTGATGGCTGACTTGTGTTACAGCCCTTGATTCATGGTTGCCGCGAATTAACTGGACTCTGTCGGGGTAACGCAGCTTAAGACACGTAAGGAGTGATATGGTCTCGACGCTGAACAGGCCGCGATCTACGTAATCTCCTAGGGTACTATGAGAAAAGGAAAGTATATTCTGACAGGAAGAAAGGAACTCACCAAGGAAAAGATAATTGGTATGAGGAGCGTAGCCACCTATGCGGAAGATTTCGATGAGGTCGTAGAACTGACTTGAGTTCCATGATGAAATGTTGTACAGTGATTGAATCTACGAACCGCTCACCCGTGTATATCTCCAACGACAGTTACTGGGGCACTGACATGCACCACATTGGATTCCCTCATGAGAACCTCTTTCGTTTTTGCACATATTTCGCGTAAAAGGGCCTCATGTAAAAGCTGTTTGCGGGTAGTAGTTGCTGTATACACGCGTCGAGATCGAAGGGGGCCATAATTCCACTCCGAGTGATTTGGAAACTGCAGGAAGGTTAGTCACGAGTCACAGATCCATTCCTTTGTCCGTGTTTGGGTACGCCTTTCAAATCTGCTCCCGTTAGCCTCGAAGTCGCCATACTTAGTACAACCAGAACACCATTATTTGATGGCAAGCAGTTATGCAGTTCAAACAAAGTTTCGACTATCAAATCGATCGCACTCCTTGGCGCTATGAAGAAGTCGAGACCCGTGTCACTACTCAGTCAGCTGTGGATTATGGGTAAGGTTAAGTTTGCGAGTGGTCAGGCCTGGAAGGACGGAAATTTTCTCTCATCGTGCCTGGCTGCGAATTCAATCTGCACAAGCCACAAACCCATTTTTACGTTGGGGTTTCAAGCTTCGAGGGCGATCCTGAAATGAGCGCTCTGATTGGTGGAAAGGGCTTCGGCTAAACGGGATATTCCCTAGAAATTGTCTCACAGGTTCAAAACTCAGAAGGGTCTCTCTCCTGATCGCATCCTCGAGGCTTTTGCGTGTCTAATGAATACTTACCATTCCAGTAGATTGGCGATTGGCGCCTGCCGGGGAGGCACGCTGCGGGGAGTATACTAGTAGCTCCACTCCGAAGTCGTGGTTTTTTTTTCGTTGACTTCTTGCAGTCGTGTACACTGATGCATCTCTCGCGATGGATGCTGAAACCGAATGGTGATTCACCAATGTCTATTCTACCCGAGGAGATAGACACACGCCAACTCATTGTTTTCAATGGTGCAATATGGCTTTTTGAGGACAAACAAGCTTCTGGCTCCGAGTAATTCATTATCATGTCGATGTAGTCAACGAATCGCCCCAACAGTTGCGAGCTCGCAATATTTTGGGCTACCGTCGGTGCCGAAAAGGAAGATGCCTTCCCGAGGAAAAGAACACGTGGAAAGTGCGATTCTTCATTTGCAGGAAGACGGTATCGGAATATTTGTCGCAGTCGCTGTTGTCATTCTTCTTTTTCATGGTAACATTGCACTTGAGATTGAATCGGGCGCTCACTGGGAGGCTCCATCGCCTTTATAGTAGAGTTTCATCCACTGAGCTCTCCTGTTTAGTCATCCATCTTCCTGCTCCGTCGACGTTGTGGAAATCCGCAAGCTCTTAACCCGGCGTTTTGTCAACGTGCAATATACATCTCATATTATATAATTTCGATCTTCGGGCGACATTGTTCGGGATGCCATGGCCCTAGGCGTAATCATTCCAGCACAGCTGCTAACCAATCCAAGATACTGACTAGAACGATCTATTTCACGAGGCATTCTCAATTGGCTGGGATTTTCCGGCTAACGTTTGAACAGGGTCTAGTAACATACCAGTTGAGCCAAGTCGCTTCTTGTCATTTTCTCTGTCTCCATGTATAGCCCCCCCCCTGGAGAGTGACATCAATAACATTGAATACACCTAAGGGTCACGGTGATGGATCTTTTCCGCTTAGCGTTAGATGAAAGCAGCATGTTCACGACGAGTTGCTGCACAAGAGGGTTGCCAAGTACTGATATATATGTCTTACGAGAATACGGCAGATCCGACTCGATCAGTTAACTGCCCAGGAACTCACAGAGTCTCACACACTCCGCAAACTCTCTAGCCTCGTGATCTGCCTACGGCGATCTTCTGTAAACCTGCCGTTCACTACAAATGGAGGAGTTCTCGTTCTGAGCTCACCACACAGCTTTTCCTCGGTGAGACCCCGTATCTGCCCAATCTTGTCTGTTCTAATTTTTTCCATATTCTTCCTTCTATTGCTCCACCCGCTCCCGAGGTAGTACTTTACTTGAACCCTACTTGACGGAATTTAGTCTCCCGGGTAATGAACATCCAGAACCGTAATGTCAATCATGATTGGCCCATTCAGCGCCCACATGATGCTGTCCTACCATGCTTGCAATTTTGATCTGGCGCCTTCCACCGAATATCTCTTGATGGGCCGGAGTCATACGCAGCCTTAACTCTTTCATACCGGAATTACGCTCTGAGAAGTAATGATTTAGTAACCGATCTACTCTTCATTAAGGTACGTTGTCACCCTGATAATGATATGACAGGCGACACCCGAGTACTTTCACTGCAAAAATGTATATAAAGGCTTGACAAGTAGAAGAGCTGGGAAGTCCTTACTATTCACCAAACCCTCCTTGCACAATGCAGTACCCAAATCCGTACTCCCACAACGGTCATCAGACACAACAACCACATGTTTCTGCCCACCATCCTCGACAATCTTCCTCGAGCTCGAAGAGTCACTCCTCCGCATATCCCCAACAACCACAGGTATTATCGGGTTACCCACTTGATAGTACTTTGTCCAATGGTATAATAGGTATTGATGCCATTGAACGGCGCTTTTATTGGTAGTTGACATTCTTCAACCAGGGAACCACACCAGTAATCCATTACAACCCCCTCCTTTCTCCAACCACCCGCAGCACGGCTCATCATCTGCTATGGACACGCGCAGGCCATATTATCCTCCTCCCCCTCCTCCAGTGAATCAGCCTGACACTTACTATCCCTCACATCATCATCCGTCTGCGCCAAGTCCCCAATATGCGATAAACTCCCATCCGCATATCGAACCTCAGACTCTCCATGCTCATTCAGGACCGCAGCAATTCATCCCGACGCCATCACAGACGTATCAAGTATATTCCAATACCGTGCCGTCGAACCCGCGCTCCCGTCCCACCAATGAACCGTACTATCATATGTCCCCCAATCCCCAACACACCACCCAGGGCAGCCCATCCCCTGCTATGCCACGTTCTGCGCACACATCCCCCTCCACCAACCCGGCACTTATTGGAGATCGCTTTCCCTGTGAGCTCTGTGACAGGTCGTTTACTCGCTCGCATGACAGAAGGAGACACTATGAAACCGTGCATGCTACAACCCCCGTCCTACATCGATGTCGTTACTGTGGGAAAGATTTTAGTCGCGCGGACTCACTCAAACGCCACATTGATAATGGATGTGACGAGATGTCGCACAAGTAGATCTGGAAAATGACTTTTTGATTACCTTCTTTCAACACAACCTTTACCACTGTCCTAATTCTGCACTCACTTGAACATTATCTCTGCTACGTTAACCATCATGTCATATAATTTTCCCCAGTCCAATGCTTGGAACGTGCTTGTACTTATGTGTATTTTTACTACTGCACTAGACTCGGAAGGATCCTCCAGTAGCCTACGGTAACTGGTACGCAGTTGCTAAATACGACGCGACGCATAGTGTTCCCTCACACAAATATTCTCAATTCGAACCCTTAGTACCTAATGAGAGCATGATATTCTTGACCCACGGTGACATTGCATGACCGATATCTATATCTGATAGGTCCAGGGCCTAGAATTCTAAAGTTACATGACACGTTTGGGTCATATCTCTGGCCGACTAGGTACTTATTTAAGAAATGGCTAGTCATCGTGATACCCAAACAAACTCGGACAGTCTGCTGATCACTTATGGATCAACCGATCACGCTGAACCATTTTCATCTGGTGTGTGTCAGTGATGTGGAGCCGTTCAAATGTACTGATGAAATGTACTTTTCCCTTATTGACCGCCTTGGATGCGGGAGCCCGGCGAGTCTTGGTCACGTCATCTAGTTTTTGAAGAGAGACAACCATTTTCGCGTTGGCGCCGAGGGAGCTCTTTGCAATCGCCGTGCCTATCCGATCATATGATAGGACGATATCCCACAGGGCTATCAGGGACCGAAACGATCGCACTGCAGCATGGCACATCTGCAACCGAATCGAAATACAGAAGGCTACCCCGAGGTCCTCGGGTAGGACTACCCACACGAGTCTGTTTGGAACTAGGCAAGAAACAACGTCATGCTATTCGCATGCCATGTTTCTTTTCCGAAAAACCGTCTCGCGAATTACGGATCTGCTTCCGGGACCTGCAAGGAACAAGTAAATTCAATGGCATCAAACCGGGTGCCTGTTCAAACGCTAGTACGTCGGTGACAACAACACCGCCAGCCCCTCGCTTCGTACTTACGACGCGATATGGCCGTATTTGAACGCTTCGCGAGTGGAAACCAAGCGAAATAGCTCAGCAGAAGACTCTGGTAGACGAGCCAGATAAGAGACGTTTACCTCAGAAGTTTACGTAGGAGGGAATCTCAAGTGATAGGGGGCACACCTTGGCGGAAGAGAAAATATGAATGACACTTCTAGTCGTAAGCTCACAAAGAATGCGTCGCACGCTGATGCGCATATCAATAATCAATACATTGACATAGATCTTAATCATTATCATCATCACCTGAGTCACTGTCCCTGCTTCCGTTATCAACCAAGCCCTCAATTTCGACCGCAGGACTGTTATCCTCGACGTGATCATCGTCTTTTTCTGCGCGTTTCTGGTTTAATCTGTTTATGATTTTATCGGCACGATTGAATATTCCACCGGTGGGGGCGCCGCATGCTAAGCACTTGGGAGTTTTGGCGTAGCGCTTGATTGCACAAGCCGAACAATAATAATGCCCGCACCGCGTGGCCACTGGATCTGTATAAGGTTTGCGGCAGATGAGACAAGCAAAAGGTATGTCCTCATTGTCAGAATCGGAGTCTGACACATCCTCGACTTGTTTCCGCGGGGTTTCAGCGAGCTTATCCAATTGCCAACCAGCAAGATCTATCCAAAGTAATGGTCGTCAGTTTCTTTAAGAGTAAAGGCTATGCAAACATACATGTGCCACGGTCGTGCAAAAATTTGCAAGTGTCACCAAAGCCACAGTACCCCCGTTTCTGATTAGGATGATCGTTTTAGCATCCGTATCCATCGGAGGAGAAACTTACGAACCTTTGTAGTCTTTGCAAACATCAGGCTGATAATCGACAATGGTTACAGTACGAATGGTGCTGGTGCCTCGCTGAGGACCAACACGCATGGCTTTCGGAACTTCCTGACTTTTCTTCAGGTGACTTCGATAAGCATTCTGGCCCCTGTACAGTCCATCATCAGGTATTTCCTCTTCCTCCTCGCCTCTGTCCGCTTTCTCTTTCTTCTGACGTTTTGCAAGTAGCTCTGCAGCTTCGTCACCAGCTAGTATCTCAAGTGCTGCGTTGGTGTGTGACCCGGCCGCGGTCCACTTTACAGCAGGACCATCACGTTCCACAAAATCTGGATCGTCCATTTCATCTTCCCTTCGTTGTGCAGCCGTACGTTTCGTGCCAGCGCTCAGAAGATTGCCAGCTGCTTTACGGGAAGGAATAACCACCTCAGACTTGGATGAAGATGGTATCGGCGCTAATGTACGGGAAGGCGGAGAAGCCGATCTTTTTCGGGAGGTTGCTGGTCGAGATTTTCCCTTCTTGAAGAAGGGGACCTTAACTTCGTTCGTGGTGGACATGATTCTTGGTGAAGGTTTGTGCAAGCTCAAATTCATGGTCGATCGTCTAAACTACAACCAATCTTAGTCATGCTTATATTAGTAAGCTGCTACATTAATCCCGGCCTCCTCAACTGCTAAGTGCGGCGTCCATGAATGTTAACGTGCTGGACCCGAATGCGACTACTGAAACGAAACGATACTTGACTACTAGATTGATACATCTTGATTCAATGATTGCAATATCATGAGATTACTTAGCGGGCCCCACATAAGCGGCAGCAGCAATATTTCATTACCACCGAAAACTACCGAAGTTCATGACAGAACCATACACATCCCATTCAAGTGGCCTCTCATTTGCGGTTGACACTGACTATCCATGTCATCATCCATATGCACAGCCCAGGGGTCGGAATCAAAAAACCAAGGCACGATTTACTCATACGCTCAAAAATCAGTGCAAACTTTCAATTGCAAAGCGGTGTAGATTATGTAAGTACCTGTTGGGTGTCCGATACTCGTGGCACAAATTCGGAGGCAAACCCCGTCCAGCCGGCCGTCCGCCTGAATCTAGAGTGCTGACATAATTGTCACTGTCATACATACACCAAAGTGTTATTTACAGGACTGTCAGGTTTCATGACGCGAATTGGCGCGCAGTATGGAAGGCCGCTCGACAACAGAGATTATGAGGAAGAGATAGAGCAAATTCGGTGAGTGATGGATGTTGACCTACGTGCATCGTCTGTGCTGAGAACTGGAAAGACGTTATGAGGATTTTACGACCATTGGTACATATGTTTGGAACTTATCACACCTGTTGACTAACTACACGTGTCACGCCGCCAGATTGGATTCAAGACTCGATAGTAGAACGAAACAGACGCATACGCAATGCAAAGGCAACAAAGGCGGCCTACCGCGGTCCTCGAGGCGAGATCACGCCTACTTGGGTGTGGGCTCAGCTCTGGAGGTTTCTGAGAGCTGGAGAACCCTGGCTTGTGATAAGTTTAGTTGGTAAGGATTGTCCATTACCATGATTCCTTGACCGACAACGTGCCAGGTATCCTCATTGGCGTGAATGCTGCTCTCATTTCAATCATCACGGAATGGCTCTCGGACATCAAAATGGGATACTGTACGGACGGGTGGTGGTTAAACTCCCAATTTTGCTGCTGGGAAGTTGAAAGCGATGAAGAGTTTTGTCCCTCATGGCATCTGTGGAGTACGGCGACTCCGGCACGATGGTTAATCTATGTTATTTTCGCGGTAAGTCCTCTCTATCTTAATGTTTTGACTCTGACAAAGTCCATGTCTATCTGCAGGCTACATTTTCGTTTGTGGCTGCCCATCTTGTTCGTAGCATGGCGAAATATGCTGCTGGATCTGGTATTTCAGAAATCAAATGCATTCTTACGGGCTTCATCATGCAAGGGTTCCTCGGATATGCAACCTTCTTCATCAAGAGCCTTACGCTTGTGAGTTGTCTTTCCAATCCCGTAAACAATGTGATTGACCAGAAATAGCCTTTGGTGATCGCTTCTGGGTTGTCCGTCGGTAAGGAAGGCCCTTCGGTGCATGTTGCATGCTGTATTGGAGCTATCGTCGCAAGCTGGTTCCAGCGGTTTTCTCGAAGCCAAGGTTTGGGTTAACACTTTCGCATATATATGTGTGTTCATTCTCAATAATCAAGGGAAAATGCGTGAAATTATTACTGCCGCCAGTGCTGCAGGAGTGGCAGTTGCTTTTGGGTCACCCATCGGTGGTGTTCTGTTTTCTATTGAGGTACCAATCCCCATATTTACGGTGTTTTCTGATTTCAAATCCGTATTTTCAATAGGAGATGAGCCAGATGTTTCGCAGCAAAACGATGTGGAGAAGTTTCATGTGCGCGTTGGTGGCGACGTTTACGTTATCCGTTAGTGGATTACCTCGCCTCATCCTACCATTTTGACTGTCTCATTTCAGGTGATGAATCCCTTCCGAACGAAAAAGCTTGTGCTGTTCCAAGTGACATATAACCGTGATTGGCATTTCTTTGAGATTATCTTCTTTATCATACTTGGAATATTTGGCGTAAGAATTTTACATCCCTCCAATTTCGCCTTTTGTTGACAACGTCGCTCGTCATTCCAGGGACTCTACGGCGCGTTTGTAGTTAAATTTAACATGCAGGTGGCTGCATTTCGTCGAAAACATCTCGCATCACACGGCGTTGCAGAAGCTGTTATTCTTGCGACCCTCACTGCCACTATTGGTTACTTCAATCGTTTCATGCGCATTGACATGACCGAGATGATGTCGATTCTCTTTCGTGAGTGCGAAGGAGGCGGAGATTACGATAATCTATGCCAGTAAGTACTGCATTGATCCGTCATTCGGCCTACGTTTTTCTCATCTTTTCCTGCAAGAATGGCTGTTCAGTGGCCCATGGCAAACTCTCTCCTTCTCGCTACGTTCATACGCATGGGATTTGTCGTGATTTCTTACGGGGCGAAGGTCCCTGCAGGTATCTTCATACCTTCAATGGCTGTTGGGGCAACTTTTGGGCGGATGGTTGGCATCATGGTTAAGGCAATGTATCGGTAGGTGGACATTACTGGCTCTCATCACAGAATTACGAAAACTCTCTATAGTGCTTATCCTCATTCAGGGATCTTTGCGGTTTGCGACCCGAATGTACCGTGTATCACACCAGGCACTTACGCCTTTCTTGGTGCCGCGGCAGCCCTTAGCGGAGTTATGAGGATAACTGTGACTGTTGTCGTTATCATGTTCGAGCTCACCGGAGCATTGACGTACATCTTACCGACTATGGTGAGCCTGATAGTCCAGTTTTACTATTAAGAAAGTTGGTCCCTCGAAATTTAAGTTCTTGATACCGATTCTCTCCAGATTGTCATACTGGTAACAAAGGCTGTCGGTGACTTCCTTGGTACTCGTGGCATTGCAGATGAGGCGATTCGATTCAATGGCTATCCGATTCTTGAGAACGAGGATCACGGCTTCAATGTCTCAGGTTAGTGTTCCGATTGCTACCTACATTCATGCCATTCTTATGTTCACGAAGTTTCGGAGGTCATGAAGAAGGATATTGATATTCTGTTTGCATCTGGGATGCTTGTCTCCGATATTGGTACGCATTGACAGATCACCATTAGCTAGGAGACACTATTAATGCGTGCTTTACAGAACAATTGTTGGCGTCTACCAATGTGAAAGGTTTTCCGATAGTTGCTTCCGAATCATCTCAAACGCTTGTTGGGTACATGGGCAGAACTGAATTGCGCTACGTGCTAGGTATGTGTCTGCTAGCGTTTGACCCTCGTGTGATCTAATATAGCCTAGACAAAGCCCAAAACGTGGGGGACATATCACCAAGCACGCCCTGTGCGTTTACTAGAGAAACCTCCGACCAAGAGGACTTTGTTTTATCAGACATGACTTCTGGATCAGCTCTTGGCGTTGAAGAAGACGTAGCAACGGAGCTTATAGAGACGAGTGCAACTATCGACGTCCTTAAACTCTGGCCTTGGGTGAACCAGGTACTGTACTTCGCACGAGCTCTTTGACATTCTTTGACTTGTCCTAAAGACACCTCTTACTGTATCTCCGCGGCTACCTTTGGAGATAGTAACGCAATTGTTCAAGAGGATGGGGTACGTCCCACTTGACCTATACAAACAATACCCTGCCCTTACCTTTTATTCGCACAGTCCCCGGGTGATACTTGTCGAGGAACAGGGGTCGTTGAAAGGCCTGGTAACCGTCAAAGATGTCCTGCGGTTCAACGTGGCAGAGCAGCCTATTGGAGATCTGCATTGGGATGCAGGTGAACTGGAGGCTATTCTCGATGTTATGTGGACTTGGGCAGTAGGGATTGGGGAAACTTCCATGGTGTGGTATAGACGTTTGATACGTCGGTGAGGCTGCCCTATTTTTTTCCTACTTGCTATCCTAATAGATGGTCTATGTACTAACTCATACTTCTCCGACTTGTGTGAAATTGCATCGATTAAGGTGATAACTCGGCGGTGTATGCCAACATCTTCAAATACACCGTTTGCACGGCTGGGACGGACTCGAGAATATGTTGGTCCTCCCAAAAGGAAGTGAGGAAGGCACATTTTCATTATACCACCTAGACATTCTCGATAAAACATTTCAAAAGCAGGAACGTACAACGACTAGCGACATGAGAGTTCTGGCGTGATTTGGGTATAATTTTTCCACCCGAAATATAGTCCGGAACCCGAATCTGTGCAGAAAATTACAGGGTGAAGGCCTGCGGGTGGGCCACAGCACCATTCTGCCGTCGAGTGAAGTTTTGAATAATAATTGGCATTTGGTTGGTTCTGTTCCAGCGACAGCAGAAACATGTTACTGAACATGAAGCGAGCGGTCGTGAACCTTCACGAATAATGCCACGTACAAAGCACGAAAGGCGAGGTACGAAATTAAGTTGCCGCGCAGACATCATTCTATGTGTGGTCTCGTACCTCGATTTTACGTGCGATAAGTATAACCGATCAACAAGCGCTTACTGTTTTACTAATGGGCCAGTGATTTTTGGCGAAGCTGCGCACTGTAAGGCCACATGCGATCGCGGCAATTCCGCGAATAACTGTAGAGCCTTGGAGATTTTATTGTGTTCGGATTGCCTCTGTAGCAGTAAAGATTTATCTCCAGTGTAGCTGCAGATTACGCGGGCGGTACAGAATGTTGTTAGTATAGCAGGAACACGACACAATATGGTTTGGCTCGCCTCGGGGAAATTAGTAGTCTCAATGACTGCTAAATTTCCTGCGGTTATACCGACTTGTGACTGATAGATGCTTTTTTGCTTCCAGCCAATGAAACTCCACCTCCGTCTTTTAGTGATTCAATGATATGCATGACAATGAAACTCACGTTCGCAATATCCCCCAACTGATCTCCTCGGCGAATGTTCGACCCCATGGCTGCTCAACTCCCGCGATGTCCTATCGGAAAGGTACAAAGGGATTCCCCGCCGATACGGTTGGTCGAGACAAACTTGTTAAATAATTTTTTTGAATGCCGCATCAGTGTTCATGTCCGTCGGGGCGGGCCCTGTGGCAGAAAAAACGTAGTGACTTTTTAAACACAACAAGAATCAAGATCTTTATTCTGTAAGCTTACTGTAACCCTGCAGGATCGATGTCCGTTTGCCATCATGGCCCTATTGAAGTATCTTATTTTTAAGCACTATCCTGAACACGCAATCAATCAATTTAACCGAAAGTGCATAAATTTTACCAAAGATATACAGACCTGATTTCGCTGGGAACGGTGGAGTAACGCTGAAGATTGCGAACCCTATAATTTGCGCGGCCTCCCATTAGATTGATGAGAGAGCGGAGTACTCGCATATCACGCAACAGTGACTATGAAGCAGGTCACTCTACTCGTATTGTTATCCGAGAGATAGGATCACATTTGAAATCGGCTGCAGCGGGACGACAAATGCACGATTCTTCATCGGTTCGCCCACTTCCAGCTTAGTCGCAAAATCTGGGGTGAGATCTAAAAGGGGAAGCAGAAAAGAATTGACGGTGTTCATGGCTGCGGCTCCTGGAGTTCTGGGCACTCGCAATAAACAGGGCTTCGAAATTCCCGCACCGTGGAAGATGTCGTTTGATATGTAAGTTCTAGTAGGTAAGGGCTGAATAGGGGATTGACATCACTAACGAATTGACGTACTTGGACTTAAAGCCACCGGTAATTGGGGAATGTCCGGTAAACTAACGTACATGCCTTCTCATGAGTTCGCAGCCTGTTCTGGTGACAACAATTAACTTATAGAAAATCTGATCATGCTTTTTGATCAACAACAGAAGGACGTGCAACGTACAAAATCAACTCTATATTCTATGCAATGAACAATCGAGCTATCACTGCAAACGCCAACGACTACATATGAATTTCCACAGCTCGAGTAAAAAACTGAGAGTCCTCAGGAAAGCGCTTGCGGGACAGAGAACTTGAGACACGCAAAATGCGACAAGCTCGAGGAAAGTGAAGATGGGAAAGTCTGTGCTCACGAAAAGATATCGTGCTATGGCAAATAAGATAAAGTCAGCGCCGCCGGTGGACCGTGGGCAGTCCTAAGGAAACAAGTCAATACAGAAGACCATGGCCGCTTGGATACAATCTTAACTCACCCAATACCCACAAGTACGCACAATGCCTGTCTAACACAGGCGCCCGTCTCGGACTGAGACTTTGAGCCGAAATAATGGATGCTAAAACTACTGCGGCCTACTAATCTTAAAATCGCGGACGTGGACAACAAGATTTGCGCGTCCCCCTTACCTGTGTTTTTTAAGCACTGGTAGTTCCATCGCGGGTTCCGGCTCCAGCTGGGATATGCGCACGGGAACAAATACTGGTGCGGGGAAACTGTGCTTGGACGTTTGAAGGTGGTCAGATGCAAATGGTCTGATAGTGGGATCCGATGTAAGATTGCGAAGTTGTTGACATGATACTGGTGAGGGGGCATGGTCAAGTAGCGAGGTTATATCATGTGCTGGAATATAGCTGCGTCGGGAATGCGACAGGGTGTCAAGTTCGACACCAAGCACGGCAGGAGTGTTTGGATTATCCATCTCAGGGGTGCGAGATTGCAGACGAGGCTTGAGGAAATTCTCAAGCTCGAGTTCCTCATCTGTTGCGCTGATGCGAGAGCTGAGGGAATCTATGGAGATACGCGTGGGGAAAGCAGATAAAACAGTATCTCTTGCGGCGAGAAGTGTTGACGAGAGTGATGAAGTAGATGCAAATGGTGAAGAGGAGACAATGTCAGTCTCATGTGTACTAGAAGAGGTAGCTTGCGAAACAATTCTTCGCTTGGCATGATGCGCACGATGCCGAGGTATGATGAGTTGAGTACGGAGGTGGATCGGGTCTGATGGCCATAGCTGGTTTGCATGCCGGAGTGCTGAAAGCGACACGCCATATCGTAGAGCGATTGCGACAAGCGAGTCATGGGGGGAAACCTACGAGTAGAAGTTCGTGACATATTACATGTTCAAGGGCGGGAGAAGGACAGACTGTGTGCAAGATGTCATCGATGTCATGTTGATTGGGAGCATCTAGATTATTTGTGGTATCGGCAGACGCCTCGATAGCAGCAGGGCAGTCAGAAACATCCTCCGACAGTGTCGTTTGTATTCCACCGACATTTTTTGCAGTGCATGATGATACTGAAGACCTGCGCAACGGGTGAGAGCTCAATACTTCCGAACGACCGGCATCGTCCGCATGAACGTGGCCGTTTGGGGTATCATTGCTACGAAGTCCGTCGCGGTGCGACACAATAGCGAAGCTCTTGGTGAGGAGCTCATCCTGCTCGTCGAGCTCAAGCATGCGAGTTAAGCTTCGCGGCGGCAGTGAGAATCTAGATGCTAACCCTAACCTTTACACAATGATTAATTTACATACATAAATATCGCATATTTCTCATACACTTTTCCATAAACAGCGGATCCCCTGCGGTAAGTTAAACAAGCCTACATAAACCTTACAGCATTTGTTGGTATTTTTTGACCTGTCTCTTCCATGTCTTATATCTTATACCTGTACCCTAGCTTCTCAGCTTTGTGCCGGGCGCTCGCATCTCATCACTTTTTCAACTTACTATATATATAACTCTTCCTACCTGAAGTTCCTACATCTGTTTGATGCTGGCACCCATGTCGTGTCTTCGATGGTCGTAAGTGCTGCTATGAACGCCGCGTCTGTGGTAATTGCAGGGGGCTATTACCTATATGCTCACAATTCTGGGACATTGGCTCCGGGTTGCGACTCAGAAAAGTTCAGCGCGTATTGGAAGATCGGTTCCGTTGTGAGGTAAAAGTACTAATCGAAGGAGCGATCATCGGTTGGTCTGGCTAGGGGAGACAAGGTAAAAGGGAATATCTCACGACCAAGACCTGCAATCGCCTAGCAAGTTTCCCGAATTCCGGGACTCAAGAGTGAACTGGCCAGCAGGGAAGCAGGCTCCAAAGGGGTGCTGGCTTCACGACTACATCCTCATTCCAGGCCCTGTGGCACATGCCCGAACACCAGCCTAATTATGATTGCTTTGTATATGGACGGGTGATCTTCGCTGTTTTGCACTCCTGTCCACTGACAAGTCTGAGTCCATCATGCAGTCACTCAATGCTGCCATGCACTCCGCCGTGTTACGGCATCTGGATTGGATTTGCTTGGTATATCTCGTCCGAGACCTGGATTAGCTCTGATGAGGTATATCAAGTAAATTTCACCGATGCAGTCTCGCTCAAATCACGCATTCGAGGAGACGATCATTCAAAAGAGTCTTTCGGATTCAGGTCTGTCACAAACTTTTTATGCAGCCCGGATAGATGGGAAATGTATTCAATGCTTGTTGTTTCGCCATTGTCGTAAGCGCAAAATGCATTTTGGACTGCTCTGACCGAGATCGTTCAACTCATCTTGTGGCTCACCGTGCACCGTGCTTGCATGCATCATGATCATGGATCAAACTGCGATAGTTGTGCACTTATCGAGGTCTTATCGCGAGAGAGATGAGGATTTAGGGGAACTATTATCCAGAGTTTTTAGGAACCATACTTTATATATTAAACGGTGTAGTGGCTGTAAAGTTTTTCACAGAATGAGTAACTGAATTGTTCGTTAGGAATTCATCTCGCCGCTCAAGCCTCTAGCGTACCGGATGGGAACGCATTTGAGACACTGACTCTTAACCCTAACCTCACCATGACCTGAACGGGACACCTGATCTGGTGAGTTCGATTTTCTCATGACAAGTTGATTCAGACGGAAGACAAGATCTCCACAAAGTATCCAGCTCTATTGCAGTATTGTTGTCTGGCTAATTGGCTCCTTTTTGCAGATGCTGCATGCCGATGCATCTTTGGTTCCAGACTCCGTCAAGACTAAATCTGAATTCTGGACTCATGTGCATGATCAGCTAGAAATTTTGGTGGGAGGCCAACGACATTGGGTGAGCTTCGATTACATATTGAATTCAGCCCGAACCATTAAAATCACTTCATTTACATACAGGTCTCGAATTTGTCCAATGCCGCTTCACTTATTTACAACTCCTTGCAAGCTTTTCCCAGCAATTTCGGGGATGGGGAGCGTTCGGTCAACTGGTGTGGTGAGTGCTCCATTTTCCACCGCCAGTATCGACACCCTGGTCAACGAAGGAGAACCGCCCAGCCCCTCATTTTTGAGATGACATGTCTTGCTGACTGTAGAATTCAATTCTCACAGGTTTCTATCTCATATCTTCCCTTTTCCCTCAGCCCCAATTCACTGATGCCTCGATGGACCCCAAATATCAAATGCATGCTTCCGCTAATATGCTTTTGGGGCCCTTTTCCGGCAGGCCTGCCTGTCAATGGATCGAGGTCTCCCCTCGACCTCGAGGCGTGTGTGGAGATGCATTTGTTAAGCGCAGTACCGTTCTTGTTCCAGACGTCTTGACCTACCCTGGGCATATTGCCTGTGACGGCGATACAAAAAGCGAGATCGTGTGTCCCCTCATTCTTCGGAAAGGGGGTGAAGATATTGTGCTGGGTGTTCTGGATCTTGATTGCCTTGCGATCGGGGGGTTTGATGCAGACGATCAGGTCGGACTAGAAAGAATTGCGGCACTCATCATCAGATCGTGTGACTGGTAGTAATAATACAGTAAATGAAACGATGAATGATGACTACGCTGACTATGACCCTGCAACAGATTCCTGCTCTTTCTTCCATGCAAGAAACTCCTCGTGCAATTTCTTCTGTGCATCCCATTCCTTCCGTGCCCTCTTTTGTTGGTTTTTACTAAGTTCTTCCCCGCTTCCAGTGGCAGTAGGAAGGCCGTATTCATCCCATCGGATATACGTCCCCTCGGGTACGTTGGGAGGCCGGAACATCTCTTCGGGAGGAACTCGCCCTTTCTCCATCTTTGCGAGACGCTTCTGTCGTACCTCCTCAGCTGCAGCCGCCTTTTTCGCTGCTTGGGCATCTAATTTCAGCCGCTTTTCTTCCCGTGCCTTGACGAGCTCCGCCGGGGATACGAGCTTGACAAGAGCCTTGCCATCTATAGGAAACAGAGTCAGTTTGAAGGGAAACGAGGCATATCTGCTCTAGATCACCTTCTTGATCATCGAGCGCGACGCCCAAAGACACAAGATCATCATCGCGCAGTTTATCACAGAGCTTGAGTATTTCCTTCAAAGCATTATCGTTTTTAGCAATAGCCAGTTGACGAACCCCGTCTCTGAATGAAGACAGGACGCGAAGGTATGGCATCAGTGTTTCTTCTCGCTAAGTTGTATGATCAATATCAAATAGCATAGAAAATATGCAACAAATATCTCACGTTCACGCCACCGGCGCCCTCGTCTTCTTGCCCCCAGCCAATCTCTGACGTTTGCCCTTCGCCTAGTCCAAACATGCGGAGCATATCGCTGATCCATGTCGCGGATTGCTTTACCACACTGACATTGGCCTTCCTTCCTGGGCTGTTAATGTAGACGTTGATACGCGAAACTAGGTCACGTATAACTTTGAGCGCTTCAGGTGTATTAAAGGAGTCGCAAAGAGCCGTGCGGAAGGCCGTCTTGCTGTCGTACAAACTGGTAGGGCGTTAGGGTGTGGTACTCGAGAGATATTGCCTGTCTGACCTTCTCATGAGTTCTTGCTCAGCGTTATTGTAGTGGTGCTCTCCATCTGACTGGTCCTCGTGTGCCTGTGCTTGACTTATGATCGCCCTGACATTTGTGAAAAAATTCTGCACAGTTTCTCAAAATATAGCGGATATTAAAATACGGAGGACTTGCGTTGAATGTAACCTCAAGGGACTTGACTTCGCCCATCATCATCGATTCAGAAAAATCGATCTTGGCATTCCATAGTTGCGTTAGGAATGCAAGCCGCAACTGCCGAGCTGTGAACCTCTGAAGTATCTCCTGTGTGACCGGCCGCATGAGTGATGCGGAGAATAGATCGGACGCCCAAAGTACCCACGTCAATAGTGATGAAATTTTTCAGCGATTTGCTCATTTTGAGGCCTTCGATGTGAAGGTGACCGGTATGGATAAAGTAGTTGACCCATGCACCGCATTCATGGTAAGCCTATCACCACCTTTGCTCAGGAACGTCCTTGGAAAGTACTGTAGTGAACTGACCTCAGATTGGGCCATTTCATTATCGTGGTGCGGGAATGCGAGGTCTATACCACCAGAATGGATGTCCATGCGATCCCCAAAAATGGCACTCGCCATCACAGAGCACTCAATATGCCAGCCTGGGCGACCTGGACCCCAAGGTGACGGCCACGAAGGTTCTCCAGGCTTCGACGCCTTCCAAAGCGCGAAATCGGAGGCAGATCGTCGTCCTGAGGTGGACGAGAGCACGCCTGATGTCCAAAATGGCCAACATTACTGATGGAACGCCCACGACAAAATCAGCACACCTTCGCCTTCAGCCAGTAATTCTCTGTTTCCTTTACTCCAGGGCTCCAACTTTGCATAATCGTGCCGATCAGATGAATCGAATGCACCTGTATCAAAGTAGACACTGCTTTCGAACTCATAGCCATAACCGTTCTTGATGATACCCTGAACGAATTCGACCACTTCTGGAACGTATTCTGTGACGCGGGTAACGGTATCTGGGTAACGGACACGAAGCCGCTCCATGTCTTTGAAAAATTGACCTTCCCAGTATGCTGCAAGAGACCGGAACACAGACTGGTCCGTAACAGTATCTTTGAGCTGTGCACATAGATAATTAAACTGCCAGAAAGAAAGGATATCAAGAGAAACTAACTTTCTTGTCGAGGGCGGTGGCGAGAATATCACGGGACTCATCAACAAGTCTGAACGCTGTGTCACCACCACTCTGATTGGCAGATAGTGCATGCCTTGCAGCTTCAATAGCGGCAAGGGTCCGATTCTACATTGCCAAATCTTGATTGTATACCAGGAAAAGCACAAGAGATCACCTACAGCGGCTGTAAAATGCATGTCAAACTTCTCGTCTCTCTTTAGGCATTCGAGTTTGCGGCTCTGATCCAGCGCAATCCCAGCAATTCGTGGCCATTGCATCTCTTCTTCCCCTCGTGAAGGTTTCTCTTCGTTCGGCAGGCCCTTGGAGACGTTCTCCCTGACATAGCTTCCCCATGCTTCACTGACTTGCGACAGTAGATCGGCTGAAAGCGTGGTTGCAGAGTTTCTAAATTGTGAAAAGAGATAATTTTGACGCGCTCTAACGATGATCTTCAGGATGTGTAAGACGTTGTTTCGATCATACGGGTAGGTGATCACAAACCTTATCGTCTATGTCGGTAACATTCATAACAAAGTGCACGTCATAACCAAAGTAATCTGACATTATTCTTCGCAAAATGTCTTGTGTAACATAATTCCTGGAACAATGTCAAAATTGCAGTATACTCACCAGGGAGTAAACCCTGACCTCGCGTGGCCCATGTGGGAGGCATCGTAGACTGTGGGACCACAGTTATACCATTTGACATGGGAACCATCGATAGGTATAAATTCCGTCTATCAGCAGTCAGCAGATCGATCTAACACCCTAGTTTCAGACACGCACTTTGGTCTTGGTTAACGAATTGAAGATCTTAAGAACAGGTTGGTCAATTTGAGGAGGAGGTAGGTGCCATGCCGGTTGCCGAACAGCCATCACTGCGTCCTTTAATGTATTCACTGACCTCCTGTGTGGTACAGATGCTCGATAGCCAGAACGAAGAATAATATTGACTGAAGTTTTGATCATATCATGACTAGCTACAAAGCTGGAGTCACAGACAGTGTGCTTATGTAATAAGCGCCAGCCAGCAAACTCGTAGTCAGCCAATGAAAAATCGTTCATCATTCAGGCTAGTCTAGGCTAGTCCAAAGTGACCCAAAGTTCCATTTCACAGGTTTCGGCACTTTCTCATGTCCAAAGACTTCCAGCTTTATGCCAGCATCTCATCTTTCACCACACTAACAGCGAGACTGAATCCTTGATAGAGTCCAAAGAGCGCCTGTCCCGCTTTCTTTCGCTAGCGTAGGAAGTGGCTGCCGATCGGAGATAACATTGAGTATTGATCTCTTTTCAAATCTCCATTGTCAAGTGATGAAACTTCGTCCACTGAAAGGAAACTCTGAGACCCTCTGGAAGTTTATGAGGGAAAGGACTAACGGGCTCTCACGCAGCGGCGATCCCTATAAACAACGTTCTGACTCCTAAATTCGGCCGCATGATGACAGGTCCTAAGTACCTTCGTATTCATCTACCGGTGCAAACCGGCGTTGTTCTCACAGCATCCTTGGATTTCACATGAAACTCTACACGTTCTGTCGATGTGGAGATCCAGTGGTCATACCCTGGCGCTAGCGGACCGACCAACGAAGATCGCCCAAGTTAGCTGAGCGGTAAATACATTCTCCATTGATGAGCAGATTTTTTTTTTCGAATTTAATGAAGCTGACTTAACTTTAGTCTTTAGTGATAATCATACACGCTGTCGGAAATTATAGTTCCATACGTTTCGCTCCCCGTTACGCGGAGTCAAAATGCAAAATATGTCTCAGTTCAAGGTTTGCCAGTCGTTAGTGCTGTCGTAAATGTGCTACTCCCCATTCCTCGGAATATTTAGGTCCGATCGAGTGAAGAATGCAATGCTCCAATTGTTTCAAGCTCAAGGTTTGCTAGACAGGTGAACACTTTCGCTATTCATCGAAGTTCTCGGACTATAAGCTCTTGACTTTACCACAACTGGTTTATGATTGACCATTCTTGATGAACAAACCAGGTTCTCACTACTTTGCCAAAGAAGGGTCTGTCGCAATCTATATACCTTTCTAGGGTTTAGTCTGAGGGTGGCTCCGACGGACGAGGGTTACTCTTAGACTTTTGGTCTAGCACAGCAAGATCATCATCATATCAGACAAACCATCACCGGTCACCAGCCGAGCATCAGAAAGTGAAACTGTGTGATGGCCTTGATGCCCTTTTCAGTGTGAAGCGATGCACCTATGGCGCCTTTCTCGCAGACATTAGAAATTTGGCGGCCCGTGCCACGGGGAGTCACAGTGCATGAGAATCTTCAGTTTTGCGGCATTGTCGAGGTATGATTGCGCTTTCGTTCCACCCTGCCGCCGATAACGTACCTTGCAATTTAAATGAGACCACAGAATTGTGCTTGTACCTTCTTTTCAAATACTTACCGCCGATAATTCCAGCGATGGATGCTTATACTGAGAACATTTGATTGGCCGCGAAGCCAGAGCGCTTTGCGCTTTTCGGTTGTCAAAGAATTCATAGTGGTTCCTATTTTCTGTTCGTATCCAAACAGTGCCCCATCGGAGATGGAATAGGATTCTAAAACTTTATTCTACCACTATACCCGCTCTCCCTTCAATTTGACCATGAAAAGGCCATGACCATCTAAGGCGGTTTCCCATCGGGCTGCAACCGCCCGCGCCGTCGGCATATCAGCCGTTTTACATCAGAACGAGAGTTAAGGTTAGTATATCATGATGTTCTCGTCAAACGCTTTTGTTCCTCGTTATTTAAAGAGCTTTCCTATTCGATTAATTATTTAGTCTCAGAGCGCCCATCCGAACTAAGCTGATCACATCAGGTGCTGTGCCAAGTCCACCATTTATCATCCCCAGTCAGAGCCATCACTAGCTGTGCGAGACATTGCCACCGCCCACCTACTTCCTCTCACCCTCCCTCCCTCATTATTCTCGACATGCAACAGCAGCCCACTTGCACTAGCCTACGTGTGAGGTGAGTCTTTATCCTGTTCCTTGTGATGCTATGACTCATCGCTAGTAAGATCTCCGCAAGATGCTCAGATCATCTTTCACGCCGTAGCACTTGGCGTCTTGCCCATGGTCACCCGGCGTTTAGACACGGAGGAACGGCGTTCGATAACTTCGGGTTGCGTTTTTGTATGGGAGGAGCGAGGACCAAGCCCGGAGGCTACCGGGGTGAGATTCCATTGATGTCTGCATTCCCTACCACACACTCATGCAAAATGCGAACCACAGCTTGGTATCGAACGATGGACTGATGGCAAGAGGTGTGATTTACGACGAATACGCTGATTGTGTGAAACGACTAACTGATATGAAGGTGGGGTCCAAGTAGGGTCCGCGACGTAAGTTTATCCTTACCTTACAGTTTTGTCATGACTGAAGGGTTTCCAGGAATTTCTTTTTTATCAAGAAAAAGACCCTGAACCACTTGATATTGACCCAAACTCAGACTCTGATACCACGTCTGTCCGTTTTTCCCTTGTTTCCACCTGTCTGACATATCAGCGACAGGATCGGATCAAGTCCCTTAGCGCAACCCGGCGTGCCCCACGGATCCGTGCGCATTAGTTTAGTTAAACAAACTTATTCCGTGTTCGTTGAGACCCCGACGAGGGGACGCAAGAAATGGCATCTCAGTATGTGGCGCTCTACTAACCATTCAAGTAGCCGAAACTTAACTTTTGCGTTTACTCAGTCGCCTATTTCACTCATGACAGCCTCGATTATCTCCGAACCGTTTCTGACCTTCCCGACCTTTCTCGTATCGTTGTGCCTCCAGGGAACTATAGAAGCGCTCGGCACAACACGAGCAAGCACGGCCGTGCTCAGCGAGAAGAGCGACCGCACCCCTTCACTCCTCAATATGCTCCATACCCTTCCCCTTCCCGGGTAGTGGTTCAGTCTTCTAATGACGGCACACAGTTATTTGACCACTCAGGGCGTGCACCGCCTCGAGATGGCCAAGCATTAGCACCTCTCACGTACCTCCAAAACCTAGCTCCGCCGCGAAGACACCCACTGGATGAGGAAGCTCTAATGGCTTTTTACCCTCGTTTGTGTTGAACTTCCTACCGTGTTTTCTTCGCATTGTTTTCTGTGGACTGTAGAATTAATGACCTCTGGACCTACAAATGCTGTGATGTTGTCGTTTTTACCATACGTTATTTTCTTGATTTGCAATCTGCAGCAGCCTATCAGACCAATCTCGTGTTGTGTGTATTTACTTACCTGAGTTACCTACATTGGGGTTTGACGAATAATTTGGTCCTATCAATCCCCTGAATTGATCCCTAGTTGAGCATGACAACCACACAAATTGGGCAACTGTACTTTGTGTGACGCGGCACACAATCGCACGGTTTTCAGTGGACGGACGGGAAAAACCAATGCGCAGCAGTGCGCAGCTAGTCATGTTGTTCTTACGAAGGTGCCATGTGCGTAAACCCTAAGTATCCGTGACACTTTTCTTTCAAGTGGTGAGCGCTGATTTGAACACTATCATTGGGCCACAATGTAAAGACCGCAATCACTGGTATTATGACACTGCTCCACAACGCCACTGTCCCCGCATTATCAGTATGAATCCCTGTGTTCGGCTGTGTTAATCAAGGCTCCTGTACGTTCTAGAACGTTGCAAGTAAGTGCTGTTGTTGGCTATAATGGCTAGGCTTGGTGCTTCAAATTCAATAGCTGGTGGAGCTGTGATACCGCTAGCTAGGAAGAGTCGACTCTACTGGCAAATCATGCGCTGCATGTGGCATCAGGGAACCATTCCACAAACAGCACCATGGCATCTCATTGATTCTCCCTTGCCGGTTCCGACCGGTTCTCGTTCGTTTTGTTCTATCTATCACAAAATAGATTTCAATACATTCAGGGACCTCTGACGTGGCCATCATATGAGCCTAGAATGATATATTCAATAGTCCCAGTAAGAATGGGATACGAAGATAACGACCAAACATGCATCGTGGAAGAAGAACAAAAGCGAGTGACGGTATTGGGTAAGACGGGGTTCTTGGTGGGCATGATGCCTTGCGATGGATCGGAATATCATGAGAACATGGCCTATTACAAGCCTCGGTCCAAGAATGCATCCGTAAACTGGCGATGAACGGGATGAACCTTGAAAGATGCTCCAGGGCATAGGCTATTGAACGTGGATCTTGATGTATGACATCCGTATTACATATGAAAGACTATAGGTTTTGGTAGGTATGAAAGACAACCAATCAGGCGGAAGTAGATCTGGTCTGGGCACTGGCCGCGCCGTGTGAGCGCATCTGAAGGATCTGTATGATACCGTCGCGTTAATGATGGTCACGATAGGTCTGTGTGGGATTGAAATAATTAAAATTTGGGGCGATAAGTGGAATAAGACGGCGGTGAATGTCAGAAAGGATAGCCATATGCATGATTAGGAATTAGTATGATTAGACGTTTTGCCAGTTGGGAACTCGAGACGGAACCGGCATCTTGTTGAACAAGTGTGGTTCAACGACCTGAAGTGGAAGATTTGATTCGAACACGTGGTCGTGTAGATTTTCGCCCTCGAAGCTTGAAAGCTTGACGTCTTATTCAACGAGTTGAGGAGCTGGAGCGGAGCGTGCGGGTAGGCGGTTTCATAGATTGAAGCAACCCTGGATGGATATCTGATATAATTATGTAAGGTTATTAGTATATTTATTGAACGGATTTTGAACTGTTTGAATATTTGAATCTGAGCCAGACTGCCGCGGGGAACTGTTTTTATTTATGAGATATCAATTCAAAGAAGTCCCGGGATTTACCGAAACCCAAAGAAACAGGGAGGGGGGTGCGTTTTGATCGCGGTTAGGAATATGGGGGACTTGAAAGAAATTGAGTTGTAAAGTGATAGAGTTTCGCGCTGTAATCGAGATTGGCGACAAGCCTTTTGGGTCGTCGCCACCAATAAGATTCATCAGGTAGTTGCCTGAATTGGCCCAAATTAGAGCAACTGACTATGAACGGAAGTCAGCGGGTACCCCTGGTACAGAAAATAGTTTAATTAATTACCAAAGCCATCTTCTGCTCCCCAGATCTAGTAGCCAATATATACCATACCCATTCTATTTGCCTTCTCCGTCTGTTTCCTTGTCCCCGTTTCACATCACACATGCAGCAACGACCCACCTGCACTAATGTTCGCATACGTTCCACTCGTGATGCCCATAAAATATTCTATGCAGTACAGCTGCGTATGCTCCCAATGATAACAAGGCGCCTTGACGCCGACGAACGTCTCGCCCTATGTTCTGGTTGTATCTATGCATGGGAAGAAAGAGGTCCACATACCGAAATCACTGGATTGGGCATCGAGCGTTTTACCGAAGGACGGCGATGGAGTCCCTCGCGCGTTAGAGACGTTTGTCTCCTAAAATATGAATCCTGTGACTCTACTAATCTCTCTTCAAGGAATTTCTCTTCTACTATGAGAAATATACTCCACCAGCAGACGCCGGTCATTCTGGGTATGTTTCCACGCTAAAAAAATTATTACTGAATTAACTGTTTTACTAGGTCTTCTGAAAAGCAGCCCCCTCGAGATTGGGATCCGCTTGTGAAGCAAACTTATTCAGTTTGGGTTGAAACGGATAAAGGTCGCCGCAAGTGGCACTTGAGTAAGGACATGTGACATTCCAAAATATGGACATTACTAAAGTTATTTGTAGCCGCTTATTTCACGCAGGCCACAGTCGATGAGCTAGGCACCATAGACAACATACCCGGTGTTGCTGACCTCGTGGTGCCAGAAGGAACCTTCCAAAGCACCCGAGTTGGAAAAACTCGCAAAGGGGAAGAAAGTCGCTCAAGATCTGATGTTTTGAAGTCAACGAATTCCACCGTAACCCGGACGTATGCTCCGTTCCCTGCATACTCGAGCCAGCCTTCCCACTACCCCAATTCGCCACAATCACCCTATGCTCAGTCGGATGACCTATACCGCTCAGGTCTGGGTCAGCCTTCGCAGCAGCTTCGTCCGCCGACATCTGAAGTCCCTCAGTATTCGGTACCCCCACCACCCCCACCACCTTCTCTCCCTCCTCTTCGTCCTTCGTACGAAGATGACTACAAATTTCGTCGTCCCTCACTCCCCACCATACCCCCGCCAGAGCATAGCTCATCATTTTATGGCCGCCGAAGCTCTGCCGATTACTCTGTGTCCGGAACTATTCCTCCCTTGGCCAGGACTCGTACAGACACATCATTGAAGCCATTTGCTGAATATCATGCCTCCAATGATCGCGGGTCTTCCCCCCCATTTGGAGCCAGTATGAATCATCCTCCTGCTTCGGGCAGCACAAGTGGTGGACATCGGGCGTCTGAGGACCTTTACTCCTCCCGACCTCCTTTCTCGTGTTCGTTTAACGTCCGCCCATCGCGCTCGCCACCGTCCTCTCCATCCTGTCGCATGCGACCCCCATCTACTGTTGGGAATTTCCAGTCCATTTCCCGAGCGCCAGATGATGATGGCAGAGAACCGAGCCAGAGCGCATTTTCGCTTGATAACCCGGCCAGCTTCCCTTCCCCTCATAATACACACATTTCGCTTCCCCCTCCCGCACAGCTCTTCCGGTCAGAGCCTCCCCCACAATATGAAGTGTCTTCTTCTGCGGATTCGAGTAGCATTGGACCGCAGCGTGTTGGCCTGGCGCCCTTGCATTCGTTGCAGCGTAGTCACCCCTACAAACGTGACCCTGTAGACGACAGAGCCCTTCGGCTGCTAGGACCACGTTCTGGGTGACTATTCGCTGGTTCTCTCCGCATCAGGTGATCAGTGACATGCAGCACTGTCCGCTTGCGTCCGAAACGTTCTTGCGTAAGTCGCACATCTCTGCGGACCCGCGGGAAGAGATGTGTGTACCTCTGATTAGGCGTGCTTGGCTTTTTACCGAACAAGCGTCGTTCTTCCATGCGGTCCCTAGTAGCAATCAAACATTCCCCACTTCTTTGCTTATGGTATGTGATATCCATAACCATTCCTCGGTACATAACTTGGTTTCGGGCTCCACTGTCAAATACGAGTTCACAACGAATACGATACACGCACAACATATATACTGTACTTTTGGCTATTTGAGCATGCCATCACGGATGTTTTGTTCGATCTCTCGGTGTGCATATCTGACCATGTTCAGTCATATTAATATCCTGGCGTGGGTGTAAAATCAACGTCAAGCCGTAATATCGTATGATAAAAGTACAAAGTGGATGGTATTATGACGTATATGTAGGGGCTAGGGCGAACCTGCAGCTGATATGCAAGCGAATATAATATATATATATAGAAATGGCGGCCTTGTACTCACTTTAGGCAGGGATGTGTAGATGAAAATATAGATAAGACTAAACTCTTTTGTCGCATACGGGATGTCGCGATACTGACGGGGTTATACGTCGGATAATCCGTTCGGTTCAACGGGAAATTTGATTCCGTGTTCACGGGGTTCTGGCAAAGAAGGATACTAGGGCGAACCGAGACAGTGGAAGGTTTTCTACAGCCTGGCGGCACCCCTTACCATGAACTTTGTATACTTCCGCCTTCTTGGTCATTTGAACTTACGAGAAAGTTCCCATGGCACCGATCGCTCAGGTTCACACTCCTTTGGTTAAAACGATGAAATTTACGATGACTGGTAGAATACACTAGGGCTAAATGACATGAGGACAAAGCTTATGTCCAAGATAGCTACTGAGCAGAGCAAATGACAGACGAGATTTGACACGTGCCTAGTGGCAAAGCTAGGGCCGTGGACTACCACTCGAATTCGCTACGCGGTGTCAGTGCCAACTAATCAACGACATTAGTACTACGCACCCTGTGCATTTGGCGAATAGATAATCCTTCCCGTTGACATGGATCATACCGTCCTTGAGGAGGCATTTCCATTTATTTTTGACGCGGCCGACCTGAGCGACAAAAAATGAGCCCACAAATCTCGGACATAGATGCCAGAGCTGCCCACCTTATCATATGTGCAGAACACAATATCGGTCTCGCCTTGTCCACCCTCTTCAGCGTCTTCTTCACCCTCGGTGTCCGAGTCGTCGAGGTCGCTGTTGATTGCCTCGGCATCCTCTGTGTGCATCGATGATGACGACTGCGATGGCTGAGGAAGCGAAGGATGAGATGCGCGAGGCGCAAATGATTGGCTAGGCGGAGGAGAAGGTGAGTCTGATTCAGATGATGAAGGTCCATCAACCTGAGGGATCTTCTGTCCTGTTGCTCTAGCTTGAGGTGCAGGCGGACTGGCGGCGGCGGCGGGAGCACTCGGCGGCTGAGGGGGATGTTGAGGAGCTTTAGATGGTGGCTGCGGAACTGGGGGCGCGTATGGCCTAGACATGGTAGGTGGGCGTTGTAAGTGCCCTGGGTGAGGGGGGAACGACAAGACACCTTGCTGTCCTCCAGGGAAGCCTGGTGTTTTGAGACCGTTCAGTTGAGGTCCAGGGAGTGGTGGCAGAGCGTATGACATGCCCGGCGGAGCACTTAGGACGTAACGATTATCCACTGGTTCTGTCTTGACTTGAGGACCTTGGGGTTGCGCGACAGGGGGTGGTGGTGGAGCATATGCGTGCGGAGGCGGGTAGTGCGGGTGATGGGAAACCATCATTGGATGTGGAGGGTACATATGATGGTGTTGTGGGGGCGGAGGCGGCTGTGGTTCAAACTCTGCAACATGCGATGCAATAACTTTGCTTTCCCATTTCTGCAAGAGCATTCACATCACCGAAATTCCTAAACTATGATATGAACGGGAATGATAAGAAGTATATACTCACATGTTGCAACTCTGCGAGAACTTCTTCGCTGACGCCGTACTCGTCGAACTCGGGCTTAATGGCGGAAATGACTTCGTCTATGACTGCGCGGTAGATGCCAGGCTCAAAAAATGTCTCTGTTACCAGACTGAACTACTACGGACAAGTTCGGGTGAGTAGCTCACCACTATCTTATTCGACATTGTGGATGTCGCCAGCGACGATTGACACAGCGAGCTTAGGATAGGGTCGTGGTGGGGGAATGAAGGAGTCCTTTTATACTTCAATGACCTGCGAGAGAGGCAGGTAAATTCAAACTCAGCTGGACTTCATTCCGGCGTTCCCACGCACGGGCCAACAGCCACAGGTAACTGTAGTACTGGTACTGGCATGGCTAGTGGATAAAAAATACGACTATGAATCGTACTTATACAAGACAGAACATAAGCTTTTTCAGAACAAGCTGTATTCTAAGGCGACGGGCATGCGACTTGGAAAGCGGTGGTATAGCGTAAGCACCGTAAATGGAAAGTCAGAACTTGACATATACCACTCCGCAACTTGATTGAAGCCTTTGTGAACATGGGTCCTCGACTTTGCAGTGCTCTGTCTTGTCTGCTGTTAGTCAGTTTATCGCAGGCAGCCGACGTATATCTCAGCCCATCTCAACCATTTCCATCCCTGCTTTCCCTACAGCATGCTGGTTTCGCCTTGTCGCAACATCTGGGTCTCGAGCCAATCGAGAATTTCCAGAATTATGGCGAACTGCTAAGAGAGCACGAGTTTGTCGGACAGGGGGCTTCAAACGCGTTGTTTCTACTAGTAGACGATGCTAATTTGCAAGGTTTGTTTTCCCCACTCCAGGAGCAAGTGCAGTGACAATTGACAAGTCGCGCTTCAGATATCATTCCTTCTTTCATGAGCCTGCTCGTTCTCGATTGCAGGGGCACCCACTAGTTCTATTACTTCTTTTGTGTCCTCGTATCTGCAACGCGCCGCTCATGCATACTCCCTCGTCTACTCTGATCTCGCTATTCCCCCAGAAGGCATCCCTCGGACTCTTGACATCTTTTCTGCCCCGACACCCGCAAACGAAGCTTTCCTTGCAGAAATCTCAACACTTACCAAATTCGTCGAGCCAACCGCAGATATTTACGATGACAAGTTTGCGTCTTTGGAGTTAACAGGACTGTCCCAGCTCGCAGCTACATATGGTCGTTCAAGCGACCAGTACCAGCTTGCAGCAAGAACAGTCCGAGCCGTTCTTGAAGCCAGTGCCGCTGATGCAAAGACCCGCGTCGCCGTCTTGTCATACACCCCCTCTCTTATATTGGACAAACGACAACCGCAGTCACCGCAGCAGTCACCCCTCGCAGCACTCCGCCCACTTGCAGGACCGCCAATTCGTCGTCTGGCCTCTTGCTTCACGAGCGCTGAGACCTGCTCCAACGGGACCAATTCCTGTTCCGGTCACGGGCAGTGCGTGAGCACCCTCAGTGCTGAACAGGAGTGTTTCATCTGTGCTTGTTCTGACACCAAGTCTAATTCTGGGAAGACGGAAAGCTGGGCAGGTGATATGTGTCAGCGCAAGGACATCAGTAGGTAAGTAGTCGCATCATTTCTCTCGGTTTCGTTCGTTGACTGGATTCGTACCAGCACCTTCGTGTTGATCGCAGGGACAGTGATCACACTTATCCTCTTGATGGGAGGCGCTGTCTCGTTGCTTTATTCTATCGGTGACGACGAACTTCCTAGCATCCTCATGGGTGGTGTGGCAAGTGGATTGAGGAAAGAATGAGAGGGCGCCAATACGTTGCATAATGGGCATGGCTAGTAATTCTTGTCGTCAAATGCAGATTCCTTCATGATGCATGATGCTTTGATACTACTCGACTTGGCAGTGCTTATGGTACTGTTCTTCCAGACTGGATTGATGTTTGACTAATTTTCACTAGTCTGACGCAGGTTGTTGGGTATGAAGACTTCTTGCGGCATGATTGTGACGGTTCACTTAGCACATCGTACAATCACTCAAATATAATTTCAAGTCACAAGTTATGAATTGTCTTAAGCCCAGTGCGATGTCGAAAGACGCACTGCCCACCCGAACATAAACCACACTACTCATCGTCCACCGCTCTGCGTGCACCAGATACAATCCTCGCTTATACAACGGCATATACAAAGTATCCATCTCGTTGACTCGGATCGGTCCATCAAAATTATACATGCGTCTCAAGCGACTCCTGTCCGCCCATGTTTCTTGTACTCGGATTAAGCTCGACATACTAGATGTTATCTGTCCTAGCGAGAATTTTTGAGCGTGAGCAAAAAGAATCAATGTACAGGGACATCACGGACCTCAGTTGAAGAGTACATATCGCGCTGCCACGGTCTTCTTCTTGTGTATTTTAAAATGATGTCAAGTGAGGATGATTCATTTTGTGATGATGCGCGTCGTATCAGGGTCCATGAACATACCCTTCGCCACGAGCTCTGGTGTTGTTCAATTCCATTCAATCAGTCGACTGCCCATCGTCTGCCGCTTGGACGAGAGAGGGACGTATGCTGGATCTTCTGTCTCATGCATGCTTCCTGAACACAATCGGTGCGTAGACGCTTGTGAGGGAGCGCAGATGGATGTCGACGAGTCGATAGTGCCCCGCGTTAGACCAGAGAGTAAGCACAAGAGCGTCATCGCATACCAATAACTCCACATGGAGGAAGAACAAAGTAATACATCCCCGGTTTCGCAAGCCATCCTTCCGCAAGACTGGCATTTGTAGGACTAACACAGACTCACCAAATGCGCTCGAGAAGAGCAATACGTCCAGGCTTTCCCCGATGAATTGTTACCCCATATGAGATCCCTGTACGCACACGATTCGCAGGCTTCATCTCTCCGAGTATAGTACTTGGGACCCGTATGAGAACTTGCCTCCCGAGTACGCACGGTATTTGAGTACGGGGGCTCGAAGCGCGCCGAGGGATTGAATGTGACGAGTTGGAGGGCAATGGTATCGAGGTCTGGAGTTCGTTACTCATTATTGTCGTGGTAATCGTTAAGCAAGCATTAAGCCCGGCACGCTTGTCCTATACGGATTGCTGAAACATAAGCACATGGAGACGTTCCTCCACTTCGCCGTGCAGCAGAACAAGGAATGCGAAGGTTCTATCAAAAGTTAGTCTATCGCTCCTTCGCTACTCGATCGCGACTAATACTTCCCTACAGGATCCTCTCATATTGTGTTACGGGCCCCGCAGCCTGCGTGTCAACCCTGTGTAGTCCCAACAAGTCCCAACACGCCCATAGAGGCTGAAAAGGCGTGAGCAACGTACACAAATTCGAAACGTTTCGCATCGCATTGCGATCGTCCCTCCTGTCCTGATATTTGTGTTCCTCATTTTCATCCTCTTCAGGAACGCGCTTGATGAGCTTCAGCATCGTGCGCTTCATCGCGTCTGGTACCCCATTCCATGCGGGGTACTCGCCGTCTCCTCCGTCAGCCACGCCTGTTCATCGTTCTCCGTATCATCTGGAACATTTCTGATCACCAAGGAATCGGTGGAGGAAGAGGCATGTTTAGTGAGGGCTACATGCTTAGTTTCCACATCCAAGGCACCAGGCCTGCCATGGAGCGAGGAATGCAGACGTGATCTAGAACTATCATAAATACACCAAACTCATACGTTCATCCACACACGCATACCTCACCTTCGATACTCGATGATCTCTACGATTAGGAACATGCACGAGCCGTTCGGCGCTCAGCCTCCCCCGGTGCACGAATCGAACGCGCAGTGCTGGGTGAGCTCGAAGTATTGTATGAAAGAGGGACTTTGAGTACTGCAGGCCTATGCCTCGCTTCCGTGGGCATGGGTGGGATTGCTGTAGGGTCTTGCGATAGTTGGAGAGAGCAGTAGTGTGTAGTCTGCGGCGCAGGCTGTGTTGAGGGCGGCGAATGGGCGAGCGATAGGTACGGGGAGGAATTGGAGGGTGTTTTGAAGCGGGCTGTTCTGTGTTGCACACAGTTAGCTTAGCGTGAGATGCGAATGAAAGAACGAGTTTCATGGCCCATGTTCTCATTGATGTTAGGTATCTATTCGTCTGATTTCCGCAGGGCTTGGATGCATTCTCAGGTATTGATGTCCTCCGAAAGGGGGCTGACGGCGACGATGCGTGGTGCGGCATCAAAACCGTTGAAGATGCAAATTGTGGAGATAAAGGAGGCGCCTTGGGCGGCCTGAGCTGACTTGTACCTGCTGAAAGCGGGTCTGTGAGACGGTGTTCACTGCCAGGGATTTGTGCTCTGGCAAACGGTGCAGCCTGTCAGAAGCCGAAATAAGTGCAGATGGACCATGAGATCAGGATTGATGAGAGGTGAATGCATAAGCGCACCTTTTGCAATTTCCTTAAGAGCGAACTTGATGGAACTCGAAGTGTTTGTTTTTCTGCAATAGAATTAGACGATTATTTGAAATGAACATGTTAAACGGACAGGCCTATTTGAGTGATGATACTGTGCTTCTGCGACCGTCGTGAACGCGCAGCTCACTGCAAAGCTCTTCTTCAGCAAAGTAAGCATCAGATTATCGATATCGTGGTGAATGCAACATCGCTCACGCTTGAGGATCGAAACCAAATTGTTCGATATCACTCAAGATTCCCGAAGTCTGATATGTCACTGAGTTGGCACCGGCCTGAAGCAAGTTTCTGGACAAGGGCGAGGTTTGTATGAAAAAGTACACAGAGAGAGATGACAGAGCACTTACCCACAAATATTAACCTCCTCCACGAGTGAGAGCAATGGCTCGATATCATCAGCATCAACTTTGCTCAACGGTGCTTCCGTCTGAAAGGTTACCACCGGCACATATGGAAAGATGCAACTCTCAACGCCGCCAAAAGGCAGTCGGCTCCTAGCCTTTGGTGGTCCTACCAAAGTCAATTTCCACAACATGGGAAGATGAAGTCGGCTGGACGTTGCGATAAACCCTTGCCGATAGGCAAGATCCGACGAGATACGGAGAGGGAGGGTCACCAATTCAAGGCAAGCATGCGTCGCCGAATCAGTTCACAGATCTCATCCACCACGAGGGTCTCCGGACAAGGACAACTCATTAAAACGAAGCATATGTCTTGCAGGAAAGCGGCCTGGAGGTGGAGATGACGTAGATGTAGATTTTTGCACATAGAAATATGCGCACTGATTTGGACGTGTTCATCGCAATAGCAAGTATTGATGCGTAGGTGAGAAAGATTCGGTGCTTTAGATTTTCGGAAGTCCGTCCAGCAACACTCCAATGTTCTCAACTGTGGTATGTCGAAGTTATGACTCCAGTCATAGTACGTGGCTGACATAACCACACCTCTTCTCAGAAAAAAGGACATCAAGAGACCGAAAATCTGCCATTGAGGTGATCCAACTATGAGCGATCCCTATGTTTCTGAGCAATGCGAAGGGTGAGGAGCTGGCTACCAGAGCGGACAAGCTAGTACTTGAGGATGAAATGGCCTCAATGACAAACTCGTCCGGAGAACACGACCTGAATGCTCGACCAAATCCCTGGCGTTGAATGTGCAAGGACTCCCCAAAGGAGGTACACCCTGGTTAAGAGTGGTAGGGGGAGGGCTGGCAACATTAATATTGACTGAAATGGTAGCATGTCCAAATGAGAAGATGCTGGGACAGTCTGGCACGTCGTCAATGATGAGCAAGAATACTTGTTGCAGAAGTTCCACTGGCAGCGGATAAATGAGATGTTCTTTCATGTTGACGGGAGGGATATATGAACGAGATACGGGCAATGCATGGATGGATCTTGCGCAGGAGCACTTTTTTTGCCGAATGCTTTCATTGTTGAAAGCAGACTCCAGTGTCATCAAGAGGCCTACAGCCTAGACTGGTGACCAGCCCGTCTATGGGGCTGGTCACCAGTCTACCTACAGCCGTTGTGCTTTGAAGGCGGCGTCGACATGACTCTCGGCAGACGCCGACAACACCAGTTAACTCGTCCACTTCATAAATTATCGATTTATTCATACAATTAACCAATAAGATGTTTGTACATTTTCTCCGAACATTCAGAATCATAACCTCTTGAACTTCACCACCCAAGTCTCAGGTGGCTCCCCACCACCCGGAATGAGTCTGCTCCTTGCAAATGCCTCATCCTTGATAAGCCCTACGAACGCAACACGAGATCCAAGCCAATCGACGCGGAGCAGAAGCAGCTCTCTCTGCACGAGCCTATTATTTAGTACATTAGTGCCAGTTACAGATCTCGCTATTGGCGCGGTGCATGCTGCAGAATCCGAGCTCCCCTGCAATGCAGGTTGTATCATTGAGCGACGATCACGTGCTCTGATAAGACTTGCACGTTTATCGTCTCCAGCGGCGCCCCACTCTGTATCCGTGAGTGGGCGCTGCAATGCAACGTGCAGGGTGGCGAGAACGTCAAGACACGTCACACCCTCTTCTCCCGCACTGGGGTCAGGACCGATGTTAAATGTCCAGGGAAAGTCTGGGCTGATGAGCCGTATCTGTCTAGGCCGTTCCAGGGTAAGTGGGACGAATAGCAGCTCGTACCCGCAGCCTGCGTATGGAGACATCGATGGAAAAGCGAGAGATGTAGGCGGGAATCGCGGGTCATATATCAGTGGTACGGATGGCGTCGCGAGAAATGGGTGGGGATAGGCTAGCGAGAGGTATGAGGAACGATCGGGGTCACAAGTTGTGTCTGGGGCATACCCTTTTGGGCTTCGTCAACGTTTGATGGCATTGTTCGTGGCGCGGAATAGTCGTCTAGGAAGATATTTGAACACCTTGGAAATTGGTAAAACAAAGACGCGTACATATAAGCGACATGTTCTCTGTGTCATGTCGAGTCATGGGGTGCATATCGACAGCACCTTGGAGAAATGGAGCGCGAGCGCCACCTTTATATATCAGACGAGTCAGGTCATATGGTGATCAGATCCAGCGTCAGAGAACCCACCGTTCCATGGCCGCGAATTGGGGATGTTATGGTCGACAAGACCCATTACATTTGCGGATGCTAACCCAACAAACTAAGCTTGAATCCAAGGTGACTAAGGAAAGGGTGACTACCTTGTACCCCAAAATTCATGCGGGGGCTAGTTTCATGTTGGGGATGAACACGATAACTTGAGGGTTCTAACGACAGCTGAGCAGAGAGTCGTAGAAAGATAATCACAGCTCACGGGTATGGGCAGCGTTAATCTGCGGATGATGCGAGGGGATATTGTTTACTACATCAACATGCCGTGCTGTTGACAGAGGCTGAAGTAACATAGGGAAGCTGCACTGGGGGATGGGGCCACCCTGCGTAGCGAGCATTGTGAAAAGCTGGAGGCGAGATAGTGGGATCAAAGGCAACCCACTGGCAGTGCCAAGGGGACGAGCTGCAGGAAAACATGAGGGAGATGACGATGGTGTATCAAGACTTGTGACGCTTGAGGCATTGCGGGGAGGGCTCGTTATATAGTTTCACGCGTTGAGAATGATTCAATGTTTGGTACATTTCGCTTGCGCACATTTGCATGACATGTCATCTGGCGGTGCACAGCTACATAGTCACGTGCAAATTTCAAATCCAATTATAACCTTCACGCCCTGATTTTGACCAGGTTCAATTGATAACTCTATCACATTCAAGCCGTGGTGGGAAGCCGAGCGACGCAATACTGCCAATGTTTTAGCCAATGTTAGTTTTCCATTCTGCTTCACCGCTTGTTCACCAGTAATCCATACTGCCGGTGGAACACCCTGAGTTACTTGACACCAACTCAGTCCTCCACCATAGTACCTCCGCCGCTGGCTCTACCTCTAAGCTATCCCACGGTATTGACGAAATCATATTGATCCATACATGAGGTGAGCTTATCCCCACGTGTACTCGACCAGTTCATTGGTCAAGTCAGGACGTTCTCAACTTCTATTGCCATATAAAGAACATTGACCCCTGTTACTCACCATAGAACAAGAACAGCCCTGGGTGTGAGTGGTGTTACCGTCACGGGAACGTTGGCAGTTCGGGGGGACATGAAGCAACACGTCGTTTGGCAGGCCTGGACCTCTTGAATGATGACGAAGTGCTGTATGATAAAGAGCAACAGTCCCTGTCACTTACCATATACACCAAGGCATGATCCGACTTCGGCAGAGAAAACAGACGAGGGGAACGGAATTGGCACCGCACTAATCTTCCATCAATCAATTGAGATGGCAAGATCTGAGCACGAACTACTAGCTACTGCAAGAGGACATGAGAGGATCAGATCGATCAAGAATGGCGACATGCATGACCATTGTCAATGATTAATGATTAATGAGCCAGCGCTCAATATTTCCATTGCATACTATGATATGACGGCCTTGTAATTGGTGAGTCATTCACGTGTTCAGAACGTTCAGCACTCAGCATTGCTATCATCACATTATCATCGTATGGTGTCTGCAGCAGGATCCTTCTTCCTCCCGTCATCGGCAATTACGTGAAGCGATGCATTGTCTTTCTGACCATCGATTGTCGATTCATCTGCTGGCCCTAGGGTCGGTGTCGATGATGGATGTATATGTACGTATCTCGTTTGGTGCTTTGCTCTGATGGTTGTGCTTTGCAGGATGGGCGGCCGAGTCCAACAGATCTTGCAAGGACACAAACCCGACAGATACTTTGCAGTCACATGCACGCAATGCTACGATGTCACGACTCCGATATGTAGGTATGAATAAAATTTCAGAGTATCGCGATCGATGCCTAATAGTTGAGGCCTTCTGGATCGAAGCTCCCAGTCTCTGGTTCTCCACCTCCCGTTCAGCACACCTCATCTTCTTGCCATGCTCATTCGTGATAGAGGATACAGTCGAGCCATGAGTCCGCGCGATTCATTCATTTTCCTTCTCCGTGGCCCAGATGGATGAAAACGCATCTGAGCACCAATGAATTATAGTCATCTGGGCTTCACGCTTCTCGGTCACTGCTTCATCACCAGTGCATACTCAGATAGCAGAACTCCGCAAACACATAGAATCAGTTGTCTGGGCATCAAGGACTGGGTTGGTTGCTGGTCATTGTGGAATCCGGATAATTTCAGCTTGCCACTTGGTGCAAGTGAGCGAGATGGCAGAGCATTTACCCACAGACAGTAACCTCCTCCACGACTAAGAGTAACGACTCGATATCATTAGCATCAAATTTGCTCAGCAGTGCGTTCGTCTGGATGGTTACCGCCGGGATGCAACTTTCAACGCTGCTAAAAGACAATCGGCTTCCAGCTTGTTTGGTGGTCCTGCCAAAGTTAATTTCCGCAGCATGGGAAGATGAAGTCAACTGAACGTTCCAATGAACACTTGCCGACAGTCAAGAACCGATGAAATGTGGAGGGTTATCGATTCAAGGCAAGCATACGTCCCCAAATCACATCCGAAAACAGCACAGATGACATCCACCACGAGGGTCTCCAGACAAGGAAGAACCATTAAAACGAAGCATGTCTTGCAGGGAATTTCGACCTAGAGGTGGAGATGGCGTAGATGTAGATTTTTGTACAAGAAATATGCGCACTGATTTGGACGTGTTCATAGAAATAGCAAGCGTTGATGCGTAGGCGAGAAAGACTCGGTGCTTTAGATTTGTGGAAGGCTGTTCAGCAACACTTCTCAACTGCAGCGTGTCAGAGTTATGAAACCAGTGATAGTACATGGGTAACCTAACCACCATTTACCAACACCACCTCTCAGAAATAAGGATATCAAGAAGTCGACAATCTGCCATTGAATGATCCAACTCTGAGCGATCCCTACGTTTCTGAGCAATGCGAAGGGTGAGGCCTTGAGGGGGTGACTGCCAGAGGGAACAAGCCGGCACTTGAGGATATATGAAAGAAATGGCCTCGATAGTCGAACTCGGACACGACCTGGATGCGCGACCAGACCACTGGCAATTAATGCGCAAGGACTCGCCATAGGTGGTACACCCTGGTTCAACAAGAGTAGGGAAGGGCTTGCAACGTCGACCGAAATGGTAGCATCTCCAAATGAGAAGATGCTGGGTCAGTTTGGCACGTCGTCAACGATGATCAGGAATACTTGTAGAAGCTCCACTGGCACAGTGGCAGCCGACTCGATGGCCGAGATGTTCTTTCGCGTGGACGGACGTGTGAATGAGAGGTAAACAGTGCACGAATCTCGCGCAGAAGCACTTTCTTGTTCTTCTGTGTCATTAGGAGGCCTACTAGTACGACATCAACATTTCTCTCGGCAAACACCGACAACACAACACATGACGCGACGGTGCGAGTTAATATTGGACAAAACTTTATACAGATATCAATACAAAAGTTCGTCAGTAAGCTATTTGTACATTTTCTCCGGATATTCATGATCAAAATCATAACCTCTTGAACTTCACCACCCAAGTCTCAGGTGGCTCCCCACCACCCGGAATGAGTCTGCTCCTTGCAAATGCTTCATCTTTGATGAGCCCCACGAACACAACACGAGATCCAAGCCAATCGACGCGGAGCAGTATCCTCTCTCGCTGCGCGGGCCTATTATTTAGCGCTGATGCGCCGGGTACAGATCTCACCGTTGGCCTGGTGCGTGCTGCAGAATTCGAGCTCCCCTGCAATGCAGGTTGTATCATTGAGCGACGATCACGTGCTCTGATAAGACTCGCACGTCTATCATGTCCAGCAGTGCCCCACTCTGTATCCGTGAGTGGACACTGCAATTCAGCGTGCAACGTAATGAGAACGTTAAGACACGTCACACCCTCTTCTCCGGCACTGCCAGGATCAGAACCGACGTCAAATGTCCAAGGAAAGTTTGGGCTGACTGAGCCGTATCTGTTTAGGCCGTTCCGGGGTAAGTGGGACGAATAGCAGCTCGTACCCGCAGCCTGCATACGGAGACATCGATGGAAAAGCGAGAGATGTAGGCGGGAAGCGCAGGTCGTACACTACTGGCGCGGATGGCGTGGCGAGAAATGGGTGGGGGTAGCCTAGCGAGAGGTATGAGGAACGATCGGGTCATAAGTCGTGTCTGAGGCATACCATTTTGGGTTTTGTAAACGTTTGATGACATTGTTCGTGGCACGGAGTAGTCATCTAGGAAGATATTCTTTGAACACCTTGGAAATTAGTAAAATCAAGACACGTACATATGAGCCGCGTATTCTCTGTATCATGTCGAGTCGTGGTATGCGTATCAACAGTACCTTGGATAAATGGGGCGCGAGCGTCACCTTTATCAGACGGGTCAGGTCATATGGTGACTAGATTTAACGACAAAGAACCCACCATTCCATGTCCGGAAATTGGGGATGTTGCGAGGTTGAAGGTTGACAAGACCCGTTACATTCGTGGATGCTAACCGAACAAATTAAGCTTGAATTCATGGCATGGCTAAGGAAATGGTAACTACATTGCGCCCAAAAATTTAGGTGAGAGCAAGTCTTATATGGGGGGTGACCATGATAAGGTTCTAAAAACAGCTGAGCAGGGAGCCGTAGAACAAGGATCACAGCTCACGTACGGGTATGGGCGGCATTAGCCTGTGGACGATGCGAGGGGGTATCGTTTGCCACAGTAATGTGTCGTGCAGTTGATGAAGGTGAAGCAACATGGGGCAGCTGTATTGGAGGGTGGGGCCACCCTTCATAACGAGCATTGCGCAAAGCTGGAGGCAAGATGGTAGGATTATAGGTAACCTGGCACTGGTAATGCCAAGGAGGACGAGCTGTAGAGAACATGAGGGAGACGACAACAAAGTACAGTGAAGCTTGCACGTGAAGCTTAAAGTATTGTGAAGAGGGCACATATATATATGTTGCGGTTGCATACACCTTGAAGCTTTGCATCCCGGATCAGCAACTCTTGTCCGTACTATATGCTGATTGGGCACCAAGAAGCACCGCATCAGCGGCCCTGAGGCTGTCAGGGATTTCAGGATGCGGTGATACGATATCTTATCTTAATGTGGTTAATTGACTGGTGAGTACTTGAGTACAGTCGCGACCAGATCCAGTGGCGACTTGCTGAATTGCTAATTATTGCAGACTCGGTATTCATACTAACCTCCGAGGCTCCGAGACAGTCCGACACTCGAGAGTCGACGCCCCGATGCAAGGTTTTTATGTTCCTGATTTTCATGCACAATCCTTGAGCTTTTGATACCAAAGGACATGCCCTAGGCCTGTCTGCACACCCGAGTCAAAATATGAAGGTGATATCCGTAACCAGATGGTCGAGACCGAAGTGCGATCAACTTGACCGCAGTGCTATTGGTATGAGCCAACGTCACGCTCCTTCAAGTTCCCACCTACAAGACTCAAACCGTGACATGTGACAGCGCGGACCATACAAGGTTTATCGTTATTGATATTATTAGAAAGAAAAGCCCTGTTAACTGATCCCATCGGTGATGTTGATCCACTGGCCGCGGGAGTTGCTCAAAACTTAACCATCATCACAAAAATCGTAATATCTACTGTGTTCCTCGCATAGTATTTTTGGGGTATTCACACCGATCCTTCGTATCAAATGCTCTGAGCATGTGGACACCTCACAGAAGATATTTGATCCTTACCGGCGGATCGCCCGCTTGAACACATACATATCCATATCCGACTCCCAAATAGTGCTTCAAGAGTTGGCTTCCACGGCGACCACTTCAATCCATTTATAGGATCATCGGACAAGTGCGATGTCGTTTTCGTGAACCTGCACATGCGCAGCCAATCAACAGTGAATATAGCGTTACATCGACTTGGCTTACACAAATAGAATAGTAAAAACGGATCTAGATTTTACAGGATTCTATGCTATCCTATACAGCCCTACACGCATTACGACCACACCATCAGGATCCTACGCCACTCCTGCGCCGTAATAACTTGGAAGACACAAAGCGCTAACGGAAGTGTAAAATTCATGCCATAATAGGCCTCAATATGCTATCGTGACTCAGAATACGCCCGTCGAGCCCTACTAGGCCTGACAAACCATTGTCAATATTGGTGCTTTGGACTTCCATGTGGAACTTCCCCGGGCCACTGAAGATGTCATACCAGTATGTCGTTCATTTCAATTGTACCAACCGGTCCGGGGTAAGATGATATTTAAAACTGAGGAAGCGATACAGTCTGTCGCATTCTCGGGCTTGTCACAGTCATCCCTGTGAAATTATTTACTCAGGCACCAGTCAACACTGCGCAGCAAACGCAACTGCAGCGCTAGACTGGCGTGACCTGGCTTCTGGCAGACGGAAATTGGTGTGGCCTCTACCTGATGGTGAACGCTACCTGCGGTCTACTCCTGCTGACTGGCAAACATCCGCCTGAACCACCCCCGGAGGGGTACCCCACTCCAGCGCTGCCAGTGTGCATCTGGCGGGTATTTAAGTCTCTAGGTTGGTGTATCAGCGTTGTTCTACAACGAGTACTAGGTCAATATTGGTTGACGTCTCCTGAAAACATGACCATCCTACTTACCTCCACGTTGGCTTTGGCTTGTCGACGGCCCGGAACTTTGGAGCGATCTGTTTGACCGCATTTGATGACACGAGGCTTTTGAGCGATCTAAGGGGCCACATGCGGTGGCCCGGGACTTTTCAAAGATCATATGCATATGTCATAGGCTGACCGTCGCGTAGATCTTGCCATATAAGAGTAAAAGCTACACCAAAGCGATCATCTATGATCCAGTTAATAACTAATAGAATTTTTGTACAGTCGGTCCGACTTGGACGGGACATTCAAAGCCGTATTCTCTGGGACTTCATCGATGTCATCACCCAAGTCCCAAGTGGCTCCCCATCACCCGGATTGAGTCTGCTCCTCGCACATGACTCATCCTTAATAAGCCCTACGATCACAACACGAGATCCAAGCCAATTGAACGCGGAGCAAAAGGAGCTCTCGCTGCACGGGCCTATGGTTTGGTGCATCAGTGCCAGGTACAGATCACCGTTGGCGTGGTGCATGCTGTAGAATTTCCTGCAATGCAGGTTGTACCCTCACGCGATGGTCGCATGCTCTGATCAGACTTGCAGGTCCACTGTGTCCAGCGGTGCCTCACTCTGTATCCGTGAATGGGCACTGCAATGCAGCGTACAGGGTAGCAAGAACGTCAAGACACGTCACACCCTCTTCGCCGGCAATGAAATTCGGGTTGACATAGCATGTACTGTCTACATCGGGTGTTGCCCTCAGCAGACAACAAGTAGGATTAATAAAATAAAATAAAAAAGTCCGGGCCGATGTCAAACACCCAGGGAAAGTCTGGGCTGATAAGCCGTGTCTGTTTAGGCTGTTCTGACGTAAGTGGGACGTTCGTACCCGCAGCCTGCATATGAAGACAACAAAGGAAACCCGAGATATGTAGGCTGAAAGCGCAGGTCGCATATTATTGGCACGCATGGCGTCGCGAGAAATGAGTGGGGATAGGCTAGCGAGAGGTATGAGGAACATTCGGGGTCATGAGTTGTGTGTGAGGCATACCCATTTTGGTCTCGTTGACATTTAGTGGCGTGGTTCGAAGCATGGAATGGTCGTCTAGACAAATATTTGAACATCTTGCAGGTTAGTAAAACCAAGACGCTTACATATGAGCCGCGTACTGTCTGTATGATGGTGAGCTGCGGCGCGCATCTCAGAAGTGCCCTGAAGAGATGGCGCACAAGGGCCTCCTACATCGACCATGTCAGATTGCATAATGATCAGATGCAATGACAGATAACCTACCGTTCCATGCCCACGAATTATGGACACTGCGGTTTTGAGAGTCGACGAGAGTCGTTACATCTGCAGAACAACATGTTAAATTTGAGTCTTTGAATGCATAGCCAAAGAAAAAATGACTACGTTGTGCCCAAAAAATTGGGCGAGGGCGAGCTTCGCATTAGGGATGAACGGGACAGGGTTCTAGTGACAGTTGAGCAAAGAGCTGTATAACAAGAATTAGAGCTCACGAGTATGGACAGCGTTAGCCTCATGCAGAGATTTTGTTGAAACATTAATTGCAAAAGCAACACGTTCGACGGAGGTGAAAAAAGAATTGGGCACCCTTTGTAGCGAACATTGCACAAGGCAGGATGCATGTGATCAAAGGTAGGCTAATGACATTGCCAGTGGGGATGAGAAAACATAAGGGATGTGATGTAGATGAAATTATGAATGTAGAGGGCTTGGAACGCCCAAGGGAGACAGATATCAGGGCGAAGACATATGAGGAGGGGGTTATACTAGTAGTAGTACGTGTCATGGCACATCAAAGTAAGTCTGTCCGCAGGAAAATTTGCATCTAATGGCCGCGATTCTGGATCGGACTTCTCCGTATGAAAACCCTGAGACACTCTGCCAGGACTAGGAAAAAGTGTTGGATGTCTGAACACTTAAGTGCAAAAAGAGTCCGATTGGGTTAAGAATGTACGAGGTTGTGGATCTGTGAGACGTTCATTGGTTAGTACTATGTACCACACCATCAAGCTGGCTCTGAACTTCCTTACTTGGGAATTATGGAGTCTAGACCGTGCGATGTCAGCGGGTACCCAACAACATACCGTGATGGAAAGCAAAAGAGCGAACACGGGACCCTAGGAAAGCACGTCTACAAGCAATTTGACATAAGCACCACTTCTACGTTCTCACACACAAGTACCCCCGCCGCAGCTTCCTAGACAATAATATCATGATCCGGATCGTGAAACGAGCTTTTCAGTAGACTCGCTAATGTGACATAGGCCCACATGTGTCAGTGGGCTTTCATTCTGATCTGGTGGCAGTAGGGTCATGATTAGCCTATATCCGGCGGAGCACCTACCGCAGCATCAGCCCTCACAAATGGACGAGGTTCGATCAAAGAGTGATGGGAAGGTATCCATTCTGATTGAGAAAGTAGCCGTATTCACTGTGGTGCGTTGGACGTATATTTGCATCAGGAAGCGAACAAAGTTCGATGGTTGCTGCCAGTAATGGTTAGATAGACAGTTGACCTATGTCGTGCTTCTGTAACCAAATTGGAGGTGCGCAGGCCCCTGAAAACTGAAGCTTGAAGAGCCGGTGTCAAGTTGTCCAGCAGTTGCCAGCTGTGGTGAATGCGGTGAGTTGTCAACGCTTGTTCGAACTGGGCCAATCAGGCTGGGTTCTCACCTTCAAATATTACCATATAAAGAGATTGATCCCCTGTTACTCACCCGACTGAACTGCCTACGTACGGGTGATCCAGGGTGAACAGACAATAGGGAGGTAGTCGGTGCCGTGCTGATCGAGATCTCCCATAGACTCGTAACCAGTCTTACTACCTCTCTGATATGTTAATAAGTGCTTGACGGATCTTCCAATCAAGAACATGATGACGGTTAATTTACAAGCCCCAAATTGGGCGTGAGAGGATAGATGTTGGGCTGAGACATTGAACTCGCACTCAGCTGATCGACTAGTCAGTGTCGATGAGCTAGCGTTTAATATCTTGCATACCGCTACGATACGACAGTTTATTGGTGAGTCATTCACGTGTTCAGAATATTCTTATCATTACATTCTTCGCAATGCTCACAAAATCTCAATAGAGATAAGCAATAGTAATATAGTATATGTACATTTTCTCTAAACCAAATTCAAGGTCATAATTTCTGGAACTTCACCACCCACGTCTCAGGGCGCTCCCCACCACCTGGAACGAATCTTTTTCTCGCAAAAGCCTCATCCTTGACAAGCCCCATGAATGCAACGCTGGATCCAAGCCAGTCTACACGGAGTAGCAGCGGTTCTCGCTGCACAGGCCTCTCAAAGCTCACTGTGGGTCTAGTGCGTGCCGCAGAGCCCGAACTCCCTTGTAGCGCAAGTTGTATCCATAGACGACGATCGCGCGCTCTGATAAGACTTGCACGTTTCTCGTCTCCAGCAGTGCCCCACTCCATGTCTGTAAGCGGGCGCTGCAATTCGGCGTGCAGAGTAGAGAGGACGTCAAGACACGTTACAACCTCTTCTCCTGCACTTGGGCCGATGTCAAACGCCCAGGGGAAGTCTGGGCTGGTGAGCCGTATCTGCCTAGGCCTCTCTGGCGTAAGTGGGACGCGGAGGAATTCGTATCCGCAGCCCGCAAATGGAGATGATGATGGAAAACTAGAGAGAGGTGGGTGGATAGCGCAGGTCGTATATCAATGGTACGGATGGTGGCGCGAGAAACGGATGGGGGTGGGCTGGTAGGAGGTATAAGAATCAATCCACAACCATAAGTGCGTCTAAGCCGTACCCTTTTTGGTGTCGTTGATGTTTAATGGCATCGTTTGTCGTGTGGAATGGTCATCTAGAAAAATGTACAGTTGAACATCTTGCTAGCAAAACAAAGGTAGACACGTACATATGAGGCATGTGTTCTCCGTATCATGTTGAGCTCTGGTGCGCATCTCAGAAGCGCCTTGGAGAGAGGGAGTATAGGCGCCACCTTTATCCGAATTAAGTTGTATAGCGATCTGAATAGATGGCGACAGAGAACTCACCGATCCATTGCCATGAAGGGATGTTGCGGCGTTGAGCGTGACCCATTATATCATGGGCTAACGAAGTAGATTAAACTTGAAAGTAGAACCATACAAAAGGAAATCACCTTGCGCCCCCGAAATCATGCGGGGGTGAGTTGCGTAGCGATGAGGTTCTAGTGACCAGTGAGCTTGGAGTCCGAATAGATTTAGAATTGCAACTTGTACGGCTATTGGTGGTGGCAACCTCATAGGGATGGCGCGAGGGGGTATCAACACGGGGAAGTTGTATTGGGGGACGGACCCATCCCTCATAGCGAGCATTGTGCAAGGGTGGACGGGAGATGGTGGGCTTAGGGGCAACATACCAGGGGAGAGGAGCTGTAGAAAACATGGAGAGAAGGTGATGGTGTATGGAGACTTGGTGCTCAAGGCATTGTAGTGAGGGAGGATTATATACGTTGGGACATATTACTCGGCGAGAAATATATTTGGCACTTGTAAATAACAAGTGCTTAATATGATCATGGCATTATGCGAAGAGCACTGCGGCGCGCACGCGCACGGTTTGCATCGGTTACGGTTAAGGAACAGTTGAAACTCCGTGTCATGCTTCGAAGAAGCGCTATGCACTGGTTGCGCGATCAGTTACTAGTCTTGGCTGATCTTGGTAATTACTCATGCTTATATGACTGCGGTATTTTTGAACATGTGTATTGCGGAGGTTTCGGGAAGTTTTAACAGATATTCTGAGTGACCCAAGCAAGGGGCTCGGCTACTTGTGTGCTTACACCTCCTATGTCCGTCCGCCGCAGTCACAGTAAACCACCACCACTGGTAGTCACGGTAGTACCGCTGCTCGTGTGTTCAAGGTATGTGACTCAGTGTCTGTAGCACTCAGAGAGTACGAGCTTAGCATGGTTCCAAATCAGTACGGCACAATCACATGGCAAAGCTGTCTTAGCATGTAAAAAATACCTTACTCATCGAGCGCCTAGTACCTATGAAGTTTTGATAAGATGACACGAGACCCTTCCGGACTATGCATAGCTGTGTGCGATACAGCAGAAGGTCAGCTTCCCTCTTTGGCAAGCCTGGAGCCAACATTTGGGAGCCGGAAGAACGGTTAGAAACGGAGCTGACTGACAGCCGGCGGCACCATACTGCACGCCCCTGAGCTGGTTGCTTGACGCTCCTCTTCTGCCATATCTGCGTAGATAGCGTGGATGACGGAATACATGCCGCACCGTCGTCGTCATCGCAGGTACCTAAACTTCCAGACCATACACCTTCAAGGCCCTTCGTGAAGGTCGTGCCATCTTGATGCAAGCTAAGGCAGCAGGCACTAGTAATAAGAGCTCGTAGTACACACATCTCAAGTCTGGAGATCCTGAGGAAAAGCAAGTTCATTTAGTCAAGCAGAACAAACGGCGATTGGCGTACATCCCACGATGAAGCGAGGCTGAGGCTGAAACTCTTACTATGGCATCTTCGAGCATCCTGAAACATCATGCATCATGATCCACTGACCGCCGTGTTACCTCCGCCATATCGCGTGCACACTGCCCATCTCCACTTCCGATTCGTCCAACAATTTCGACATTGATCTACATAAACGTGAGACAAACTTTTCATCACGTACGTGTTTGATATGCCATTTGCTGCATATCTTCCTCGCGGTCGTTCCTCCTCTCCCAATTTTCAACTTTCCAATGCCTATACTCCCAATACTAGTACGAGCTATTTTTGGTTCAGTGCGAGAAAGTAAACAAGGATTGATGGAAGGAGGAGGTATAGATCCAAGATGTAGCTGCACTGCTCTGGTGCGTTGGGCTAGTACTTGCGGCGTTCGGAATCGGATCTTGGTTGGTAAAGTAGCTGGTATTTGATTTCGAGTTAGTAAACTTGAAAGGTTAGACAGACCTAATTGAGTGTTGACCCGGACCTGTGACGGTGCTGCCTACGACCATCACGGATGTACGCGGGTCCTCGCAAAGCTCTTCCTCAGCACGGTGAGTGACGTTCTGAAGTTGCGAGCGAACCCAAAGCGAACCGCAATGCAAAATCTCGGATATTTCGGCCTCGGTTATTGTCGGAAACCTATATGAAGAACAATAACCCCTGTGACGCGGATGCAATGCATATCAATACACTAATATGTAAGGACGAAACGTTTGATTCCGCGGACTCGGAAGCAATTCGTCTGACTCCCATGTGTGCGAGCTCCACCTGCACTCCGCTCCTTAAGGTCAGTGTGCGCTTAGTAATTTGCTGTCCGCGCACCGTGCACTTATCTCCGTGTCCAAGTCCACTCTTTGCAATACAGACTGAGACGTCAGCCTATATCCGGTGGCGGTCAGAGCACCTACCGCAGCGTTCATGACCTCACAAAAGGACGAGGTCTAATCACGGAGTGATGGGGAGATATGCGTTTGGTTTCAGAGGGTAGCTATAGGCCAGTATTATTTATGGTACGTAGGGCATGTGCTTGCATCAGGAATTGAACAAGTTCGATGGTGGTTGTCAGTGATGGTGAAATCAGGTTAGACAGACAATTGACCTACGCTGTGCTTCTACAACGTGCGCAGGTCCCTGCAGAATTGAAGAGCCGGTGTCAAGTTACCTAGACTAGTAGCAACTGGTTCGGGACGAACTTCAACGCATTGGTAAGCTCGCTTGCTTGAGTCGAGGTCCAGACCATCATCATTCAATGTGAGTTCCCAACTTCTATTGCCATATAAAGAACATTGGCCCCTGTTATGATACTCCCCATTGAACTGCTTATGGTAATGGTGAGCGGTGTTATCGTCACGAGAACGGCGGCAGTTCGAACTGCAGAAGCAACGCGTCGCTTACCAGGCCTGCGCCTCTTGAATGATGAAGTGCTGTATAGTTCCTGCGACTTATCATATACATCAAGGCATGATCCGGCTTCGGCAGGGGAAACCGAGGCGAAGGGAATTGGCGCCGTGCTAATCTTCCATTGATCAATTGAGATGGCAAAACCTGAGTACAAACCACGAGAGGACGTGGGAGGATCAAGGAATGATGACATGCATGATCATTATCGTGGGCAGAGACAACTCGCACCCTGTTGGACTATGATATGATGGCCTTGCAATTGGCGAGTCATTCACGTGTTCAGCATTGCTATCATTACATTATCATTGCATGGTGTCCGCAACAAGATCCTTCTTACTCCCGTCATCAGCAGCTGTTGACTTGCACGACTTCAATACCTGGTTTCAATATAAGCAGTGCTACATACTTCGTAACATTCACAAAATAAAGATAACCAATAGTAAGATTTTTGTACATTTCTCCAAATCTTCAGTCATAATTTCTGGAACTTCACCATCCACGTCTCAGGGTGATCCCCACCACCTGGAACGAATCTCCTCCTTTCAAAAGCCTCATCCTTGACAAGCCCCATGAATGCAACGCTGGATCCAAGCCAGTCGACACGGAGTAGCAGCGGCTCTTGCTGCACAGGCCTCTCAAAGCTCACTGTGGGTCTATCGCGAGCCGCAGGATTTGAGTTCCCGTGCAACGCAAGTTGTATCCATAGACGACGGTCACGTGCTCTGATAAGACTCGCACGTTTATCGTCTCCAGCAGTGCCCCACTCCATGTCTGTAAGCGGGCGCTGCAATTCGGCGTGCATAGTAAAGAGAACGTCAAGACACGTCACAACCGCTTCTCCGGCGCTTGGGCTGATGTCAAACGCCCAGGGAAAATGCGGGCTCGTAATTCGTATCAGCCTAGGCCGCTCTGGCGTAAGTGGGACGCGGAGGAATTCGTATCCGCAGCCCGCAAATGGAGATGATGATGGAAAACGGAGAGAGGTGGGTGGATAGCGCAGGTCGTATATCAATGGTACGGATGGTGGCGCGAGAAACGGATGGGGGTGGGCTGGTGGGAGGTATAAGAATCAATCCACAACCATAAGTGCGTCTATGCCGTACCCTTTTGGGTGCCGTTGATGTTTGATGGCATCGTTCGTCGTGTGGAATGGCCATCTAGGAAAACGCACAATTGAACATCTTGCAAGTTAATAAAACGAAGGTAGACGCGTACATGTGAGCCATGCGTTCTCTGTATCATGTTGAGCTTTGGTGCGCATCTCAGAAGCGCCTTGGAGAGACGGAGCATAGGCGCCACCTTTATCCAAATTAAGTCGTATAATGATCTGAATAGATGGGCACAGAGAACTCACCGATCCATGGCCATGGACGAGAGACGTTGGGGCGTTGAGAGTCAATGTGACCCGTTATATCAGCAGATGCTAACAAAGCGAATTAAGCTTCAATGAAAATAGAACCATAGAAAAGGAAATCACCTTGCGCCCAAAATTTTGTGCGGGGGTGACTTGCATAGGGATGAGGCTCTAATAACGAGTGAGCATGGAGTCTGAACAGATTTAGAATGGCAACTACGGCTATTGGTAGTGGCAACCTTATGATGATGGCGCGAGGGGGTATCAATAGCAAAAGCAACACGGGGAAGTGGTATTGGAGGGCGGACCCATCCTGCGTAGCGAGCATTGTGCAAGGGTGCAGGCGAAATGGTGGGCCTAGGGGAAATATACTGGCACTGCGCAGGGGGACGAGCTGTAGGAAACATGGGGAGGTGATGGTGTGTGGAGAATTGGGATGCTCAAGGCATTGTGGTGAGGAAGGATTATATACGTTGGGATGTCCTGCATTGCTTAACGAAAGCTATCTTCGGTACATCACCGCCGGCAGGCGCTATTTCAATTTAAAGTGCACCGCAGTGAGGGGTGTAGGATGATGACATGATAAGGGCAGCAGTATAAATTCCAAATTACGGCACACCAAAAGATTGCATATGGCAGAGTGCGGTAAGGCCTGTCACCTGTTTTGGATGTGGGATGCTGACATGACAAGTGTGACAGTGGACGCCTAGTATGTCTTCCGAATTACGGCACACCAAAAAATCACATATGGCAGAGCGTTGCCTGTCTTAATATTTGAGTGTAAAAATGGACGTGTTGCCCAATTAGACTGGGGTGCGATCAAGTTGACCTGCATATTGTACTGCAAGATCTATGACCCACGTCAGTACCGACAACATAAATCTGCACAAAAAACTTGCCTGCATTAGACCCGGCGAGTGCTACAATAGGTGTACCGTGTACCTACCGTTGCTTTGGTTTTGACTTTCCTTACTTCCTCAGCCAAGCACCGATGAAGTTTTGATAAGATGACTAGAGACCCTTCCGGACTAGCTGTGTGACACAACAGAACTGCGGGAAATGGCTCATTGCAAGGGGTCGGCTTCCTAGAAAGAGGTGCCCACCCTGGGGGTCGTCTTCTTTCTTTGGAAAGTCCATGACCGCCACATGGATCCCGAGAAACGGTCAGAAACGGAGCTAGCTGATTGCCGGCATCAAACCTAACGCCCGCAGAAACTTCTCAACTGCACACCCCTGGAAGTTGCCTAGAGGCTCCTTTCTCATATCTGCGTGGATAGTGTGGATGGCAGAATGGCAGAATACCGTCGTCGTCGCAGGTACCTAAACTTTCTGACCGCACACCTTCAAGGCCCTTCGTGCCATGCAAGCTCCAGAAGCCCAAGTATGCGCTTGCTAAAACAGTCGTCTTTGCTCTGTGGGAGAGAGAAAATCAAGGTCTCGAGCTAAAGCGGCAGGCCCTAGTAGTAGGCACTCGTAGCACACGTCTCGATTCTCGAGATCCTGTGGAAGCAAGTTATTTTAGTCAAGCAGTAAAACCGGCAATTGGCGTACGTCCCACGACGTCCCAGTAGCGCTGGCGAGGCAGGGTGAGGCGGAACTCTCACTCATGGTATCTTCTGCCACCATTTCCAAGAGCATCCTGAAACATCATGATGCACTGACCACTGTAGTACCTACGCGGTGTCGCGTGCGCACCGCCCATCTCCACTTTTGATTCGTTCCACAATCTTGACAAAAAAAAATGATCTACATAGACGTAAGACGAGCTTTTCATCACGTACGTGTCTGATATGCCATGTGCTGCACATCTTACTCATAGCCGTTTCTCCTTCTCTCCTAATTTTAGACCCTTCGACGCCACTACTCCCAATACTATGAACTGTTCCTGGTTCAGTGAGAGAAAACAGAGCAGTTCGAGTGATGGAAGGAGGTACAGATTCAAGACGAAGTGGTACTACTCTGGTGCGTTGGGCTAGTACTTGGGGCGTTCAGAACTAGGTCAAGTAGCTGGTATCTGATTTGACTCGGAGTTAGTAAACTTTAAAGGTTAGACAGACCTACTGGAGGGTCGACCTGGACCTGTGACGGTGCTATAATCCTACGATCGTCGTGGATGTAGCGAAGCTCTTCTTCTGTACTGGTACAGTGAGTGAAGTTTTGAAGCTGTGGGCGTAGTAGACTCAAAATCAGCCTCGGCCTTCGGATGTTGTCGGAAACTTGCCATATGAAGAAAAATAACCCCTGTGACGCGCATGCACCAATTTCATGTCCCAAATTCTCGATAACCGATACATAAAAGGTATGTACATTTCGTCCAAACATTATTATTATGATAGGTTCTGGAACCTCACCACCCACGTCTCGGGTGGCTCTCTCGCACCCGGAATGAGTCTCCTCCTCGCAAACGTCTCATCCTTCACGAGCCCCCCAAACATAACACGAGACCCGAGCCAGTCCACACGGAGTATCGAAGACTCTCGTCGCGCAGGTTGCGTATCCACATCAGATGCAAATCGCACTCTAGGCCTGGCAGTAGTGCATGCCCCGGTACTGGAACTCCTGCGCAAAGCAGGTTTCATATTTAGCCGACGATCGCGCGCTCTGATAAGGCTCGCATGTTTATCCTCTGCAGCGGCTCCCCACTCTGTGTCTGAGAGTGGACGCTGCAATGCAGCGTGTAGCGCAGTGAGGACATCAAGACACGTCACAACCTGTTCTGTAGCACCGGGCGCGGGGCCAATGTTGAATGCCCAGGGAAAGTCTTGGCTGATCAGCCGTATTTGGTCGTGCCGTGCTGGTGTGAGTGGCACTCGAAGGAACTCAGATCCCCGTCCATCATACGGAGATGATGGTGGAAGACGGAAAGAGTTGGGTGGGTATCGCAGATCATATACCAGTGGCACGCATGGTGCTGCGAGGGGGTAAGCTGGCGGGAGGCATCAAGATCAATGCAATCATAGTTACAAGCTAGGTCTGAGCCGCACCGATTTGTGTGTCCTTGTTGATTAGTGGCATTGAATCCTTTGTTCGTCGTACAGGGTCATCTAGGAAAGTGCGTAATCGAACACCTTGGCAGTTGCAACTAATGAATGGGGACGCTTACGTCTAATCGCTGCGTTCTCTTTGTTGTGTTGAGCTGCGGTGGGCAACTCAAAAGTGCTTTGATTCTGGTAAGTGCCACCTTTATCATCAAATCAGATTGTATGATAGACGGATTCGACGACAGGGACCTACTGTTCCACATGCACGACTTAGAAACGTTGTGGTGTCGGTATTTGACTGGCCATATTATATCTACAGAACAAATGAGCTGGGGTATAACAAAGGAGAGGGGAAATACCTTGCACCCCAGAATTTGCACGTGGGTGAGTGTCATGTTGAAGATGAACCGAGTGAGGTTCTGAGGACGGTTGAGACAGAGAGCCACATGCATGAATAGTTGCTTACGGGCATGAGTGACGTTACCGTCACGGGGACGACGGTTTGACGGGGTGTCGGTTGCAAATGTGACATGCCGTTCAGCAGGCTTGTTGAACGACGGCGAAGCGACATGGGGAAGCTGTATTGGAGGGCTGGGCCACCCGTCATAGCGAGCATCGTGCCAAGCTGGAGGCGAGGCGTTGGGACCGGGGGTATTCCATGAAGGACGAGTTAAATAACACATGGGAGACGTGGTGTTGGTGTACGATAACTTGGGATGCTGTAGGAGGCCGCATCGTGATGAAGATGGGATTATATACGATCGGATAATAGGATGGCAAAGCCTTGCCCGCTTTACTTTTTGAGTGCAAAAATTGGACTCAACGTCCAATCGAACCAGGTGGAATCGAGTTGGCGGCACTTGCTGTGAAAGAAATTACCTCCATCAGTTATAACAATATAAATGTCTGCTTGCACAACCCAGCGAATGTAGGTCCTACTGGCCAAGTGAGCACTGCCAGCAGCCACACTGCCACCCAGTCTGCAGAAGTTGATACCTTCCTTATATACTCGGTAATGGTGTCAAAACTCTCCTGCAAGTCACCAAAACGTGATGAACACACTGGCACCACCAGCGTTTTCAGTGCTGGTATGTCTTCGCCTTCTGCTCGCAGTTCTACCTCTTCCAGGTCAAAATCTCCTCAAACATGACCATCAGCTTAGCTCTCCATTGACCTCCTACCTTCGCTGTATGTGGCAAAGCACTGCTAGCCAAGTGACCATTGCTAATACATGTCAATACTAGTGAACGAAGGTCTCTGGCTCCTCGATAATAATATCGACCCATATATTGGAGGAGCTTTTCACCATGTATGCCACTCCAGAGAACCAAATGTCATGGATGTCATGAACTGACCATCTGTGCCATAGTCGCCTCTCCTACTCTCCTTATTTTCAACTATAGTACCTCCACTTCCCAATTATATGGGCTGTATCTGATGCAGTGGGGGCTTGGGCGCTTCTCCGCATATTGGCGCGCACGCCAGGGTTTATCATCTCAAAAGGGCACAAGGTCCGATGTAGAAAACCTCATCGTAAGCGTGTACGTTGAGTCCGTCAGCATATTTCCAGTACGCACCTAACGCATCACACAGCTACTTGCTGAATCCCTACCTCCTCCTCCCATCACTTGCGCTATCGACATCCACATTCGAAAATGCCCTCACCCTCCTTGCTCTCATGTTTGCATCTGAAGGTACGTCCTAACGTCTCTGTCCAAGTTGACTCATACGCATTTCACAATTCCAGGCAAAGTATCTTCTGCTCTCCTCGCTATCGCATTCGCAGTTCACCTCACCCCCTCCTCTATCCTTTTACTTCTCCCAATTCTCATGGTCCTCCTCTCCTCTCCTGTATCTCACCTCGCTTCCCCGCGTCCTTTCCATGGTAGCCTCAAGCGTATACCGTTCCTCTTTGGTGAGTTCACACTATACTGGCTCGTCCTTGTAGGCGCAGCATGCACTATTGCTGGCGGAAGCTGGAATTGGGTCAGGGCGTCATGGGGCGCAAGGTAAGTCGACTTCCAATTCCCGACAAATGCTCCATAAACACAGCATCCCAGCCTCACGCTACCAGACCTCACGCCCAACCCCGGTCTTTGGTGGTACTTCTTCACCGAGATGTTCGACCATTTTAGACCATTCTTCCTGATGGTCTTTTCCGTGCGTTCTCATTTTCTTCGTGCACGCATGCCATCTGACTGCATAGTTAGGTTCACCTTGTTATATACATATTACCTATCTGCATAAAATTTCAGTAAGGGATTCCTGATAATATACGTGCTAGTTTTTATTGGTTCTGACATGCCCCACCTGTAGACACGATCCCCTCTATGCCGCGTTCCTCCTCGTAGGCGTCCTGGGGACGTTCAAAGCGTACTTAACTCTCGCAGATCCAGGCTTGTTTCTAAGCATGATATCCATCTTTCCTGAAGTACATGGTTGTAAGTCCCCTTCCCTCCGACAACCCTATCCCATCTCGCACTCACTTCACTCACACTCTTCCAGACCTCCGACACCCCATTATTACCACACTGCTCCACCTACATGCTGCGCTCCTCCTCCCACTTCAACATGTGCTCTGGGTGAGCGAGGGCCGTGGGAACGCGAATTTTTACTATGCTGCGAGTCTTGTCATGGGTATGGCGAATGGTGCAGGGCTTGTGGATGCATGTTGGGCGGGGATGCGGATTGCTGTTGGGGATGCGAAAGTATGGGCTGATGAAAAGGTAGATGGTGAGAAGGGCAAGGGGAAGGTGTGGGAGGTGGTACAACAGTGAGGAGTGAATAATTACTCGAGGCTGGTTGCCGTTTTGCGTGTATATTTTGGACCAAATACAAAAGTATGTATACCCAGATTGGCAGTCACCGAGTGTTTGGGTCATTCTCCTAGGCCAAACAACTTTTTCCTTTTGTGTACATCACCAACCACGACTATTGTGGCAGGGAAGCCAAAATACTTGCAAGCGATCTCGCAAACTTGAACCAGGCGGTGGCAGGTGATCGGTATCGTTCGTGTGAACGGGATGTACCTCCTCGACTTCACGGGCAAGGCATCTGGACAGCACGTGCACAATACACAGTACGATTTCAGCTCCATGCAACCTGGTGACGTTGAAACGTTGATGACTCAAAGGTTTCGCTAGTGACTTCCACACTTAATATTGGGGACGTGACGCTGAATCACTGATGATAAATGATACAAAATTACAAATGCACAGTACGAAATTGTCTCTACCCCAAATTCTTTCAACGTCTTTCAGCTGGCGGAGTCGGACGCCACAACCGTTGAATCCGTTCCAACTCGACTTGCGACTTCCAGAAGTATCGGTGCATTTCCGCACAACGTTGGTTCGATAGGACGCACGCCAGATCTTCCGATCGAGTCACCGACAAATTCCACCGCGTTCTGAATCCCGGGCCAAGACTCCAGCAGCCAACACATTCTATCTTGTAGATTCGCCAATTCCGGTTCTTCGATGATGTCAGAAAAACCCCAGCACTTGAGATATCTGAGAGTGTCGTCTACCCAATCTTGGCTGTTCCAGCAGAGAAGATCGTGTATGATGTCAACTCTTCGGAGGGTTGTCTCCATTTCGTCGAGCTCCGTCGAGCTCACGCTTCCTACGGAATAACTTCCACGCCAGTCGTCCGAGTTTTGGAGACGCAGGTTGAGTCTGATATCGATGGGGTAGTTCGTTTGGTTACCTACAAGCTGATAGGTGTTTCCAATGTCAGGACTGATTTCGACGCAGATCGCCCAGTGAAGGGGATATGGCCATAGGTGCTCTTTCTCGCCTCGCCAAAATTGAACAACTTTGATGTTATAGAATTTAAGTGGGACTATTTCGACTTTAGTTATTAGCTATCTCGTATCATATGCATTCATTCGTTGCTTCATATTGGTTCGCTGAGTGAGATTGTGGATACGTGGGCGAAATATTAAGATATATCTCATTGTCCGTACTTTCAGTCGGCTCTTGACGTGGCAGTGCTCTAATGTTGTAGAGTCCGGCCTCCAAAGACTTTTCAACGGTGATAGCATGAGATTAGAGTAATTTCGCATGTCGCGAATGTGACTGCCTGCATGATGACGATCACAGCGCGATCACAATTTAACGACACAATCCAGCATAATTTCATAGGGAGTTTGCTGATGTAAGTGACCTCTGTGATAGTGCGAACAGGCTTTTTGAACGTACCACTGCTCAAGAGCTCGAGACAACTCGAAGTTCGTGTCGACATATTAGGTCTAACGTTCGGCGGTACTTGAGACAACATTTTTAATAACACGGAGTGAAGTGCATCACGCTGTCTGTCGTACCACAGGACACTACGTTACTTGCTGGCGCTGATGCTAATCTCGCCTGCCTGTGGTTTGTAACCACTGCAATGGAGTATTAGGGACCCAAGTGCCAGTGCCAAGCTGCGCGTCAACGGCTCAAGAGTCTGAACTGAAGATAAGAGAGAATTCCAAGACGTCACGTCATGGACTAAATATAAGGCGACATCAGCTGCGGCTACCTTGAATCGTTGAAATACACACCTTCACAATTTCCTGCCCTTCAGATAAGATGGCAAGGCAAGACCGCAGACCTTTCAAACACCACTCCATTTCCAGCCAGGGGATAATATGATCATTCCAAAAAGCCTGGAATATATGATTGAGCGTGTCATCCCATGGATTGGGAGCACGCGAAAGATGTACGCTCCAATTGTGACAGGCATACTTGAGAGCGTCAGAAGCTGATCGACTTCGTTCCTGTGCTTCGTTTGCTAACCTCTCAAAGGTATTCATAGCATGAACTATCTCCCTGTCTGGTAGAAGATTTTCTGGTAATATAGAGGTGGAATGAGAGTGATGTCTTAATGCCAGGAAAACCGGAAACATCAAGAAATCTGGCAAGGTCTTGAATTGCTGGATGACTTGAAAAGCTGGCAGTAAAGGCACATCACTGATAATGATATACTCGTTGATTGCTTCCGATGTCCTCGAGAATTCTTCCATTGTCGCCCAGACGGAGGCCGCGGGAGTGGACTGCCACACTTGACCATGGGGAGTCTGCAGCCAGAATCGCCCACACGGAGTCTGGAGCCAGTCTCGTCCTCCCTCGGTCTGCAGCCAGAATCGTCCTCCCTCGGTCTGCAGCCAGTCTTGTGCTCCTTGGATCTGTAGCCAGTCTCGTCCTCCCTGGGTCTGCAGCCAGTCTCGTCCTCCCTCGGTCTGCAGCCAGTCTTGTGCTCCTTGGATCTGCAGCCAGTGCCGTCCTCCCTGAGTCTCCAGCCAGTCTCGTGCTTCCTGGGTCTGCAGCCAGTGTCGTCCTCCCTGGGTATGCAGCCAGTGTCGTCCTCCCTGGGTCTGCAGCCAGTCACGCCCTTCCTGGGTCTGCAGCCAGAATCGTCCTCCCTTGGTCTGCAGCCAGTCTCGCCCTTCCTGGGTCTGCAGCCAGTTTCCTCCTGCCTGGGTCTGCAGCCAGTCTCGCCCTCCCTTGGTATGCAGCCAGTCTTCCCCTCCCTCGGTCTGCAGCCAGGAGAGTCCTGCCTGGGTCTGCAGCCAGAATCGTCCTGCCTGGGTCTGCAGCCAGTCTCGCCCTCCCTCGGTCTGCAGCCAGTCTTCCCCTGCCTGGGTCTGCAGCCAGTTTCGTCCTGCCTGGGTCTGCAGCCAGTCTCGTCCCCCCTCGGTCTGCAGCCAGTCTCGTCCTCCCCAAGTCTGCAGCCAGTCTTCCCCTGCCTGGGTCTGCAGCCAGAATCGCCCACACGGAGTCTGCAGCCAGTCTCGTCCTGCCTGGGTCTGCAGCCAATCTCGTCCTCCCTCGGTCTGCAGCCAGTCTTCCCCTGCCTGGGTCTGCAGCCAGTCTCGTCCTGCCTGGATCTGCAGCCAGTCTCGTCCACCATCGGTCTGCAGCCAGTCTCGTCCTGCCTGGGTCGGCAGCCAGAATCGTCCTTCCTGGGCCTGCAGCCAGTCTCGTCCTTCCTGGGTCTGCAGCCAGTCTCGTCCTACCTGGGTCTGCAGCCAGTCTCGTCCTACCTGGGTCTGCAGCCAGTCTCGTGCTTTCTCGGTCTGCAGCCAGTCTCGTCCTGCCTGGGTCTGCAGCCAGTCTTGTCCTCTCCGGGTCTGTAGCCAGTCTCGCCCTCCCTCGGTCTGCAGCCAGTCTTCCCCTGTCTGGGTCTGCAGCCAGTCTCGTCCTGCTTCGGTCTGCAACCAGTCTTCCCCTCCCCAGGTCTGCAGCCAGTCTCGTCCCCCCCAGGTCTGCAGCCAGCCTTGTCCTCCCTCTATCTGCAGCCAGTCTTCCCCTGCCTGGGTCTGCAACCAGTCTCGTCCTGCCTCGGTCTGCAGCCAGTGTCGTCCTGCCTCGATCTGCAGCCAGTGTCGTCCTCCCTGACTCTGCAGCCAGTCTTCCCCTTCCTCGGTCTTCAACCAGTGTCGTGCTCCCTGGGTCTGCAACCAGTTTCGCCCTCCCTGGGTCTGCAGCCAGTTTCGTCCTCCCTGGGTCTGCAGCCAATCTTTCCCTTCCTGGATCTGCCACGGCCTCTCCTCCTCTTCTACCCACTCCTGTATTTCCCGGATCTGCGGCAGCCAGTCTTGTCCTCCCCGGATCGGCAGCCACTCTCGTCCTGCGAGGGTCTGCAGCCAGTCTCGTCCTGCGCGGGTCTGCAGCCAGTCTCGTCCTCCTCGTGTCTGCAGCCACTCTCGTCCTCCTCGTGTCTGCAGCCAGTCTCCTCCCCGAGCCTGTAGCCAGTCTCGTCCTCCCCGTGTCTGCAGCCAGAATCGCCCCGTCTGGGTCTGCAGCCAGTCTCGTCCTCCCTGTGTCTGCAGCCAGTCCCTCCCCCCCTGTGTCTGCAACCAGGATCGTCCTGCCATGGTCTGCAGCCAGAACCTTCCTGCCTGGGTGTGCAGCCAGGCATGTCCGTCCACAGTCCCCAGCCAAGATTCTAAATCTGAAGTGTGATCTCCTCGAAGCCACAGCATACAGATGACAGATGACAGTGGCTCTGGTGGCCGAACAAGGAACGCTAATGAGTCTTTTAACCTATGGGGGTCCTCAGGTTCCATAGCTTTGCTTTGCTTCTTCAGTTCTGAGAGTGCATCCAAGAGAGCCGTGCTTGCTGGAATCGCCTTCATCAAGCGGAGAGAGGAACGTGCGAGTAGGTAGTGAGGTGATGCGATATCGCATACTTGAGGGAGGCCGCAGTTTGAGGGGTCGGAAGCGTAGTCGCGAATGGACGAGTGATAGATATTCACGGGGAGAGTGCTGTCTGTAGGGATGTCCATGACAGACCGTAGCTGTATCAGCGTTGTCTGCACATCCCTTCCCAAACCAGAGCCAAGAAGTATCGAGATTTGCGAGATGGGAAGAGGGTCTGCGAGAGCGGCGACAATGGACAAGTGCATGTAAGCCCGCTTGGGGTCGGCACACGTGGAGAGGATACAATCGTATAACTTGTACACCTCTGTTCCTGGTAGCAGAGAGCTCGTGAGCTGGAGCATCAGCTGTAACCGATCATGGGGATCATTGTCTTCATCGTCGATAATAAACTTCATCATCGTAGACGCCACGATGAAACGTCTGCCCGCTCGGCTCGCCAGCTTCGCAAGGTCAACCTCCGATGGCTGCGGGAAATCGGGATGGCGACTTTTCAGCTCTTCGAAGGAATGCCGCAAGAAAGTACAGATGTCGTTGTCAACGTCTGCACCGTCTAACGAGATGATGCCACCCTCCCCTGAAGTTCTCACGGGTATCTCCCGCACCAACGGGCGCACCTTTTCGTTCTGAAAGGCTTTGGAGATATGGAATTCCGAGCGACTTGTAAGCAGAATGTGGACCACAGGAAGGTCAGGCTCACGAAGAGCCTGTGCAAGGGAAAGGATGAGATCAGTAGACTCGGGTTCAGACGTGCATTCATCAAGCGCATCGATAACAAACGATAAAGGTGGACATCCGTGCAATCTGAGTCGAAGTTTCCGGAGAGGTTGGAGAAAGAGAGCCTCCATCTGGTCGCAGAGAGGCGTGTCTGGGTCTAGTAGAGCAGGATTGTTGCGGATCGCTCTGTTCACATCCTGCTGGATACTTGGAAAATTGGTGGCAAGCTGGTAGACAAGCGTCGTAAAGAAATATCCAGTTGTGCAGCGTTTGGTGTGCTTGCGCGAGAAAAAGAATGTTCCCGCTAGCCGCTTTTCGACGTTCGTCTCCTCTGTCACTTTTAGACCTCTCATATTTTCAGCGACTGTAAACGCGACCGCAGACTTTCCGACACCAGGCGTGCCATGCAGCCAAATGAGTTGATTCTTCTCTGGGTCGTCCAGAGATTCGTGGATGTATTTAAGAAGATCAACCCGGGTCCCATCCAAACATTTCGGGTGAGGCTGACGTTCACGGGAGTTATATTGAGCACCTTTGACAGCGACCTGGGCTAGCCTTGCCCAAGGTCCTTCAAAAACTGTCAGAGAGGTTAGAGAGCATGCGAGAGATAAGAGATGGAATTGCTGACAATGATCGTCACTCATTGACGAAAGTTGTGGTATGCGGCGAGATGCAATGAACAATTGAAAGTACTAGCTGGGTTCGACGGTGCGGTTATAAATAATCTGGGCGATAGTTATCTAGAGGGACGACGTACGAGGATTTGAATTCAAGCTTTTAAGACTAGGTCGCGGAACGGTCCAGCCGTCGATTGATGAAGAGTGCGAAGCGTGATGAAGATGAGATGGACGTAGGGATATTTCAATATTTTGCTATGGAGAGCTTGCTGAATGGTTGTGGCATGCACTAGTTTGAAGGACGAGTAGGCGCCCGCCGTCCAGTGCTTGCAGGAGGCTGCTGTGCGGCGGCCGCCGGCCGGTCATACTACTGCACAGCCAGTGACTGATCATCGACTAGTACTTAGTAGTAGTGCTCACTGCTCAGACCCAGTGAGAAACGGTCCTAGCCGTATCGACGGAAACGACCGAAATATCGCGACAATATTTGCGTCGATTTGCGGAGACGGATGAGACTTATATGATATTTTCAGCGACTCGCATCGAGCGAGATATTGCAGAATCGAGCGTGTTTGCGTAGCGTAGATTCTAGTATATTGTAGTAGCTCCCAATTGACCTTTTGCATATTCGCACATCAACCCAAATCGACCAAAAACAATTGTATTGCGAAAAAATTACAAATGCAATAAAAGTGTACTCTATATACCACTGGCACCCCCACCCATGCGTCAGGATGACGTAGCCCATCAGCTTCTGGTACATGGGAGTCCTTAACTGAAACAAATCATTGTTAGATGTGCTTGCCAGGCAAGCAGACAGTACTTACAATGACAACTGCCTCGTTCTCGTGTTTCTACGGCAATAGATATCAGTTGAAGTATATTGGGTAGCTTTTAATGGAACTTACCAATCGACTGTCTTGTAACGGTGTATCTGTTGAAGCCGCTGGACGTGTCGATAATCGGGACAATGGTAGTGAGCTAGCGATGATGTAAAACAGTCAGTGAATGAACCTGACAATGTCAGATAACTCACAATGTTCGAAATGTGTGCATATATGCGCCGTAAATAGCACTTACTTGGATGACTACGGTCGATGGGGTGGGATCAGCAGATGGATTGGGCCGTGAAAAGGTCTAGTACTTATCTTGTTAGTGCAGTAGCTAAGCGAGAAAATCATGCATCAGACGGTACCAGGATGGTTGAGGTCAACAGCGAGATTTTGCTGAGAGGAGGACGAGATGATGGAAGGGAAGAAGAAGGCTGAGGTGAACCGAGTATGGATGGAATGTCCCAATATATATCATAAGTGGTCCACTGCATATCGACGTCATCGCATGGAAGTGATGGTGCGTGCGCAGCTGATGCGCAAGAATGTTCAAACATTCAAATATTGAGCAAAGTCAAGTCAAAGTTGAAAAAATTTCAGCATGTTCAACCAATGTTCAACGGATCTTTGCTCAATGGATCAACCGCACTTTTTAATTTATCGATTTGCGTAGTTATCGCAATATTATTGGTATATAACTAATATTTTCATCGTTTGCCGTAGATATGGCTAGGACCGTTTTTCACTGGGGCTCAGATCTTGACCGACAAACTGTCAATTTGAGAATATATATTACAGTGAAGGCTGTGAAGCATCTCACTCGTCTCCATCGATCATATGATATCAAGCTTAAGATTCACCGGTGCACTACGGCATCCTATAGTACTTCTCTCTCTTTTCCTTTTTGTGTACACCATCCACTATTGTGGCAGGGAAGCCAAAATACTTGTAAGCGGTATCGCAAACTTGAACCAGGCGGTGGCAGGTGATCGATATCGTTCGTATGAACGGGATGTACCTCCTCGACTTCGCGGGCGAGGTATCTGGACCGCACGTGCACAATACACAGTAGCTCGATACAAGCTAAACGTTGAACGTTGATGCATCGTGATGACTCAAAGGTTTCGCTAGTGACTTCCACACTTAATATTGGGGACGTGACGCTGAATTACTGATGATAAATGATACAAAATTACAAATGCAGAGTATGAAGCTGTCTCTACCAGTATACCCGGGGCCCAAATTCACGTAGTCTTAAAATCAAATCCCATTGCAACTGTTGCAATTGAATCCGTCTCATCTCGGCTCGCGACTTCCAGTAGTATCGGTGTATTTCTACACAACGTCGGCTCGATAGGACGCACGCCAGATCTTCCGAGTCACCGACAAATTCCACCGCGTCCAGAATCCCGGGCCAAGACTCCAGCATCCAACACATTCTGTCTTGTAGATTCGCCAACTTTGTTTCTCCGATGATGTCAGAAAAACCCCAGCACTTGAGATATCTGAGAGCGTCGTCTACCCAATCTTGGCTGTTCCAGCAGGGAAGATTGTGTATGATGTCAACTCTTCGGAGGGTTGTCTCCATTTCGTCGAGCTCCGTCGAGCTCACGCTTCCTACGGAATAACTTCCACGCTCGTCCGACTTTGGGAGACGCTGGTTGAGTTTGATATCGATAGCGTAGTTCGTTTGGTCGCCTACAAGCTGATAGGTGTTTCCTATGTCAGGTCTGGTTTCGACGCAGATAGCCCAGTGGAGTGGATAGGGCCGTAGGTGCTCTTTCTCGCCTCGCCAAAATTGGACAACTTTGATGTCATAGAATTTAAGTGGGACTTTAGAAGACACCTATGGGACTGGGTAAGTCGCAGTTCGCTAGATTCATGATAGTGTGCTCACCAAGGATTCAGACGGAAGAGTATGAGGTTCGAGTCCATAGTTATTCTGTTTTAATACCCAAGTCCATGGGAGTCGGTAAGTCGCAGTTCGCTAGATTTAAGATAGTGTGCTCACAAAGGATTCAGACGACATATTGAACAAGTACCCGGATGGGAGAATGTGAAGTTCGGGTTCATCGATGACCTGTTTTATACCCAAGCCCATGGGAGTCGGTAAGTCACAGTTCTTTAGATTTAAGATAGTGTGCTCACCAAAGTTCCAGACAGCATATTGAGCAAGGATGGGAGAGTATGAGGTTCGAGTACATCGATGACCTATTTTATATCCAAGCTCTTGTGGATTTTTGCTTTGCGAGTGTGGACACACTATGCTCGTCCACTTACTCTATGAGCTGTGGACTATCATTGTCTTCCCGATCGAGCCGCCATAAAACAGCCGATTCAGATGTGGAGGATGACCTTGGTCTCCACTAAGCTAAGTCTTACTAGGCCGCGAGTCCACACTCTGTGTTGGCCTCCGCTCATTGTCACTGATCGCATGGGGATTCAAGATTGCATCGAAATTGATCGCATGCCAGTGAATTGTATCAAAATCAACGTGTTTCATACTCGACCGTGAGTATTCTAGGCTTCTGATATTATGCCTGACTCATTAACGAGCTCCCAGTAACGACATTTATGTTTTGTCATTCACTTGAATCGAGGAACCAACCACGCTGCGAAATTGAGCGCTGAGCACCAGCGCTTGGATGTCACCTCAGTTTGTGGGCGAGTTCTCACACCATCCAGACCTACTATCGCAAAAGCACATCCAAGTTAATTGTGCAGTGTACACCTACCCTCGTTTTGAGCCTTTGAGTAGCGTTGAGCTTGCTTTGCGGAGTACATTCCAACTGTACAGATTTTCTATGGTACATCTACACAAACCACCCCTTCAAAGCACAACTTACACCTCCTCGTAATTCACTGTGGATAGTAGTTCCAGTGAAATTCATTGGGTGAAATCATATGATAACGGTCTGAAACTCAGAGCATTAGGTGCTGAAATCAGGGTGCTGAAATTGCTGTTTTTTACTCTGAAATTTTACTCTGAAAAGATACTCTGAATTTATGTTAGAATGACAAGCAAAACTATTGAACCATACCCTAGGAACATCGCTTAACCCAATTTACCTATGATAGGTCATAATTTGTAAATGGCAGGAATTGAACCAAAGACCTCATGTTGATAGATGCAGCGATCTAACCACTAAGCCATAAGCCCTATACAATATATACATGGTGACACCAATATATACCAAAACGATGTCATAACACAAATGTGAAAATTCTGGTGTGACGGTGCCAGGTCATTCAATTATCTCGAGCTCCACAGCAGATTAATCTCCTAAGCTAAAATGCTAGTAGGATTGGGAGTATGGTGCTAAATTCTAATTCAGTATATTTTCCACTAAAATTCAAAATCAGCGCTCCAATGAAATTAACTGCATGCAATTTCAGTGGAAGTTACTCTGAAACATTCAGCATCAGCGCATTTTCCAGTGATTTTCATTGGAACTACTATCTACAGTGAATTGCTAGTAAACCTACTAAAAAGTCCAGCTCCATCAATATTAATATGACCTTATGAGGCAGTCGTCGAGTCCACCTCGATCCGTACATACTTACATCAGTTAGGCACGGGGAGAAATCCACACGCATGCGTATGTGGCGCAAACTGTCACGATGCTTTCGGTACCGATGATGTGTTGATCATTTCGGATGCTTACTTGCTCGCTGCTTTTTGTGTATGCATGAAATGGAATGGATATATCGATAGGGCCTTAGGCGTTACGCGCTACGACGGATCCGAGGCTATCCGAGATTGCGACTGGCGTGTGAATTATTCATGTTTTCAGCTTACATAGCAGCGAACTTCAATGATGACTCTTGCTCACCTTGAAGGACTTTTTATAATGTCTGGTCGTTTCGGGGGACACGAGGATGTTTGAGGCTTTTTGGAAGAATCCCTCTGACCAAGAAGTCTAAAACGCCCTCGTGTTTCATTCATGTCCAGGAGTCGGTATTTCTGGGATCAACCGTCGCTTCTGGTTGGCAGCGCTCAACTTAATCTCCCATAGACAGACTGATAGAAGGCAGACAGTCATCCCTTCTGTAAAACGCCAAACGGAATTCTGAAGTACTACCCACTACTTACAACGTCTCTTTCGTCTTGTTCCGCATGGGCGATGCGGCAAGTCCACTCTCTCCCAATGCGAGGGATTGAAAGTCATAGCACGTCTCGTGGTATGACAATCATGGCACAAGACTTCGCTTCGGACTGTCAGCGCGACAGAACTTTATCGGTGAAGGAAGCTCTCTGTTTTGATCAAGATAACGAATGTCACTATAATGCTAATGCTAATACAATTTTATGCAGAATGCTGATATCTTAATGTTAACTTTATCAACCAACCAGTGGAAAACGCCTCGCACCCCGGATCTCCCCCCTCTAAATTCGGCCGTATTCCCAGTCCTCCAGCAAGCAGTACATCTGCGTTTGAAGATCTGAAAGCCTGACCTCCCAGCTAATATTAAAACCTTTGTGTCGAAGATGCCTGAGACCCTCCCACACCCAGCTCTGGCAGTTCCATCTAGGGTCGTGACGTGTGATAGGAATACTTGCGAGATGCCGCTCCAATAGGGTCAGCTGATGCGCAGCCACTTTTCCAATGGTGAAGCTTCCGCGCCATGCATCAGGGTTTGGGTATGGTTGGTTGCGTCTGAATTCTATGGTGTAGGTGTCCGTGTTTCCTAGTACGTGGTACGTGTTCCCGATACTAGGACCGGTTGGGATATAGATCACCCAGTGAAGTGGATAGGGCTGCAGGGACTCTTTCTGCCCTCGCCAAAATTGGACGACTTGGACGTTATGGTATGCAGCTGGGGCAGGCATATGGTTACAATATGACTGTGGGACTCGGTAAGTTGCAGTTCGAACGACTCTGGATTGTACGATATGATGCTCACTGAGAAGGCACGAGACTGACTGAGCCAGGACGGGAGAGTTGAGCTTCGAGATTGCCGATGTCTCGGATTTATACCCAAGCCTTGGTAATCTTTGTATCGTGAGCGGGTTTGAAGCTTAGTGTGGGTGCCACATGTCACGTCCAGTGTACTCAAGACTGTGAATAATAAATATGGTGTGCGCTTGAGGTGGACTACCAATTATCGCTCTCGGCATACAATTAATAGACCATTCAGCCAACATGTCGGTGTTGCTTCTTTTAAATGATCCCCGTTATCGCACAGCCGGGAGTGTTTTGGGTTTCTGAGATTAAGGAAGTACACTTGAACTTAGGAGGAATATCTGGAGGTCTTTATAATGACATTGTTGTGTTTCTTGTCGATAACGTGAATTGAGGGGGTCAGTTCACTCAGACCGCTGTTTGGGAACCAATCAAACTACCAGCACTTGGGCTACGTCACCCCGGATTTGGGCGTAGCTATTTTGACGCGGTCCTGCTGCGGTCATGCCGCGCCTAAAAATACCGCATCAACCAGGTCTGTTCACGATTCCAAAAATTAATGGTCAGTCTTCGCCATTATTAACTACCGTGACGGTCCCAGCTGACGTTCCCTAAGTACTGTTCCTGTCGTCGTGGCGGTTTTGTAGCTTAAAATAAGTTACTTATGAGGCGCTTCAGGTTTAATCACAAATATTGAAATCTTGGTATCTTACAAAGCATATTACTCCCTCGCGAATTCAGAACCACGTAATATGTTTTATATGCTTCAAATATGTGAGCCCCATATCGATCCATGGACGTCTGGACCCTCTCACCTGTATGTGACTCGATTGCACATTGTGACATATCGTACAACGACTGGGCCCAAGTACTTCCACCCCCGTCAACCCCCCCATTCTAACGTGTTAGTAATTAATTGAGTCAGCCCAGCCTGTGTGATAAAATAATTGTTTGGATTTACAAGTCAGACTGCACAACAAAACAAGTCGAATAAATGCACATAACTCGGATTGCACGGTAAAAGTTAGTGTATTGCAATAGTTTTTTTTTATACAGGACATGCGTCAGAATGGCAACTTGACCAAGTGCAAGGCCATGCAAACGACCATGATGCTGAAATCATTGACGCGGCACAGACGCAGCGTGGGCGAGGCTTGATGCATTGAGACACTAATCTGCATGGTTAGAGTCAATAGAGACCGCACAGAAGTTTTGCGACGTACTACAAGATTTTTTATCCTCGTTGTATGAGTACATGTACGACAAGCACCTCATCGATGGAGGATAAGATCGATAAGATTCCAGCTGCAGTGTTTCGAACCTTGTTTTGTCGTGGTGCCGCGTCAGGATGTGGCGCATCAATGCCGTGACTCACGGCCGCGTGAGACCAAGGCACGACCGCGTCATTTTCATCCCAGATTTGTGAGCCTTCTCTCACACCATTCAGACCTGCCGCCGGATCACAGAATGAATGAAAGTTATATTTGCTCATATAAGCTCTCTAAAGTACCGGAACAACGTGAATAATCAAGCTTGGCTTAGCAATATTAATCGCAAACTGTCTGGCAATTAATAGGTAGGAGTAACTATTAGTCAGCGAAGAATTTATGCGAGAGGATGAAGGTCCGGTGTTGACGTTGAGTGCACGAACATGTCGTTTATATTCTCCCTCGTGACCCGCGAACCGAATACTTTGCACATGCCAGAAATGTGCTCTATTAGTATCTTCGAGCGCACATCCAAGCTCTACATAATTTCTATGGTACATACACAAACCATCCCGTCATAGCACAACTAGTACTGTTAGCCGCACCAAAAAATCCAGCGGATATATCCTCTACGAAAACGACCTCAAAACGCAGTCGTCGAGTCCACCTCGATCGTAGGCACGATAGAAGCGATGAACTTCAAGAACACCACAAGGTAAAAGTCCACGCGCATGCCCTCGACTTCCTCTTCCTCCCCTGCGCCCTCACGTTCTCCTCCTTCCCCCCTTTGCGCCCGAAGCCCCATTTCTTCTTCCCATCCTTGTCTTGGTGCTTGCCATAATTCTTCCGTGCAGCGAGCTGCTCTTCTACCACACCTGCGTTCATGCGCTCGATAACTTTCTTCATCACGCTTGCGTGTTTGCAGGGGTGTACGGAGGCTGCTTGGAGCGTTGAGGAGTGTGGGAAGGCTTCGATAGTGACGGTCTTGAGAGCATGGTCTGCTGAGACATCTTGGAAGATCTGCGATGGTGTTAAAGGTGTGCGATTCTGAAATCACCAGTTATGAGCGGGAGAACATCTTTACGAAGCGATGGAGACAAACCTCGTCATAGCCGAGCAGCCAGATCCGGGGAGTTTGGTAATACTTGTCGTATGTGATCATCACGTCGTACGTTCGTACTTGCAGGAGATTGCCATTAGCGACCCCGACCTGCCTGCGCACTCTCGTCTACAGGATCGGGCTTAAACAAAGATCAGAGAAGAAAACTCACGATGCATCCATGACCCCACCCGCCTTGGGCGCAACCAGGTGCCGCCGTGGCTTCATCTTCGCCGTCCTCCAGCCCCTCCTCTTCCATGTCAGGGATATCATCTAGATCCCGGCGTCTCTCCCACCGTAGCGCCAGTCTCCGATACAATCGACACATCCGCCATCGCACTCGCCAGTCCATCACCATCCAAGTCCGGGATATCATCGATCTCGCCTGGATTCGCAGCAGAGTCCATTGTGGCCCCTCGCCCTGCATGCGTTTCTACCCACTCGTCGGCAGCGCCCGAAGAATCCCCGAAGGAGAGAAGTCTCTCGGCGTCTTCATCGGCGTCTGTGTAAGCCAGTGATGTGGCTCGTCGAAGGCAGGGGACGCCGCGAGTTACGAGATATTGTTTTTCAGCAGGGAGGTAATCGCGGGCTTTGGACGCGTCGCCTTTTTCCCTGAAGTAAGGGGATGGGGTTTAAGGGGCTGTATTGAGGTTGAGGAACTGGTTGCACGTACCACGTCCATACAGGGAACTTGTATGATAGGAAGTCTCCTGCTGCAACAAACTCCTCTGAAAGAAAGATTGAGATGCCTGTGGTTGGTGGTGATGAAATACGTACCGGGAGTTATACGTCCGTGTTCTTTGAACTTGCTTTCTTTGAGGACCTGGGCATTACTTAGACTTAGCGATAGTCAACTGCGATGGCACATACTGGGCTGAGATAGTCGCGAACGGCCCAATATTGTTGCTGGAAATGATCTTGAGCCACCTCCGAGCATCATGCTACTTTAGTACGAACCTGAATAGCATGCATATCAATTTGTAGGATGCTTCGTCTGAAGAGTGGAGATGGGAGGGAGAGCGAAGGACGAACCCTTGCCACAATCACTGAATCAGTGTTACATCGATCGGACCTAATCCGGAAAACCAGTGATCACGAGGGGTTAATGACACGCGACTGCGGTGCTAGCGCTGACTCCTAGCACCTCAGAGTAAGACTGCAACCGTGTCATGAGCCAGGTATATTGTCAACATTCTTCTAATGGCTAGCATCGGCCCCGCGTAGAAGCAGCTCATCACCAAACCCAAACAAAATCTCGTAGATACTCAACGAAGCAACCAGTTTATACCGATGCCTTGTCGGATTTCTTGGAGCTCCTCTCCTTCTCCTTCTTCTCCTTCTTAGCCCTCTTCTTCTCTTTTTTCTCATCGTGACTCGGTGGGGGAGCATCAACATCCATTGCCGACACCTCAATATCAGCAACTGGTTCTGCGTCATGCTTCTTTTTCTTTTTCTTCTTTTCCACAGGCGCAACAGACGGAGCATCTGTAGGTGTTATGTCGACGTCCATGCCGTCCTTCGGAACCTTTTCTGACTTGTCCCTTTTCCGCTTCTTGGTGTTTGTCTCTCCCTCCGTCTCGACTGGCGTAGGAGATGGATTCGATGCGCTATTCGTTGGTGTTTCTTCGACTTTGTCCTTCTTGCTCTTCTTCTTCTTCTCTTTCTTCTCTTTCTTACCTGTGTCTGAATCTACGGGCTCGTCGTCTCTCTTCCGCTTCTGTGATTTCGACCGGCTCTCGTCGCTCTCTTTGTCCTTGGTCTCTTGGCTCTCCAAATTCTCGCCCTCCACAACAGCAGCTTTCCGCTTTTCCTTGTCCTTTTTCTTGGATTTCTTTTCCTCTTCTCCTGGTATCTCTGTTGGTGCTGGGGTATTGTCGACAGTAGACTCTACAGCGTCCTCAGTGGACTTTTTATGTTTCTTGTCCTTTTTCTTCTTCTCCGCCTTTTGAGGTGATGGAGATGAAGGCGCAGATAATGGCTCGACATTAATGATATCTTCTGACGTCTTGTACGAGTTAAATACCGCACTATAGATCACGAACTACGCGTACTCACCTTCTTGTCCTTGGCATTTAAATCTGACTTGGACTTTTTTCTGCGATTTGATCTCAGTTGTTTCCGGTACTGGGGCTGAGTTTTTCGAAGGCTGAGCCTCTATTGGTTTCGATGGTATGATTGACGGCTCTGGTGGTGTTACAGTTACAGGCGACATGCGCTGAGGTGTGCCCAATGGAGTTCCGTTGGCACCAGTAGCCTGGTAACGCGTTGGTGGTCGCGCCTGGTATCCTCCATGGCCTTGGAACCCACCGGGCCCATTCTGTCGAGGTGCTGCCCCCCAGTTCCCGGCCTGCTCGCATGAAAAAAAAAGATTTGACATGCAAAGATATACAACTCACCGATCTAGGTCCCTTGTACAAAGTTTTCTGATACTTCTCTGCTTCTGTTACGCACGAAGTGTGTCCCTGGTACTCAGCAGGAGTGTGGAAAGTGGTCGAGCAGTCGATACAGTCGAAGGCTGCATGACAGAAACCGTGGTGTTGGTTGAGTTTTGGTTTTTTTACAACATCACTGCAGCCTTGGTGGTTATGCGTTAGAGTCAGTGTAATTCAAGAAATGAATGATAGCTGATACGAACTGTGACATCTGTGGATCGTGCGTTAAGATCATACATATAGATTGCGAACAAGGGACAGGATAGCGTACTGGAATGATACCATTGAGATAGAGGTCTCTTGTAGTGTTGGACCGACCGACTTCCTTCCGTGCTCGTAGGCCTAGGAAATATTATGCCAAGCGCTTGGACTCTAGAGTGAAGAAACAAAAAAATATGGTAAGCAACATGTAACCCTAACCCTAATACTGAATATTACTGAATCGCGACCGATGTAGACGATGATCAAATTCGACTTTTGTGTAAACATCGAATCATGATCATGATATCAACATTGAATATTGAACGTTTCAACTAGTACTATGTAGGTACAAAGAAGCGGAGCGGATGTAGAGTGTATGATACATGTAACTCGATCAAGCGTCTAGTGATACGCCGTGATATGGGCATTGGCATCAGCGCTCAGCAGTGAAACATCATGATGCACGCACATTGCACTCGCGATGATAATCACTGGCCAAGTCATATTTGGATGACTTCCTCAGAAATGCACAGCAGATGAGACTAATAATAAGTAACGGGGAGCCGTGAGGCATAATGCACGTAGAAGTATAGGCATGAGGTTGTGTCGTTACACGGGGTCCGAGTCTCCGAGAAGAAAAATAAGGAAAAAGATCACAAACTCCCATGATGATACATCTTTACTGGGATCACGGTTTCCCAAATCTCACCACCCATGTCTCCGCGAAACTCGCACTTCCGGGTAAATGTCTCTTTTTCTCAAATTCCTCGTCCCTCTCCAGCCCCTTAAACATCGGCGTATCCCCCAGCCAATCAATTCTCTTCAGTTGTTTGTCCTTGTCCTTCTCTTGCCTCGACTTCGCAGCTTTCTCGATTGCATCCCTCCGTGTCTTATCAAGAGCCACGATTGCCCACTCCGAGTCTTCAATGTGCTTTTGTAGCAGTTCATGCAATCCCTCAAAGATCGCGCGGCATGTGATTACAGATCCAGCGGGCGCACGAATGACGATTGACCAAGGGAATGCCTTCGAGATGATGAGGATCTCATACGTGGGCGCCACGAATGCTGGGACGTGGCTGATTTGTTGCCATGTAGATAGCATGATCCCTTCCTGAGCGGGCTGGCGAATATCGTAGCGTACGTAGGTCATGTCTGACGCAAGAGTGGGGTTGAGACTGGGCCATTTGGATTTTGGTACTGGGCGATCGACTGCGGGTGTGCAGAGAGTATGGTAAGATTACATAGGCGACTAATGGAAATTGAGGGGCACATACAGTTAAATCCGTGCCATCCTGTTTGTTGATAGGGCTGGTGCGTGGGGGGGACATATACATGGGGGTTGTATTGTCCTTGGTACCAGTCGGTACTAGGCCAACGATTTGCGTAGGGATTCATGATAAAGCGTGTGGTGTTTAATCAAGGTGCGTGCTGGGATATATTGCGGCCTTTATAGGTGTGCAAGGGCGTCAATCTGTCTGACAGAACTGTAACCGAAACTCCCGAAAGTGTAGGTTTCCGTGATCCTTCTATATCACCTTCATAAAGAGAAGAGTCGCATGATGACAATGACCGGAGATGCACTTTGTGCGCCGTAATAGCTCAATCAGGGGGAGCAAATCAAAGAGGCTAAGCTAGGCTGAGCCAATATTGCTAGGTTGGCGAGGCGCCGCCGAGGCAGTGTCTGGAAGTTTTTTGAATCACGTGATGTAGAAGGCGAGAAAACAGCCACGGAATTTAGAGCACTGCAAGGGGTAAAGCGCTTAGCTTTAAGTTTCGGGTTACAAGACAGTGCACACTGCCCGTAACTCGATCATCATTCGAAATAGAGGGCAAAGGCGCTTGGAAGCGATGTAAGAGAAGCTGAATCACTTAGGTGCGTCGTCGACGGGCAATCCCTGGAACTCGGTTCGTCGAGTGCCGCTCAATTGAACTGGAACAGTTCCGGTCGTTCGAGAATCTTCGACTTCGTCAGCCTCAGGAACTTGATTTAGATCTCCCAAGGACAGAACGTTCTGCGCAGTCTATACACGCAGTACGACAAATAAAGATACCCGTTGATATGTCTAGGCACCCTCTCTAAGGGTGAGTCAAGTCGATGTAAGACTGCCAATAAATGGCAGAGGTTTTTGCGCGAACACCACTGGGTTGAGAGTGAACTGAACACTTGGATGACAAGGAAGGCCTGTGAATATTAGCTACTTATAGATGACCTTAAGGCCTACCTCGTACCCTGTCATGTGAGAGAAACATGCATCCGAGACGTGTGAAGGGTATTAATATAGTGCTCGTCCATCGCAGACGTCAATGGGTCGGTTAAGCTTGCATCATGCAGAAGCATTGACGATCAATGAGTCCTCTATACTTGAAAGTTTGATATCCCAATGGGGCTCGTCGCGTTGTCTAAATGGCAGAGCACAATTGGCTGGCATGGAACCGATAACTGGATTATGTAAACCCTTACAGATATTACATTTCTGCAGCCAGGTGGTCAACGCGTGATTCAGCGTTACAAATATTCAGTGCGTCTTTTCTTCTCCATCCAGCTTTTTGCTTTGTCCCCCATCATGTCTTTCGCCGCGATTCGTGCACCACTTCGCAGGCAGGCTTTGTCTGCATCCTTCAAAAGGGCTGAGTTACGCACGTCTTCCTTCCGCAAGTATTCAACGGAGGCCTCCTCCAGCAGCCAAGTCCAACACTGGTCTCTATGTTGGCCTGGGTGCCGTCGTTCTGGGCGGTGGTGTTGCATACTACTTATATGGCTCATCATCGGAGACGGCGAAAGTGACTTCTACTGCGTTGAAGTCTGCGGCTCAGTCAGCAAAAGTTGCCACAAACTTTGTCCCGACTAAGGAAGACTACCAGAAAGTTCGTTCTAACTTCTCTGTGAAGACTTACTGGAGCTCATCTGTTTTATTTTAGGTATATAACCGCATCGCCGAGGTAATTGACGATGCTGACGACTATGATAGTACGGTATTTATGTGCCGGGCTGATTCCCACTCTCATCTGTTTTCGTAGATGGCTCTTTCGGCCCTGTGGTTCTCCGCCTGGCGTGGCATGCCTCTGGAACATACGACAAGGCTACGGGCACTGGCGGAAGGTCAGTTTTTGCTGTCGGCCGATTAGAAGACGCCTTATCATTGACGTAATGGTACAATGAAACATAGCAACTACGCGACCATGCGTTTCCACCCTGAGTCACTCCATGGCGCTAACGCGGGTCTTCACGTTGCCCGTGAATTGATGGAGAAGATTAAGCAAGAGTTTAGCTGGATCAGCTACGGTGACTTGTGGACGCTTGCTGGTGTCGCTGCTGTGCAGGAGATGGCTGGTCCGAAGGTTCCTTGGAGGCCTGGTCGCATTGACTGGCTTTGAATCCCACGTACCCCCTGATGGCCGTCTTCCTGACGCCTCCCAAGGGGCGCAGCATATCCGGGATGTGTGTGATTTTAATTTATAATCAAATGCGGGCTAACATTCACGCTAGATTTTCTACCGTATGGGGTGAGCCTGCAATTCATGCGATAAAATTCTCAGGAGACTAACGCCATGCCTGCAGCTTCGACGACCAAGAAATCGTTGCTCTCTGTGGTGCCCATGCTCTCGGTCGTTGCCACAGTGACCGGTATAGATTTCGCTGTATTTTCTTTTCTGTTGCTGATTTTGTTCTATCCAGCTCTGGTTATGATGGACCTTGGACCTTCTCTCCTACCATGTTCACTAATGACTTCTACAAGCTCTTGTTTGATGAGAAGTAAGGATATAGCTCCCTCTCAAGGGAAGAAGTGCTGACGTATCATTGGGTCAGGTGGGTGTGGAAGAAGTGGAACGGACCTAAGCAGCTTGAGGACAAGAAGACCAAATCGCTTATGATGCTCCCGTATGTTGCTTTGAGTATGCATAGTCAACACTAACTAAAAACCTTTTAGAACGGACTACGTTCTTACACAGGATAAGAGTTTCAAGAAGTACGCGAAGGCCTACGCTGACGACGTTGACCTGTTCTTCAAGGAGTGCGTCGTTTGATAATCAGTGCATTCATATGCTAATACGAGTTTAGTTTCTCTGCCGCTTTCGCCAAGCTCCTCGAGCTAGGTGTCCCTACCCAGCAGTTTGTCGCATCCGAGGCCTGGATTATGCAGACTGTTGACGATCAGAAGTCCTAAGTTGTGCATAGAGCAATTTATCATGGAAGGTAGATTATGTTACCCCTGCTTCGTCTTACCGATAGATTTAGGACCACAATGCTATCTTGAGCTTATAAGTACATACAGTACCTTATACGTACTAACGCCTGGCGGGATTGACTTTTAGGTGCTTTATTCGTAAATAATTGGTCCACAGATATGATGAAGTTTCTTGTTGGTCATGTGAACATCGCAGCAGTGGTCATGAGTTGTGTACACATTTGTTGACGACCGTTTTGCCAGCAGTATACGGTTCTCAACCTTTCTAAACTTGTCGAGCGTCCTGAACTCTTCGACTCAGTGGCATTTGTTATATTATCCTCAACTAGGGAAGATCGAACCGTTCATAATGTCTGCCACTTGGGCGGCCTCGAGTCAATCAACTATGCCTCCTGCACAGCCCATGACTTACGCCGTTGTCGGATGCTCGGAGCACAGCGGGAACTACGTTCCGGAAAACATACTGGTGGACGCACCACAGGACCCGTCAAGTAGATGGAGCGGCGCACAGCAATTACCTACAGCGAAGCAATGGATCCTGCTGAAGTTAGAAACACTCAGTGTTGTCAGTTGAGTAACTGCTGCGCTTCATGATCTCGCACGCGCTGACATACCCCGCTCTTGATGACATGAAGAGAGCATAACATTTGGAAAGGTGACGCCGACCAACCTTGTTATCGATGAGAAAACTAAGTCTGGTGGATGAAGTTTCACAGGAGTATGTGAGCTCACTCCTCCAACATTCAAGCTTTGAACAGATTCAACAGAACATCCATGCAACATGAGGGAATTCAGGGTCTATGTAGGCTTGAATCCACACCATATGGTGCAGGCGCTGCACACTCAGCTCAAGGACGATACCACACCAGAAACGTTTCCTTTGAAGCATGTGAATAGCGAGAGCATTTGCTTTCCGACACGGTACATCAAGATTGTACCAGTTTCGTGAGTGGGCACGTTGGCTTTTTTTTGTTTGTTAAATCTGTTCATCGGTTAGAGCGCATGGCATGAGCTTTCATATTTCGATCTGGTATGTCTCCGTTTCAGGCATAGCCGATCCTTTGTACGTCGACAATATCCGCTCGCGATACGAGGAGGTTTGATAGGCCATTTTTATCACACGCATATTCGCTGAACAAACAATCATAGTACCGAGAAACCGTAGTACTTCGCCATGTGCTTAAGCATCTGAGGCAGCGGAGGTTGCTAACACCATACCAAAATATCTTGGCGCGCTCAAGCATCCAAGTCGAGCACCCTGTTGTGACAGCCCTGCACTCGAGCCTTGTTCTCCAAGGAACTTGGGCTGATTCTGAAGCACTTTTCTCCGAAGTATCTTCAGCTGGCCTTCTAGATGCTTATATTCAATCTTGTCAACCACACTCGCAGTGGAAACGTCTTTACGGCGTGGACGCGGACGGCGACGCACCGAGCAAACGCGGTGGCCACGCAATGGCACTAGACCCTGAAAATGGCCTCATCTACCTTCTTGGAGGCTGGGACGGGCAGAAAAGCCTAGACGATTTCTGGGTGTATGACGTGAGTGCTGAGAGATGGCGCGTGATAAGTCATAGCACGTCTATCGAGAAGAACGGGCCTATTGCTAGGTCTTGTCACAAGATTGTTTATGATACGAAGTCGGGGTGCATCTATCTCCTGGGTCGACTTGGCGATGGGGATATCTTGAAGCCGGAGGACCATCAAGAACTATTAAGACGAGCGGGCGAGATACCGGATGGGTCTAGGTCTACTGCATACTGCTCGGAGTTTTACCGGTATCATACGCGAGGATTGGACGTTGGGAAATGGGATCTGTTGTCATTTGATACGGCGGTGAGTGGTAGAGCTGATACTGCGTTTTTAAAACCAATGATGCTAGTCCTTCGGTGGCCCACCACTTATCTTCGACCACCAAATGGTGATGGACTGTGAGGCGCAAATATTGTACGTTTCTGGAGGCCGAGTGGTCGATGGCGACTGGAATTCGCCGAAGTACTCTGGCATGTATAGTTATAACGTGCGCACGAGCAAATGGAAACTCCTACAGCGAGTATTGTCATTATTGGCCGTTTGTTGTCGTTCTTATTGTGTCTGCAGACCCCAACCTACAATATCAATGTCATCGTCGGTACAGCCGCTCATCTCACCCCGCTCTGGTAAGTCTGTCTCATGTTATCATCTCTAGCATACTGAAGAACGGTAGGCCATTCAATGGTTCTCGACCCAATGTCGCACACTCTTTTTATTTTTGCGGGGCAGCGTGATGATAAGTATCTGTCCGACCTGTATGCCTACGACATCACGAGCAACACAGTGACGGAATTGTTCAGCAATTTCAGCACAAGTGGGGGTCCCGACGCATGTTTCACTCAGCGGGCAATTATCGATGGACGGTTGAAGGAGATTTATGTGTATGCGATCGATCTCATGTCTACTTGGCTGCTCTAAATCAAGCACTTCATCTAGATTCTGTGGGCTGACTCGCGCGCAGCCCAGTTGTGCGCTTACTAGCTTACGCGCCGATACGCCAAACTGGGTGTATCAGTATGAGCACCCTTCCAAGCCCGGGAAGTGGACAAAAATATTGCCCGAAATGATACAGGAGGGCGGGGAGCCTGCCGAAGTTCCTCTTCCGCGATACGCGCATCAAGTTGTGTATGATGAGGGGACGAAACGCGTATTTATGCATGGCGGAAATGCAGGGGAGGGAAATACACCGGTGGAGGTTGTGGAGACGGAATTAGACGGAAGTGGTGATGATGAGCGTCCGAGGAGCGGTGATGAGGATCGTCCGAGCAGGGCATCGAAGGAGACGAGGCTGGATGATTTTTGGACTATGAAGCTATTGAGGTGAGAAGGGTTGCTATGCCCCTCCATGGTATTAACGGCGTGTGCGCTTACTTTTCAGAGCTGCACCCGAAGAAATTATTAGGCGAGCAAAATATCAGATCCGACAACAGCAGTAAGTTATGAGAGCTCTTCAAAGGGAAATGTTTATGTTGATTGTGTATAGATTCCGAGAGATGTGCGAAGAGCAACCCGCAGTCAAAGCACTGCGCTTTTTACAAACGCAAGTGTCTGCGGTGGTGGACCACACAAACCCCGAAGAGACGAGTGTTTTCAGAGCACTCCTGGGACATCTCTTCTCGAATCCAATTACCACGGATGATGGCTCCGCCGCGTCTGCAAGGACACCTAAAGAAACTACTACAGGCCTCCTTGAAGAGCCACCGAAAAAACGATCACGTCCGAACACGCCCGACGAAGCCTGGACGAGCCGACTGGATGATGAAGATGAGGACGAGATGTTTGATGCAAGCACGTCGGCCGCTGTCACCTCTAGGGGACAGAAGCGGCGGCACGCGGTGCTTTTGATGGAAGAAGATCCCGAGGAGACTGCGTTGCGGGACGCTTCGACGAAGCCGCTGTCACCTGAGCGGTTTAGGCAGCGTACGGAAGTGTTTGAGAGTTTGTTGCAGTTTGTGGGGGAAGATGGGAAACAGCCTATGGGTTCGCTTTTGGATATGGTTGATGCGGACGATGGGATATAAGGTTGGTGGTGTGTGATTGATACCTTTTTGTTCTGTTTTCGCGTTTTGAATTTGTGTTTTATTGGGACGTGTAGGTCGTTTCTGATAGGATTGTTTCAGAGGCCACGTACGTTTGGCATGTTGTCAAGATTATTGAAAGGGTTGAACGTTAAACATCGAGATGAGGGTCCTGGACGAATTCGATCCTCGTATGATTGAGGCAAGCCTTGAAATAACCCTGAGCGCTCAGACCGACCAAGCATCCATGGCCTGGTTGGAAGCCATGCACTCTTGCACAATATTCAGCAATTTTTGGAGTGCACGTCCCTCACGCAAATTCAAACAAAAGATATCGGTGTGAGATGGTAGCTCATCTCTTGGATGGAAGGTCATCAATTAGATATTGCGGCGTGTATTTGCTGCGAATACATGATCTTTTCCCACACTTCAAGGTCGTCGGCTGGTGTGTTACCTCAGGGCTTACTATAGAGCCCCCCGCATATGCGACTTTGAGGCGCAGTTAGACGACTTCATCCGAAATCTAGGGCGATGCATGGATAATGAACTGATTTGTTTCTGTAGTGCATTTATTGTTGCAACACGTTCTACATAAAGGCTAGATTCCACTAAGGTACAAAAGATCATGCATTTACAGCTGTTCTATTTTTACTCAAGCAAGCGTTTTAGGGAAGCCCTGGGCATCCAACAGCGCCTCGCTGTTGCTCAAAACTCGGGGGCCGTCACCTACACGGGTGTGAATAAGCCCCTTGACAGAGCCCACCTCCCACTGCTTAGCAACAGCCTCATTGAATCCCTCTGGCAACGCAGCCTGTACTTCCTGCCCTCTGATGACGACTTTCTCTGCTTGGGGGAAATAGTACAGAATAAGCTGTGTTATCTCACGGATGTTGGGCGTGAGCGCATAAATGACGGCGTTTGGGCCTGCATCGTACGTGTAAGCAGCCTTGGGTTGCTCAGAGAGTCGATTGTACTCCGTGATGATGGCGATAATGGCGCGACTAACATCGTTCATGTAGAAAATGGGCGGGTAAGTGTCAAGAGCGACAGCATGGAATTGGTTCGAGTCCCTCATGGTGATCTCCGCAAAGTCACCGAAACGCTTGTCTGCGATGGCACTCTCGATGTCTGCCATGCGTGAGGGAACGACAAATCCAATGCGGTGCTGGAGGAGTGCGGACGTAACGACAGTACGCTGCATGCCGCTGGTGCTGCTAGTGCCTTTCTTGGCGTCGTTCACGACGCAGATGAGGGCTTCCATCTCAGGCCAGTGGAATTCTGGGGCGACTTGACGAGCTTTGCTGTCTAGCCCAGTTACATCGTCGCTGCCCATGTCCCAGGCGACGAAGCCGCCGAAAAGGGAGCGGCATGCGCTACCGGATCCACGACGGGCGATGAGGCTAAGTTCTTCAGGGGTTTGGGGGAGAGCGTAGAGTTTAGCGAGTGCGTATACGAGGGCTGCGAAGCCTGAAGCGGAGGAAGCAAGACCCGCTGCGGTGGGGAAATTGTTAAAGGAACAGATATGCACGTTGAAGGATGCGATCTAGCTGTGCGTTAGTGACGTGGTGCGAGGATCTATGGAGAAGCCGCACCTTTGGTTGATCGGGGTTTGCTGCTTCAAAGGCTGCACGAAGACGCTTCATTTCAGAGATGCATGTATGGAGACGACCGCCGGCTTTGATTGGGTCTACCTTGCCATTGAGCCAAAGGCAATCAGCGGCAAAGGAAGGGTCAGCGCGTGCAGTGGTTGTGCTCCGGAGGTTATCCTGGCTCAGAGTGACGGAGAGAGAGGAGTTGGTGGGCAGGATGAGTGACTCATTGCGCTTTGCCCCAGTATCTACAATCATATAATAGATTAGATCTTGTCCCAGCACATAAGTAGCATTAATGATCACTTTATGCAGGCGATGTTAACTGGTGCAGATGTTGTTGCTTGGTAGACGGACATGGTGGATGAGAAGAAAGTTAATGTTGTTGAAATATAGTAATGGCGCCTTATAAGTTTCAATAAAAGCACATCGTACGAGCGAGCATAATCCTTATTCGCGATCGAGGATCATGCAACTTTAGCGATTAACGGTGGCTGTGCAAAAGACATGAGTGACCCGGTCACGCCGTCCGTTGCCGGTGTAACAGTGGCAGTGTCCCTCTGGTCGAGCTTTTGACTTGAATTATTGTTTCGTCCATTCTACCAACTCCACTGACGACAACGACGAGCACGACGACGACGGCAGCGAGCAAGATATTTGTCAAAGACACTTCAACTGTCTCTCTTATTCTGTTTATATTATCGTGTAATTCTGACGTCCGACGTGTAGAGGTCTCCTTGTAGTGCATATTTCCTGCGTGTGATATTGCGTTGGCCCAGATGCGATGTTCTACCCTTCGCAGTCGCCCGCAATTTCACACAAGCTCGCAAACCACCCACACCATGTTAATGTTCAAGACCAGTCCCCTTGGTCTCGAAATGTTAATCACACACATACGCATCACCCACAGCAGAGCATAGGTCCACCTCCACCATCCCCAGGTTACCCGCTCTATACAAATGGTGCTGTAAATCCTATTCAGCATCACCCGCATCATCCCCTTTCACACCCCCCGCTCCCTCACCACCAGCACCAGAATTCTTTGTCTCATTACCCTTCCCCACCCAATGGTCACAACCACCCGCAGCATATGGGCCAGGGTTCACCAGGAAGTGTTGGCAGCCAGATCATAACGCCCCATTGGCAGCAGCAGCTTCTCAAGTGTGAGGTATGTTGAGCAGTGTCCCATTTAATTTAATCTTATAATACGTCATACAAAGATGATCAGGTCTTCCCGGTCTTCACATCACCGTGCCCGTGCTAGCGCTATGGCATCACGCACGGTCATCAAATCCGCTATCCCTATCACAAATCCCAACCTTGTCAAGCCCAGTACGAGCACAAATACTGACATCATAGAATCCTCCCCGAAGGACTCACCCGGAACACCAGCTCTATCCTCCACCCCCGCCTTGAGTGCCGGTGAGGGCTCACCAGGCGTCACGAATGCTGCGGTTAATCACCCTTCATCCACTGTTGCTCCTATTGCCGAGGCCCCGCGGCCTACCGCCAAAGCCCCACAGAACACCTGGAGCTCCCTTGACATGGGTGGCATCAATATTAAAACCATCCCACCTTCCTCTGGCCTCTTCACGTTCACTTTCCTCATCAACCTTTATCTCAACCACAATGCCCTCACCTCTATACCCGCCGGAATTGCGAAACTCCGCCACCTTGAGCTCCTCGATCTTAGTGGAAATAACCTCTCAACAGTTCCTGCCGAGCTTGGCATGCTCACTCAGCTGAAGGAGTTATACTTGTTTGACAACCACATTGTGACCCTGCCACCTGAACTAGGCAGTTTGCACCAGCTACAGACAATTGGTGTCGAGGGTAATCCCATGGACACGTCTCTCAAGGCCATTGTGCAGAAGGACGGCACATCTGCCCTTATTTCTTACCTGCGTGACAGTTGCCCTGTCCCATCTCCTCCACCGGAGCGTCTTTGGAAGTCCCTCATCTCGCCTCAAGAGCGCGAGGCCCTTGCCACGGATCCTGCTACAGAGACGCTCAGTGCTCTCTGCTACAACATTCTGTGCGAGAAGTACGCGACGGAGCGGCTGTACGGGTACACACCGTCGTGGGCACTCAGCTGGGATTACAGAAAGGAATTGATATTGACGGAAATAATGAATTACGATACCGACTTTTTGTGCCTGCAAGAGGTGGATATCGCACAGTATGAGGACTACTTTGTGAAGCATTTGCAGGGGCAAGGGTATGAGGGAATTTACTGGCCGAAGAGTAGGTATAAGACGATGAGTGATGCAGATCGTCGGCAGGTTGATGGGTGTGCGACGTTCTACAAGGCAGACAAGTGAGTCTTTATGTTGACCTTAAGTTGACATTATTTATCCATTCTATCAGGTTCTCCCTCGTCGAACGTCAGCTCATTGAATTCAGCACCGTCGCAATGCAGCGCCCCGATTTCAAGAAAACAGATGACATGTTCAATCGTGTGCTAGGCAAAGACCATATTGCCGTTATCTGCCTCTTGGAGGTGAAAGAAACTGGCACCCGCATCATTCTCGCCAATGCCCATATTCACTGGGATCCCGCCTATCGTGACGTCAAGCTCGTCCAAGTCGCGCTCCTTGTTGACGAGATCGAGAAGATCGCTGCGAACTTTGCGCGGTTGCCCCCAAGGCCGGATACACCCCGCGCGCCCGTCTATAGCGATGGAAGCAAGATCCCCCTGATCATTTGCGGAGACTTCAACAGTGTCCCGTCTTCGGGCGTGTATGAGTTCCTCAACAACGGGAGTGTGCCGCCCGACCACCCAGACTTCATGAGTCACCTGTATGGGCGGTATACCACGGATGGGTTGCGGCATCGTTTGGGGCTCAGGAGTGCGAATGCGACGGCGGGCGAGGCCCCGTTGACGAATTATACACCAGGCTACCAAGGCGAGCTCGATTATATATGGTATTCGACTGCAAATCTGGCTGTGAATGCGGTACTAGGAGAAGTGGACAGAGGGTACTTGGAAAAAGTGGTAGGATTCCCGAACGCTCATTTCCCATCGGAGTAAGCCTCCTCTCTGTCTTTTGGAATATAGACTTGTTTACTAACATGCTTGATAGTCACATATGCATCATCAGCGAGTTCCGCGTGAAGCCTCCAAGACCTCCAGCCTTGCTACCAACGGCGTCTTGAGCAAGCTAGCAAGTATCCAAATACATCATTTATCGTCTCATTTCTTGTACGCACATGTATTTGGCGGTACATTGGTTCTACATATCGGGGTGCACACATCACATATTCATGATATTCTTTTTTTCATGTCCAAGTATCTTTGTTTGTTGATGCTGCTGCTGTCGTCGTACGTCGTCCTTTCAATTTTTCGTACGATTTTTGTTTTATCCTTTTCTTCGTTTGTCTTTCTTTTTCTGTTCCATGTGTTCTTTTTTTCTTTCTGGTGTTCATTATAATGTTTGCGCCCCCTTCAAGCGCCATTGACACACATACATACATACGACATACGACAAACTTTGTAGCATGTAGCACATATGTGCTGTACGGTTCTTTGTATATGAAACGGCTATTACCTCTGCTCCTTCCCTGACTCCCGACATTAGTGGGGCAAAACTCTGCCGGCTGCAGCCGCTGCACCCGTGTTTGGTCTTTTCGGTCACAATCATTTAGCACCATTATTTGTTAGAGTCTAGTCCGAGGCCCCTCAGTACTAGTCAGTACTCCGACGTACCTACTACCAACACAACGTGTGTGGATGTCTATCTCAAGATGGAGTCTTATTGTGCACGTCAAGTAGTAGGGTTGTTCATCCAATCACACGCAGGTCATGATGTTACCTCGTCGTGACTTTGCCATAATAGCTCAGCCGTTGTTGAGTTATGTTGATCTCCGTGTCTGAAATGGTTTGACAACCCGAACGTTAGATCCTTGACCTAGCCTGGTGGTAAGGCTGTGCGTACTTCCCATTCATCTCTCGAGGATCACCTCAGCAGACGGCTGTATTGTTCAGCACGCAGTATTGTCAAAGCACCTTAGGTCTTCTGCGATTTCGGCTCAAGCTAGACAGTGACCACCCTGATAGAAGGCGAAATCACAATTCAGATGTCCTGGAAGACGATTGTCTGTTCGCCGACCGTGTCACAGGTTCTGCCTGTACTCTCTGCCTGTAATCTGCCAGGCTCAATCTTCCTGATGGAACTCCCGAGTACTTGGCGAACTCGAAATTCTAGGACATACTAAAAGCAAATCGTCTTCCTACTGCCAGTATCATATCTATCATTCGAGTTCATCATCTCATATTTACGAGCTATGCGTTCTTCCTCGCTGTTGTTACTTCTATGACAGCATCTATGTCTGTCAATGCTCATGCCGGAACTAATGGTGGATGCCTGGATAAAAACTCATTTTGCAGGGTGTCGAACAAGGGCGCAAAATGTTGTCCACCTCTTCAGTGTGTTGGGCGAGTCGTTCCCTTTGATTCAACCTCGTGACTCACCTTTGCGTCTTGTACCAATTGTAGTCTCGTCGTTTTGATCCAGTATACTACTGCGGCCGCCCCGGCGATCCGTCGAGCTCGGAAGATTGAACATATTGTACAGTGAGTAGTGTTTCTGCTTCCGCGTTGGTACAGTGGTTGATCGCACGATATGCAGCTTTTGCGCGGTTGGTCGATAGCATGCTTCTGTACAAAGTTTCATGTTGCCTTGACCAGACTCTTGGATAACATCAAAAAAAACCTCTGGTAACAAAAGAAGGTCCGTGTTAGACCTTATCTTCGCAAAGTTCGATTAATATTCAGATGTTCTGACATTTCCAAACTTTCTTGTTTAATATTTTATTCGTCTTATTGGTTACTTTGTCCTGCTGGCACGTGTCTTACTTCAAAATGAAATAAAAAGACTAGTTTGCGTTTAATTCGATGGACACAAAACATGCCAGGAATAAGCAACTCGGGGACTGGCGCAGGCGCCGTCACGATTTGTGCTCCAGGTACCGCGTCAGGAAACTCGCTACGGATCTTGCTCGATCAAATCATCATGGCGCGATTCGCATATCCAACAAACGATGGATTTGATGTATAATCCCCATTTGCGAATACCGACGCTCGGGGCACAGCGAAATTCGTCCGTAAGTGGTGTGTTTGGTGGCAAGAGTATAGCATCGTAGATGCACAAACATATTCTACGCAGGACTTTACACTGGCAAGCGTCACTGCCTGCAAGACCCTGCAATGGAGGTGCCATACCTGAATTTAATTTATGGCCTCTTCCGATATCAGTATTATCAGCGTACGACAAACGGGAAATGAACATAACAGACCAGAAGGGAATGACGGTTCCTTCGGAACGGAAGCTGAAGTAGCTTATCTGGATTATATATCCGCCCAAGCCGAGATGGAACAGGATGTCCGATGGAACATGTCAAAAAATGCTCGAGTCGGAAAGTAGCCATATAGAACTTGAGACACTGAAATGGCGATATGAATGGACACGTAGTACGTGCTACGCATGTCGGAAAGGCCCGAGTCTCGGCTCTCGATCAGATATCCCAGTACTTGCTTTCAGTGCTTTCAGCTCGATAAATGGGGGAATACCAATATCAGCATTCTGGTGCTTAAACAAGGAATCAAAGGAGACCAGACTCCAGAGGGAGTGTGAACCCCATGTCAGACGGAGAAGGATTGCCATTCAATCACCCCCTGAATGCTCTTCGTGTTTCTGTTGTGAGAGTTCAGGTAATGATCGAGTTCTAATAACAGGGTACGACAAATGGGCAATAAAATAGGTACAAACCAGAACGGAACGACGGTCCCTTGAGAATGGAAGCTGAAAAAGGTTACTCAGGGGTTAGTTGTAGACATGGATCTATAATGAGATGGTTCACATGCTGATGTCGGAGACCGGTGGTATATTAACAGAATCTTGAATTATGGAAAACGACGGTGCCTCAACCAATACTGCAATGGACGTGCAGATCTTCCTTTCTGGTGACCTTGGCGTGGAAAATTAGGCGTCGGGAGCACTTTGAGATTTGGTGTGCCTATATAGCAGTGGAAGAGACAGTACCATATATCAAATACAAGGAACACCCTCCTATTGAAACTCACGCTTTGGTACCTACAATCGATCGCGATTGCAATGTGCCTATTTTGAAACCGATGAGGGACACAAAAGACTTTCCCCTGGTGGGCCTAAAGACCCAACGCTTCGAATATTTCCATATGGAATTGTGGTGCCATTGCATTATGCATGACCCGCCATTGGATAAATTATGCTAGGCCGCCTACAAATAATAATAAGACGTCCTTCCAAGATGCCAAAGATGTAAACCACATATACAAGACTCCATAACTACGCAGCAAAGCCAGAGTACTTCCTCAAGCCTTGTACAATGTATCCAAGAACATTGTAGCGAGCTCGCTGACCATCTCTGGGCCGACGGCACTGGAATTTCCAAGTCCTAAAAGAGTAGCAGGGTCAAATCACACATCCATCATGATTGTGACAAATGATGAAACAAAGGCGGAAAACGGAGGAAATAATAGGACAAAGCAGCAGACGCGAGTTGTGAACATGATTCTCAGGTCACAAAACTCGACCACAAATAAAATTAATCAATCTTTGAAACGTACCGTAGAGCCTAACCATCGTCCCCTTCCCAGATGGCGTCAATTTAGCTTGCTGCACAGAGTCCCTGAGATCTGCGATGAACGTATCAACAAGCGGGAGCGTAAGACGCTTTCAGATAAGCGTATGATTCAGTCCCATGGTGCGGAGAACAAAGCAAGAAAACCTACTGTGCATGCGATATGTACTGCGGCTGGTCCGGACAGCGCATTGAGATGCCAGCCTCTCTTCGACATTGCATCTCCGACTTCGTGGACGTTCACCTCAGGAGACTTAGACCCGAATGCAACGACAGAAGCGGGCGGGGAGCCAAGTACATACAGTTCCGGGATGGAATTTGTAATGGTGTTGGCAATCGTACGCGCGCATGAAACAATTTCGCGGCAGGACTTGAGATAACCACTAAGAAATAGGCTCAGGAATTAAGAACAAATCGAGGGGAAAACAACGATACGCACTCTGATCCCATGTATTGCATCGCTGCCCAGGTTCCCGCGATCAACGCACCAGGTCTAAGCGCATGGAAAGTCAGGCGCAAAAATAAAGGAACTAGGGATGGGCATACCGGGAGCCTGACAAACTCGGGCTGGCATAAACTCCACCTGCAAAGAACTGAAGTTGGTAAAAAAAAGTTTGCCAGAATGCTACGAACCTGTCCAGTAAGGTGTGACATAGTATTGATGACGCCGTAACGCAGCGTCGCGGTACATGATTACAGAGGACCCCTATAGGATCTGGTAAGCATTTGCGAGGTGCACATGAACGAAGCCTGACCTTGGGTGCAACCCATACTATTATGCCATCAACATCTCCATCAGTTACATACAACTGAATTGTATGATGATGATTTACCTTATGAGTATCGCAACTGATACTGGTAACTCCACGAACTTCTGAAGTCGAAAGGACTTAGTTTATACCTTGCGCCTCCGTCTTCTCCGTCAGAAAGTCCTGCTTTCTCTAGGAACGGCACAATGAAGGACCCAAGGCAACAGTCAACATGCAGGCCAATATTGTGCTTTGCAGCAAGTTCGCCCAAAACAACTATATCGTCTTGATTTCCATCCGGGAAATTGACAGCTGATCCTACAAGCTGCACGACAGCGTTCAATACTACCGCTATGATAGAGAAGATGCTTACAAGGATTGTGTTCCGGTTGCTATTGAAAATTATCTAAGCGACATATCATTGACGTAGGAAGGGACACTTACATGGCTCTACGAACGCGTTTGATGTTTACCTTTCGAGTTACTGGGTCTACTGGAATCAAGTGCACTTTTACTTTCATGTACGCTCCGCCTTTGTCAAATGCGGCGTGGGCGGTTGCTGGAACAATCCTATAATATTGACATTAGGACTAACTCACGTCTTATGAGCCTCAATACTCACATCTCAGGCTCCGTGATACCCTTCACTTCTCGTGCCCAGTCTCTATAAGTTTTGATAGCCATGACAATGGACTCAGTACCGCCTGAGGTCATGGTACCAGCTCCATCCGGGTTGTTGTACATCCGTAGGCACATTGAGACGATCTCAGCTTCCATCTTGCGGACAGCAGGGAAGACGTCCGGATGCAAAGGGTTGGAAACTGTGTAACGCTCGAAAGCAGCGACAATAACTCTTGACAGATCCTCTCCCCCATCTATTTAGAAGGGTGAGATAGGAAATGACTGTTGTAATTAACGCACGGTAGACTGCCCCTGATAATTTCCCATGTTTCCAATCAGCATGCGGACCCAATTCGCCGTCCATCTTCTCCATCTCTGCTAGTATCCACCCCATTGATTTTCCTTCGTCTGGGAGAACGAGATGCCGGGAAACATCGACTCCTTGGGGTACGAGCTTGCCTTCAATATCCAGTCTCGCCTGGTCCAACTGCTGCTGAACATCCTTCTGCACTGAGGGTATTTTCAACGCTAGTAGTAATACTTGCTGTCTTTCGGTCAGCTTTCATAACAGTAATACTTAGTGAAAGCCACGCACTCTATAGGACCATGTCCAGGAGTCTCTCAGAGAGTCAGTTATGCCTCGAGCTTGGACATGCCTGCAGAGCTTGAGGGACTGAGTTATGACGAAATAAAAGAAAAGTGCTGTCTTTGCTGTCTCGAACGGTGTCCTGGTCCGTAAGAAATCCCTAACGATCACTGGGTCCTGCAGAACGAGTCTGATAGAAGACATTTTGAGGTTGAAATCGACGTTCCGCAGTGATAGTAGTATGTAGAAGGGCGTGAGTTTCGACAATCCGCCAATTACCTCACATGTCAAGCGGCAGATTAATTTGCCAAGTGCTTCCGGACCACCACCATGAACAACATGCGGATGGTATCTCTTTGACATTTAATTATGAAGCGATGATCACTAAATAAATGCATTTAAGCTTGCGGAGGAGGAGGAGAACGACGACGGCACTGAAGTTACATGGGGTGCGTTTTGAGTCTTTGACACTCGGGGTGTTAGTCGATTGAGTGCCTTTAGAGGATCAGCAGCGTATCAACACCTTCTCCAAACTCAATACTCGTCTCAGGAGCATAGAGGAACGACTCGAGGAACTCAGGGTGTGTTGATAAGATAAACACTTGTTCTAGTCTCATGATAGCTTCCAGCAAGAGAAGGAAGCATTGGATGACCTTTCTACAGAGCTCGAGCTTACTGACGAGGACGAAAGTGTGTTGTGCGTCTGAAGATCGTGCTCGCGCAAGAAGAAGGACTGACTTTTTTTTGGCAAACCAACCAGATACAAGATCGGCGAATCTTTCCTTCACCTGCCCCAACCCCGCGCGATGATGAAACGACTTGAAAAGGACCAGGCGGTGTTATCTGCTCAAGTCTTAGACCTATCAGCAGGCGCAGAACAATGCGAAAAGGAGATGAAGGAGCTGAAAGTTACGTTGTACGCCAGGTTTGGCCGTGCAATCAATCTCGATGAATGATCAGTATCAGCGTAAAGTGTCACTCAAACATTAGGATGCTATCGCCCTCATCGTAGCCTTCTGATTCGCGTCACGCAGGTCAGCTACATCTGTATCTCGTGGGACATAACCGCGGCACCGTCGATCTGTCATAGGCGTGTGTCACGATTTGCATGCAGTACTGTACGAGCGCGATTAGGAATCTGAATCCTGATATCATCATCAATAGCCCAACCGTCAACAAATAAGGCGAGTTCCCCGATCTAGTTAATATATGGGGCAACATTCATACACAATATGACGATCCGTGCTAAGGAATCTAGGTCTATTAGACAGCGTTCATAGTATTTCTGTCGTCCTCAGGCGGCCTGCCGAATGCTCCCATCGAGTCTAGTCGGTAGTTGACTTCGCAGAACTCTGTAGAAAAGCGCATCATTCACCTGAGCTGCCGGCCCAAGGCTGCAGCGCTGAAGAATCGACAATTGTCTATATGCCTTGGGCCGCTATAATGATGCAACTTCCGTTATCGTTTTGCTGACAAAGCTAGGATGCCTAACAGAGGTTTCGTGCTCACAACGCGGCCAGAGGTAAAACCAACGGGCCAACTAAATCGAAATGATAAGAAGGCCAGCGCTAGCCAGGTACAGCAGCATTAGAATGCCCGTTCGGTATTTTCGAGATTGGCACCAACCCAAAGGATCTGAGGTAACGGCGATCATCTTCCCTGATGGGTAGCGCATGGCGACGCCACGATGGGATCAAGTTCGTCTGTGGAACCTGAAGCTTGAAGTATAATGTGGTGATGAAACGATTGGAGAGAAATAAAAGCAGGGTCCAGGCAGTGACGGTTTCCAGGGGCGGGCAATTCGTAGCAAGCCGTGAGGTCGAAATTTGGGATATAGACACAAGACTACCACCAACTTCGTAGCCAACGATACGTCCAGCAAGGCCACTCGCGTGGAATCGCCGTGGATGCACGGCTTCTCACAGGGGTGTCTTGCCAGGGTGAAATATTCAGGATTTGGATACGTTGACCTGGCAGCAGGTCCGCCCGGATGAACATTGGCCTTGAAGCACTCACTGTGTCTGCACCATCTCCGGGAACCCTGCTGGCGCCCTCGTATGCATGGCTAGTGATGAAAGTGTCCACCTCTCGCGGATCTCAGATCTTAGATCGACGAACTATCGCTAAATTTGAGCATGGTGAGCGGTTGCACTGTGCCTGAGAATTGGAATGCATTACCGGAGAACTCTGAGTTAAGTCGTTTATTTCTCCCTCGCACGCAAGGTACAGCATCCGAAAAGGTCGCACAGCTGTGGCACGACGACAAGTCACCCACAACTTTGCCAAGCGTCCGCCACCATCGGAGCCGCCCGATAATATTTGGTATTAAGAAGGATAATATTGCACAAGACAAGGAAGCGGAATGGGAAACAAAATAAAAATACATAATGGATCCTAGATAAGCTAGAAACTACCGCACAAGGCGAAAGAATGGATTAACGGATTCCGAATGTGTGGTCGTTGTAACTTGTTGCCCATCCATCTCTCCAATGATACAAGCCACGTTTCTAAATCCTAGGCGTTTCTACACGTCGCGATCAATCCGGACTAGCATGAAGATGAAACAGGAAACAGAGAACCCTCGTGGTCGTCGGTACCGGTAGAACGAACCTTATTGTATCGCAAGGATGTGGTCATCGCATGGGGTTGTATGGTGCAATCGATTGGTATTCCGTAGTCTGACAGAAAAAACACCGGGACAATCATTCCTTTTTCAATGGTACTGCCGCACAAGCCGCAGATTTGAACTTTAAGACGGTGATCACTTTCTTGTAGGATGTACACGCGTGCCAGTGTGTATCACGATACGAACATCTGTATATTGTTTCCTAGATTCCACTGTAGTATAAACGTGCCATGATTGCGTCTCCTTTCAGCTTTACACTCTTCCGTTACGTCCAGACCTTCAATGAGGGTGAAGTTATGGACCTAAGATATCTACTACAATGATCACAGTAAAACGGTCGTGTAATGTTCGCCCACTTGCATTGCAGCCGTATTCTTTGCAACAACTTTGCATGGACTTGCTGATAGTGTTCATGTGCACCTCTTCCAGCTAGCCGCACCTCTACTAGCATGGATAGCTGGAGAGGTGCACATAAAGACCCGATAATAACCAATCTCCAGACCACAACGTCCAACTGAGCGGTCCGCGGAAAAGACGGTGGCAAAATCTTTGCCGGTTCCTCCCGATGGTCACACATCTATAAATTAGTGTTGTTCCAATGTCCGAGCGAGCTCCGAAGGAAAACAGGTCCGAAGTGATCCGAACGCAGGTGCAGGCGCAAACATAGAGCTTTTTTAAAACTTTAGAGTTAGGGAAGTTGGAGTCCCGTATCATGTGCATGGTGCGGCATTGATTCATATAGCCCGCAATAGATTCTGTCCGATTCGTCAGTTTCGATCTTTTCACGTTTGAAATGAGCACAGCAGTCGAACCTCGCGTTTCACTTTCATGTACTTCTATGAGACTTCGCTCGAGGGGCTTCTTAAAGCACTTCCAGATCCAACGGACCAGAAAAGCACTAAGAAATCGCTTGAGCGTTGAGTATTCAAAACCCGTCTGAACCAATCTAGGGGAGCCGGAGCACGGCTGCAGTGCTGCAGGATGAGTCATTGCTCGTTGTCTACAGACTTTCTAAAACAACACCGAATCCGATGGCATGTCAAAACTTTAAAGCTCAATCAACGCATATCAAGTGCATATCGAGCGTGAGATTGGCACATATCAAGCGTGCGATCTTACCTTGTTCGTGGTTGGGCATGTCGTTACTCGTGGAGCGATATAGTAGCTGTCTCGCTTGTCGATGGACATTGATATTGATTCGTCGAGTCGGAGTATGTGCCAAATAGTGCATGAATGGCGGCATCGCGAGGACCATAGCGATTGATAAGAGAGAACCACACTGTGCACAGCCTAAAAAACACCGCAACAGTCGAGATAACAAACGTGATCCAGTGAGTAGACGACCAGTGGCAGAATTGAAGTTGAAGGATAAGAGAAAGGGAGAAAGAGGGACGTATGATCTTATTATAGTATCATAGCGTGTGAAATAGTATGAGTATGTCGCTGTGCACTCTTGCGCACTACATACCGGAATTAAGACTAGAGATGAGATGGTGTCGCTCGAAGGAGTATTGCGGTGTGCTGGCACACAAAGGACTGCGGAGAATCTTCGGGAGAGCGCGCGCGCTCATTTGGCTCAAGGCTCAGTGAGGCGCCAGACTATAATTCAAATTGGGCTGGAACGCTAGATAAGCACGGTCTTGGGCTACTTGTGTTACCGGTCTAAAAGCGAGATTAGGACGTGGCTACGTTGCAGTGAACAGTTCCAAGGGCCTGGACTTACATCAAAGTGGTGGAGAGTTCGAGGGTGTAAGACTTTGTAATGGAATGTATGAGCAACTGAGTTGCAAGTGGTTGGCGAGATCCAGTTGATATACAGCATGATACCGAGATCTTGGAAATGGAGGGCGCGCTAGACAAGAAGATAACAAGTAACACTGCGCTGTAACACATTCATTGATGAATTGGCGTTTGTATCCGCATCAGACGCAAGACGAACCGACGGCTGCCAATGGATGTGCCTTTCATTTTGGTAGTAGCACTACTGAGGAGATTGAAATTGTGGCCTGACCCACCCGACGACCTAGAACCCTGGAATGCAAAGCTATGCAAAGGCGAGATAAGTGTTGCGCTCGGATACGATTACTGTAAATGACGATGGGAACCATGGGTGAGATAACCGCTGCAAGACCGAAGGCCGATATCGACGGCAATTCCATTTGAGCAGATCTCTTTGGAACGTCTAATGATAGTGTGCTAGAGACAGACTGTAGCTCGGGGACTGCCGTAGGCCCGTAGAGCCAGGTCGTCGATCCTGCCGCATACCGGATTAAGATTTAGCAGCCGGCTCGTTTTGTGCCGCAAGCAGCATTCGGACGAACGACGATATTTGAAAGCTGTGAGTTTTATTATAAGAATGACTCAAGTCTCGCCTGGTCGACGTTTTCTTTGTCGCTCACAATTGTTAGGAGGTTTCGGTATCCCATAAATTTCAGGACTAGGACCAAGCGCTACTAGTAGGTGAGTCTGACTTGTGCGTCTATAACTCTCCTCAAATTCCAAATCATCCTAACCAGGGTCTCTCCGCCAAGATGGCATTCAGTATAACGCGCCCGTCCTCTCCTCAACTCCTTACTTCTACACCCGTAGATGATCATCTTAGCGCAGCTCTTCACGCCGCTCTCAGTCGCGTACATGACGACATGGTCCACCAAGACAGATCACATCACCCACCACCTGACAAGTCTCGCATAGACATAGTCCTAGACTCTGATGTCCTTGCATTAAAAGGCACAACGGCAGACACAGAACCTGCCTTGCTTTCTGGATATGTAGTCCTCACACTCTCCGAAGCGACATCTATCAAAGAAATAAATCTCCAATTTCGTGGCAAAACTCGCGTGCCGCCTCCTCTTCACGAACCGTACGTGCTTTCTTTCATGTCGGCCTTCTTCTCTGAATGAAAAATTTGCCTAGAATTTCCCTCAACTCATCTGGGCAGACATACAGTCTTTGCACATATGATTGGTCCTTCCTTGAAGGCGAGAAACGCCACTCTCACACCCTCAAAGCAGGTAAACACCTTTTCCCATTCTCGCTCGCTCTCGGCGGCACCCTCCCCTCCTCAATGTACCTCCCCTCCACTACGTCCCCGTCATTTATCTCCTATAAACTTCGTGCAACCGCCATCCGCCCTGGCCTTGCGCACAACCTCCACGCATCACACCCCGTTGCCCTAATACGGAGCTTTGCAGCAGACTCGCTCGAGTATCAACAGACGCTCGAAATCGAGAACACATGGCCTGATAAACTCATGTATACTATCGTCCTCCCCCATCGTGCTTGGGCTGCCGGCGATACACTCACTGCCCTCTGCAAATTTGTCCCTCTCGCCAAAGGTGTCCGCGTCCTCAGCGTCCTCACCAACCTTAACGAGACCGTGAAGATTTCTTCAAGGGGGAGCGAACACACCAGATCCGTTGTGACTACAAAACACGAGGTCACCGATGGCAAACTCAAGCTTGTCAGCGAAAGTTGGTATGGCATCAGGCAGCCCCTCGGCTCAGGTGCTACATTGCATCCCCTTGGCGCTACCGGTGTCAGTGTACCTACATCCCCTGCCCCAGAGGATAGACCGCCAAGTTTTAATCTACCCGATCTACCCCTCCATCAAGTCCCCAGCATACCATCCTCGTCCTCTTCCTATTCCCACTCTCAGCCAACCGCAAGCTCTTCCTCTGCCCCTTCACATGATCGCCATCCCTCCCACGACGAACCCCAAGACCCCGTTCCAGACGAATTCACCTTAACAGATCTCATTTCCCCACTCTCTCTCACCCTCCCGCTAACTCTCCCCCCGTCCCATTCTCTCGATCCAATCTACATCTCACACCGAATCCGCTGGTCCATCCTTATGTCAAACCTCGACGGGCATACTTCTGAACTCCGCTGCACCCTCCCCCTAACCATACTTGATGGGCATCTCCTCACAGAAGCTCGCGCCGGTGGGCGTTGGGTCCGCCGTGTCGTCTTGGGCGATTACGTAGGTGAAGGCGAGAGCGCCGGCACAGGCATTTTCGGAGAAGGAGAAGACAACGAGGAGGAAGGTGAGACGCTCCCCAGCTACACTGCTCATGTCAGGGACCGCGTCGCCAACGCCTTCCTATCCTCTGGTTCCACCATGCGAGTCGTCAACCCTTACGTGTTCACAGCACCACATATCTCCCCAACACCAGGAAGTGCCACCAGCGCATCCTTCCCGCTGCGTTCAGGAACGAGTTCGCCACCACACCCACATACACATGCACATGCACATGCACACCCACACCCACATACGCATGCACATGCACACACATTCCCGCACAGCGTACTCGATTGGGTCAATTCTGAACTTTTACATCATCCACGATCGCCGCACTCGAATTCTGATCCTACGAGCCAAGTCCCAAGTCGGCTTGTTTCGCGCGCGCCTAGTCCCGAACGGCGTGTGTGGGGAGCAATGGGGCCGCCTGCCCCGGATTCACACAGACCTACTCAGGCTGCAGTATCTGGTTCAGAGACGTACAGACCTCCGGCGGTATCAGGTCCTGAAACGTATACCCACTCACCGCCTGCATCCCGTACGCGAGGCACGTTGCTGACGGTCACGATGAAGCCACTTCATTCCGGGTGGCTTAGTGGGGGCTCGAGGACCGGGAGCCATTCGAATCTTGTGGGGATGACAAGCGTCAGTGGGCCGTATGGTGTGTCTGGGCATGGAGGTATATCTGTCTCTGCTGGATCTGGTGGAGGTGGAGGAGCCCATCCCCACTCACGATCATTCGGGATTCTGGTATCGCCACTTCAACCACTCGAATACCCACAAGGATTGGCCTCGAATACGGGAGGACATTCACATCCGCGCGCTGCGTTTAGTGTTGGTGAAAGTGGAACACAGACGCCTTATTTCAATGGTGCGCATTCTTCGCCGCATAGTCCTCGTTCACCTCCTGCTGAGATCGCGGAGAGCGCGATTTGGGGGAGGGGGGTGAATTCGAGCGGTGGTGGTGGGGCACGTGAGGAGGAGTTGGATGGTGTGGATGGGGTCGAAGTGAGTGTGGGAGGGGTTCAAGAAGGGAATGCAAGTGGTGTTCTAGATGATGAAAACGTAAACGCGAATGCAGCGCCCGACTATCGCGTATCGTTTCAGGGATGTGTCCCCCCACTGTCAAGTCTAGCGGGTTTGCCGAGTTATGAGGAGGCTGCTGGATCTGGGTCTGGAGTGCGGCATGAGAGGGGAAGGTCTGGTCAACTGGATGGGTTTGGATCTGGGTTAGGTTTGAATCTCGATGGGAGACAGGGGAGTACGCTGGAGGGGAGACGTCCTCGCGATGGGCGACATCCTATCCTGCAAGACGGGTCGCATCATATCTTGCATGACGAACCACTTTCTATGTTGCATGACGAGCGACATTCTAGCACGCACGACGGTCCCCATCCAGTTCAACACGATAGGCCTCCTAGTCCACACGAGGCGCGGGACGGAATACGGTTGAGGGTGCCGATTCCTCGGTGGAGGAGGGTGAGCGGTGAGGGGTTGTAACGTTTGTGAATACTCCTCGCACTCGCGTTGCATGCCATCCCTCCCGTCTCCTTGGGCTCGACTGGGCATTGACCCGGCATCTCTCCTTAAACTCATGTCCTCTCATTCGACATCGCATCTCCGTAGACCAAAAGCATCGTTAAAGAATGACGAAACGTCCTCCCCGACCAGCTCGTCGTTTTGCATACTTACATCATGATAATAGCAATATTATTCATCTCATCTCGCCTCCCCATCATGTCCTCAACTCGCATCTCCATTCATTATAGATCTCCGATAGCCAATCGACTGTATTATGTTTAGACTTATATTTTATGTATTAGGGTCTCGGGACTTGATTCCGAGGTTGTAGTGTAATAAGCAACGGGCATATGAGGAATGTATTGCATTTGCTGCTACGACGACGGAATTCAGACAAATGCGTACTGTGGATACTAGTTAATATTAGGAAAGACCAAGTACGATGTTGGAAGGAGGGGGGTGGGCTACAAGTGTCAGGGGACAAGTCCTTCGAGTGCTTTATCCGTACACCACCGTTCTCAAAGTCGTCCTGCATAAACATATTATTGTGTCTTGTACACAGTCCTCGGCGCTGTGTGGGTTTTTTTCTGAATCGTAAGTCGTATGCCAATTAATTCACCACATTCTGGTCCAGACTGTAGTAAGTGAATTGACAGACGGTGTGCACCAAGCGGGCGAAGGCGCTTTCGATGGGACACGGAATTATGTGCATCCATGCGCGATCGAAAGAGAGTAGGGAGTGGGTGGGCTCTTGGAGGGTGGGGGGAAGAACCTATCCACTCTCTGGTGAGCCGAATACTAGACCTCCAGTAAGTGAGATGTAGGATATCGAGAGAACGCACGTTAGATATCTGTAGTCGTCCATGCAGAGATACTCCTCCAAATCCTTGTTGCTGATGTCATGCAGAGATCAAGGATAACTTCCAGACGACGCTCTCTATGTCCACGAGGACATGTTTTCGCGAAGTAGAAATGCGTCTATAACACCACGGTGTAGCTCTGGTTTAAACTAGTAATGTGATGAATATCAGAGCATCAATTCGATAGGATATCTGCCACACACCTCTGACTCGTCCCGTAATTCAACCAGGTGTAATGCTAGTAAGATCTTTAAATTATATTTTCCATTTTCCGTCGCGATATCGAGAACAATAACTTTACTCATGTGGAGAACACGGGACTGAAGCAGATCGCGTTACTGGTTCCAAGTGAGGTGAGTGGGAACGTCGCTACAGAAAGGTATCCGATTTGAAACACTGTCAGATTTGTTGGGTTTGGAGTCAATTGGGGTCTTTGAGAATGGTCTGCATAGTACCGGTGAGTATTATGCCAACTGCGTTGATGAGACAGCGCCACTATCACTTACCTGGGTAAGGACCAAGCCTTAGGACTGCCGGACAGATGGACGATCTGCAGACTGGACCACAACATTGAACTGTTCGGGCTGCAGAAGGAGTAGCAGAGATTTGGGCAGAGATCAAATAACTCCAATACCGAGACTCACTACTTGGAGGGCACCTGGTTTCTCGAAAGTCCAGTCCGGCCGACTGTCCTCCATCCTGTCTGTTCATTAATATTGTTGATAGATTTGCCTACGCGAGCGGGGTTTCGGGCACAATCGTCTTAAATTTCAAACGCGGATATCCGAGTCAGTTCTCAACTTGTTAAGAACCCTAATTGAACCTTGCAAGGACATGTCTTTCGCGTTAGACGACCGTCGACGACATACAGACACGATTGATGCCATGACAGCCAACTCAAAAGCAACATTTTCCTCAGATATCATTGGTGTCCTGCAAAACATCGTAAGGATCCAGTTTCGTAGGCACTGGTCTGCATATAATAATAAACAATTTGCTTCAGCTCGCTCATTCACAAGTACTCGTATGTCAATTGAGTTTAATGCATGTATTGATGTCATTGATTCATGATGACCAGATACCAGACCTCGAAACCCAGTATCCTATCAGCAATACGAACTACTCTGCCTTCAAGCTCGATTACCAGAACATCAGTGCCATCGTCACTGAGCGCCAGCAGCAATTGGATGCAGTATCCCACGAAATCTTACGTTTGGAAACAGTCATAGATAGTATCAACCATATTCACCAGCAACTGGTCGCGAAGAAGGACAAGATCGCTCAGTCCATGAATTCGCACAAGCGACTTGTATCAGCTCTCTGGCGCTTGCCAGCCGAAGTCCTATCTCAGATTTTTGCTCACTGTCTCCCGATTGGGCTGAAATTTGGGTACTGCTTGTCGCCCGCGTCGAAGGCAGTTCCTATGCTGTTGACAAGAATATGTCGACAATGGAGGGAGGTTGCTTTGGGTACCCCCGGTTTGTGGCACGGACTATCTGTGGGCAAAGACTGGCAGCGGGCAGCCTTCTGCTATGAGGCATGGCTCAAGCGATCACTGAGGGCGTCCGCTCTCGTTGGAACTCCAGTGTCACAAAAATAACTGGACCGAGCTACGAAGCCTTCTTCAGCCCTACATAAATCAAGTCTCATCTCTGTCTCTTAATTTTAACCACAACGACCTCCAACCTGAGGTTATGATATCGGACTTCCTAGCACTTGAGGAGCTGACCATATCATTGGATTGTTCTAATCCTGAGGCTACCGTCATACAGTCTATCTCGCAACCGCCATGCACTCTGCGCAGTCTCACGGTAAATGGGGTGTTCTTCGACACGGAGTACGCATCTACATTTAATCCCACCTGGGCCCACCTCACAAATATCGAGATCGACCTAGACGAACCAATTACATTCCTCCGATTACTCCGTTTATGCCCCAGCCTCTCCTCCTTGATGATATATACATCATTCAACGCCATGGAAGCGTTGGAGCCATTCACGCATACCCAACTCCAATCCTTACGGATCGTTTCCGACGATGTTATGACAACGACACAGACCGTCTTAACCTACTCGATACCCTCTCACTGCCCAATTTGCACGTTCTCGAAGCTCACTTATACTCTCATGGTCGTCATGAGGAATTCAAGGCATTTTTGACGCGGTCAAAGTGTCCCCTGGAGAGCCTGACTTTCGGCTTCGGTGTCGATAACAGATGAGCAGCAAGCGGAATACGTTGCCCTTATTCCTTCTCTCAAAGTACTAGTAATGAGATGAGTTATTCCTTGCATTTGAGGTTGCTTTGCGTAAACAGAGTTGGTTGTTACGGATTAGCGAAATGACGATGTCAGGTTCAGATGGAATCAGACCTACACCGTTATAATTGATCTATGCATCCTATGCAATTAATTTAAACTCAAATTCTATAACGACTTATAGGTGCTTTCCATGATCAAGATGAGCCGCTGACTTCGGGGAAGCGCTACGCTGTACTAGTAGCTTCGGATACAGATACAACGTACGCAAGGTACACATACCGCTCAGGATAGATGTCAAAAGAGTAGGCAAGAAAGAATTGCGCCATGCGAAACAAGTACACCTCTGCTCTGAATCGACTGACGGTCACCAGGTCGCCTCGCAGCGCGTGTTAGTGCTGGTTGTAACAGTGTTTGAGAATTCGAGGCGCCGAACGACTCGAACGAAACAGGAGGGCGGGGATCGCAGTGGTCTCACACACTTACGAAAATTCCATACCCCAGATAGGTTAAAGCCGTTAAACAAATGGTAGCTTGGGTCTAGACTGGTGACCAGCCCGTCTATGAGGCAAGCCGTCGATATTGGGTCTAGGACAAGAAGTCTTGCAAATCGGAACGTGGCGGTAGGGTGGACGCGTGGACGGAATGCCGCCGGATGTAAGTACGTACCGCTGGACTTTCGAGAATTCCTGTTTCTTGATACAGTCGCTGACTCCAAGCTAATGAATGGACCGCGTAGTACTTGGTAGTATGATGTCATTATCACGGGGGCGTTCCGAGTCTGCCTCATCAAGTCCGCAGTTATGTAATCCTATTTTCAGCACTCTTCTTTTTGTGATCGGGGACTCGTGCATAACCATGTGATGTGCTCTGATAGGCAGCTTTCGTGCTTGATTGTTCCTGCATTCGGATGTGGCCCCATGGGTCTATGTGACAAGTTAAAAACCAGGATGATTTGAAGAATCTATTACATCGCCCTGAGCTGATCTCAGTTTTCAGTATGGCAACTAGTACTGACCCGTTTCCCCAACGCTTACCCACGCTGGATCTGCTGGGGGTCACTGATCCGTCCAATGTCTCCTCGTCTCAGGTAGCCACCGAGTGGCTCAACGCTTTCTCAGCTGCAATAACTCAAAATGATACCGCAGCTGTCGCCGACCTCTTTCTCGAGGATGGCTTCTGGAAGGACGTGATCGCACTGACTTGGGATTTCAGGACATTCGAAGGAAGGAAGGACATCAAGAAACTCTTGGATGCTCGTCTCGCTGCTACGGGTCTCCATGAACTGCGTCTCTTACAGGAGCCCTTGAATGAACCTGTGCTCCAAAAAGTTTTTCCCTGATTTTGTTTGGCTGCGGTTTTGCTTTGGTTTTACCACCAAGCATGGCAAGGGGACTGCGGTCGTTTATCTCGTTCCCCTTCCAGATTCAAAGTGGAAGGCCTACACTCTATTGACCTGTCTTGATTCATTGACCGATTTCCCTCAAAAGGTGTGCATTCGCGTTCCTTTGTAAGCACTTACTGACTCTGTGGAAGCTCGGTTTCCTCAGAAACAGAGAGGCCGATCATGGCGGTTGGGAAGAGAAGCGGCGCCAAGAGACCGAGTTTTCGAACAATGACCCAACAGTGATCGTCATCGGTGCAGGACACAATGGCCTTGAGACCGCGGCACGCTTAAAGTACATTGGCTGTACCCACGCTTGTCATAGACAAGAAGCCTCGGGTTGGGGATAGCGTTCGTCCTCTTACAATCTTGGTGTTCAACTAAAGCTCAAGGCTCAAGGGCGGTTTCATAGTGGAGAGACCGTTACAAGGCTCTTTGTCTGCATGACACGATCTGTTCGTGACCTTTCTTCTACAGAGAGGGATTGACTGACAAACTTATAGGGTCCAATCAAACGCCTTACCTGAAGTGTGTGGTTCGTCAAAACTCCTTTGATTCTTTTGTAATGCGTCTTGCAGCTTTCCACCAACATGGCCAGTCTACACCCCAGCTGCAAAAGTATGATATTACCCACATAATGAACGTTCGCTGATTCTAGTCATTACAGCTGGCAGACTGGTTGGAAGGATATGCAAGTTTTCCTCGAGCTCGACGTTTGGACTGCCTCGACGATTATCAAGACGTCTTGGAACGATAGCACGAAAACCTGGACTGTCGAGGTCAATCGCGGCGGTAAAGGTACTAGGGTTCTAACCGTTAAGCACCTCGTTTTCGCCACTGGATCTGGCGGTCGCCCGTATGTTCCCGACATCCCTGGGAAGGTATGTGACGATCAATTGCTCTACTGATCGAAATGTAAACTCATGGACGCAGGCAAGCTTCAAAGGGTCTGCTGTGCACTCATCAGAGTTCAAATCCGCAGCTAATCATGTCGGTAAAAAAGCAATCGTAGTCGGTTGTTGCAATTCTGGTTGGTCCGTCACATCTTTCGTATCGAACAAAGTCTAAATATTTCATCAGCGCACGACATCGCTCAAGATTTCTGCAGTCACGGCGTCGACATCACAATGTGCGTCCTTTGGTGGTGTCATTTTCATATCTCATTGATTGCTAGGTATCAACGATCGTCGACGTTCGTGATCTCGGCGGAGTCGGTAGCAGCAATGCTAGGCGGTAATTGTTCCCGCGATTTTGGTAGCTTGGTTTGACTTTCCTTGCCCAGCTGTCTATAAGGACGACTTCCCCACCGAGCTGGCTGATATTTATAATACCTCACTACCTTGGGCAGTTGTTAGGCGGCTGCATCAACGTGTGGTTCCTATGATTGCTGGGACCGCAGACAAGTATGTCGGACGATTCGAGGGCTCACTTCCAGATGCATTGATCATAATCCCAGGGCAATTCTAGACGGATTGGCTAAGGTTGGCTTTAAGACCAATCTTGGCTTGCATGGAGCAGGTCTTTTTGCACTTTTCCTAGAGCGCGGTGGTGGCTACTACATCGGTGCGTGTGCCTCTGATGCACAACGAAGATGTCTCTCAACATCTTCCAGATACTGGAGCGAGTAAATCTATCATCGAAGGGGACATCAAAATCAAGAACGATTCCGCAATCGAGTCCTTCACGAAAAACGGCCTTCGATTCGCTGATGGCACTGAACTGCAGGCAGATGTCATAGTGTTTGCTACGGGGTATGCTAATATTTCACTCTGTCGAGCAGGGCTCATACTTGCCTACAGTTATGGCGATCCCCGTGACTTTATGCGCGAGGTCTGTGGAGATGAGGTCGCATCAAAAATCACCAGGGTCTGGGGTCTAGATGAAGAAGGGCAAACTGCGGGAGTGTGGAGGTACTGCGGGCATGATGGTCTGTGGTTCGCAAATGGTATGTGCGTCGTTCTGGTTATGAGCGCGCAGGTTTCATTTTCTTCATGAACAGGTAATTTGGGTCTATCGCGTTTCCACAGTCTCCATTTGGCCATGCGTGAGTTCCTTCTTTGTGGTATAAAAAGCGTTGCTGATGAACGCAAATGTAGAAATAAAAGCGATAGAAGAAGGTATCTTGAATAAGGCGGATATAGTTGTTTGATGATGTTTCGAGAATTTGCTCACGATCGGGGCTCGAAGACCTGTAAAATGTACGAGTACTCATTGTGCTGAAGGTTATATGTACAATAAATTCAAGAGAATTTTCACCGGAGCCCTCGTATATGGCAAACAAGATTTTTGTTGACTCACTACAGACTAAAATACATGTCACCAATGTGTTCGTTGTCACTGCCAGTGGCACCTGGGACGGTGGCAAAAATGTGCCGGACAGAATAGCATGATGCACGTACTAGCGCAATACTAGTGAGCCAGAAATCTTAGACAAAGCCGAGATCACAGCGAAGCAAGAGACCGACCGTGGCCCCAGGGGAGCTGTGTACTCGGCTGAGCCTTTCATGTTGGAACCTACGTTTACGCGCGGTAGTCAGAAAGTCACTTTCAACTTTCAACGTTAGGGGGGCCCGGGCATCTCCGAAGCTTAGGTTCGCGGAGCTTAGTCTAGCCGAGATGCTTTGGCCGCCCTGGGCTCTGCATCACTCCATTGAAGTCTACAACGTTCTCTACATCATTATATTCCGCATGCCCTGGTTCCTTACGGTGCTCCGTGACAATGTTTCACTCAAGATGTGGTATCAGTACATGCTATGACAAATTGTAGGTGGTTTTAAACATAGCTCCCCGTTGAATTCATTTCAGACCCCCGTGGTCTCTGGAAGTGAGTCAACCTGGCCCATCGCGGGATTTCAGCCCTGGCAACATGATAAAATGCTGAACCAAAACGGCACCTCGATGGGTGTCGTGAATGCCTATGATTTACCCCGTTGATTGAGAGTGATACCGAAGCCCGAGACCAACAACTTGAAGTACAGCCATGTAAGTTACAGCGGTTTCTTTAAGTTTCTGTATTACCATGATTTACATTCTCCGGGACTATCGAGTCCCGGACCAAAACTGGTTGCCATATGAAAAGACAAAACGTATGTTTCTGCCTGCTTGTAGACACGAAGCATCGGCGTTTTACTGGTGCGACTAATGCTATGACTCCTTAGTAAGTAAACGGGTTTTAACTGGGGAGATCAAGTTTGACATATTTACTAGTAATTTTCACATCATGCAACAGAGCTATACCTTATATCGTATGTCTGCTGCATGTGAATTTGTGAACTCGTCACTGATATGCGTCCTCCTGGATAGGTGCACTTAATGCCATGCCTTATCGTCCGCAGTGCTGGTGGATACCCAGGAAAGCCACGACTTGTATATTTTGTCTACCATTGAGCATCGCCCCACCGGACAGTAAACACTGATCAAAAAACAGGAAAGCCACGTACTCGTACTGATGGATTGAGTAGTATGGAGTTACGTGAGAGGACCTGGACCCGGAAATGAACGGTGTGGTGTGATTCTTCAAGCCTATGCTATGGAGAGAGATATAAGTATGTGTCTCTCAGCAAAGGGCATGCAAAATTCGTGCTGCTAATAGTCCACTTAGCTCCAGAAGGAAGGCAGTCGTTTCCTCAATTTAGTTCAGGATGGGCGACTATGTGGATCTCGTGGGACATTGGCAAACTGTTGCAGTGCGTACCCTGCTTCACCAGTCAGCCTTTAATTGCTCACTCGAATTCAGTACGTTGAAGGTATTCTATACTCGGATTCTGATTCTATTCTGCATGACTGAATTCCTTGGACAGCCGCATGCACAGCAGCTTTGGTAAGGAGAAACAAATATAACGCAATCCTATTGCAATCATAACCAAATCCCCTCCTAGCTTTTTGACTTCTGCATTACTTTCGACTCAGAGGTCAGTATGTTTCGGTGGTCACATGCAAAACTGACATATTGCCAGGTTCGTTGGATATGGGGGAGAAAGTGGGGGATCACGAGGATAGCCTTTGTCATTTCTCGCTATCTGCCAGTTGGAACTGTTGCTATGTACCTATATTGTGAGTACTCATGTCACTCTGTCTCCTTCACTAGTAATAATTCCCTTGGATAGACGGCGTCGGGTCAACCCGCGAGGGAATTGTAAGCATGGACTCTTCTGACAGTTTGAGTATATCTAACGATATTTCAGCCAAATCCTGGGAGGTTCATTGTTGTAATTGGCAGTTGCGTATATGATAACCTCACTTAAATGACTCCGAATGCTTACTTTTGCTAGCCATGAATACTTTGGGTGCTGCTGCTGCTGACGGTCAGTATCAACTCCAAATCGGATCGCTTTCTGCCTGTAACGTCTTTTCAGCCATGCTCCTAGCAAGGACGTACGCTTTTTGTGGGCGTGAAAAAAGGATATTGATTACGATGTCGTTCTTCAGCACGGTGATCCTAGTCCTTCCCTTTGGCAATTTTCTTGTTGCTTATCAACATTATTTTAGGTCATGATTGCAGCTACAATAATAATTCTGTACGTCGTTGTAAGTAAATGTGGAAGTCTGTATCTCCCCCTTCACAATTCTTCCTCTCACCCATATTTCAGAATCTACGTGTGACGCACGTGAGGGACTACGATTCTTTGGCATTATCTATGCTTTACACATGATCTATCAGCTTGGTACATATCATTTCAATGAATTTTCCCAGCAGCCACTAATCTCCCCCAGTATTGATGTCCCTGACAGTGTACAAACGTTTCAAATTTTACCGACAGGAAAATACTCCATTGGTTTCTACTGTATATTGGGATGGCATGATTTACATGCTGTGCATTGCCCGTGAGTCTTATAGATTATCTTCAGGATCACGGCCTTAGTTTTTGTAGTGACCTCTATGGTGAATTGCGTGGGCATTATCAAGCTTCCTGTGAGTGGCTTGCCTTGGTCGTATGATAAGCTTCTGATCAAGCCGCCCAGTCACCATATTCCAACCTTTTCTATAGGTAAATCCAGTCACGGTTGACCTCATCTTCAATTCTGAGTTAGATAAGCCCGCAGGTAGTCGTGCACAGCGTTTTGACTTCGCGCATCCTGTTCAATCTACGAGCAACAAACGAATCGCAGGATGCCTTTATAGCTGGGCCAGTTACCTCGAGGGTGGTTAATGCTCGACCGATCCAAACATCTTCCTGTGTGGATCGTCTAGAGTTGTTAGATATTACAGACTTTTAACTTACTTTCAACCATGGCTGCGGCTCTCTCTTTCCCGACTTTACTCTTTGGTCTTCAAGCCTATGCGAGACCCCGATGCTGCACCAACAATACACTCGAAGTTGCCTTGTTCCTCCCGACCAGCAAAAAACCATTCTGCGCAGATCAATTGCCAAACGTCACAATAACATTTGATACCAAAGTCGAATGTTGAACGAGTCGCACATCAAAAACATCACAAAGCCCCTTCCAAAACAACAACCAGCGATTAAGTATACAAAGTGATTAAACACATCTCGATAGCACCGTGAGAGTATGCAAGCATGTGCGTGTATTTCTACCTTATCATAACCGGTAGTGTTCATCACGTCTATCGTGCCTACAATCGGATCGAGGTGGACTCGATGACACGTTTTAAGGCCACTTTGATGGAGAACATACCCGTTATATTTTTAGCACGTTTAATAGTAATTGTGAGGAGTAGGTTGTGCATTGACAGGGTGATCAAGTTGTGGAATACATTGTATCACAGAAATTCTGTACAGCTCGAATGTACTCTCACAGCCAACTCAAAGCTGCTCAAGGGCTCAAAGCGAGATTAGGTGCACAAAATCGACTCGGATGTGCTTTTGTGATAGTGGGTCTGGTGCATCAGTAAATCCACACATTCCTTGACATCCTTAATCAGCTTATCTCACTTATCTCAAAACTTGTTTTCTCTCTCTCACATCATTCACCTGGCATATCTGATATTTTTTTAATGTGGAACATAATAAAATATGTCCATTAATACATCTCAACATTTTTTTTCTTAATACATTCAAGTTGAAATTTCAGACAAGTAGATCCACTTTCAACAAGGTGGTTAAGTGTGAATAAGTCTGTTTAAGGGCAAAATAAGGAATGTGTGAATTTTCTGATGTGTGAAAAATGGCCCACAGGCCGAGGCGACGTCCAAGCGCTGGTGGCTAAGCAGTCAATTTCCAAGTCACAGCGTCCACAGGCTGGTTCCTCAATTCAAGTGTCAAGTAAATGGTGAAACATAACGATGTCGTTATGAAGGTTTTACTAACTAACCATAATCCCACAAGCTTAGAATACTCACATGCGAGTGCCAATCATGATGCAATCTACCATGCGATCAGTGCCAATCATGAGCAGACACCATCGCAGGGCGTGGATTTTCGGCCTAGCAGGGGTTAGCCTAGTGAGACCATGACCATCCACCTACATTTGAATAGGGTATTGTACAGTAGCTCAATCGGGAAGACAATCAGTGGTTCACCCACAATCATGATGCACAGGCCATCGAGCACAATTGATGTGTCATGTTTCATCCACACTTCAAAACTGCTTGCAAACTACAATTCCACAAGGGCTTGTGTATAAAACCAGTCATCGATGGACTCAAACCTCTACTTTCCCATCCTTGGTTTACCTGTCGTCTGCACTCTCGGTGAGTACACTATCTGTTAAGACCGTACTCAAGTAGTATCGGATCCGAAGGGCTTCGGCCTCAGCTCGTGCGCTGTGCCCCTTTCCCGAGTCTTGCCCCTTATTTCAGAGAGCTAAAGTATCGCGTCTAGTGAGACGGATAAGTATCGTAACGGATAAGTCTTGTATTGCAACGGATAAGTATTGCAATGGATCCGTTAAGACTTCCGGATATCGAACGTATAGAGTAACGGCTAATCCGGATCGGATCCGGACTAGAAACTAACGGGTGAGGACTGTCCGAAGACAGAGGCGGATATGTAGACTATAGGAATCTATCCTAAGTCTCGGAGTAGACGAGAGTAGCGTACTCAAGTCCGGATGGATAACGGAGGGACTTAGAGTCCAGACAGGAATGAGTGCAATCTAAGATGATATTCGAACTGATCTACTACAGCGCATATACAAAGGTTTATATACTACGGATAGCTAACAGAATGATCAATAAGCAAAGGTGCGAGGCTATGTACGAAAGTATAAGCAAAGTCTAAGTGGAGCGTATTGGTAAGTTGGATGGATCACGAATCATGAACCGGGAATGAAGTACAAGTAAAAGCGGATTCGTAAGTGTAGCGGATCAGTAAGCATAGCGGATCAGTAAGCAAAGCGGAAGTAAAGGATAACCGGTATACCGGTGTACAGGAATACCGAAAGGAGATGAACGATAGTTAGAGTTATATGAACAGGAAATGAAATAAGAATCAAAGCGGATCTGTGGACCGGACGATGGATATGTTCATCGGATCTGGATCGGATCTGAGATCCAGATCATCGGATCTGTAACCGGATATATGGTATATGACAGTATCCCCCCCTTAGGGCCGATCCCTAGAGGCACAAGAATCAGCGATCCGGAACGGATGGTATGAGTGCGAGACAATGGAGAAGCTGATGGGAGAAGTTGCTGAGTTCGGATTCTGACAGATATACGGATGCCAAAGCGTCGCAGGGTGTTCCTTCCTTTCCCTACTTTTTCACTACCACTAGCTTATCTCAACCATGACTGATAACGGATCCGGCTCTAAGAAGACCGCTAAGCAGACTCTGGCGGATATCCAGGCCGCGCTGGCTGCTGCTGAGGCCGAGGTTCGGAAGGAGGAAGAGGCTGAAAAGCTGAAGCAACAAGCGGAAGAGGCGGAACGGAAGCGCTTGGCAGGGATTAAGAAGATTGAACGGGCTGAGGTCCGAAGGGAAGCGGAGGAGGCTAGGCGCAGGGCTATAGTAGCGGAAATGGTGAGTTATGACTTGTTCTATCGGATCCGTCCCTTATCGGATCCGTAGTCTCGCGCCATCTCAGCGGATAAGGATGGGGCTTGTACCCGCTGCGCTAAGAAGGGTCGGGCCTGTCTGTGGTCCGATGCGGATAGCAATTCCTTGGTAAGTCATCCTTGAATCTTCGGATCCGTGACTCTTAACATTCGGATAGATCAAGGCTTGTAACGCGTGCCGGAAGGACAAGGCTCCTTGTCCCGGACGACCTGGAACCGTTACGGATTCCAAGTCTAAGAAGAGGCAGCGCGCTGCTGAGAACCCATCTCCGAGAGGCAAGGGTAAGAAGCGCCAGCAGAGTCCGACTCCGGATCCGGATATGAAGACGGTAGTAGCGGATGAGGTGGAAGTGGAGTATGATGATCAGGCCTGGGTCGCGGCCGCTAATAGCATTGTAGCGGAACTGGCTCGGACCAACGGATTGCTCCAGCAGAGCATCGGAGCGGCGGAAGGGAGTAGGACTGCTATAGAGCGGATGAATACTAACTTGGAGGCGTTTTTGGAGCAGCAGAGGGAGTTCCAGACCATCCTTCTTGAGGGGATCCGGAATGGAATCCGGATTACAGAGGCAGGCTCGTTCTGAGGCCACTGACAAGGACGTTGATGAATCCGGATCCGGATCGGGTGGGGACATGGAGATGGATGGCTGAGGATTTTCGGATCTGCCTTCTCTGCTACTAATGTACTTGTATATCCGCTTTGTATATTCATTGTATAGCAATAGGACCGGGTTTGTCTGGATATGCAGTGTGGAAATCCGAGACTAGATCGGACGCGTTTCCGAGTTCCGTGGCTAGTAGCCATGAAGTCTCTTCGTCTGTTCCTTCGTATCCGGACCATCGGACGAGGTATAAGAGTTGGCATTGTCTTCTACGACGGTCCAGCTTAGAGTCTAGGATTTCGGATATCTCATATTCTGGTTCTCCGTCGACTTCGACCGGAGGTGGAGGAGGCTGGATCCGATTGGGAATTGTGTTCGGAACGGATGGTTCTAGCTGTGAGACATGGAAGACGGGGTGGACGGATTTCATGGATTCGGGAAGTCGGATGGTAAAGGAATGGGTACCCGGACGGGATATGACTTCAAACGGACCTAGATTCTTTTCCGAGAGTTTCTTAGACGGACGAGTGGACCGGAAGTACTTAGCCTTGACAAAGACTTGGTCTCCGATATTGATATCCGGAGCAGGTTTCCGTTTAGCGTCCGCAGGTCCTTGATATCTTTCTTGGGCGTGAGCCATTTCTTCTCTAAGGAATTGGTGAAGGTCGTCGAGGTCTATAGCATAGTCGCGAGCGCGGATGGAGGATAGATCGCGTTCCGGATGGACGGATATGTTCGGATGATAACCCTTATTAGCAAAGAAAGGCGATACTCCGGTAGTAGCACTTGGAGCGTTATTGTAGGCAAATTCTGCTAAGGGAAGTAGTTCCGACCAGTTGTCCTGTTGATAATTGCAATATATCCGAAGGTATTGTTCCAGGGTTTGGTTGGCACGCTCGGTTTGTCCATCCCCTTCCGGATGATATCCGGATGTGAAGTGGAGGACCATATCCAATGCTTTTCCTAAGGATCGGAAGAAGTGGGATACAAACTCTGTACCGCGATCCGAGGTGACATGGGACGGAACTCCGTGCTTGGAAAACACATGAAGTAGGAATAGACGAGCGAGATCCGGAGAGGTAATGGTATCGTGAGTCGGAACAAATATTGCTTGTTTGGATAAACGATCTATGATAACGAGGATGGCTGTAAAGCCTGATGAGTCCGGAAGTTGCTCTATGAAATCCATGGATATGGAATTCCAAGGCTTTTCCGGTATGGGTAGTTGCTTGAGCAATCCGTAGGGTTTATGTCTCGGAACCTTGGCTCGGGCGCAGGTAGTGCAGGACCGGACGTAGTCCTTAACATAGGTGCGTATACCCGGCCATGTATACTCGCGTCGGATGAGGTCTAGGGTTCGGTTTTGACCAAAATGTCCGGATAAGGGGTGATCATGAGTATTACGGAGGACGCGAAGTCGAAGGTTATCGGATTCTGGGACATATATACGGTTGTCGCAACGGAGGAAACCCCTATCGTCCACTGTCCATCTCGGATCTGAAGGTACCGGAAGATGGTTGGTTGCAATAGGGTCATTAGGAAGTGCGGTCAGGATGTCTTTCCGAAGGTCATCAATATCCATTAGAACAG